ATCCCACTTTTTATGATGCTACTGATATCTGCGCCACGATGCATTCATGTGTCCGCTGCGGATGGGCTGCACTCGCCATTATGGATATCATGATTACCTGTCACAAGGAAAGCAAGGCCGGTGACTACAAGAGGTACGGTTCTTCTTCACCCCGCGTACCGACTTATTTACTAATATTCTGCAAAACAGGCGGGTCATCAAGTGGGAGAGCGGTGCTGAATCCAAGGTCGAAGTCAACGTGTATAAGATGAAGACCTTCTTCCACAAGAACTGAACGATCGGAACTCTCACGAAGCACTGAGTGAAAATCTGGTTGCGAAACCTATGGGTATTGATTATTGCATCGATTATTTTCTTCTTCACCTGTGTCCTTTACTTGTTTGTTCTTACTAGGGTCAAAGTTTGATTTGTCGCTGGGCGCCTTTTGCGGAGTGGTTTTTTTCATTATCTGGTAATCTACGAGTATAAATTGAGAGGCTGGAGTTTTGAGAAATGCACGGCATCGCCGTCGCAAACCAAAGTAAGGCCACCTGTGTGTTGTCCGTGGAACGTCATGACGAATCCGGCTATCACCTATTATTTTCAGCACAATTATCAGTCGATGTAACGAAGCTTCGACAAGTACGGTATATGAAGGATGATGCACAGCAGTTGGATCGAGGTGAAGTTCCATCTGCGGTAACTGTGGACAAATTAATCGCTATCTTATCCGCCTCCGGCTCCAGTTCAAGTGGCGTCCACGTGATCCGCGACTCCGTTTTTCCATTGCAGATTTATGTCCATGAAGAGAATGTTTTACGCCACGGGGGGACACCGAAGCAAGAGAAAGATCCCCAAGCCCCCGGGTGTCAGGTGGGCTTTCTATTTTGTACTTCAGACAGAATCAATAGACACATAAAGGCAGAAAGCTCCGCACAACAAGATGATAACATCGTGATCATTCATCGGATTTAATACAAGCAATGCTAAAGTACAGTGACGGTCCATCATTGCACGGGATTCCAATAAACCTAAAGCCGCGATAAAACGCATAAACTCTTCATACTTCATGACAGAATGTCCATCCTACGGAAAAAAAACCTCGAAACACTGCTTATACTTATACTGAGCCCTTCTCTAGTGACACAGGCGCTAACACATGAACATGACGGCGCCAATGATGATACACACAGCCACCCATATCAGCGCTAGTCTCCGAACCCTTGACGCGTTTCCCTCCGGCCGAGCAAAACTGACATTTTCGGATCCATCGTACATTGCGGTGCTTCGCTTCTCGATATGTGGAGACGGCTCCGTTGGACGTTGAGCTGGATCCGCTAGCTCGATGGCGTCTTCAAGCAGGTTCTCCACACTACTTACCGGCAAAGTAACCTCACCTACCTCTGGCCTGATAGTCCGCCGATCATTCGGAAACGGAATCCCATCCGGGCGCCACTCCTCTTCCACAATAACCGGTGGGTGAGGCACGTCTCCTGGCTCAGCCCAGTCCGTCGACAAGGTATTCAGTACATCGGGGTCGCACGGCGGAATACACCTGATTTGACCGTTGGCTATCTGGTCGATCTGGGTGAACTTGAGCGGGAAGCGACAGTCCACCTGACCATCGCAAAGCTGTGTGCAATCCTTCTTGGTAGCATCGCAGGTATCTCGAGCTTTGATAACAGCCGTTGCGAGCTCGGCAAACTTTCGTTGGATGGTGGCGGAGTTGAGGAGCCAGTTGGTGTGCTCTGGGAAACGTCAGTACTGAGCCAGAATAGGAGTCCAGGAAACCAAACCGTCGTACGGTCCGCCGACGGGATATGACCAGCTATACTCTGGCTGTGCCATCCTACGCTCGACAAATGACTGGCCACCTGCGCATCATCAGCGTATGCCCATCCATCGTTATTTCGAAAACTCCTACTTCCGTGTCCGGCATCACTCCCATCACCGACTCGCATGCCGATGTCGTTCGGACCGTGAGAGCCATCTGGTGTAGATGGGTCTTCTGGCGATAGAGGTTGGGAGGCTGCCGCATTTCTGCCGGCAATTTCGGCAAGCACCCGGGACAGGCAGACAAGCATGATGAAGCCACGCATCGTGACGGACGACTGTGAACTTAGTACAAAGGTGAGGAAACGGCGGTGAACCGAACCAAATGCCAAAATATGAGTTGAAGGGGGATGGAAAAGACTCTTTGCTGTGATGTGGGTTTGGGGTAAAAGGTTGAGGGAAGGAGACGGGCGATGAGAGGAAACCACGAGCTACCAAGGCGAGAACCTTAGGTTACCGTTGTAGCACAAGACTAAACGAAACGGAAAGTCCCTTCACGTGGCAGCCACGAGCTATGTCCCTAGCTAACTTGCCATTTCGATCAAAGTGAGGGCGACGCCCGAACACATTTTCATACGGACGCCTATCATGAGGTCAACAGCCCTGGTGGGATCTTCACCTGGTGTCGCTGGAAGACGGGCAGGAAAGGTTTTAAAATAATCCGCCATATTCCAGATGAGCTGCGCACAAGATACATTGATATTCTTCCTGGAATCCTGAAGGCGTTCGAAACCGGGACTCCATAGTACTCTAGCAGCATTGCTTTCAAAGGTTCCCATACCTAGGTGCAACTGGCCAGCTATCAATGGTTGGGTGCAGCAGCGAAGCAGCAAAGCAGCAGAATAAGAACCTCATCCCCTCGCGCAGTGGCCAGGAAGATGATGTTTTTTTCAGAGGAAACACCGAAGGTAAAAAAACCTCACCACGTAACCAGTGGCCATGGGATGGAGAAATTGCAGTAATCACCTCTGCTCTTGACTCGTCACTTGGCGACGCCGATCTCCTCCCATCGCACCAACAGCCCACCCCATGCGTCCGTAGATCGCATCGACCGTGGTTGCTCCGTCCGCCCGGAGCACCAGCACCTTCTTCGCCGCCGCGTGCCGCTTCGTATCCGCTGCTTCCCAGAGCGGCCGAGGAGCGGTCCTACGACCTTTCCTCTGCCGCTTTGCGACCAGAGAACGAAGCGGGCACGGGACCTTAACCCACAAGGACGCGTCTGGCTGCTGCTCAGAGAAGCTGCGCGAGAGGGAAGCTTTGTCAGCGAGTGGCGAGTCTGGAGCCAGGTTGAACCACCGCGGACACATCCCGCCTAACACAACCATCAGCGAAAAAAGTATGCAGTGCGCATGGAAAAGAAACTTACAGTCGAGACGGTGCATTCGGTCGTGGGCCGCTCGACGCTCCGGGCTCAGCAGCACGTGCATCACCGTTCGTAGCTAGCAAGTAGGTATACCCGTCAGTCCTGGTGATCACTGTGGGGGGTATGAATAATGAACTCCGCGAACTTACAAGGTCGACACTCAGGTCGCCGTTGTTCACGTCCTCCATGGCCAGCTCAATGGCTGCCAGGATTTGCTCGGGTGTTGCCCAGTGAGCAGCACCGATCAATGCATAATAGCAAATGATTGTCATCGTGAATGTGTGTTAGAAAATAAGGGGCTGTGGGAATGAAGAAATTTTGGGATATCGTTGCTGTCCGGATGGCGATCGTGACAGGAAGGATATAGTGGGAAGGAAGAAAGGATGGTTGTGGGCGAATGTTTTGTGGCAGTAGCAGAGCCTCAACGAATTCTCAACGTCAGTAGCACTTCCTAGTTGAGGGTCCTTTGCGCAGGCGTGAGTCCCTCTGACACTGTCACCACGGCAGTCGGCTGACAGATCACGTGCGTGGCGATTGATGGGGTCAAATGCGGTCTGGAACCACCACCTATACTACCTAGACGACGAGGACCCAGTGCAGTTACAGAAGCTACAGTCCACCCGGCGACAGGCAGGATGTTCAACAATGCGTTGATTGGTGAGGGAATCGACCCACCTCAACAATGCCTACGATGCCACATCGAATTTGGTGGGTCACGAATTGCCGCATCAAACATAGAAGCTTCGGTTTCCGCCCACGGACCGGATTTTCGATCCATCATTGTATTGTGTTGTTTCATACTGGCGTGGACCCAATCTTGGCGTTTACAGAGATCTTGTGGCTATCACCATTAGGTATTTTTGCCGCATCATTCAAATAATATACTAGCAAATCCTCTTGTATCAAACTTTCCACATGTTACGAGTGTATAGTCCTGTGAGGCCATGCGTTCGAATCGGCGTGCTACTCCTTCCACAGAAACGGGTTACTAAGGACGTGCTGTGTCCGAGCGTAATTTCTATCCGATATTTGCCAAACGTATCGCACGAAATGTATTGCTAATGTAGGTGGATGCTATACATGGCCGGGAATAGAACGGCCGCGACGAAGAACAGTAGGGCCCGGTGTCCACGCTGTCACGTTCGGGGAGAGGTTTTACCTGACTAGCCAGTCCAGTCCCACTCATGACCATAATGACCACGGAGAAACTGTCTCGGCATCATGTGGTTTATATTCTTAGACAGTGGGTGTATAGTTATCATCGGATGCCTTTGACCATTCTTCCGGCCTCACCCGGTGATAGAAGCGTGATTGGTTCTTCCCAATCCTCGTTGCTGTCTGTCTCTGATGTATGCCCCAATGGAATAGGTATGGCAGGCATACTAAGAAGAGAAAGACAGCTACGACGGATTTCAGAATCGTTGATTTGAAGAAAATCAAACAGTGAGTGTAAAAACATGAAGAAACACACAACAAATCAAGAAGAAAAAGACATCTATGATGGAATCATGAAACATCATGGTCGTGAAACCTGGTAAAATCCAGCCCCCAAAACCATGACGACGCAAGATGGAAAATACAACCAGGCACCGGACGAGAACGAAAACACGCTTTTCTTTTGGTTTTTGAAGTCGAGTAGTATGCATCCAAATCATAACCCCCAGAAGGCTTGACAAACAAAAACGTACAATACCAGTCATCAAATCAGAAGAAATCAGACCCCAAACCCATGGCGACGCAAAAATAAGAATTCCCCACACTCCAGACGCGAACGTAAGTATGCATTTCATTGAACCTTTCCGGTCGATTAGTATGCATCCAATTGATAGCCCCCAGAAGGCTCAGCATAGAAACACTTTCATTACCAGTCACCCAATCAGATCATGGTGAAAAACTGAGGACGAGAGGGATCCCACACAGACAGAGCTTCCACATACCGAGTCGGGTGTTGAGATCACCGCGCCTAGCTTCCTTCACGTGGGTGATCCGCCATCCACTGAGTCACAATCTGGACCATCTCTGCCCTGCGATCCTTTCTGTGGAAGCGGGCACCGTGGTCCGTGGCGAAGTCGGGGAGTTGCGCGACTGTGCAAACTTTGGGGTCCGGGTGTTCTTCCTCGTCGGAATCGTTGTCTTGGGTGATGCTGTCGATTGAGTGACCGTCATAATCGTTCTCACTGGCGGCTTCCTGGTTCTCCGGCGATAGGGAACGGTCGTCGTTTTGGGAGAGAGCGGGGGACGGTGAGTGATCTTGGCTGATGGATGACTCCCCTGATGGTGAATGTTCCTTGTCGACCGAGCGTGCGGGGGAAGCCGAACAATAGTCGTAAAAGGTAGACTCCACTGATGAGGAACGGGATTCACCAGGGGGAACCACGGGGGAGACCGAGCCGTCGTCGCTAATGGAGTGCTCAGGAGAAGACGAGCCATCTTTGCCCACGCAGGAATCGACCGAGTCAGGAGACGCGACACTACCGTCGGGAGAATCACCGCTCTTAGACGGAATGACCACAGAGAAACCGTCTGAACATCTTTCAGTTCAGATTCTGCCACGGTGGGTGTTTAGTTATAAGAACATACCTTGTACTGTTCCTACGGCTGCGACAGGTGATTCGGAGCTAATTGGTTCGTCGGAATGCTCGTCGCTGTCTTCTTCTATAGCAGATGCTACTTCCTTCTTGATGTTGTCTTGAGTGGGGCTGGTTTCTCCTTGTCGATCTTTCGCACCGCCATTGCGACGAGCCTGGGAACGGCGACTGCGCTTTTGATTGCGAATTTCGGGCCTGTCGGTTCTGTTTTTTCGCGGTTGGTGTGGATTGGGCGGTTTCTGTTGGCAGCGGATGATGGATGGTTAAAAGAAGAATGGATGGTTGCGGACAACAGGAGTAGATGGTGAGTAGCGTCTTCTGAGCCGTAGGCCGTTTGAGGACTTCATTCAATATCTAGCGTACCTCATCGGTCTTAGCGGCTTCGAACCCCCTAGAGCAATGGAACACGTGACACTGAGAGCCTGTTGTTTTCCAGCATATATCCCGTAGGATAAGGCCAGGCGTATCCCGCAGCATCTGCTCGCTGTGCGTAGGCTGTTTTCAGCACAGGCACCTCTGAAGAAGACATGGGGACTCTGTATCTACATCTCCCTGAGTTCTGAAGGGGTTCATGATAGCTGAGTGGGCTTTCCGTTGCCGGAAGAGACTGTGTACAGGAAGTAGAAGAATGTCTGTTTTTTATAATCTCCTCCGCCTTTCAAGATGTGAATTCTTATCACGCGACATGTCTTCTTCTATTCTATCCCTCACTTGTCTCATCTGTTTTTACACATCGACGTCTTTCCTCTTGAACCTTTCCCTCGCGTGGGGTGAAAGATTTCGGAGGCGCCATTCGAAAAACATCGAGAACACGGGGAGGAAATAACTGATAGAGATTCCCCCTCGTTTTTTGTGGCTCGGCGAAATACTGAAGTGTTTTAGCCTAGGTATTCCTCTTCTTGAAAAATAAGTTGAACCACAAGCCTATGGAGTCACCGTATGCCTCATAAACGATATATCAGACTTACGTTGTAGCGAGAGAGGACAAGCGGAGAAGAACAGGTCCCCACTCAGTGACTGCCGACTATACTCGCTCTGCAGCCCGAGATACGCCGTTTTCAGTTACTTGGAGCATAGTACGGTGTCCGCTCATTGACCTTCAAGGCCCGCCACTTTTATCTCCGCACCCTGCGCATGCTGATCACATTCGCTGTATAGTTTGACTGGATTCCACAACTCATCTGCACGCTGGGGATTTACCAGCCGCCGTTACGAGGGCATTCGGTCGTTGATTCTCTGATTCCAGCCACGGACGCTCCTAACTTGCGTCGTTGCTTGCAAACACTCGTTATGGCTGCTCGAATGGCCGCCGCTCAAGCACAGTACCAGCAGCCGTGGGATCGGAGCCGCCGCCGCCACATCTGCCAACCCTTTCCACACGGGCCGGGACATCCCCGCGGCGAGGGACACGCGGGCTGTTGGCGCCGAAACCGACATCCTACACATTCTCGCCCCCTCACCAGCTAATCCCCCTGTCGTCGGTGGGAATGGCTATCTGTGACCGGTTTACAAGGAGGCTCCCACCTTGCATGAAACGTCCGTTCCGGCTCCGTCAGTAGCTCCGGCAGCGTTCGATTCTTTCTCCTAAGCCGCGGCCTTGACCACCAGCTCCAATGCCCCGGCAGCTGCAGTTTCTCGGTCGCTTTTGGTAAGTGGCTTTGCCCCCTACGCTCCGGCTGCGCCCATGGCGCAGTTCAATCCGAACGGTACGCTGGTCTCCGCCTTGGCGGCGGCGAGCATGGAGTACGCTCCATTCTACTTGTGCTACACGTACCGCTCGGCCACGGTTCTAGAGGCGATGAAGCTGGGCCTCCGGCCCGTCATGCCCTGCGTGATCGAGACATTTGTACTTTCATATCCCAGCCGGTAGTGGGCGGGTTTGCAGCACACGGAATCGAACCTGCAACAGCAGCAACGGCAACAGCCGCAAAAACAACGGCTTCGCCAGCAGTGACCGCTGCGGCCTCGACTTCCATGGCCCGCCATCCAGGTTCCGTCAGCCCACTGTCTGGAGGTCTTGCCGACGTGTGGCAGCCCGTTTAAGGCGACAATTCCGTTTTGGTTTGGTCACGGACCGCCGAAGAAGGTAGAGGATGAGAGGGAGCTGAGCAGCAGCGGGCTATGGTGAGCTGCCCATAGGGGGTGTTTTGCGGAGGATTTGTTCTTTTTGTTCGTCTTTTTTTAATAATTAAAAGTTGATTTATCCTGATCAACTGCGTGGGCTTGGGATCTTATGAGGTACTTTCTTTCTCTGTGGAGTAACAATACATAGTCGGCACAGTGTCAGAGCACAAGTGCTCCCTCGTGAGGTTGCATTGGAAGCTAATCAATCTCATCATCCATGAACTACCTAGATTACACGAAGCATCTCTTACTTCTATGTCGTTGCGAACTTTTTAATCTTGCCTATCTCACATGGTAAGTACTCGTGACGCGGTATGCCGCGGTTACGTGTCTCGGTTCACTATGTGTCACTCATGATAAACGAATAACGAGTGATGTTTTTTAAACGAAGCTGGTGGCCTCTACAGAAGCAATGTACTAGTTAACCAAAGTGAGAGAAACGAAGATGCGGAACACTTTCTTAAGAGGAGAACGATCGGACTAGCTCAGAGGGTAGCGGCGGTTGGAAGGGATTTTGAAAAGAGTAGATGTGCGTGGCGTATGGGTCGCCGGTTGATCGCTTTCCCCGGTGCACGCGTATGGGTTCGAGCTCAGCCGGAGAATGTGGGAGATGGCGATGCTAGACTGAGCCAGTGATCCGGAATATGGATAGGAAGCAGAATACAATGTAAGCCATTATACTCAATGTAGAAGGAATTTCTGATAAAGAAAATGAATCGTTGTTGAAGTTAATTTTGTCTATGTGGTGGCCACAGACAGGGCTGTAATGCATGCAATCACTCACCGGAATAGTACTTGAGCTCATATCGATGCTGGGGGCTCACCGCAATCTCCACGCCCATGCAGTCACTTTGTTGAACACTTCGCCGCTGTAGATTGTCTCCGCTGACATTGATGTTCCACCTCTGTATCTCTTGCCATCGCCGTCGTTGCCGAGTTAACCGGCTAGCTACCTGGGAGACCGGTTACCGCAGACAAACGTGACAGAATCTGCAACATCCAAAGCGTCTGGTTATGACAGGCAGTATAAGATAAGATTTATGCAGGGCCTCGCATGAGGAATGTAAAAAACCACTCCCATCTATACTCATGAGGTGAGTTTCGCAATGCGGTTCACTGTAATGGCGGTTTGACGACGTGCCGGCACCGAGTCTCGACTGCTTATCCGGCCTTAAATACGTCATGACTGCGACCCCACTGGTCACGTTTCGTCGGGAGTCAGCTTGACACCGCCGCAGGGTGGAAGATTTTCCATCCGGATGGAAATCCTTTTGGAAACCGTGGAAAGCCGTCGTCGACGTCGAGCAGCAAGCGCGGGGACATCGCAATCCACTCCTCTGGCCACCCAATGTGTCCCTGCGTGCACCATTCGGTCCCACTATCCTGACTCCTGACGTTGCAGTAGGATGGCCTAATGTTCTCGCTGCATCTGGGGAGACGCTCAGCATTGATGGTCAACAGAACATCGGTTTTTCTCCCTGAAAACATAATTCTGGCGCGTTGGCGTTATTCGGCAAAGAGCTACCAAAGGAAGCCTCGGTCATCTGTGGAGTTGCTGCGATGAACCATAGTAATATCGAGGATTTGCACACTCGGGTGTCCATTAGTCGTCAGAGCAACCGAGGGTTGCCGTGGATGTGCAGGGAGTTATGCTATGCAACCAGTCGTCGCCGCCATCGAGTGCTATGCCCAGATACCCTATAGGTAACTATAGTATTTGGAAACATCAGTTTGCCGTTTGGCGTCTTTTGTGGTGTGGAGGCTACCTGCAACCATGCGTTTCGCACTGGTAACTTCAGAATTTCGCCGGGCCCGCGAGTATTCCTGTAGCACTTAGTCCCCATAGTCCGCCAGGTAAGGATATACTCAAAGACGTCGATCAGTGAATGACTGACATGCAAAGATATGGCAGCGTTGCGGTAGAGCGCATAGGGATGCGAAGCACGGAGTGAATGCCGAAATCGAGGCGATCGCGGGTGTAGTTAATGGGAGGGTACTGCAGCGCGCCGTACCAGCGCGGTGATACGTAGAATAGCAGTCACGTAGGTATCGTTTTCGATTGCGTGCCCTGTAGGATATCCTTCCTCATATCTGCAACGCAATCCGCATGTAACTGAAGTCCTCTCCATCCCCGGCCCAACTCACCAGTCCTTCTCGTCTCAGGCGGTCGCGACAACACACTGGATGCTGTTTCCACCGCCATGACAGCGAGCTGACGAAAAGAGGCCGCATCGCGGATGGCGATGTGCTGCTTCAAAGACGACTCGGTACGCACCGCTTGACCTTCGTGATACGGCCGGCATTAATATCGCCGGAAGACTCCACGGAAACGACGACTGGCGGGAGCTGGTATTATGCTGCCGCGGCGTAGTGTCCCGGACTGCCGGTTGCAGCGAGCCAATACAGAGTGTGGGTGCAGTGGGGCTGCAGAAATGGGACTGTGTATCGTGGTGGTGGGGTTCTCGTTACTGTCATGGTCGTGAGTGGGGTGAAAGAGGGGCAGCCTCCAAATACTAGCTCGCTCGGTTCGGTTCAGGGTCTCGGCGAATACGATAGGGCAGGCTCGAGTATTAGGAAGTATGACGGAAGGGCATTGATCATGTACGGTGGAGACATATCATGCCGTCAGTTTATGCGGGCTATTCTCAATTAGGTTACAATTTTCGCATTCCAAGGCGCGAGAGAAACGTTGCGATGGAGGGATCGCAGCAATGGAGGAATCGTCATGTGACATCACTCGGCATCACCACCTGATGGAATAATTATCACCCCCGCGTCGGAATGAGGCGAAGACTTATGATCAACGATGAAACGAGTGTTTAATGAAGAAGAAAACACGTGAATTGGTGTTTCTTTGAAAATAAAAAGACAACAATCACTCTATGGGCAACTGTACAAAATAAATGAACATAACATTCTTGACCGGAGACACAACCTCGCCGGTAGCTCGAAACGCTTCTGCCATCTGGAAGTATCCAACCATACAAAAGGTGACGCCATACACATAAACATCCACACATCAGACATGGCCACACTGTCTTATAACGCAAATACCGTAATAGACCACCACCAAGCCTGACATCACCGACATCTTCCAGTGGCATCTTCTGCATACTTGCAGCCAGGTACAGCATCATAGCAAGAAACCAGAACCAATCATCACATAGTTAGTCTGCAAACAGAGCACCACTTCGACCGAAGGCCCCATTCCTGCACCAGCCGGCCTCCACCCAGGGATTCAACGACGCCCCATGACCCAAAGCCGCTTGCTAAGCGTCGTAACCGTTGGGTCGAAAGGGATTTCTCGGCGTGCCCGATATGAAATAGATTGTCGTCAACAAGACGCTTTTCGAGCGTTGTGTTTGAGTACCGGGTACCGCGAGCCCAGCTGCTGTATCGTTTCATTTGAAAGAGAAATAAGAAAGCCCGGGAAGTGCTTTTGGAACCGCGAAACGATCTCAGTCCGAGTCCTCGACTGAACCAACCCCGCAACGTTCCGCAGTTGCCTAGGCCGACGAGCAATTCTTCGTAACCTCGACATTGTAGAAACCATCCCACCTTGCGCGGCCTTTCGGTGACGCCGATCGAGGGACTTGCAAGCAATGTGCGGTGGTAGTTGCATCGACGGTGGAGATTCGTACCGCGGTGATTGCAACCGGGCCTACCCAAGTGGTATATTAGCGATATGAGCGTCAATCCAGGGATCACAATCATACTCATTCACGGATGGCGACAGATGGCAACGTGGTAGTGCACACAGGATTCTCGTGTCGAAAGGCTGCAGCTGCGTGAACTGTATGTGCCGCTTCACGAGAAAATAGTCCAACGACGGCATCGGAATCAACGTCGCAGCGAGAGGACGATCTGATAGATAAGCCAAGCACAGATCATACAGAGAGCGAAAACAGTCTGATAAAACATGATCCCAAATATTAACTGTGACTGCATGGTCGATAACGTCGTATGGATGAAGATAGATGATGATGATGGTGGTGTGCATACAAAGGATGGCCGGAGTGTGAAGTGCAGGACGCGTCATGAGAGAGTCAGCTGGTGGCCGTTGTTTATGAACGTTGGTGAGTGCATTGACCTCGGTTGAGCTAAGCCGTGTTGAGCGAGGGTTGCCCAAAGTCTACAACGTCAACTTCTGTTACCCGGTCGTCGGGAAGATCTTGCATAGCAGTGGTTGGTTCCACGGCGGTCAACCGTCCATCCGGATCACACTCCCCCAGGTAGTGGATTGTAGTCCCGTCCCGTCCCGGGTAGGCGTTTTAAAGGACTGATCCATTCCCTCCGGAAGATGAACTATCCTGAGAGAGAGTGCGAAATAGAGCCACACAGCCACACATCCGCACACTTTCGCCACCATGTGGTGCCACGCCACTAGCAGTGTCCTAGTGTCCCCGTCATTTCCGGGCCCTGTAGGGTATACGTGCTGAATTCGCCAGTTCGGAAGGCTGTAGTCCTTGTTTCCTTCAAACGAACTAATTCCGTCCCCTCTCAGGTCACCTCAAAGACGGACTGGACGGACGGTTGACCGCCCTGGATAGGAGGATGCGTAGGAAGATGGGAGGATTAGAAGGAATATGGGAGGATTGGTAGGAAGATAGAACTGTTTATGTTGCATTCTTATGCTTCTTCTCTGGGCTGGTTCCATTCTATGTATACAGAATATTTCTGCCATTGAGATATATACTTGCCGGCGAGACCAGAAAACTGAGTCCTGACCAGACAGCAGACTAGCCAGCAGAGATTATCTCCTCCTCCAGATATACTTCGCATGACCGAAAACATACAGCAGGACAAATCTCCTCCGCTGAATACAGTCCCTATGGCCGTTTGCTTGACTTCTTTAGGACTGTGAATATTGCTCCAGGACACTTCACTGTGAAGTTGCACTATAAGACAGTAATACTGGACATGAGGAGAGAACCTTCATGTGCTTTGGACGGCATAATATGACATAATCTTTGATCCTAATTTAGTTCTGGGGCGTGGGATGTTTTGGGGATGTTGTTCTGCTCTCCGGCGTAATATAGTAGAGTGGGGACAGTCCCAAGCACAGGGGTTCACTCACACCTTCCTCCATACACTGTTGAAATATTCAGGCACAGCAATCTGAGGTAGCTGTGCAAAAATTCCACTCGACTGTCCATCAGACCATTCTACGATTGATATCAGTTAACCACGTATTGCGGCACACTAATCAATCTCATTCACGAATTAACTACTTCAAACGAAGCATCTCGTACTTCTACGGCCTTTCGAACTTTCTATATTGCCCATCCCACCTGGTTAGTACTTGTTACCCTGTATGCCGAATTCGTGTCTCAATTCATTATTTGACACTCATGAGCAACGAATACCGAGTGATGTTTTTTTTTGCGAACCAGCTCTCCTTTACAGAAGCAATGTACAGGTAGAGTAATATTAGAGCTACGAAGATGCGGACGACTTCCTTTCGAGGACCACAAGGAGGCCTTTCACAGGGTAGCAACCGTGGGGTATGATCAGGAGGACTCGGGACAAGAATAAATATAACCTGTACAGCAAGAAAAAACATAACATTCTCACCCGGTGGTGAACCCTCGCCGGTATCCTGAAGCGCCTCAACAATCTGGTAGTATCCAGCCAAAACAAACCCGCCATACGCATAGTATGAAACAACACATGACACATAACCACACCTCCATCAATCTAGATCTCGTTCTAGAGCGACCACCCATTCTTACATCACCGACGCGTTCTAGTAGCAACCTCTGCATAACTCCTACTAGGTAAAAAATATAACAAAAACAAAAACCAATCATCCGATAGTTGCCTGCAAGCAGAGGACGACTTCGAACCAAGACCCCAAAGTCCGAACTTGCATCAGCTAGCTAGCTAGTGAACGTTTGGTTGGCGGCGATGTTGCTGTGTGCCCAGGACCAAATGCATTGTCACCAACGCGACGCTTTTCGAGCCAGGTGCTTGACTGCCGAAGACCGCCGCGGGCCCATCCGCTTGATCAAATTAGTTGGACGAGAGATGCAAAAGTAGGGGATGTACCGTTTGGATGGCGAATCGATCTCATTCCGAGTCCTCGAACGAAGCAACTCCGCAACGTTCCTCAGTTGCTTAGCCTGACGAGCAACTTATCGTCGCTTTGATATGGCAGATACCATTCCACCTTCCGCGCCCTTTCGGTGACGCTGATCGAGGGCCTTGCAAGTAATGTGCGGTAGTAGTTGCATCGATGGTGGAGATTCGTACCGCGGTGATCGCAACCGGCGCTGCCCAAGTGGTATATTAGCGATATGAGCGTCAATCCAGGGATCACAATCATACTCATTCACGGATGGCGACAGATGGCAACGTGGTAGTGCACACAGGATTCTCGTGTCGAAAGGCTGCACCTGCGTGAACTTGATGTGCTGCTTCACGAGAAAATAGTCTAACAACGACACCGTAGCCATAGGGAGATCGTATAGATATGGTGGACAACGATACAGACAGCGAATATGGCGATCCACGTCACAACCAAAACTAGTGAATCTTTCCGCATGGTCGATAACGTTGTATGGAGGAGGATAGATGGTGGTGTGCATACAAAGGATGGCCGGAGTGTGGGGTGCAGGACGTGCGATGTAAGACAGTAAGAGTCGGCTGGTAGCCGTTGTTGATGAAAGTTGGAGAGTGCATTGACCTCGGTTGAGCTAAGTCATGTTGAGCGAGGGTTGCCGAACGTCTACAACATCAACTTCTGTTACCGGGTCGTCGGGAAGATCATGCATAGCACTATGGTCTATTCTAATCATGGTAGAAGCGAGAGGCTCGTATTACCGCTCGCCGCATTTGGTGCGTTATAGGTGTTACTCTGGCACGGTATGACAGGCCTGGGAATAGTCCGTCCTGACGGAAGACTATTGAAGCCAGGCGGCGCCGTCCCGTCTGGGGCGAGAATTTGGCCAGACGAGTCGGGCTCCGTCCCAGGTTCAAAAAGCCCGGGGCCCGAGTGGGGTCCCGTGGGGCCCGGAAATCCATCCCTTCCCGCTTTTACTCGTGTTTAATGATTGTCATGATCTTTCAACCGCGTTTCTATGCAGGTGGGATACTAATTTTCCCTCAAGGTTCTGTAACCGAGTGGCCCCTCATGATGTCGCTTGGACTTCCGTCCCTCATCCTTTTTTTTGTTTTAATGAAGATTACCCGTATAGACATCTCGTCTCGTATTTATGAAACTCGCTCGATAATTAATATGATTCATTTGCCGGCGTTCACACACAGGGGAGATGATGGTTTTTTTTCTTGAGGCCGCTAAATACGGGTGATGTGTGATGATCGCGTGGCTTCCCTCCTCCGGCGCCTTCGTGGAATGTTTTTTGTTTTGATGAAACTCATTGTGTACATGTCTTGCCTTCTCGTTTTAACACTCATTTAATGACTGCTCTGTTTCTACGCAGGTTGCAAATTCGTTTCATCAGGCCGCTGCAGATGGGTGGTAGGTCAAGACGCTGCTTCATGTTCTGAACAAACAAAACTACATGTCTGTGAAATCTTCCCGGTTCGTGACAGATTGCTGCCTTAAGATGTGAGTTCACGTACGGTGTGCAGGTTTTTGATGCGCAGCGGGATTACCGAGTGACGCATCGTGGCATCACTGTTCACAACATTCTATGTTTTCCAAGGCTATTGCAGACCCTTGTACCCCGACATCTTGGCAAGCCTACATATCTTGAAGTTGCATCCCGCCACGCGATCTCAACAAGCAGCGGCACATCAACCACTTCAATTGAACTACACCCTCCTCACACAACAATCGCCATGAAGCTTTTACGCATGAACCGCCATCTAGTTTGGATATACCTTCTCTTCTTCGTTGTCGTCGCTCCTTACAAGACCAGCGGCACCGTCACCACCACCTCTACCAGCTTATCCACCGCCGTCTCGAAGTTCAAGTACAGCAATGGACGCTCATCCACCGCTCACCGCCCAACCGGAGTCAGCAAGTTCCGTTCCGTAACGAGGCGTAAGCCATCCGCCCCCATCGCCGGCATCATCGAACTGACACCCATTTTCCAGCCCAATCCACGCCCACCTCACACCCGCCTCGCCCTCCTTCCAGCAGCAGCAGCAGCCCACACCCCACATCGACACGCCGCCTCCTCGCCCCCTCCGCCCACCCCATGCCTGACCGCCATCCCCGACCGTCCACTCCTCCCACGGACGTAGCCACCGAGAACGATGACGCGGAAAAAGGCGACGGCATATGGCAGGGCCTCCACATCGTCAGCCTCGTTCACCTCCCCTTCAACCGCTGGATCCTTTCCGGTCCCGAAATGCTCGAGTTAATGTGTGCCATCGTCTCGGGCATGATGTGTGTTGCTGCCCTGGGAATGATGGTTGCTTGTCCCGTGAGTGGAAACATTGGGACGTGGGCGGTGTTTGCGTGGATGGAGATGTGGTTGGGTGGTTGATGGGGTCATGGGGTCATGAGTAGTTAGGACGCCGTGGAGGGGATCGACGGACGGACCCTGCAGGTGTAAGGATGGTATGAGGATGGAATTGGACGCAGACTTGAGATACATGTGATAGTAACTTCAAGAGGAATGATGAAGCGATCCGAGTTGATGAGGATGCGTGCGCACATGAGTAAAGGTGACTCAGCGGAGAGACCCGAGTCGAAAAATCGTAGATGAGGTTGTGATTGCGATCGTAGACATTGCACGTGGGTGACGTATTCGTAATTTAAGCTGATACCAACGCTGCTGTAAGTCAGAAGAGTTTCATATCAATGGTGCGGGAGCGTAAGTGAAAATGGTGGTAAGCCTCAGCAGAACGTGAAACGCAGTGCGCATTCGCACGCCGCCAAGCCGCGTGGGCCAGCACTCGGTTTTTCCATATGCTACCACGGCAAAAAACTCATCCACTGCTACGGTACGTAAAGGTGATGGAATCCAAGATTCGTAGCCACTAAAGCCATAGAGTCTAACAAGCAAGCATGTAGCCCGAGTCATGGATGGTAGCTCGACATCTTCACTCGTAGTCTACTCAACGCCGAAGTGCGCCATCTTCAATATTGCTTCATAACATGTCTGCCTGGAACATCGTTTGACGTAGGTCCAGTAGAATCTGTCTTCCGTAGCTATCGCTGTAAGAAGGTACACTATGCCACCAAGTCCCCTTTCATGTCACCGCTACGGCCAGCAATCGGCGGTCCGACGTAGCTGGAAAGTGCGCAAGATATGTGATGATCAATTGAACTTTGTATCCTAGATCATGCATCGTCGCCTCAGTGTCATGGTGGAGTTCTACTATGTGGTTGGCATTGGACAACTCAATGCCCACAGGTTGTCTCTGATTACATTGCCATCCCAACAGTACGGTTCCGGGGACTGTCGTTCACGTTTCCCGAGACGATTATACACGTAACACACCGCCTACAGGAAATCGCGGTATACGTAGTTCGGTGCTTAGAAACGTAGCAGTGGTAGACGAATCGCACACACGGCATGGGACGCGTCGCCTACCAAATACATAGATTTTCGTGAATTTACGCGTACATCACAGCATCACCAGTCCCTCACTACCTGCAAAACCATTTAGACACTGCGCCCAGCGGGAATCGAACGCGAGTGACTCTGCGTGAAACAATAAATAAGCAAGCCAAGAATACCGCAAGGCAAGTAGGGGAACGGTATTAATCTATTTTACAGTACCAACTCCTCGGAGACGAAAACATATAAGTTATCATGCGTGAAAATGGCCGGCAGCAGATCGGTTATGACCACACTGCACTCCAAGCATTGCCAGGGTTTCCCCTCCTCAGCGGCCTGAAGCGGGGTGTGGTAGACCGTGAACCTGCTTTAGAGCACTGTAGGGTGTTGCGCACCGTGCAACTGAGCACAATGCTATCGCTGGGTACTGTAGGTGCGTTCTTATCCAAGGTCGAGCGGTGTGCAGGGGGTTTTCCAAGGTCGAGCGCAGTGATTGCTACCAGGGCCCAGGCCCGGGGTCCCAAGAGAGGGTAGGAGCCGACGCAGCGCCCGAGGGTTGGTGGGAGTGGAGATGAGGCGTGCATGCGTGAACAATCAAAACAAAACAAACCGAGAGTCGGCGTGGGAGAGTAGATGTAGGTGCGCTCTTATGCAAGGTCGAGCGGTGTGCAGGTGGTTTCGAAGATCGAGCGCAGTGATGGCTGCAAGGGTCCACGCCCATGGCGCTGGGACAGGGTGGGGTCGATCCAGCGGTCGGGGGGGTCGGGGGTAAGGGGGGTCGGGCGTGCGTCCATGAACAACCAAAACAAACCAAACCGTGGGTAGGTATGGTGGACCTTCGGCCAAATGTTGAGCACTGCAGGGGGCGCGAGACAGTGTCGCGCAGCCGATTGCAGTGGCTGGGAGGTGTGGGTGCGTTATCACTCAAGATCGGGCGGCATGGCAGGGGTTTTCAAGGCCGAGCGCAGTGGCTACTGCCAGGATTCAGGCCCATCGTTCTGGGACAAGGTGGGGGTGGACACGAGAGGGTACGCATGTAGATGACAAAAAACAAGGAACTACACTGCGACGTGGGGTAGTTTGGCAGCAGCCCCACAGCTTCCCCCAACGGCGGAGTGCAGTGCCCCTGCAGCTGCGACTGCACACCTTGGGCTCGAACGGCCGGTAGCGATCAAGCAGGCATTCCTATATCGGTGCTTATCTAACTAGTGTTAAGAAGAAACCAGGGTTTTTGGCCGCTCGATCTGAGCAAGGATGATCGAGACCGTCGGGAGCCGAGCGTCTCAGAGGTATGGGTCGCCCAAGAATACCAGTGTACGCGGGCGGGAAGCAGACGAGATGCTGCCGGGCGGTGAAAGACATGGGCGCATGCACGAACACGTTTGTGTACGCGTTGTGTGTGTCAAGGGATACTCACAGCCGTGGTTCGGGGGCGCCCATCCCGCTGTCAGTTTGGATCCGCAGGTGCTACATGTGCGTGTTAAATCTGGAGATGCTGCATTGGCCTGTCAATTTCCCAAGGATGTGAGCGAGGTTGTCGGTTTCTCTACAGCTATTTGTGAAGCCTTGCCGTATGCTATTATGCATAGCACCCACTGGCGCTGCTGCGCCCGTGAGAGAGTGCCTTCAGAACATCTAAATGGAAAGCCGTGTGCGCACGTTTTGCAGGTCAGCTCGGGAGATGTAGTAGTGTAGACGTCGGTGTGAGAATGTTTTGCGAATACAGTCGCTGCTAGTGAACCACGATAAGCACATTTGGACGAAGGCACTTCGATCGCACACCTTCCACCGTGTGTGCGTGCGCCGATGGTCTCGACTCTCAAGCACCTTGGGGATACTTCGATCGAGCAGCTTTCGTCGCCGCAGCGGGTTGGTGTGCACCGCAAGACGTGCTCAGGCGGTGCACCCCGACCGTACCACCACAACTCTGTGCAAGAAACCGGTTTCGATCGCGTCCTCTGTGCTCGCCGACAAACGCTAAGGACGATACAAAACCCCCCTCCCCCCCCGCCCTTCTTCCCTTTCAGGCCTTCTCTCCTCATACTCACCAGTCTCAAACTTCCTCGCTCTCCACAATCAACTGCTTGCTCTCAACTCTCAACTCACAACTCCCAACTCTCGGATCTCGGATCTCAGCTCTCTTCAACCTCGCCTTCAGCCTTGAGCCTTGTGCCTTCTCTGGTCTCGCCTCTCTCCCCACACTAACCTTCTCCCTTTTCTGGTCTCTTCCTCCCCCACCCTTCTTCCACCCCCCACCCTCACAATGGTTTCTTTGGTTGCTGCTTCCCGCCTCCCCCTTCCTTTCGCTGCCTCTTCTGGCATGAAGAGGATTGCCATGCGCGCCCTTGTGGCCCATGGCAAGCTTCCCCGCTTGGGCGGGGAAACTTGCGTTAGGTCGGCCTCTTCCCCCCTTTTGCTTTGCGCCTCCTCTCTCCCCCTTCCCCTCATCGCCTCCGCCGGCATAAGGCGGATTGCGATGCGCGCCCATGTGGCGCGCGGAAAGCTTCCCCGCATCCGCGGGGAAACTTGCGTTGAAAAGTCTCTGGCTTCCCGCACTTCCGTCCGCCCCTTCCCTGCCTCCTCTCTCCCCCTGCCTCTCATCGCCTCCGCCGGTATAAGGCGGATTGCGATGCGCGCCCATGTGGCGCACGGAAAGCTTCCCCGCATCCGCGGGGAAACTTGCGTTGGAAAGTCTCCGGCTTCCCGCACTTCCGTCCGCCCCTTCCCTGCCTCCTCTCTCCCCCTGCCTCTCATCGCCTCCACTGGTATAAGGCGGATTGCGATGCGCGCCCTTGTGGCGCACGCAAAGCTTCCCCGCGGGAGCGGGGAAATTTGCGTTAGAACGCCTTCGGCTTCCCCCTTTTCCCCCTCTTTCACCTTCAACCGCGAGTCGCTGGTTTTCCCTAGTGGCTCGGTTTCTACGTCTGGCTTCACGGAGCCCGCCCCTGTCTCTTCCTTTGTTGCCTTCTGTCCGGCAGACTACGGTCTGTCTGATTTCTCGGACTCGGGCTCCGAGGCTTCTGTCTCTTCCTCCGCCCCCCACCCCACTGCAGGCTCCGATTTCCTGCACTGCTACACGTTGGCAGAGCTTGGTCTGTCGGATTGTGCTGCTTCGGTTGCCGGCTCGGATGACACTTGCGTTGTCGACGAGTCGGCCGAACCTCGTTTGCTGGCTGGCCTGGCTCAAGCTCGCGGCGACCTCGCTACGGAGTACCATGCTCTAAGCAAGAGCGCTACCGAGGCAGCCGGAGAGAACGACTCCCAGTTCTCTTTCGGCGAGTGGCAGACCGACGAGGTTGTGTTCATCAACCTCGAGTCGGTCGTGACAGGGAGGGGGGAGGACGGTTCTGCTGACGAGGCAGAATACGAGGAGCTCGACTGGGTAGCGATCTGCCGGTGGATCGAGGATGTCAGCGTGGAGACGGAGCCGCCAGTCTCGATCCATCTCGATGGACTGGACCTCGAGCTCGGATCCGACGACGACGATGCGGAGACCAACTGGATGCTGGAGGCAAACCGCCTCTACATGGAGCAACTGGACACCGAGGAGTCGGAGGATCCGGAAGCGGCGGAACCCCACCGCCAGGAGGACTCGGCCGAGGAAGGCCAAGTTGAGGTAAGGATTGAGATCGGTGACGACGAGGTGGAGGTGGTGCCTCTCAGGATGCTTCCGTCTGGTTGGGACGTGGACTTGTGGGATGTCTTCCACGGAATGGAAGGCCGGGCCCTGATAGAGGATGGTGAGTACCTCTGGAAGGTGATCCCGCGCGCCTGGCTTCCGCTCTGGAACCTTCACAGCCAGCTTCTCAACAGCCGGCAGATATGCCGGCAATGGGAGCCGACAAAGGATGATCCATGGTACTGGACTCCTTTCGACCGGTCCTTGCCGGCCGAATTCCAGTGAGTGGCAATATACCCCCTCGCCTCTCTTTGCCTTCTCTTTTGCTTTCTGTTTGCTTTCTGTTTTCCTTTCTACTTTTTCTTTCTGCTTTTATTCCTTTTCTTACCCTTACTGGTTTCCTGCCTTATTTATACCCTTCATACCCTGGCTGTGAACTTCAGTATTCCTATCAAAAAAAAACAATTTAAAAAAAAACCCTCGCGTTGCTTTTTCACGTTTTCGTCTTTTCCCTACTAGCTTACTGCCTGATACCCTTTATACCCTGCCAGTGAACTTCAGTATTCCTATCAAAAAGGAAAAATCCAAAAAAATCTCTCGTTGCTTTTCTCCCGCTTTCTATCTTTTCCTTATGGTTTCCTTAGCCTACACCCATATACCCATATACTCCGGGCTGAGCGATATCCATACTTCTACCTATCAACATATCATCTGTGGCGGTAGGTGATGTGTAGGGGGTTTTCTCCCTTTGCCAATGGGTGGGCAAAGGGTTTTCCTCCTAGCCATGCTTTCCCGGCATGGCCGAACCCAATATTGATGATCTGGCCTCCGTGCGAGACGGCAATATTGGTGGTCTTCCCTATTCTTAATGCAAATGGTGACATGTTCAATTATCGGCGGTTGCCTCTCACCTGAGGTCCGGGGTCACGCAACGTCGAAACTGGGCGTAGACGTGAGTGATGTTTTCGTTGCCTAAATATCGATGCTGATCTTATAATCATGTGCATACTGTATATTGAAGGGGGGGGGGGGGGGGGTAAAAAAATACGCTTTGTGACCGTACCGATACGGAAAAAAGCGTATAAATACGGTCAAAATACGTATTTTACCGTATCGATACGCTATTTTCCGCAATGGCACGCTCACAAAGCATATGTTTTACCCCCCCCCCCCCCCCCCCCCCCCTTCACTATACAGTAGTTACAATGTGTCGAAGGCAGTGATTTTAACCTCGGCATCGGAGCGGATCCTTTACTGATCTTTCATGGCTACATCCTGGCTGAGACACCTATTCGGAAGCAAATATGAAAGCCGACATACCTCGTCTGCTCACAAAGGTCATGTGTTTAAAGGCATAAGCACTTCCATTCCTCCTGTCGACGAGTCCTTGTGCAAAATACTAAGCGTAAATCCCGTACTCGCAAAAGCTCCTAGCGACGTTTCAAACCCCGGTTGAGTGTTGGCGATTCTCGTCTCGGTGGAAGATGACAACGGGGGAGGTTCAGTGGTCGCGCGGTGAGGATGGGGGTTTGTTGTTGTGCGTAACTGATGTCGACGCAGTTTTTTGAAACAATCGTCACCACACCTACCGGTGTTGGTCCGTCTACAGGTAGGAGTCGTGAGGATATGGTGGCGATGCAGGACCGAGGAGATAGTGATAGTATGGACCGATGGGAAGGAAAGGGCAAAGCTTCTCGAGACAAACATTAGCAATGCTATTCGTCTCTTGACAGTCAACGGTTCAGATAATTACTCTTGAGTCCGCCGAAGGAGAGCCGCAAGCAGCAGGAAGAAAACAGCAATTACCGAGCATACTTCGTGACTCGGCCAGAGGGCGGATATATTGTCGATGATGTGTGGTGTAGAGAAGCAGAACGGCGTGCCGCCGTAAATGCAAACACTCTTGCTGAATACCGCCAGATCGTCGGATAGCTTGGTCTTGAGAAAAATCGGAAGCGTGTGTATCGTTTGTGCGGAAGGGATTCGCTACAGCGGGAGAGATGCGGTGGTTGGCATGGGAGGCGATGCGGTGACGGCGATAGATGCGGTAGATGCTGTGATGGCAGTTCGCGACGAGTTCTCCGGGAGCGAAGTCTGGCTGATGTTGTTAGAATCTAGAGGTCAGTTGATGATGAGTAGTGACCACCTCAGAGCAGAGACGAACTTTTTCCGAAAGTGGCAATCAAGGCCTCCTGAAGACTGGGCCAGTAATCCCCAAGCATCGACTGCATTAGGAAAGCACGGCGGATGGGCCATCATCTCGAGATATATAATGCTGAGCTTTTAAGCTGAGGACGTCGATCGGTGGTGGCGGTGCGGCAACATTGCCGACGGTGTGATGACAGTATCGGGGTTGATGTTTTGCTGCTTTTGATGTCAAATGACAACTTGCAGGAATGGTAAGTTCAACATGTCTACAGCAAGAGAAGCACAGCATCGGGTGCTTGCACGGCGGCGGTGAGCAAACCTGGCTGCTAGTTTCATGCCACGAGGTCGTCCATTCAGGTCGACGTATCTCTCTTAGCATCCCCGGTAACAGTAGTCCGTCCCTGGTAGAGTACGTACCACGCATATGCAGGGTCTTGTTTATCAGCACACCTTCGTGCATGCTGCCTTCGGATATAACATCACGTCACGTGCGCCACGTGCGTCACAGCAGAAAGACATCGGCATATACCTAGAGAATCCAGCAGGCGACCGGGCTATGCGGAAGCACTACGTTCATATCAACTATTCTACAGTACCTACGATTCACTAATTGATTCTGAACCTAATGAATACCGCGGCGTCAAAGTCTGATATCGCTTATCGCTGACAATCACGCGATGTCACTCGTCGGTTGTGGAATTTTCCGTACACCGATGCGCAAGAAAAGTTCAAAGTTTGGCTTCCAGTCAGTGTGGTGAAACTATTGATTTAATCCGCGAGGGCAACGGTAGCTGCAAAAACCACAATTTCTTCGGTTCTCACTGCACGAGGATTGCTAGGTACAAGGGCGGTGATGTGGGCATGTGGGGCATGCCTTGGAACACTTATTGCCCCGATGTTGCCGATTACGTCTCAGAGCTCTTTCTTCTCTGTGCCGACTTTGAAAAGGGCAGGGCTGGGGGCACCTACCATCGGAGGAACAGGCAGGGAGTGATATTGTATTAACCTATCTGCGGCTAAGATATTGGCAATGCCTCATTATGGCGGATATTCCTAAGGACTTATGGCGATAAATATGGAATGGCGATTGCTTTAGAGGTGATTTGTCTTACAGCTCTTTGTATTATGATCATGATGAATAGAACGCATTAACAGCGTATGCTGGAAGAGATTTCAAACTTTTCATCATCATTTAGTGAATTTTGTCACCAAAGAGCATTGATCTGCGAACTCACATACCATTGAGAATCTCCGGTGCATAATTTTGAGAATCACATCAGTTCTCGTCATCATGAAGATGTGGCACAGCGCCGTGTCGTCCGGCAACAGTTGAGTGCGGTAAGCTAGCGAGACGTCAAGCCTCGACGCCCCTTGATTGATCATCATACTGCAATCAGTCATTTGGCTTAGCTTGCTAGTACTTGATAAGGGTTTTCCAGCGGTAACCTCGTGCTATTCTGTCTTGGCGACTGAACTAGCGTCCTCCTCCTGCCACACTAGTGACGATCTCCACTAGCGCCGAGATCATTGTAGACGAGTATTGTCGCTGCTCCTACTCTCCTCTCCTCCTACTCTCCTAATATTCTCGACACAGCTTCAAAGCCCTGCACATCCACAACTACACCTTCGGTATCCTCGCTCCACACATTTTTTCGACCCAGCTTTAAAACTCTCCACACCGACAACCACACCTTCCAAATACTCGCTCTACAACTTTGTCGACACAGATAAATCCCCACACACCTCCATCCTTCGTCACACATCGTTCGATACAACGTCGATACACATCCCGCGACACACTTCGATACCAAGTATCGCTCTACACGCAACATTTCTACCATACAACACTTTCAAGTTTCAGCGATGTCCTCAGCTCTCCATACTCCGACTCAAATCGCCTATTTTGGAAGCAACGGCAAGCAAGTTTGGTGGCACAACAAAATCGTGGATAATCACAGGAACATGGTAAGGGGATGGTTGAATGAAGCGATCCAATAACGGCGCCCAAGCGGACAAAATCATCCTATCACTTCTCGGGCAGCTCTCGAGGCGAATCGCGCATGAATTGACGCTTATCCATCCCGACGAGCGTCAATTCATGCGCAATTGGTTCATCAGCGAGCTGCAGAAGTACGTCGCAATGGAGGAGATAACCCGTTCTGGCTTGCCGCTGTACGCACCCGAGTGGACCGCCACGAGCATCGACCGACGTTCACCTATGTCCTCCATCCAGCAGTCTCCAGAAATGATCATCATTACTGGTGAACGTGGCAATTGAGGAGCACGCCGTTGCGTTCTCCTTACAGTTCGCATAGCAGTTATCTGCGGCGACGAATGACCCCGAGAGAACCGCCCGACTACTATGCCGGGGGTTCAAAGCATCGCTAGAGCATCTCGGCCCTGGGCACATCGCCCACATGTTAGATATTTCGAGACGTGGGTTGGAATGGGTGGAGGAAGTGGAGGATTGGCAGAGAGTGAATTTCGTTGATGTTGCTTTCACAAGAGGAAAATACTAATCGCTGCTACAGGACTCGACGTTCACCACCAAGGCGAACTCAATCTGTACAAGCCCTACCAAAGCACAGTCGGCGGACCTTTCCCTGAAACGTTTCCTTCGACTTCCAGCTACTTCCCCTGTCATCAAGACCCAGGAAACGATCATACAAAATCCCAGCCACATCAGCAGAGCTGTGGATTGCCCTCTACGGGCATGAAGGTGCAAGCGCCTTCGGTGGTCGTCCAAGGACTGGTCACCGATACCAGCCGTCGGGGCGGCGGACTCGCGGGGGTGTTCGTGCGCCCAAGCCAGAGACGCTGTTGGCGTCTCTGGTGCCATGAGGCGAGTCAGCTGGGGGTGGAAGGAGCAGCTCATTGGACGGTTCGAATTTTTTGGTTTTCTTTTTTCTGTCTTGTTTTTGTTTTCTCAGTCTTGTTTTTGTTTTTTATGTCTTGTTTTTGTTTTTTGTGTCTCGTTTTTCTTTGCGTTTCGAACTTCAGAGCAATCGAGCTATTTTCCAGCAGGTGCGCTCGCAAGTAGTGATTAGAGTCGATAAAATCGTTGATGTGAACTTAACCTGCTCTCACCGCTACCATACCGTGGATTTGAGTGAAAGCAAGGCTTCTACCATCGCCAACAGGCCTCACTGCCGCGATGATTTATGACGATCGCACGTGGAGGTAGTGGTGTGAGGCATCTTTACTCACTCGGTGTTCTTTGTGTAACTGTCGTTGATTTAAGGTTGTCACTAGCTTGCTTGCCTAGCGTCTCACATTGATCGTCACTCGGTTTTTTGACAGATTGCCCCTGTTTGTCTCGCTGGCATCTTCTAATGTAAACAAACTGTGTCTTGGGGCTATATATCTCGGCACCTATAGAAGTATTCTCTTTTCGCGATCAGGAGATAGCTCTCTATCTCTTACATCATAATCGTTGGAATACATTTCTAAGTTTATTCATCGGTATTTCCGACGACTCCACATACTCGGAACGAGTAACTGTATTCTTGCTCTAGAAAGTTCGTGCCTACCGTCTTTGATTACCTCGCGTCGCAAGTTTGCTCTTTCAGTCGATTTCTCTCGTGAAATACTGGGAATTCCTCATGCAGTCATCAGATCCTCAAATCGAGTGGTTATTGGTGTCGAGATGTCCAAGAAAACCAGTGATAAGCAGTGTCGGTAAGTCCGACAAAACGAGTGATCAGTAGTTTCGGCAGCTGTCAGCGGTGGATGCTGTCGTTGAACGCTATTACTGAATCCTTTCATGAATCGTCCAACATGGAGAGTAGTAGTCATTTTCTTCAATGTGAACAGGAATGCCCTGCACTTCACACTGCGTAGGTAGTCAATTTCGTACTCAAAGTTGTGTGCACGATATAGGTTTGTCGAATCTGTTATGACCGTCTACATGCACTAATGGCAAAACTTGATTTTCATCACTCATGAAAGTTGGCAATGTTACAAGAGATGTATCTACCAGCTGCGGTGATGACCCAGATAGAGCGATCGATAAAAAGTTCATTTATACCATCTACGAAGAGTTGAAAACGTCACGGAACAAGACGATCTTACCCGACATTATACGCGTCATGATGCAATCCGAGGCCATCGATAAATATCTCACAGATGTTCTACTCTATCACCACGCTACGATCCTTCTACTGCTTTATCATGCTACCCGCAAGACTTCCTTACCACCGACAACGGCTCGATGCCATCAGCAGAACCATCTGGATCCGAGGGGCCACATCGGACACGATCTCCACGACGGGATGTTTCGCGGAGAATAGTAATCTGCGAATGGTGTGAGTGCGCTCCGCCTTGGTTGCGGTCGCGAAGTTTTGATCGGTTCGTGCTCATTGCGCGATCGTTTCAAAAGCCGGTCATGCAGTGACTTTCAATTGCCCTCGTAAATATAGAGTCGAGAATCTGATCCGTTATCTAGAATATTGTCGAACACGCGTTAGCCCATCATTACGTGTTACAGCACCAAACACGCTCAAGAAAAAAAAGGGCATCTGGCCCAGCTGTGAATCACTGCAGTGAAAAGGCCGCTGTAGCAAACTCGCCACCGGTGCCGCCGCGAAGAACGTCTGGCTTGATATGCTCATCTTTTGAATCACACTGTTTCAATCGCTTCATCAGTTTCCCATCAGTATAATCGTCAGCGACATTCTGGTGACCATCTGGAAGAATAGAAGGGAGGTAGACTCACAAACTGTCTGTCCTTGCCACCCCATGGTCCGCTCGCCTTTTGAACGTGTACTCCACTGTCATCCGTGAAGTTCTCGTCGCTACGCATAGGCAATAACGCCGCGCCCATTCGACGATTCCGAATATCGTCTTCGACCTAATTGACACTTCTTGCAAAAGCATTAGCCAGAGTTTTGATAACGCCAGGGTCTCCTGCGATATCGCAGCGTTCTTAAACAGGGCCAGATGGTTCTGGGGGTGAGGGGTGTGCCCCGACCCTTGAAAATGTCAGGAGAAGTGGAATGCCGAGCATTGTAAGCGACATTTGTGACGATTATCTGGAGACGGCGCCGTCGGCCGTGAAGGTGATACGTTTGCGATGATTGCGATGGCTCTCACTGGTATCATGTATGTACCTTATGGGTAGGAATAAAGTTGTGCCATTATGCGGAGAAACGAGTTGATTCCAAGCTGATGGGCGCTGCTGTCGCATTCATCAACATCCCGCACATTTGGAGTCACAATACCGGGGCTATGGGCTTGCAGAACTGCAGACAGCACGGCAGACGGCGCACAGCAAGAACAGCGAGGCACAGCACGAACAGCTGGGTACAGTCGACAGTAGCACGTTGGTCAAAACAAAGCAAGAACAGCGGGGCACAGCACGGGGCACAGCACGAGCAACTGGGTACGGTCGACAGTAACACGTTGATCAATACAAAAAAAACATCCCTGGAGAGCGGTGGGCGAGTTCTTCGATGGCCAATGCAGCGACATGGACCTGGGGGGGGATGTCGCCGATCGCAGCGCTGACGGACAGGGTCTGTTCGATCTGACTGCTTCTCGACGCCCAGGCGAGGCGGTATGGGCTCGACCGTCTGCACAGCACACCCAAAACAAACTCCCGGCACCCCGCGATCTGGGACACACGCGAGAGGGTCCCTTCGATCGGACAGCTTCTGGACGGCCACGACAGGCGGACTGGCCTCGAGCGTCGACAGACCCCCAGCCAAAAGCCGTTCCACCCATGCACACCCACGCGACCGCGCACCGATCTAGAGCAATATTTTGGCCGCTCTCTCTATCTGACAGCTTATCAGCGGCCCAGGCAGGCGGAATCGGCCCGACCGTCGACACCCCCCCAGCAAAAAACCGGTTCCTGCCATGCACCCCCGCACGACCATGCACCGATCTAAGCAACAAACCGGGCCGCACCCTCGATCTGACAGGCTTTCAGCGGCAAGGCCAGGCAGAATTATTCCCGTTTCGTCCACTCCCGCAGAGAGGCCTACAGTCTGTGTTTTGGCCGACCACCACTTGGTTTTGGCCGACCAGAACTTGGCACACCACCCATCGAATGACCTCCCCCCACTCCCCCCGTCCTCCTTCTTCCTTCTTCCTTCCGCTTTCCCCCTCATTCAACTTCCTCCTCCTCTCAGCTGCGCCTTCAAATCCCACTTGTTCCAAACTCGAGATCACCTGGTGATCTGTTCTTCTCTCCTACACTTGCTCTCTCCTCTCCTCTGCTCTCTTCTCTTCTCCGGTTCTCTCTTCTCCTCTCCGCCCTCTCTCTTCTCCTGTCTCTTCACCTCTCCGCCCTCTCCGCACTCTTCACCTTTTCTCTCTTTTCTCTCTTTTCCCTCGTTGAGCAGATTGCCAATCCCAGCAATGTCTGCTCAATTGTTTGCGTTCGCTCTCCGCCGCTCTTTCTCCCGTCTTCCCCTCCGTCTCTCTCCCTCTCCCCGTCTTCTGGAAATTGCCCTGCGGGGCAAAATTGTTCACACGCCTGCCCGCAGGCGCAAGACTCCCGCGTCCCGGATCCCCATCCGGGACCGCTCGGTTTCTTCCTCCCCCTCCTCCTTCTCGTCCTCCGGTCTTCCCCTCCCCCTGACTCTCTCGTCGCGGATCCCCGTCCGGGACCGCTCGGTTTCTTCTTCCTCCTCCTCCTCTTCTTGTTCCTCCGGTCTCCCCCTTCCTCGCACTCCTTCTCCCCGCCTTCTCGGTATTGCCCTGCGGGGCAAACTCGTTCACATCCCTGCCCGCAGCGGCAACTCTCCCTCCTCCCGAACTGTTCGCAGTTCGGGTTGTTGCGTTAAGGGCCGGTCGCTTTCTGCGTCCTCCTCCGCCTCCACCACCGCCACCTCCGGTCTCCCTCATCCTCCCTCCCCCCGCCTTCTGGGGATTGCTCTGCGGGGCAAAACCGTTCACACGCCTACCCGCGGGCGCAAGACCTCCTCTTCCTCATCTTCGTCTGGTTCCTCTTCCCTCTCTGTTTCCCCCTCTTCTTTCCCCTCTTCTTCTCCCTTTTCTTCTCCCTCTTCTTCTTCCCTCCCTGTTTCCCTCTCTGTTTCCTCCTCTTCTTCCCCCTCTTCTTCCCCCTCTTTTTCTCCCTCTTCTTCTTCCCCTTCTACTCCCCCTTCTACTTCTTTGGCGAAGGTCAGCCCTCTTGCGGTGCGCCATGTGGTTTCGGCGGGAGCCACCTCAATCTTGCGTAAGTTTGGCATCACTCCGGTTCCCTTCTCATTGTTTGTTTTTGCTTGTCGTTTCCCTTACTCTTTGTCACACCAATCTTCTCCCTTGTTACACACTCCTCACCACCTTCCGTTGATACCCACTCCTGTCCTTACCTTTCCATCTCAACCTAAATGAGAAGCTATCCGCGGTTAGCTGCTCATTTTTTTTTTGCGTTTAATCGTGGTCTGCATTGAAAATTATACAATCCTTGAGAACATCACTGACACTTTTTTTGTCTTCTAGCCGTCAAGAATCCCGAGGACAACTCGACGACCTTGGGCTCAATCTCGTCGCACACCCCCTCCACCAACTCTGGTCTTCCTTCGGCAAGCCCGGCCGACCTCAGCGAGGAGCTCGAAATGCTCCTCAACGCGCACGTAAGCGGAGACCTCACCGAGGACGAGCTTTGCGACTGGCTTGACGACCTCAAGCTGAAGGTCGACAGAGTGGAGGAGGACCTCTCCTCCGTGCTGTCCTGCGTGGAGGAGGATGAAATTTGCCCCCTCGAGGCGATCCACGAGTACGCTGAGTCGTTCTCAAGCTCGGCCTCGAGCGAATTCGAGGAGTATCCCCTGGAGGAGTGCCTCGACTCCGACGACGCCGCATCTGTGGTCAGCTCGGCTTTTCCTGTGGAGGAAGCCCAGGCCGCGGCTGCGGCCGGATACCTGGAGACCGCCAGGGAACTCCTCGTCGCGAGGATTGAGCAGAACGCTTGGAGATGGGGAGAGGTCGCGCGATCGGTCTTCTCCCCGGCAGCCTGTTCCGGACAGCTGCCCAGGCACGACCTTGACTTCCGGTCGCACCAGCGCGACCGTCTCAACTTTAAGGTTGGTCCCAGCAGGAGCCGCTTTGACCTGCTGCCAGAGAAAGTCGACCCCGAAGGTCCTTCCTTCGACTTTGTCCGGCCCCAGCTGGACCCCGAGGAAATGCCCCTCCGCCAGGTGCTGGAGCAGATCTGGAAAGAGAAGGTCGGGTGGATGATGGGCGGAGGAGCAGGTTGGGCGGCCTTTCTCCCCATTGACCCGCTCTTCTAGAGGCTGGTGGGATGGTCGTGGCGGTCGGGGTGGTGGCAGTCGGGGTGGTGGAACAGGGCTGGGATGGGGCGGGTGGGTAGAGGATTGTGACCGGACTCGAGACGGATATCTGTCGGAAGACAGCAGCGGTTTCGAGAGTATCCACTCTTCTGCTGGTAAGTTACTTGATTCTTCTATTATGGCACACAAGTGATACTGACCGTTCTATACAGCTGACAGGATGAGTCGTCTCCGGACGCTCCACACTCAGAAGAGTGCACCAGTACAGAGAGCATCCGCTCTTATACTGGTAAGTTCTTTATTCTCCTCATCGGTTTTTGCATTTGTGCTAACGGACAATGGTAGGTGACGGATAAGGATGGGCAGCTTCATGGCGCCCCACAGTGCTATCCGGGTGTTTTTGCTTTCTGTTTTTTTTTTTTTTCTTCTTTGCGAGCGAGTTCAGTTTTGCGTTTTCCCTAGTTTCCTGGTTTCTGTTTCTTTATGTCCTTAACCTTACTGGTTTACTGCCTGATACCCTCTTATACCCTGGCAATGAACTTCAGTATTGATATCCAAAAAAGAAAATCAAAAAAAAACCCCCCGCGTTGCTTTTCGTCCCTTTCCCGTTTTCATCTTTTCCTTACTGGTTCGCTCGCCTGATACCCTCTTATACCCTGGCAATGAACTTCAGTATTGATATCCAAAAAAACCCTCGCGTTGCTTTACTGCTTCTCGCTCTGCTTTTTTCGTCGTTCACGTTTTTGAATTTTTAATTTGTTTGCTTCTTGTTTTCTGCTTTTGGATCATGTGCGGCCTAGAGCGAATGAATCATGTTGGTGGAAAATTTGGGTATTGTACGGAGAATGACATACGGAGAAAGATCAGGGCCGGATTGGTGGACGTTAGCCGGGGCGGAGGAAGATCAGGTCATGTGAGGGACTGTGTGAGGGTGTCAGAGGTTTTGGATCTGGAGCCAGAGGCATAGGTATTTCTTCAATCATTCTTCATTACGCGCAGTTGTTAGTCGTGCCAAGTCCTTCTGTATTTACCTAGATGACGCATATCTCCAACCTGTCACCGAAGTATTCGAATTCATAGATGAGCACCGTTGCTGCTTGCGTCAGCGGTAATGCTGTAGTGCGATCTACCATTATTTCAAGTATGTTTCAAGCAATCACCACATTGCTATTTACAATGTTTTGTTTCTCGGTCTGCCAGTCTGGATACTCATCTCTGTGGGTCTATCGATTGTAGCATCGAAGGATCATCTGCATTCAACTACAAGGAGGGTGATGAACCCGTTCCTGCGGGTGTCACCATCACCCTGAGGCTGCAACAGCTAAAAGACCCGCTCAGCGAGTAATCAATCACACGTAGACAATCACCATCATTATTATCATTCCACAACCCCCGGTGTTTGCAGCACCTGCAGCAGGAACGTCACTGCGCACCCCCGCCGTTTCCACCTAGTAAGATCCAGGTGTGTGTCCGCGCCCTGCACCCAACCGGGTCCTCAATACCCCCGCCATAGGTGGAGTGGAGAATCCCGTGGGCTGCTGTCGGGAATCAGGCATCGACTCCAACAGCTGCGGGGTTATTCAGTATCGCATACCACACATTTTTCGAGATCCGCGATGTGGGCAGATAGAGCGCGTGCCGGTGTTCCCATTCCGCGGTGTTGGGTAGGGGGGAATTGTGAGAGTCAATAATTCGGCTGCTTCACCCCCACCGCCGTTGGCCCGTAGGCCGTCCAAAACCGGGTGAGAGCTTCTCGGCATACCCAATAGTGGAGTGCTCGGATACCACCCCGCATAACCTGCAGGCATCAGGCGGGTCCAACATACCTTCAGTATTTCCGCTAACCGGACCTAGTAGAGCTTATCGTGTCCTCTTTAACTGCACCAGAATATTTGCCCGGAAAGCGCCATGCGTCCATGAAGGGACACCGGCCGAGCAGACGCTGATGTCAATGCATTGGACGCTACGTCGGCGGGTGATCTTGTACCCGCACAAACTGTGGCCTCTAAGAGCCGAGATACGACCCCGCGGCGTATATGCTCTGCCGACGGACCCAGTCGTAGCCGTTCGATACCAGTGGTGGAATGTGAGCGGTGGCTGAAGGGGCACGTCCAAGTGCGAAGTTGGAAAGATCGCAACGGGACGCTGAGGGCTACCGTGGAACGGCATGCAAATTTCGAGGAGTCGAGGTCCCGAGTGGCGTCAACAGTAAACGTACCAAGCCAGTGGTCAGGCTTTGTCATAGGCTTTACTTTCCGCGCAAGATAACAGTCCTTGAGTCAGGTCCCGCATCTAATGTGGTCATAGTCCCGACCCGTCAGGTCGTGTCAACGGTTGACTGGCCGGGAGCGGTGATTTCGCGTATGCGTTCCAAGGAAACGCTCGTAATAGATGGTGAGATGATAACGAGTGGAACAAACGATGGGATAATCCATTGCTGCCAGCAGAGCGGGGTGGTTGCTATGTAGAACAGGAGTTGTCAGTATGAATGCCAAGCGTTGCCGGAGTGGCTCTGCAGGCTGCAGCAGTGACTGCACAGCATTACCCGAGCGTCAAATTCCCAGGGAGGTTTTCCATCCAAAGCAGCCCTGTTCTTTCGGTTGAACGTACACTACTCTACATCACTGCGGGTATCCAGAGGGCCATTAAACCGCTTACCTGAACCCCGCCTCTGCTTGTTGGGACTCGAACCCACGGCTTGCCGAACAACGTTTTTACCTAAGGCCCACACTCACCAGCTTCAGCAGCCATCCGATGGTCTCATGAATACCTGACATCTGCAAATCCCACAGCGGCACAGAAGGTGGTAAAACGACCTTTGTTCGAGTCGAGTCAACGCCACTTTGTGAGGGCCCTTAGCCAGGCCGGATCTACTCACTGCATGGCCGAGTACACAGACAATCTCCAGCATGCGCTTCGTCTCAGTGAGAACTACCTTACTAATGTGCAAAGATGATCACGATACAGTACCACCAAGTCCTCCTAAACCCCTACAAGTCTACGGCCTACCACGTACCTCTGATCGGTATACCTCACGACCTCTCACTCGGTTTCTCACATACGTGAAAAATGCGTTAGCCAAATTGCAGTTCTCAATTGAAATCTAGCCAGTGGCACGGATACAGATTGCTGATATGGATGACTGTGACTGGTTCGTTCGCAGTCTTGGGAACATACTGTGGCTAAGAGCAATCCACCTTTTACCTATCCTGACCCCGCAGGTTTTTCTCCAATTTTTCCTCAAGGTGTCTTCACGCATCATGCCTTTACATATCACCGCCCTTAATGCGATAGCAGAAGCTACAGACGCGTCTTTCGAACTTTGAGATATTGATTGACAGAACTATCCACCAGCCGGCGCCGCTGTTCTACCAATACCAACAACAGGCCGACACAGACTCCGCTCAGGTACTCAAACAGCATCTGGCCAGAAAAGGTCTCGGCCTACGAGTAAAAGCAATACAACAAACACCTTCTGGAGCGGTGGTATTATTGAGAGGGATGATGGAGAGGAAGTGGCGGGGAAGGAAGCCGGAGAGGACGCTCGAGGGGAAGCAGGAGAGCAAGCCGGATGGCGGTTAAGCAAGAGAACGGGGGTGAGAACCTAGGTAACGATGACTTTTAGATTGCCTGCATGAGCGCTGTGTAAAGATTTGAGTATTGAGTCGATAGAAAAGTCGCCTTATTGTAATGTCCACGTATGTGCACATAAATTATGCCCGGCAGGCTGGTCTAATGTAAAAGCTTTCCCGGTCTGCCAAGAATCTATTCTGATTCGGCAGTCCGGTCAGATCGCATATCCAGTCGCTTGCCCCACGGGCCGGTCTATTTATGAAAATCCCATTTTGCCCGCCAGGCTAGAACATATACAAGGGTTTCCTTCTCCCTTTGACACTTGTGTGATCATCGATATAATTGGTATCTCTTCGCCGACGTTCGTACGCGGATTTTGTTTTTTGTTTATTCATTGATTGCGTGCGACCTATCTAGATCATGGCAATATCATCTACACGTGCCCCCGCGTGCACCCGCCCGTTTCCACGCCACTTTCCAGCCCAACTTTCGTCAGGCGGCCGATGTGGCTTCCCCTGCCCTCCGCCCCGGCCGTTCCCAAAGATATGTCTCCGCGTTCCTACGCGGAGGCGATAAATCTTCCATCGGGCCGCTGGAGCCGAGTGATTCAGCACGATGCGACCTGCATCTCTGTGAGTCCCTGTGACTTCCCCTCCGTCGGATCGTTTGTCTCACAGCTTCGGTTGCGAGAACTGTAACCTTATCGAGAACAGTGTGCGGAGTATGGTGGAATCACACGCCTACACCATGCGAGAGCATGCCCTTCAGTCCTCTTGCCGCCCCGTCCGGCGGCCTCAGGCATATCCAGCAAGCTTACAGTATATCTGCCGACCGGAGCTAGGGCCTATCGTTTTCTCTCCGACTGTATCCAGAATATTGGACGACGCCCCATGATCGGCCGAGCAAACGCTGGTACCGATCCATTCAGCGATGGGGATTACGGATCGTGTACGTGTATAAGTGTCTGCGATATCTGAGAACCGTCATACGACCCCGCGGATCTGTTCTGCCGAAGGATCCTGATTATCCCGTCGAGCTGTTCGATATCTAGCACTGTTAGAGAGTAACCGGCCACTGCAATGTAAGGGTAAGTTGTGTTGAATCAGAAAAAAGAACGGATCGCTGAGGTCTTACCGTGGAACCGTGTGGAGATGGGTTGAGGCCCTGCGTAACGTCATCAGCTAACGCACCAAGGCAGTGGAAAGGCTTTACTAGAGGCGTCACTCTCCCCGCATGAGTAGCTGTCTTGAAGCTGGCACCTACTGCACGCCCCAAGTAAGGACCGGCATATAATATGGTGATCGTCCGGACAATGCGTCAGGCTGTGCCAACGGTTGTCAGGAGCGGTGATATAGCCTATATGTAGCGTGTACGTTCCAAGAAGATGCTGGTGATAGATGGTGAGAAGATGATGGGCGGAAGAAACGATAGGATACTGCCTTGCTGGCGAACAGCGGGAAGTGGTTGCAGTGTGGAAGACGAGGTGTCCGTATGCATGCCAAGCGTTGTCGAAGTGCCCCTGCTGCAGTTGTTACACACTACGAATGAAGCGTGCATTCCCAAGGGGGCTCTCGGTCCCAGCTTGCCTTTCTTTCCGTTTCACGTATACTGCTCTGCATCACTGCGGTCCTCCCTAGACGGCCATCAATAACCGACTCTCTCACCACGAGTTCTGTACCTCACACTCCGGTTATCCTTTGTATGCACACCACCATTTATCTTCATCCATACGACTTTATCGACCATGCAAAAAGGGTTACTAGTTTTGGCTGTGACGTATATCGCTATTTTCGCTGTCGGTATCGGTGCTTCCCTTATCTTCCTGTGGCTGCGGGGTCGTCGTTCTACTATTTCCTCGTGAAGCGGCACCCACAGTACACGCAGCAGCAGCCTTTCGACACGAGAACCCTGTGTGCACTACCACGTTGCCCTCTGTCGCCATCCGTGAATGAGTACGATTGTGATCCCTGGATTGACGCTCGTATCGCTAACGTACCATTTGAACAGGACCGGTTATGATCTGTGCCATGCGGAGCTCCAGCGTCGATGCAACTACTATCTCACAGTACTTGCTAGGCCCTCGCACGGCGTCACAGAAAGCCCGCGGAAGGAGGAATGGTATCTGCCATGTCGAGGTTACGATGAATTGCTCGTCGGTCTAAGCCACTACGGAACGTTGCGAAGTTGGTTCAGTCGAGGACTCGGTACGAGGTCGATTCGCGGTTCAGAAGGCAGATCTCCGACTTCCTCATTTCTCTTTGAACTGAATCGATACAGCGGCTGGGCCCGCGGTCTCCGGCACTCAAACACATCGCTCGAAAAGCATCTCGTTCACGACAATCTATTTCATATCGGGCACACAGGGAAATCGCTTTCGATCGGACAGTTATGACGTTTGAGATGCCGGTTCAGGTCATGGCGCGTCGTTGAAACCGTGTGTTGTGGCCGCCTGTTGCAGGAATGGGGCCTTCGTTCGAAGTAGTGCTCTGTTTGTAGACTAACTATGAGATGATTGGTTTTGGTTTTTGGTTGTGATGCTGTACCTGGCTGGAAGTATGCAGAGGATGCCACTAGAAAGCGTCGGTGATGTGAGGCTTTGTGTTGGTCTGTTACGAAACTTGCGTTATAAGACAGCGTAGTCATGTCTGATGTGTGGATGTTTATGTGTATGGCGTCACCTTTTGTATGGTTGAATACTACCAGATTGGTGAAGCGTTTCGAGATACCGGCGAGCTTGTGGCGCCGGTCAAGAATGTCATGTTTATTAATGCTGTGCAATGGCGCACTGGTGATGGTTTATCTAAGTCTCCTGCTCGCAAAGAGATGTTCTCTCCAAGGCAAGGGCGAAGGGCTGGGGGCGGTTATGAGTTCGTGTAAACATACAAAGTTATTCGAAGGCGCTGTGGCTTAGTTGTAACGGGGTTCTTCATCTTAGACTGGCCTAGCTTCCCTCCTCCGGCACTTTCGGAGATTTATTTCGTTTTTCTTTTTAATGAAAGTCCCAGCATATAGGCCTCCTCTTCTCACTTTGACACTTTTTGGTCATTGATATGATCTGTATCTCTTCGCCGGCGTTCTTACGTGGCGGAGATCATTTTTCCATCGGGCGGCTATAGCCGAGTGATACGCTATGATGCTGTTTGGTCGTCTCTACAAAACCGCATTTCTGTTCGACGAACCAAGTCCGTTGGCAGTCTTACTGTCGGTATTGAACGCCCATGAGCCCGAAAGCGAGTCGTCTAATCAGCTCGGGACTCCGTGGTTGTGCCGAGTGCTGGAGGGGGTAGTTAACTGATACCGAGGATCTAGTGCCCGGAGAATGCCGGCGAAAGGAGGCCTCTTGTGCGAGCGGTGGATCGGGAATCCGATGGAGCATGTATATAGACAGGTTCCCGAGCCTGACGAGAAGCACAGCTTTCAAGCCGCAGTATACATCTACCTATCTCTAAATTTGACATTACCTACGCCTACTAATATACGGACGGATGCAGTTCAGTTGTCAGAGTTTGGTCGGTATCCGGCACGTTGCGGAGCGCTAGCCGATGGAATTCCTAACGAGAGCTTGATCACTTCACCAGCCATTCCTCAGAAAAAGTGTGTCTTCTCTATGCGACATTCACGCTCCCCGTATCCCATTCCCTTGCCCATTTAGTTTCCCTCCTCCTCCTCCTCATCCGCCCACTTACCGCCCTAGATTTCCACAACCACCTGCCCCACCGTCTTCGTCAACAAAAAGAACGGTCCCAACGGCTTCCCCTTCTCATCGCCCAAGCCCAACAGGGTCTTCCCATCCACACGCCGGAAATAGTCCATGATCGGCGTTTTATCGTAAACGATCGCTGCCGCGCTCTTCCCCCGGAAAGTGATCTCCCGCATCTGTGCTATGTTCGCCCGTGGGTACGTGTATACGACGGGACCGGACGTGGTGTTGCGTGTGCCGAGAAGCGGGTCCACGAAGGATTCGTTGAGCTGAGGGGTGAAGGGGTGGGTTAGTATGATGAGGGCGAAGGAGGAGAGGGGGAATGCACGAAGCGCTTTCCCCACCATCCGATCGTGTCGGGGAAGGCGGGGTTCGGAGTCAGGTCCAGGCCCTTGTAGGTGCCCCAGACGGTGCGCATCTCGGCGGGCGGGAGGGCATTGAAGATTTTGTGGAGCGTGGCGGGGTCGCTGTAGTTTCCGGCGGCGATCAGGTCCTTGAGTTGTTGCGCGGCGGGCGGTGGCTTCACGGCGCTGGTGAAAGAGGCGAGAAGGACTATGAGGGAGGTGATTGCGAGGGTGGGGAGGAACATTGCGGTAGTATTGATGGTGCTAAGAAAACATGAACTGTGGGAATAAAAGTCTTATATCTCAGCTATCTTTGAGGTTCACGGGAGTGGCACGGTGGCCGTTGCCGGGGATTGATCATTGCGTGCAAAACGATGCCTCGGCATCGTTTATCTGACCAATCTATACCCACGCATCAGCAATATATTCCCATAGACCGGTTGATTCGGCTAAGATGGAGGTAGCCGGAGGACGCAATTGAATGAAAGTGATACCAGCGTTTCGGTACCGAATCGGTTGACGTCAAGTCCTCTCGAAGGCAGCGGCGAGTCGGCGAGTCGGTGAGTCGGCGCGTCGGCGAAAGTGGTCTTTGTTCCTGGAGGGAGCAATGATGGTCACGGGCGATATCCGTGGTACGTATGATGCACGAGGTCCATTACTAGAAACGAAACCGAAGTCGCTGGCCCACCACTCAATGGCGTGGGGTCTGTGCCAAGCGTCCCCGGAACGGGAAAGCCGTCCAGCGGGGAAAATCAATTTTCCGGTAGCGACGCGAACCCCTGGCGCTTCGGGTAAACCGTAAACCAGACGCACAGGATTCAAACTAGAAGTCCAAGCTCAACACAGCCGTTTCGGAATGTCTAATTGCACTTCGACGATCTGGGTCGTCGGTCAGGAGACACAGTTTTCCCCATGCGAACAAGCTCGAAGACATCAAAGCGAGAGAGGGGGTAATTGCGAGCAGCCCTGTACAGAGTACATAATGCGCAGGTTGGTGAATCGTGATAACTTTATGCGGCTGGCGGGCTGCAGACGTTCGTTTGGCGAAATGAGTGACCAAAATTATGCATGAGTTCAGCCGGATGTGATGAAGCGTGTCACGTGTAGAGGTGCGCCACATCGACGCCACCGGCCAAAAAGGGCGGGAACAAGCGAGAGAGGTGTGGCGTGTGAGCGCCAGCCGCCACACCCGGATATGACCGCCCTGTGGTGAAGACAAAACAGAGGACGGCGCGCTCGATGGGAAAGAGATCATCGAGGACCGTTTACGCCAACATCTACCTACTCTAGAAGGATTCACTCTGGGGAAGCTTATCCCTTCACCTTCCATCCGGACACGGCTCCCCAGCTGTCCTGAGACCCTCAGCACTTTAATATTGAAGAGCTTGAAGTACTAGTACTTGGTTCCTATGAAGAATTTATCAGTATGATAGGTACCGGTACTCTCCGCTGAGAAAGGAGAACCTCTGAGCTGTCGCTAAGATGGTCTGTAGGGATCCGTGTGGTGAAATGGAGATCATCCCAGCCCTGCACGCGAGCCGACTAGTTACTCAACCTACTGCACCTTCACAGGCCCACGACCGTCCCAGCCAACCACCGCCACGGTCGCAAGTCACGATAATGTCCAGCTGTCTCACCACCCCCACCCTTCAATTCGCTGAGCGCGCTGAGACACCATGCAACACTTCGTTGGTCCGCATATAACAGCGCGTGGCCACCCACATCGTTGCTCCTCCCTTCTCTCTTCCGTATCTCGTCCACTCTTATTCTCTTCTTTTTTCTTCGTTTCCTTTACTTCACAATGGGTGGACTCGTCTCTTCGCTCAATGTCGCCCTCAAAACTCTTCGCGCGCTCAATGCGACCTACGCCGCCGTGATCTCGCGCATCAATGGTTCGCCCGGCAAGCCCGTGGCCCATCCTACCGCGAGCGCTTGGCAGCTACCACCGTCACTGCTAGCTGTCCACAAGTCCGAGACAACGCCGGAGGAAGTCGACGTCCTGATCATGTATGCCAAGTCGCGATGCGAGCCGTCAGGGGAGGGGGGGACCAAATAGCGCTGACCGAAAAACAGTGGATCCGGCATTACCGCGTGTTCGATCGCTTACCATCTCCTGCACTCGGCCGGTAGCACGGCGGCGAAGCCCCGTGTCGCGATCCTCGAGGCGCGTGAATTGTGCTCTGGCGGCACCGGCAGGAACGGTGGCCACATCAAGGAAACTCCCTATCTGGAATGGAGCACTTTGGTGAAGAGATTCGGACGTGTTGCGGCGGACGAGGTGGTACGGTTTCGCATGGGACATCTTCAGCAGATTCTGGGTGTGGCAGATAAAGAGGGGCTCCGGGAATCCTCCGACGCCCGAGAGGTTGAGTCTGTCGATGTTTATTGCGAGTCGAAGAGCTGGCGTGAGGCGAAGGAGAAACTGCGGGCTTGGTTGGAGGCGTTTCCCGACGAGAAAGGGAAATGGAGGGTCTGGGAAGGGGATGAGGTCAAGACGGTAAGTTTTTGATCCTATATGTACGGCTTTGTTTTTTTGGCCGTCGATCTAACTGTTGCAGAAATTCTCTCTTCCCACTGCCGCCGGCATCATTACCGGGCCTGCCGCTGCACTGTCACCCTACCAATTAATAACCCATCTCTACGCCAAATTGCTCGCCGAGTTCCCGACTCTGAGTATCCACTGCAACACCCCCGTGGAGACGGTTCAAGGCACGCCTGTCGATCCCTTCCGTCGACCCATCAGCCCGGTGCAACCGTTCAGCTGCTTTACTTTCCAGGGTAAGAGTCAAGTCATGCGTGCCACACACATCATCCACGCGAATAATGGCTATGTTTCTCGTCTCCTTCCTGGATTCAAAGGAAAGATTGTTCCGGCCCGTGGCCAGATGACGTCACAGCGTCTCAACAACAACGTCTCCCTCCCTGGTGGATCGAACAGATCATGGAGTTTCATGTGGGATAAAGGTTAGTAAACCACCTCATGTTTGTGCTGAAAGGACACTAGCTAACTAGGCTATTTAGGAATGGATTACATGACGGTAACTCCTGATGGAAGATACATGTTGGGCGGTGGCTGGGCCAAAGGTCCCAACGACGGTATGGACGCCTTGGGGAATTGTCGCGACAACGAGAACTCGGTCATGGAAACCGCATACCTTGGTGGTCTTCTTCCCGCCATCTTCCCCGGGCTTGTCACCGGCGTTCAAATCGAAGCTGCTTGGACTGGTATCCTCGGCTTCTCCGTCGACTCGGTGCCCTGGGTCGGCGAGGTACCCGAGAAGGTTGCCGGTGGACGGAGAAGAGGCACTGGGAAAGAGTGGGTGTGCGCTGGATATTCCGGTGAGGGTATGGTCAACGCGTGGGGCTGTGGCAGTGCACTCGCTACTATGCTCAGGAACGAGATGTACGGCGAGAGGGCGGTCGTTGGAGTTCCTAGTGTCATGCTGGTGACCGAGAAACGAGTCAAGAAGGCGACAATAGAAATGCTCGTCGAAGACTACATGTAGTGTTGGATGATGGGCGGTGATTGGTCGTGTTGTTCGCATCTTTTCTCGGAGTCTGGGATTTTTGCGATATCGGAGTCGGTGTTGGGATTGTTTTCATTCTGTTGCACGCGAACGACTGGTCGGTCGGTGGGACCTTGCTATAGACGATTTCTACACATGCAATTCAATATAACTGGCAATTACATTATAAACCAAAGGAATCCGGGTTATTCTTTATGCCCAAATCTAGGCACTTGTTGTTTCGTCATCGTAGCATTCGACATTTGCAGATCATGGCTGTGTACACGTCCGGTTCCACCCCACTGTCTCCGACCGCTGGCCGCGAGCCCGATGTGGCTTCCCTATTTCCCTCCACCAGGCAATCTAGGCGCTTCGTAATTAGGCGGAACGCACCCGACTGATACAAAAGACAACCGAGTGATGCAAACAACCGAATCAGGTACGGGGGTTCTTAGACACCGATACGACGTAAACGTTTGAGGGACCAACTCGGAATAGTGAGCCCTTTCTGCTTGCCCTCAACCACTTCAAGACAGTCCCCCACAATCCTATCCGCCCGCACGCCCGAACTACACCTGCACATTCTCCTTCACCTGCACATTCTCCTTCACCTGCACATTTCTCTTTCACCTCCACATTCTCCTTCACCTGCACATTCTCCTTCACCTCCACATTCACCTTCAACTCCACCTCCAAGCACATCCCCCTCATCTACTACCACCGCGAACATACCACCTTTCACGATGCAGTTCCTCAACTTTCTCCTAGCTTTTCCGGTCGTCCTACTCCAGCTTGCCGGAGTCGCCCACGCCGCTCCCCGTGGTGCCCCCAACACGACCACCCTTCCCGGTGTGATCGTCCATAACACCAACGGCTTCGAATGGCTCTCCCTGCCTTCCTCTGCCAATTTCTCCCTTCCTGCTTTAAACCTCACGAATCTTCTTGAGCTCTCCTTCGCCGGCCTTCCGCTCCCCGATCTCCCCTCCGGCATTCCCGCCCCCAGCCGCCTCTCCAACCAGATCGTCGTCCATGCAGCCGTCAACACGCTCCACTGCGAGACCTCGGACGCCCCACCGTACCGCATGTACTCCGAAAAGATTCTTGAGGCGCTAAAGAAGATGTCGAATAAGTGGTGCTGCATCGACAAGGCGGCGAACGGCGGCGACCCGTGCATCAGGATGCTCAGCGCAGGATTCCCCAAGCCCGGTGCTGCCGCTACCGATATCTGCAACTACTCCCACCTCAACCATATCTGCATGACTTGTGGTACTGCCGCGCAGGCCATTGAGATGATCCTCGATGGGTGTACCAAGGGCGAGATCGTGAACTGGAAACAAGCGGGTGGTTAACTCAAGTAGGTTTATTCTTCTCTCTAAGTTTCCCTCCGCCAAAACGGTTTTTTCTCTTTTTTTTCTCTCGTTTCATCATCGTAGCATTCGACCTTATCAGATCATGGCTGTATTCGGTCTCCGCCAAAACTTCAACTGTACTAACGATTGGTGCTGCACAGGTTCGTCGATGCTCAGGTCAATCTTTACACTAGGTATAAGTGGAACTAGGCGCGACTGATATGATGTGTAACCGGGGAAGCGATGGAAGCATTAGGATCGGGTGAATGGTATAGGATAATGGAGAAACTGTGGTCATTTCGAAGTTCTGATTTTTCTAGCTTCTAATTGATCGTTTACTGCTGCGTACACTCTGATTCCCTTCAGACCATCATCAATACTGACTCGTACCTTTTCCCTATAGCACATTCTAGTCACTGTGAGTTGAGAGAGAGACACCATCAATTCATTGTCGCATGCGGCCTTACTAGACCATAATGACCACCAACATCCCAACCTTTCCTTTCCGCCAGCTCCGCGGGGTTGTGAGAAAGCTCTACCACCACGGCCTGGTGCTGCACCGCTGCCTACCAACCAATTGTAAAAAGGGAAAACCCATGCTTGCACTCATTATCTACATCCTCCGCGTCAACCATTCTTCATGCCCAAATTTAGGCCCTCCGTGGCGAGGCGGAACACACCCGACTAACGCAAAAAAAAACCGAGTGATGAAAACAACCGAATCAGTACGGAGCTTCTTAGACACTGATACGACGTAAACGTTTCTAGGAACCAACTCAGAATAGTGATCCCTTGCTGCTTGCCCTCAACTATTCACAACAGTCATCCACTATCCTACATCCGCGCTTACCCTCCACCTCCATCTCTACCTCCACCTCCATCTCTACCTCCACCTCCATCTCTACCTCCACCTCCATCTCTACCTCCACCTCCATCTCTACCTCCATCTCCACCTACATCTCCAACACCTCCTATCTACTACCACCGCAAACATACCACCTTTCACGATGCAGTTCCTCAACTTTCTCCTACCTCTACCGGTCGTCCTTCTCCAGCTTGCCGGAGTCGCCCACGCCGCTCCCCGTGGCTCCAACACGACCATCCTTCCCGGCGCGGTCGTCCACAAGAGCAACGGCTTCGAATGGCTCTCCCTGCCTTCCTCCGCCGATCTCTCCCACCCTGCCTTGAACCTCAGCAGCCTTCTCGAGCTCTCCGCCGCCGGCCGGCCGCTGCCCTCGCTGCCCTCCGGCATTCCCGCCCCCAGCCGCCTCTCCGACCTGATCGGCGTCCACGCAGACGCTGCCACCACCATCCACTGCGAGACCTCGGACGCCTCGCCGTACCGCATGTACTCCGAGAAGATGCTCAAGACGATGAAGCAGTTGCAGCATCAGTGGTGCTGCGTCGACAAGCCTAAGGACGGCACGTGCCGGATGATGCTCATGTCGGGATACCCCAAGCCCGGTGCTGCCGCTACCGATATCTGCAACTACACTCCGCACAACCATATCTGCTTGAACTGTGGTGCCGCCGCGTGGGCCATCGAGGTTATCATCGACAAGTGTACCGAGGGCGTGGCTCTTAATAGACAGGCGGGTGGTTATGTCAAGTCGGTTTATTCTTCTCTCCAAGTTTCCCGTCGCCAAAAACGTCAACTGTGTGTACTGACGATTGGTGATGCACAGGTTCAACGATGTTGTGGTCAATCTTTACACTAAGTGGGCCTAGGCTTGACGGATGTGATGTGTGAACCGGGGAAGGGTTGACAGCATTGAGATCGAATCGGGTAAATAAGATGGTGGAAAAACTGCTGGAAAAATTTGTGTCATTTGGAAGTTCTGATTTTCCGAGCTTCTAATAGATGGTTGAATGCTGCTGCGTGAACAATGAACGCTGATTCTCGTCAGCCCACATCGATAGTGACTCGCACCTTTACTTTACGCCGTAGCCCTCCCCACTAGTCACGGTGGATTGATTATTGCCGGTAAACTAGAGATGGGCTTGACTTCCTTCCTTCCTTCCTTCCTTCCTTCCTTCCTTCCTTCCTTCCCTCCTCAGTGGAGCATTCCAGATTTAGGGATTGTCCACGAGATCATCCCGCCTGCCTCCATCCCGCCTGCCTCCATCCCGTCTGAACCGGATAACCGCCCTGTGGAGTTCACTGGGTGAAAATCACCGTGAACCAGACATGTCAAATCATCTAGAAGGAGCCAGGGCCCGACTGTACGGCCGTTCCCCTTCGCGTTGCCGGTAGGTAAGATCATATGTATGTTGAACTGAGCAATGCCGAGTTGTCACGGTTCATGTGCAATCACTCGTAGATGATTAGAGTAGATAAGATAAGATAGATAAGATCCCATCCCCGATCACTCGACGCACGCCACCGCTCGTCATCGGAATCACGGGCAGTGCGGTGTTATGTACGTGTATAGCCAGCAGACGACGCTGCGAATCAAAGACAATCTTCTCATTCATATTTTTTTCCTGGGGCTGTGAATACCACGACCCAAGTACGTACACAGATTCGCAGCTGAAGAGTCATGCTCGCGCATCGTCAATGCCTTTGTTCGTCAGGCTTGCCTCATGATCGAAACCCAGAATACCTCCTACCCGTCTGGCAAAACGCCAGAAGCGACGCCCTGAAGACGTCAGAAGTACAGACTAGGCCATCAGAGTGACGGTGCGAGTGGTGTTGTGTTTCATCATCTGCCTCCGACTCCCGAGTCCGGAGTCGAGGGTGCGTAAATATGAGGTAAGACTGATGCATTGGTGTGTGCCGTAACGTATTCTGTGGCGAGTGCTGTACCTAGCGAGTGCTCTGACTTAGTAGGGAAGAAAAAACGTAATAAATGTTATACACGAAACGATCGAAATGGTGAAAGCAGCTGGAATTTGTAAAGATGTGTATTTTACTCCATCTGTACTTTATGGTCCGCATAAAGTATGTGCGTGCTTGAGATTCTCCTCCTCTTCCTCCTCCGCTTCCTCTAGTTCTTTCTCTTCCTCGTCATCGCCTCTATGGTCATTCTCGGCCCAGCTCGCCGGTAGCGTGAGGGCAAGTTCAGGGCGAATGCAGTATTAAATCTATGGTAGCGAAAGGGTAATTTCAGGGCGCAGTGCTGGAGACGGTATCCACGGCAGGTCGAGCAAGGTAAGGAGGAGTAGTAGTAGCAGGAGACGTTTTTCCAAGTGGCCGAGCAGGGCGGGTAACAGTAGCAGGACAGCGTAACCGGTCCGATAAGCAGTTGGGGGACACGGTCGACCAGCACCGTACGGTGGAGGGAGTTACCGTCAGAGGCATGTGGACCGCGTCAGACCACCGGTGGTCTCGGTCGTCATCCCTTTGTTTTCCTAATGTGTTATGTGACGTCAGCATGGCGCCGTCCAGAGTTTGACATATATGTAACTATCCAAGCGTGGCGAGAACCATATTCGCCCCTCACCCACCACATCCAACCATCCAGTCGAAGTGAGAACCCTATTCGTCTCTCACCTATCACGCCATAGCAATGCCGAAAGGTGTCCCGAACCAACTGTGCAGGTTCTGTTCGGAAATTTGTAACGATACAAGGGCACATCAATCACATTAAAAATAAACATCTAGAATTAGAGGTAGAAGACATCGCTAGGAGAAAGTGAACAGCCGAGGAGGAGCAGGCCAAAAGTCGCCCCACGGAGCGCGCACGCTGTTCCTCGCGTACCGTCCTCCCGAAGAGCGGTTCTATCCACGAAGCCAAAGCCAAAGCCCGTCACCAACGCCAACCACGATGATATTCAACCCGAAAAGAAACCCGCAAACGAGTTGGGAAAAGCTCCCATCAGGCGTACGCACCCAGATGCCGGCCTTCCCTGCGCATACGTCCCCCTACCAGATGAAGGTATTTCGGCGAACTCCGATCCGCACAACCCATTTGCTGACAAAGATTTGTCGGAGCAGGTCCAGAGTGAGGAAGAGTTTTGGGAGCGGATGAGTCGAGGGCGTGGAAGAGTCGAGGGAGCAGGTCAAGGGCACGTAAAAGGTGCGGGAGTAGGTCGAGGGCGCGGAAATGTTAAGGGAGCAAGCCGTGGGCGCTGAAGAGTTGAGGGAGTCGGCGGTGTGTATGATCAGGGCGGATATTGCTATGATCTAGACAGGTCACATTTAATTAATGATTAAAAAAACAAACGCCCTCCTGATACCAAATCTGACTCGGACGCTTAAAGTCTGGCGCCTAGGGGTTTTTGCGTGCGAATAGAGACTGTGCAGACAAATTACGCACCTGATATCAGAGGTGTTTTGCCAAATGGCGTTCGAACGGAAGATGCATAGGCAATCTGCGGATAATCTGGAGAGGGAGAGGTATGATCAATGGTGCAAAGGTGATGAGGCTGTAGGGGGCGACTCGTGGGTGATAGACAATGTATAGGCTAGAGGGTGCGACGGCCGAGCAAACGAGATGCTGAAATCGTGTGCATCTATGTGCAATGTAAGTTTGGTTTAGAGTTCTTCTATGGAGTGACTGGGCATACAGCGGGTAGATGTACCTAGTGGGGTGGGAGAGGACGGCGGTCAGAGGAGATCGTCGAGTTTGTAGATGTGCTGTAGCCGTCTTGTAGACGAGTAACAGTTGTCTCTTCATGGCCACCGTAGACAGGGGGAAGGTGATACGTTGCGGAGTCTGATCATACCGGCACTGTCAGTATCGAGTTGAAGGCTGGATGAAATGTGCAAGGAGCATGGCTATTGTTATGGTCAGAGTGGCGATCTTCCGAGTAATCCGATGGGATCGACTGGAAGCTGTGTCAGCACCAATGGATCCCGTGCCGAACGTAATTAGCTGTTGGAGGCGGAGCTGCCGGCTACCCGAACGGGGGGTTGTTCATCATCATTTACCACTCGCTGACAACGCAATCCCATCTCCCAATGCAGTAAGTCACTGCCCTGGTCAGCCTATTCATTTCAATTCGACTCCCTGCCCACAGAAACCTCAATCGCTTCGATCGAGCACCCCCTCACTGGCAGCGTTCTCGTCAAACGCCTGTTTGTGCTTTCACACCCAAACGTCCTCAATGTCAATACCCAGCGTTCCGATTGGATGACTTGTTGAAGACGCACCGTTACCTTCCTCCCGTCACTTCCACCACTCAATGTGGGAGGCTGAGATAGTCAGCTCACTCTTCTAATAATTGTCGTCATTCGTGCAGAGATCTCTTGAGACCAAATCCGGCGGTGTCCGCTCCCTCTCCTCCCTTTTCCATCACTACTAGCAAGCAGAAAAGTCTAATTTGTTCGTATAACAGAAGATGGCGACCATCAGACACGAAGACCCCACCGTCGGCGTCCAATCGCAGCTGCGTCCTGAATCTCCGTTTCCGTATGTTGGTTTGCCGGCGAGTTGGCGGTGTTGTGTACTGCGCGGGGACCGATGGACATCCGAGAAGTGCTTGCTTCATCAGGCCATATCGAGTGTCTAGGACTTTCTTCGGTGAAGGTTTCAGAATCATGGACGTGAAATCCTCTGGGCGACTTACTTCCGCTACCATGATAGGCCGAACACATGATCGAAGCACGGCCCGTTCTTCCTTCCTAACAGAAAACGATCCGTAAAAGGAAAACAACGGCGAAAATGCCAAGAACACCACTCCTGGTTACATCCGATGTTGGAAGCAATTGGACCGGGCCAGAACTAGAGGGTCAGCTCAACTTCACTTGCTTCGCTGTCTCCTCCGGTAATGCCTGTCGCTCTATGGATGGCGACCCGATGATTCTCGCTGTCACAGCTGAAATTCAGAACAATCCCGTGGGCAGTATCTAAGAATCCGACTCAATGGGCTCATTTCAGCGATCGAGATTCTCTCGAGAAGACAATCGCCCAAATTGCACGCCTATTTTCCGCGCGAGTCGCCATGTGCAGCCCGCTTAGTCCTAACTCTATGATTGGTTGTCGATGGCCGACAGCTCGCTAGACTGTCAGCCTGCTTATGCACATCCCGCTTATGGAAAGTCTTGCTATTGTTCGTTTTAACCGCGGCTGGGAAGCGCATATCGCGTAAGACGGACGCCACCAATATTCCAACATGAACGGCACTATCAAGTGACAACAATCATAAGCTCGCCACAGTCCAAGCCCGCCTGACCGCAGCTATATCGCCCACAGTACTGGGTTTGCTTTGATTTGGCGGCTGGTGGTACATGGAGGTTGGCCACGCGTAGAGGCCATGATCACCTCGAACACCACGAGAGAAACGTCGTTTGAAGCTTCGTCTGGATAGAGGAAAATTGTTATTAAAGGACGAGCCCGTCCTCCGAGTTTCTAAATCTTCATCCGGCCAGCAATCCGCCTCCAAGACTAATGTAAACCACACGCAACACCTTCCTTGCTATCCTACCTTAGTCAATATGCAGCATTCCATCCAAATCGTCGCCAGTGCTGCTTCCGAGGAGGCCAACACTCCGGTTAACAACTCGAACAGTTACCTCTCCTCCGTCGCTCCGTCAATGGTCCCGATTAATAGTAGCTGACAACCGATAATAGACTGGATGTGCGTCATCTGCTAGATGCTCGCTGGATCCCTAGTGCGCCGGATCAGATTCCATCTCCGACTTACCTTCTCGACAATCATTCTGCATCACCACCGCTTTTCTTTTCGGGTTTCCAACAACTTTCTCGGGGTAGTGGGGAAGAAGGTTGTGTCTTTGGTTATTCGATCAAGTGGCTGGGATGTACCAATCTGAGGGTTTTATATGTTGGAGAGCTATGTAATTCGGAATAACGTGCTTTGCTTTTCTTCATGTCTCGGTTATGTGTTGTCAGCAATAATAATATTATAACCACTTGATCTTTTCGATCTTCACCGAGCGTGTAGCGTGCAGGCCTCAGAGTCGTCCGTCCAGTCCGTCCTGGGCTCTGCCACGGACGGGACCGAATTTTTCGGGCCCGGAATATCAAGGACTGTAGGGCTTCGGTCAAGCCAGAGGAAGACGCAAGCCCCATTGGGGCCCGAACGTTTTGCCGGTAGTGGTACTAGTCAGGAGCACTGGTGCAGTGGCACAGTAGCTTTTTCGGCAATGCCTATCCAAGCCGGAGGCGGGATCGAAAGGAGACCACACGCCGCACACAGAAGAAAGAGGAGATGTGAAGGGTGATCATGATTCATGTATTCGGTAGATGATGAGCGAGAGAGAGAAAGGAGCAGATGATAGCAGACGAGAGCCGGGAGCAGACGACTATGGGTAGGTATGCGATCGGATGCAAAATTTTAAATTTTGCTCGAGGGGAGGGCTGGGGGGTAGAGAACAATAGGGAACCGGCATGGAGCTCGAGACGAGAGGTCGGTAACAGCCGTGTGGACACAGCAGTATAATCAGCCATGACCTAGGTAGTGCTACGTCCGAATCCCATGATGATTAAACCCAAAAAAAAACGACAGCGTGGTATAACCCCGGGCCAAACCAGGCTCGAACCAAGAACCTTCACCACCTCCGGCGGGTGGCTTGGAAACCCCGATAAATGGACCGCTGTCCATGCTAACCCCGCCGGGTGCGTGACGGTTAGGTCACACGGGTTTTTTCCGTGCTGTAAATTTACTACGCGCGGTTATGAACCCGTCCGAGCTCTGCCAAGTTCCTACACAGCGACTCCGCAGCACTTCTACTACTACCCAATTCATACCTTCACATTTGATAGCTCGACCCTCCTAGCTATCGATAACTTCGTAGTACCTGTGAAGCTTTATGAATGCGTTGTAGGCCCGTTAAAGCACAGACCTGCGAGGTGCTACTAGTGTGCCAGCACGAAAATCACTCATTACGGCGTTATGGTAGTAAACAGTAGGTTTATCACCAAGTTCACTACAGTATACTACCACGTTACTCGGGAACTGTATGCCACTCTTTCATATCTCTATCAAGTAGGACAGTCAATACAATCCCCTGATCTGAATCACTCTCTCTCCCTCTCTACCGCAGAGACTTCTGTCCATACGATCTCCGAACATCCGCACCGCCCAAACGAGAGCCTGTGCACCAAGTCAATGTCTTTGTCTCGCACAGCGGCCATAGCAACAACATTTGGCCAATGGCCATGCATGCCTCACATACATGGCCAGAGGAAAGACCTTTAAAAGGAAGAAAACCTCCGCGTATAACCTGGGGTGTAGTAAACCAGGTTATATGTGTATAACTTGGGTGGAACAGTAGCCCAAGTTATACTTCTTTAGTTTTGTTATTTGCTCGTCCGAAACCGTTTGTCCCCCGGTTTCGAAGAGGTGGCCTTGGCCATGCATGTCTCTCACACATGCATGGCCAGGATGAAAGACCTTTGCTGTCACAGACTCACAGCAAAGGAAGAAAACCTCCGCATATAACCAGGGGATAGTAAACCAAGTTATACTTCTTATTTTTTCTTCCCCGTCAGGGGCCATCCAACGGGAGCAAGTCGGCAAGTCGAGTCTTGATCGGCTTGGACCCCCGGAGGAAGGGGGAAAGAACTTCTGCCGGCAGCGCAAGAGAAAACCCCGTCCTTGGATCTTTTCTGCTCAGCCTCGAGGGTTGGATCCGTCTCTAACCGCAACAGTCTACTTTGTAAACCAGTTGCACGGATTCCTCAGTTTCTCGCTACTGCGGCTGAGCAGGACAGCTCTGTAAGGTTATCCTGGAAGTAAAAGGAGGGGAGGGAGAGAGGACGTACCTCATAGAGTAGGCCTCGGGGTCGATATCAGACCGTGAAAACTAATTATGCTTCAGCATGAATGAACAAGCGGGAATTTATCGGCCGTGGGAGAATTTGGGAATTGTAAGTCGTTGAGAAGGCTGATGTTGACTTATAGAGAATATAAGTTAGTATTAAGCGCAGCGGACGAGGTGGAGGAGGGAGTGAGGACGTGCCGGAAATAGTAGAACTCGGCGTCGCTTATTACTATTTCATTACAGCCAGTATCCCTTAGTGTCGTTATCGGACCTTGGAAGATGATTAAAGTCAGTAGCATGAACCAACAAGTAGTGTCGGACGGGAAATAAGGAGAAGAAGTGAATGAGTGGAGAGGGAGGAGAATGGGAGGAAGAGTTGGGAGGAAAGGTGGGATTTTATAGGGTGAAGTGGATGAATTCCAAGCAGCTACTTCTAACGCACTAGCCGGGACTCAAAAGTTTGGTTTTCAGCAAATACCGCTACATTCCAAGCTGTCGACGCACGTTTGACATCACACGAAATCATTCGACCTCCGAGTGAGTAAGAATGAACTCCTTCCCACAGCGAGAAATACTCTAGCGATAAACGCGCAAGCAAGTACTGATTAAACCAAGAAAGAAAAAAAGAAAAAAGCATAGCGCTCGTCGCACACACAAAGCCGATATCATCGTCTTGCGCGACTAACAGAGAAACAACTCTTCTTAGCCGTGGTTGACGACTAGAAACCAGCCGAGGACACGGAAACCAGCGTGGATCGAGAGTGCAGAGCGCAGTTGATTAAGAAGCCGATATCATCGTCTCGCACAGCGGCCAGAGCAGCAACATTTTGCTTAAGCTACTGGTGCCTCTCACATGGCATGGCCAGGAGGAAAGAAGTATTTGATAGAACAAGGATTAACCCAATGGGGGCCACGGAATTTCGTATCAACGGTTGACGACTAGAAGGAATCAGGGACAGGCCGCGGAGCAGTCGTGGATAGAGAGTACAGTCAATTAGGCCGATACACCGTACTCGACGCCAAACGATGGCCGAGTTCCGACTGTCGGAGAAGACATGGTTCTTCGCCGAGTATACACGTTTACCACTTCGCACGGCCACTGCTACCGCCCAGGAACTATAGGCGTCTCTAGATATAGAACCGCCGTTGATGGACCGATGATTTCATCTATGATCTGGATTGTCATTGCGTGGAAATCATTGGCTCGTCATGGATGTCACTCGAGCCGAGACTCCCGTGACACCTATCCGCGACTCTGGAGAGGTTCTAGCCCACTTACCTCAGACCCCACTGATACATGATCTTGTGTGTGGCCCAGAGGATATCCGCCTAAACCTTCGCAGTAATCGCATCGGGGATAGATGGTGCCGCCATTGTGCCCCTCGGTGAGCGTGCACCAGGACCCTGAGCCCTCCCAAGCTCTTACATCGAGAGTCGTGATGACCGCGAGGATGCGCATTCGGACTTCGAAAATGTATGTTGATGTTGTAAAAGACTATTCAGTGGTGGCGGAGGTGGCTCGGTTTAGTGAATAAACGAGGCCCGAGAGGAAGGCGAGGACGGAGGGACTAGATATGAATGTGGAGCCGTCAAAACGAGCGGTTAGAAGAACTCCTAATGCAATTGCGAACCGGAAATTTTCCGTGAGACAGGTCGTGCTTTGGATATGCTCACCAGGTATCTCATCTCCACTGCTCCTTCTTCGGTGCACTGGAGTAATTCGGGCTCGGATATCACTTTGATGCTGTGTGTCGGCCAATATAGGCGGTTATCCACTATGAATTGTGGGACGTGGTCGTATTTTGATGAAAGTAGCAGTGCCACGGACGGAGGAGCATGTGTTTTGTTTGGGAGTCCAAGGCCATTCGATAGACCGTAGCAGCCAACCCTGTGCGACATTGCCGAGACACTGAACGCCCTTCGGTGCCCTTATTTAAACCTCCTCCTCCATCTCCTCTAGAACGGCACCACTCCCTTGTTCCAATCCCACACTTTCATCCTCAAATCCAATCTCACCCATCATGTCATATGAATACGCCATGGACATAAATATTACACCAAGCTTGGCGAATCAGAGCTTCTCTGCCTCCGACCTTAATCTCCCGCTCTCTTCTAAATACCTTTCCCGTCAGCCGTCAATGCAGAACCTCCGAGCCGCTGCAGCCGATCAATCCCCACTGTACTCCTCGCGCCACCCCATGGCTTCGGAACGCTACTTCTCGTTTACCGCCTTTGAAGACGTCGAGCCCTTCGCGGAAGTCAAGCCCGTTCAACTCGGATTCAAGCCCGTCCGACCAGTCAAGCCGTACCGAGAAGTCGAGTCCTATCCCGACATCGAAGACATCGGCGAAGACGGACCGCCGCCCGCCGAGCCGATCCGCGCTGAACCCTCCGCACCCAGCGTCCGATTAGGTACTGGCACAGGGAACTTCCTTTGTTTGACGCCCGAGGTTTCGCATCCCTACAATGGCAACGCGGAACAGTCAAAGCTGAGTACACACCAGAGGACAGACAATCTGGCGAGCAGGGGCGGCGTCGACCCGCGGCTCGCTGCGTACCGCGAGCTCAAGCCATATCTCGGCTCCGGGTACGATTCGCTGGATTTTAGAAAGGAGTTCTCGCTTCGCCCGAAGGATCAGGGGTTGAGGAGGGATGAGTTCATCGATGAGTGCGTGCGTCGCGGCGTCAGTGATCTCGCTAAGCAGGAGCTGTATATGCTCGACGCGGCCCTCGAGGATCAGAAGGCCGAGATGGTGTGGGAGAAACAGGTCGATGATACTTGGAAGAAGATGGTGGAGTATATAGCGACGGCGGAGAAAGAGAGGGAGATGAAGAAGAGCGTTGTGCAGGAGTATGTTGAGCAGGTTGAAGAGGAAGTGGAAGTGTATTATGAGCAGGTCGAGGAAGAGGCGATGGAAGAGGAGGTGATGATGGTGGATGAAGAGTCGACATTCTCCGTGGATGATGTGGTTGTTTCGGGGGCTCAGACAGAGGAGTCTACAGTGAGGTTCTCAAGCTCATCGATGTTGAGCGATCATACACCTATGAGCCTTGATGGAAGGCAATATCGCAGCCCCTACTCCTCTGCAAAGGATGAGCCGGTCAAGAAGCGGAGATGGTACGAGGTGTGGAAGAGCAAGAGGTCCCGTCGCACGACTACCTCCTGAGGAGAATTACTGTGTTAATCGGTTTATTACTGCTGTGATATGTTTTAATACTGACGAGTTTTGTGCTTCAGATTGTTGAAGATGAAATGGGTATGGGTGTCCGGTAGATGGATGGAGCACACGGTTAGAAATGTCATGTTTCTGTTTCATGCCGTGATCGGTTGTTTGTATGATGAGTTTGATGAGTTGCTAGGATGATGGGTTTTTAAAGCTGCGTATCAATTACTTTGGTATGCATAAGAAGGGTCTCGGTGAGGCGTGTTGATGTGAAGGACCAAGCTACGATAGACACCGGTGGTGTAGTACTATTAATGAATAACAAGCAGTGGCTACCCTTATGAATAGAAACTTCGGTGGTGGGACATATCGTCGGTTCTGAGCGTGAGAATCCATCCCAGAAGCTGGCTGGTGCAATGGTAATACACTTGACGGCGAACGAAGTAAACGTTTACTCCGCCTGAATCATTTTGTTTTGCATCATGAAATATGACTCTCAATGAAATTAACTAGGCAAGAATACAAAACAGTCAAAACAACGCGTGTCAAATCAATGACTGAGCAAGAACAAAAATCAAAAAAACGCGACAAGCGGAACGTCACTCAAATCATCCACCCGATCTATCGCAAAGAAAAACAAGTTCGAAATCGCAGGAAGACTCGGATCGACTTAACGAGAGTCTGTTTCGGCCTAAAGCTTGGAACTACATCATCCTTCATCAGCTATCGACCGGTAGTACCACAACAATGGGAAGAACACCTACCTCCTCTTCTCACGCCTCGACTCAGCCCCGCCAAGTTCGTTGTGTGAATGGTGGGAGTCCCGGGGCAGCATCTGATATTCCGCATGAAGAGAAATGCCTCCAGTAGATGGACTCAGCTCCCAGAGTTCCTTGTACGCGCATTCGTCGCGGAGTGCCTTCCCTCTGCCATCGGCGAAGAAGGAGACGCCGATGTGGCCGAGGCAGATCGACTCGCTGCGGTTCGCCGCCAGCCAGCGTGCGGCAACACCGTCCACAGCCTCCAAGAACTCACGTAGCGTCTCGCCCCACAGCATCCACACGGTGAGCGGTTGGTGGGTGGTGGTGGTAGTGCTGCCGGCTTTGTCGTGACGAACTGTGACATGGAGCTGGAGGGACTTGCGGCGCGGTTGTTTGGTGCCAATATCGGTGGCCCCTGCCATGACGAGATGCGGAGTGGGGTCCTGGTAGAGGACGGGCAGAAGCGCGGTCCAGGCGCGCTCGGTGCGGATTATCTCGTTGACGTACGGAGATGTCTGGCCGTGCCGGTAGATCCCGTGGAAGTCGTAGATGCTGAGGTGCTCGGTGTGGTAGAAATTGAGGCTGTTCATGTGGATGAACTTTTCGAGGTCCAGCAATGTCGGGGTGGGGATAATTTTTATGTGGGTTTTGATCTCGTCGAGCCCTTTGATGCGAATCGTGACGGGAATCGAACGGTTCATGATGTTGTAGCTATGCATGGTTTTGAGTATCTGAAAGCGTTGGTTACTGTCGTTTATGAGGTGGATAGTAGGAGGATTGTGAAGGTGGATAAAGGGATGATGAGCAGAAGGTGCTCGAGAGGGAATCAGTATGTGCTTCTTATGCTTGACAGGGCACTGGGGACCATTGAAAAGATCGAGGGTTTGAATTCACGATACGGAGTGCAGCTTCAATTGTAGGGTTGTAAATAGGGTAGGGTTGTGGATAGGTCCGAGTGACGACGGATGTACGGAGTTAGATAGACATCGGGTCCTCGACCCTTTCTTCCCAATCAACCAACGTTTCCCCACCTACATAAAATGGTGAAGCTCGAGTGATTCTATGTGGTTGGCCGAAGAAGCCATGAAGCCAAATTCAATGCCGAGATGCAATGTGCACACGTTTGGAGGGATATCGAGATCAAGAACACCAACCACAGTGCGAAACTCGCGCACAAAGACCAGCCGTTTCGCCGACACTCCCATACCTCCCGTCTGTCCGCTACCAACAGACTCTCGCCGCTTCTTTGGCTCCTATGCCTTTTCGATGACTTCTGCAAATCGAAATTCCGTACCGATCGGGATCTTGGGCGCATGGCCGACGACACACCTCGCGAGCCACCGTAGATCATCATGCATACCACGCTCATTCGCAGAGATAATCGATCCATGCTACAACAGTTAGACAACATCTCAAATCAAATAGGAAAACAAAATACCGCCGTGAAATTGTTGATAGCTTCGAGGGCATTCCAGGGCTCAGACATGCCCTTCTCTTTTTCTTCATCCGTTGGTGGCTGTTCCGTCTCCACCAAGCTAGCAACTTCGCTCAAACTCGGCCCGCACCAATACTGCACGCCCGAGTGTCGTTCTGGTCCTTGAGGTTAACATGATGCTTTCCATCGTCTTTGAGGATCGATGGATAGTGTGCAAGCTGGAGAAAAGACCGTTGGCGGACGATGCAATGTGAGATAACGTGTGTGATTACCAATAATCAATGGATGTTCGTCTCCGAGTCCTGGAATTGTGCAGCGGCCGCTATGGCGTGGTACCTTGGGTTTTTGTCTTATTCGGTGTCAAAAAGGGCGGCGGTGGTCTCGCCGACATCTTGCGGGCCGACAGGTGGTGGTAGTAGCATGCGAATGAGTGTATAAGAGAGTTGTAGTAGTTGGATGATGTTTTCGTATGCTGTTACTCTGGCACGGCCTACCAACTTGATCTGGACAGACATGCAGCTGCCTGCAACGACCAACCTCAACCACTCCACACTCCTCCCATATCCTGGAGTTGGACTTTCCCTTCAATCGCTATCTGCCCCGCACCAATTACCCATTAACAGATCACCCAATGCCACGCTCTGTCCTACGGGAGTCTCGGAAGAATCGGCAACACATTCTACATCTCTCTCCATCATCCACGCCGTCCTCGGATATACTTTCTGTGGTGTTCTTTGTTTTCGACAGGATCTCACGTCATCCACCGAGCCATCGAAACCGTCGGATTCCGCATGTCAGACTGGCACAGAGGGAGGGGGCAGGCATAAGCCGTTTGTTCTATGGCTATTCTCTTTCCAGTCGAGGGAGGACACTGGAGGAGGAGGACCAGGTTTATACACCCTTTGAACCTTCAATATGGCGTCGCTTGTTGTCCGCAAGCTTGCCATATCACTCGCCCCGCATGCCGATAGGAACCAGCGCTTGACTGAACAATTCGGGGTTCATTCGGCATCGGTTTCTCTCTTCAACACCTGTTAGGATACGTGGTGAAGGTATCTCGACGTGGTTATCCGGATGGCAATAAGCTGAGGATTACAAAAGATTTTGGTTCCTTCTTGCGCGGATGACGTCGGGAGACTTCGCATGAATTCTCCGGAAGGGGAGAAACAAAGAAGATCTACCCTATGCAAATGGCTGACTTCAATTGGAACGTTTTCTTTGCTCGCACCACTCTGGACTTCAGGCTACCGTTCACTAATCCTGGGATTCCGTACAACAGTCGCGTCCAACCCGGCACGTTCGAGACAGACATGTAGAAACCAGCGGACGATGTTCTTATTCCAATATCCGCTGATGTATGACGTCAGCGTTCAATACGAAGAAGGAGTTCCTCTGGATCGGCCGGCAGTACGCGGGAAGTCATTCGAGTTTATGCGTACAATTAGGTGCATACCAACTCACGCTACCCCACCCTTGTTCTTCCTGGGGTTGAGGATGTTCTCGGCTCGTTGGCTGACGATCAACCCTTGAAGGCCACCGCGATTACTCACCTGCGGTGGAGGCCGGATCTCAATCTGCCGGGTGTAACCGTAGTATAAACAAGACTTCCGCCGTTGAGGTTGTGGGAAAGTCGAGGAGACCTGTGTTGTGTAACCACGGTTTCCCCAGCCAATCAGAATTTGGTATCTGCAACATCCGCTCGGTCCGAACTTCTCCAAAAATACCCCACATCCTCGTATAATCGTATTTGTCTTCACGTCAAAAACGCTATCCGCAACGTCTCCACTGCTACAAGTCGTCTTTGAGCATTCTTTCCATGTACTCCGGTGTCCCTGTAGTATCCTCATCTGATTATATGTACAAGTCACAAGGACATTCTCGGAGCTCTCGGAAACGCGTTTCGATTACTCTTCAGCACTGCGCACGGGTCCGCAAAGACCAACAGCTGACAAACACCGCGAACACCAGGGGAACAGTACGTGTGACCGATCGCGACATAGCGAGGCGGGCCGCAAACGCCTCCTACAGTCCTACTCGCGCACATTGCAGATCTCCAAAAATATCTTCCGAGCTGGTAGGCTGTCCCTGCAGGGTTCGCGCATTCCAGAACTCCATGTAGAAGTTCGCTATGTCGTCCTCGCGTGGAGGAGAGATGGGCCTCGTATCGAGTCGGTCTGCTGCAGTACAACCCATGGCCATGACTCGGAACACAAAGCGCCTTACACGGATCTTTGACGGACAAAGCAAAGGCGACGACATATAAAGGCCATGGCCCATCCACACATACAACCATCACCCTCGTCGAATCGAATCCAAACAACACTCGACTCCCGCAACCATGAAGCTCGCACTCCCCATCCTATTGGCAACCCTTCTGTCGCTTGCATCCGCACAAGCCAACGGCGTCTGGCGCTTCAAGATGCGCGCCACGAGCTACCGCCGCGTCGAACCATTCCTCAGCGGCTATGCCGACTACGACAGCGCCGGTCGAGTAGGTTTCAACCGAATCTCCGCCGACTACCAGGGCTTTGTCAGCGTAAGCTCCACCTCCCCACCAGCCCAGGGCGTGCACCCACCCACTGACTCGGAGAAATAGCGCATTACCAACGCCGTACCCAACGACGACCTCCCGGTCGGCGAGCTCTTCCGCGACGACAACGGCGCGCAGGCGTACCTCCTCCCCTCCGAGACCGCGAACCTGTACGACTTCTACTTCGGCACGAAGCCCGACGACACCACCGTTCTGTCCGCAGACTTTGCCATCACTGTGCTGAACTGCGGCGGAAATTGCGGAGGGCTGCAGCTGGTGTACAACGGCACTGGTGCCCAGTGGATGGCTTTCCCCGATGCTACAATCACCACTGGATACAGCGTGAGTTTCCGCTCTGGTGTTGGAACTTGGAACTTGGAAGATAGGCAAAGAGCTAATGCGTAGAAGATTCGCTACTGGAATGGTCAGGGCACTCAGCCCGCCGGAGGTCAAGGTGTTTGGCTGTGGAGGGATGCTGTTTGAGTGGCGGTGTGCTGATGGAAATGGGGGGGGGGGGATGATTGGTGGTGTGCTGATGGGAATGAGGGACATGAATGGAAGGCGGCTTGGTGTTCCTCAATACACGAATGGAAGAGTTCCAAGAAACCTCAGGCGAAGTAAAGAATCCGTGACTCCAAGTGATATCCGATATGGTTGTGTGTTTTTTGTTTGATGGTTCCGTATCCAACCGTCGCCAGCCACGACAGTTTACATACTCACTGAACATCAATCGTGTTTTATTTTCAGTCTCACTATTCCTTGTTTAACCGTGCCCGGTAGCGATAGTTTAAGGTATGTACATCCAGTCCTCTCCAGGCCGTCAACACCGGTGACCGGTCGAACGTGGCGCCTACCTGGTCCTCAGCCTCTCTCCCGCCATAGATAGTCTAGTATCGAACATCCCGAGCGTCATAGGGGTCCCATTCGTGAGTGCGTACTTATGTACAAACTTCCACCCTTGCACTGGCGACGTACGTACCTACAGGTCAATCACCACCCGCGTTGCGTTAAGTTCAAGCTTATCCGCTCAATAGCCTTCCAGACTCTTCCAAGTTCCAAACCTCCTCGCGGCTCGAGACAAGTGCGATGGAAGCAGTCTTCACCATCGCGACGTTTCTTGCGACGGGCCGGGGATGTATAGACGTCCGCGGCAACTCGGCCAACCAAAGAGCCGCTGCCGGAAATTCACGCGGGAGGATGGCCGTGTCTGCAGCTTCGCGGGGAGATGATAGATCTCGTGGGTGATGTTGGCGTGTGTTTTGCTTAGGTAGGTCTGATACGTGGACTCGATCATTCGCTCCCTCCGGGTCATGTCCGAGACCTGTCCGATACTTGTATCGTAGATTTGGGAGACTGGGAGTTGTCGACGCTGAAAAATACCGAATGAGAATGGGTGTTGCGTGTACTACTTGTACTCGGCCCCGCGAGTCGGCAAATTTCCTTACTCCTCAGTTCCCCTGGGTTCCCCCGCAGTGTGTCGAGCCAACCCCCGCGATTGATTCAAGCCCAACACTCAACTGCTCTTTCCCAACTATCCTATAACACAACTCGTCACTCACAATGACACGACCGCGCTCAGTCTATACCGAATGCTCCCTCATGATTCCGCTACTTGCATACATACCTCATAGAGTAAAGCCTCGGGCTCGCCGTCAACGCCATTACATAACCCAGTAAACCATAAACGTCCGTATGACCCACCGCATGTAAGCTTCATCGCACTTGCACTTACACCCCTGCCCAGTGCCCACCCCCAACTCGGACCCCAATAATATCCATCCGCGTGTCCGAGGCATCTCACCACTCTATATATGTCAAGTAGAGAGTACTCTATCACACGAGCAACGAGCCATCTGGTAAAATATATAGCCGCGGTTCCGGCAGGGCACAGGCAGGGCAGAGGTTATTGGGAGTTTGGGTTGCCTAGGAGATTGAAATTGAGGACCCTGAGACAGTACATTGGTGGGTAGGACTGCAGGTACTCGTACCGTATGTACCTACTCTAGGCACTCTACGTACCCCGGCGCTCGGGTCCTGGGGCCGGGTACGAAGTAGAGCGTGCGGGTGGAGCACTGGAGCACTGGAGCGGGGGCGGAGCCGCACGGGGAATTCGGGGAATAGATGCGCGGGCGGGTCACGGGAAAGGAGTCGGGCGAGTCGGGCGAGTCGCGGGGAGGAGGGGGGAGGAGGGGGGAGGCGGGGGGACATGTGATGCTGCCACAGCGATCAACGATAGTCGACGAGCTGGATCCGTGAGGTTCGGAATCGCGACTTAGGTAGAGTAAGTGGAGTATTAACGTGGCTCGACTCGCGAGTCGCAAAGACAGCGGTGTTATGTAACCCAGCGGTCCGCACGGCGCAAACAGCCCTCGACGATCGCTCACCTCACTCTCTACTCTGGAGCCTAGAGTACTACGCGTCCCCCGTTTCGAACACAGTTCTCCAGTCTCCGGTTGCCTGACCTGCCCGCACGGTACCGGTATTTATGCATTGCCACTTCCCCCCCCTCGAATCCGCGACCCCGCACCGACGTGTCCCCATTGCCCCAATTGCCCAATTCTTCCGTCGCAAACTGCCGGACGCGACTAACTTCGGAGAAATGTAGCCGACCGCTAGCAGCGCAAGAGCCGCGCGTGGGGGTTGGGGTTGGGTGGGGATAGGGATGTGGCATGTGAAAGACGATCGGACGCGTGCAATCGACACTGGAGAGGAGAGGAGAAGAGAGGAGAAGAGAGGAGAAGGGGAGATGGGGAGAAGGGAGGAAGCAGGATAGGTAGGGCAGAGGATTATCTTATTATGAATACTATTACCTATCGCCAACTTACCGAGGACTATTCAAACTTCAGTGTTACGGCGGATTGGATTGGATTGGATTGGATTTGGGGGCTGTTCTTCTGATTATCGCAGATGCTGAGTAAGGAGCCTGTGTGGCACATGCCACATGCAACCACCAAAGACACGAGCGAAAACGAGCCCTTCTATTTCCAGGGCAGTCGCGTCCTGCAGTCATATTCTGATGAAACGGTGATCATGACACCAACGTTGCCGATACGGTATGATTGAAGTACGTATCTTCGGCGGTCGTGCCGCATATCCAGCCCAGCGTCGGTGAACGGTGCCGTGAAAGCTGGCTTTCGTATGTATATACGACGCTCGACGGAGGCGAGAAGGGTGCTCTACCGTAGAGTAGGTGGTAGAGAGACAAGTGGATGCGAGCCTCGAGGGACAGAGAGGTGTTTGTTCGGCTCTGGTGCTGCCAGCAGCCGGGCCGGGATCTATCATCTCATAGGCGAATTTTAGGACTTGAGGTTGAGACATGAGATTGAAGGTGGTGGTCTTACCCACCTCCTCCCCCCATGAACGGCCTCCATCACAACCTGTGGAGTCCGACCGAATTTCCAATACGAGTATGTACCGGTACATACCGGTACCTTCACGCTTCATCTGGCCTCCCGTTCCACCGCCGTCGGAGAGCATTGCGGCCACCGGGTCTCCTATTAGTACGGTTAGTGCCTTGATGAGCGCGCTCCCCGGCCCCAAATGTCCTTGCACGGATGATCCAAACGATGCGCTTTCGTTACCGGTTGCTGGAACATACCTACCGGTACACGGGGTTCGGTGAGATGGACTTCACGCCGAATACCTAGTAGGTACATACCGGTATTCAACTTGTGAGCGGCTTAGGATCCGGGCGACTGTCGCCGGTCGGTATGCATAACTGAGGCAAAGTCAGAGATAAACTAAACTCCACCTCATAGAGTAAAGACTCAAGAGCATCACGAGCCACGGCTCACCTTGGGGTGGGTATGTAACCGGTTAATCCCCGTAATCTTATCTAATCTTATCGCGGAGCTTCTCCGATGCTCGATCTCCACATGAAAGACGCCCGCGCCGTCACGCCGTGTGAGGTGTTTCTCGTCGGCGGATGCTCGGTTCGACGCTCTGCTGTGCTCTCGGTGCCGGTGGTTGTACATACCTCATATGCTCGTGTTTCCTTCACCCCTTCTTGCCTTATTCTCCATGAGTACACGCTCTTCGCTACCGGTGGGGGTTCGGTCGCGGTTGGAAGCACATGGAAGCGTGGGATTGGCTCGGATCGTTCCGAAGCGTGTTCACCGACGAAATTGCCACCATCACGAGGGCGCGAGACGGACGAAGAATCGAAAAGATCGGACTTCAGGGGGCGGGGTGCTGGTTTCTGTGAGATGGTATTATCCGCAATATCTACACGGTTATCGCATCTCGCTCTTTGCTATCGTCGCTCTTCGGAGATTCTCCGGCTCAGCTCATGGTGGACGATGACGATCAGCTCAAGGCTGAAGTCTGACAGCGCAACTCTGTATCACATGCAAGTGCATCATCGTCAGCGGCCAAGCGAAAAAAAGAGTGAGCATTCCTTGGAAAGGAAGGAGGACGTGCGGGTGGGTGGGGAGCGATGGTGCTCCAGAGCGAGCAGCACGTGCAATTTTCGTCAGAGTTGGAGACGGCCGTGTGCGAATGGGAGGCCTCAGGCCGGCGGACGGAACGAGAGCGAAGATAGTTGCTATCGCAGTATTCTTCACGCCGGTGATGGGAGCATCGTCGGAGAGCGCACCGTACAGACATACACGTTCCATCACGGTAGGAATTTAATGGACGTGGGTTAGGCAAGGGACGGCAATAGACGCGAGGGATATTGGAATGTGAATGCGAAGCCGAAATCAGGGCATGTGGAGATACGGTAGGATCATCGTCACTGGAGGGGGCGGCGAACACCTTCTTCCGCCTGCTTCTCATCCTCCTCCTCATCCTCCTCCTCATCCTCCTCATCCTCACCCTCCTCACCCTCACTCTCCTCACCCTCCCCATTCATCCTACTCTCCATCTTCACCTCCACTCCCCCACCAAGCCTGCCTCCCGCGTCCGGCCCACACACACACACACCCTCCTCCACCCATTCATCCTTCCCATTCCCACCCACCCTCCGCCAACCAGAGACACCCACTCACCCACTCACCCACTCACACTCATTCTCACATTCACTCACACTCCACTTTCGCTTCACGAGCACCCACAAACGCTCGACACACACCCACTCGGTCACCTCGGAGGAAAAAAATCCCTAAAAAACCCCACGCTCCACAAAACGATAACCCACACCAGCCGAACCGCACCTCCCTCGGTCGCCGAAAACAGCGAACACACATCCAACCTCCCCCCCTCGCCCCCCTCCTCCTGATCCTTCCGTGCACATGGCGACCAAAACCCGTCACAAGTCCTCGTCTCCCGCCCCGGCACCGATGGTCCCCCTCAAGATGACCTCGGCGGTTCCGCCCGCATCTACCACTGCTACCTCCTCGTCCTCCCTCACGTCCACCCTCTCGAAGGATATTTTCCCATCCCCCCCGCGCACCGATCCACAGCTACAGCAGCAGCAACGTCGGTCCGAACTGGCGATCCTCAATTACCACAATGCGCGCCCGTCAGGGCAGTCGGCGATAATCCTGCCTCCTGCCTCAGCGCTCGCTGGCGAAGGCCGTATGCTCGGCGAACCACCGGCGGGCGGGAGACGGAGCTTCGATCTACCGCCTCCGCTGCCCCCGCTAACGCAGAGTAAAGAGGAGTACTTGCCCTTCGGATGGAAGACGGAGGTCATCAGTCACGAGAGACGCCAGCAGCCACTCAGGGAACCCGAGACGTCGCGGAATCTGTCGATCCAGAGCCTGATCTCGGCGCCCGCAGCAGTGGATCACAACGCGTTTGAGAATGGCGGTGAGCGCGGCATGAAGCGGAAGGGAAGCGACATCATCGATAGGGATGAAGATGCGATGGCGAGGAGCAGTCGTGGCACGAGTGTGATGTCCACTACTGGGTTGAGCATGGAGGATCCCGACGTGCGGGATGCCGTCGAGGCGCTGGGCGGATTGAAGGCAGGTGCGTAGTGCAGTTGACTCCTCCAGCAACATCCCCGTCGAGATGCGCCTGCCTGCTGTGCATCTTTGATCAACCCTCTCGTGGAAGACGAAATGTGGCTGACACGAACGATTCAGACTTTGCGCATCCCCTTACCGCGCCGAACTCTCCTCCAAACCAGCAGGAACCCCTCCTCAACCTAATCCAGTCGTCCGCGTCTTCCGTCCACCCTCTCCTCTCCACGGCACTCTCGATCTCATCGTCCACCTACAACGCTTCCAAGAATTACATCCCGCCTTTCCGCTACGTCGCCGAATCGGCCGAGAACGTCGCTGCCCCCGTGGTCCGCCGCACCGGCCTCGAAAACTACATCCGTCGAGGCCTCACGCGCCACCGTAGCAACGATAAAGCCGAGCCTAACGGTGGGGAAAAGAAGCGAAGGAAATCGGAGAAGGAACCGGCCCCCGCAACACCCGAGAAGCAATTGGTAGAGGTCCAGAATAGTCGCGAGCGCGGTTGGCAGACGAGATTGTACTACTCGTCCACGGGACTCGCGACTGCCCTTTCCGACGAGTCGCGGCGGTCACTCAAATACTGCCTCAAGATCCTCCTGGCGGCGAACGGAAACTTGATGAAAGTCATCGCCACTCTTACGAACGTTGTCGACGAACTGGACCAGTATCTGAGCCAGAAGTGCGGCGAGGGCTCGTCGGCACCTACTTCACCGCCCCTGGGAGTAGCAGGGTACCTAGGAGAGGGCTACGAGCAGCGCCGCCAACACCTGGCGGAGACTGTCGACCGGCTCAAAGACGAAGCGCTCAAGACGCTGAAAGTGGTCGTCGACACCATCTCCCGATACGCGGGGGGCGCGCTGCCCGAGCATGCGAGGAACGTGGTCAAGCGGCAGCTCTTGAGCTTTCCTCTCAAGTGGCAGGCGGCAACATCTTCCACCTCCTCCGGCGACGTCGAGCAAGGTGTCACCATCGCCGAGCCCGAAGACGACACCGGCAGACGAACGAAAGGAAAGGCGGTGCGTGTTCTGATGATGGCGCGTGAGGGACTGGACATGATGCGTGGTGTCGCCGAGGTGGTCGATGGGACCCTCGTCAGCGCCGAGGAGTGGTGCGAGCGCTTCGGCAAGAAGACGGATGAGCAGGAGGACGGCTCGCTGCCGGAGAAGGACGAGAGGAAGCGCGTCAGCTGGATGGATGCTCCTACTGCTACTACTACTACCAACGCCACCACCGCCACACCGGAACGCGAGGCGGACGGCGATGTCTCCATGGCTAAGGCGGGGTGATGAGATCTGCTCCGCACCATCGTGCATGCACACTGCCATTTCTTGCAGTCGAGTCGAGTCGAGTCCAGTCGTATTAGGTTATTGGGTTATTGGGATTTTGTTTTTGTTTATTGTTTGTTTGGTTATCGCTTGCTTGCTTGCGCGGGAGGGTCGGGGTGGGGTGGGAGGCGTCCAGTCAGTTTGTTACTTTTGTTACTTTACCTTCATTTCTTGGTATGGTATGGGGTTTTTTCTACTTCATTTTCTTTTCTTCTTATTTTGGGAACATATTCTTTTTTACATGATTGTGGAATGTGGACGGGTGATATTAGAGGGTGAGGTGAGGTAAGGTGTGATAGGTGAGAGGTGGGATACCGTACTCTACCTCTTTTCGACTGGAGGCTGGAGCCTGTCAAAGCCCCGGTGCGGTGGATGAATGGATGGGATCCGAAGAGTAACCTTTGATGTCTCCGAGCGAGTCCTCCTGTTCGACTCCAAAATTACTTCTTTTACTATTATCATACTACTATCATACTACCATACTACTACTACTACTACTACTACTACTACTACTACTACTACTACTACTACTACTACTACTACTACGGTTATTTTACCCAACCTGCCTCCTCTTCTTCTCTTTTCTTTGTAACTTTTTACCTATTGTAGCTTGGTTCTCGTTCACGTTTGAAGCAACGGGGCGATTCAGGTGTCTGTCTGTTGATGTTGAGAGTGTGTGTGTGGTGTGTGGTGTGGTATCGTGTATGCATGTCAAGTCACTCGAGTACCAGCAGCAAAAGCGCAAAACGATAAACTTATCGGATAAACAAAAGTCTTTGCAATTCTATATCTAGGATTCCTGTCATATATATCGTAACATCTACTCCGTCGTCGTCCACACTCGTCTCTTCGAGGGCGCTTAAGGAGCACAGTAACCTCTGTAGGTGGGACGTTAGCATCCGGCCTCGTCATCACACGCACCCAGAGCAGGAGCAGGAGCAGGTGGAGAAAAAGCGTTAACGTACCCATCAACAATCAGATCACTCCCAGTAGTGAAAGTACTCGCATCGCTCGCAAAGTAGAGGTACGCGCCCTTGAGCTCATTGGCCAGTCCCTCCCTTCGCATAGGAGTCTTCTCATGCCAGATCTTCTTCGTCTCGTCGGGCACAAAGCTTGAGATCTCCGTGGCGATGTAGCCAGGGCTGACAGTGTTTACGCGGGCGAAGCCGGCCCACTCCACGGCCAAGGACTTGCACATGTGGATCACACCCGCCTTCGCCGCGTTGTACACCGCCTGCGCTTGCGGAAGGTTCACGATGTGGCCGGACATAGACGCGGTCGCTACGAAGGAGCCGCACCCCTGCCGCTGGAAGTGCTTGCCGGCTGCGTGCGCCGAGAAGTACACGCTATCGAGATCCGTCGAGACGACGGCTGTGTAGTGTGCGTGCTGGGCGGGGTTAGTGGGCGTGCGTGGGGAGGTGGGGGGCGGGGGGATGGGAGGGGATGGGGGGGGGGGGGGGGGGCATACGTCGTTGGCCTCGATGATCGGGCCCTTAGTCCAGGGAATGCCAGCATTAGCCACGAAGACGTCGAGGCGGCCGTTGAAGTCTTCTACGACCTGGTCGACGGTTTTCTCGACCTCCTGCTGGCTAGTGACGTCGAGCTTGTACGCCTTGCAGACGACGCCGTACTTCTCTGCGGTCTCGGCCGCGCGCTCGACGGTCTTCGGGTTAGAGTTGTACAGGAAGGCGACGTTGCCGCCGGCTTCGGCGAAGGCCTGCGCGACTGCGTAGCCGATTCCGGCCCCAGAGCCCGTCACGATGCAGGTCTTGCCGCGAAGGCTGAAGAGTGGGAGCACGGCGTCGCCGTCGCGCGCGGTGTACTTGGTTACGGTGGACATGTTGCGGTGGGTGAGAGGGGGGAGGGGGAGGGCGTAGTGGATGGCGCGGGGATGGAGAAGAGAAGATGGCCGACAGTTGAGAGGGAGGGGAAGCACCGGTTTTATCAATCCTCCTCCTCCTCTGCCTGCTGCTGCTGCCGCCAGCACGGTCCTTCCGCAGGCGACGGTAGAAGCTGCTACGTGGAGGTTCAACTTGTGCATAATCAGGCTCGGTGGATAGTTGATAGTTACTGGGTGGTTGTGATAGCTAGCTCTCTAGGTAGCTTCCGACGGAGGCGTCAGGGTATTTTTTTCCCGCAAACTCAATCTGGGCCCCCTCCCCCCGCCATCCACTTCCTCACACAGTAATCCATCCACGGCCTACATCGTTGCTGGTTGGATGGAACACATACCACAAACGCAGGAACTCCTGCTTGCAGTGTGCAGCGGGCGAATCGGCTTCACTGTCCCAATGAGACTTCCGCTGATCCTCTCAGCAGTGTGGAAGAATGCCGATGAGTTTCTTTCTGCTTCCCTCCCCCCGCCCCTCCGCCACATGCCGTAGGGTAGGCACGGTACCTCCATCGCGGGGTTCACTGCGCTGGTCCATAGCGACACCGGGTAAATTCGCAATTATCCGGATTCCCCCTTCTCCACACGCACGACGCACGACGCAACGTCATGAATTTAGGCTCTCGCTGGATTCCCACTTTCTTGCCCCGAGCTCGAGACACAAACGGAGTTTAAAAAGTTAAAACAACCGGTGGTCCCGGTGCCTAACGGTTAGGTGAGGTCCGGTGTGCAGGCGGGTTAATTGGCGAAGGGGGGGAGAGGACGGGTGAGTGGGGGGAGGGCGGAGGCGAGGATTAGACGCGCGGAAGACGGATGGGCTGGCTGGCTGGCTGGCGGGCGCTGCCGATTCCAAGTGGCTGCCGGGATCCGGGCGCCGGGGCGGGGGGTGGCGCGTATGTACCGGTACATAGTGGGAGAGGGCCGGGGGTGGGAATATCGTTGCCGCTCACGGATGTGCCGGCGCTGAGCTGCAGTAACCAGTCGAGTCGTGTGCGTCAACATTCGGATTCGGGCATGCGGGGACTTCGGAGATGTGTCCGGAACCCAGGATTCGGGATGATCACTCGCGGTCACTCTGCATGACAGGCACTGGTTCAGCTGGCCCTGGATGTGCCAAGTACATAATGTATCTCATTGCTGGGACAGGCCATGGCGGAGGGCAGGGAAAGTCACATCGGGCCGCGTGATGAAAGTCGGGCTAGACAGTGGCGACGAGATTCGGCATTCCTGGTTGAAAAGGCTACGTCAGATTCATCGTCTCTCACCAAATTCACTTCCACCGGCTCAAAGATAGTACTCACCTAGTTGTGGTATTCTCGGCTTGTTTGTACGGAAATCAAGAAGCAACCAGGCAAGAGTGCCAGACTTTGATACAGTCCTCCAGGCTGGAAACGGTCGTAGTGCTTCTTTAATTTTCTCCCCTTCGTAGGAGGGCCCACGGATGGGGGTGGGGGTGATTAAGCAAAGAGAAATCGATCAATTGTAAAAAACAGCAGCAGAGGTGATGAACTGATGAACTAATGAAGACCGATGAAGGCCGATGAAGAGAGAGATGACGACGTTTGATGAAGACTGATGCTCAATGGATGAAGACTGACAGGAAGACAGAGTAGTGACAACAGAGACAGGTAAACGTTTGGATGACCACATCGAGTCTGGATCAGGCCCCACCAGGTCTCAATTAGGCCTCGTCTCCCCGGCGCTCGCCAACGGTTCCACGCTGCTTCTGCCTCCGCGCTCCCTCAGTAGCCAGCTCGAAGCCCCAGCCGTTATGTTCTCGGAGGGGGGGTTGCAATCGACCCCACCGTAGACTCAGAGCCGATGGGGAGAAAAGCGCTGCATTGCCTGCATAAGACCCAGTATTCAAAGTTCGAGCCGACTCGTAGTGACACAGCTCCGCAAAGGTATACAAATGTTTGCACTCGCGGTCGAGGCTGAACTACCGGGTGGGTCGTTTGGTTGTTTTGTTGGACATTGCAGGTGTAGGGTCGACGGCTAGCCGGACGGACAGCTGGATCTGAGTCGGAACTTCTCGATCGACCCCCCTTCCTCCTCCCCCTCCTCCTCCTCCTCCTCTTCTTCTTCTTCTCTTCGATTTTCCTACCCCACCACCAACAACATTACAACCTCCCCTCTCGGCTATCCCCCTCCCACCACAACCTTCCAGTATCCCCTTCCCCTTCCCTCCTACCCATCCCCTTTACCATCTACTACAAACCCACCCTGGGTACCAAAAAAACAACGGATCTTGACGAGGATGATCCAGTTTTTTTTTTGGACGAGGATAGTCCACATTAAGCGCTCAGCTGCTGTGCTGCGCCACTGCGCCAGCGCAGCAGTGTCAGTAAAGAATACAAGAGAGAACATCATCCTCTTCATTTCGTTCGAAAACTGGATCATCCTCGTTAAAACCCGAAAAAACAAACATGCTTAACAAGCACGAAGTTCGTCACCCCTCCCCCTACTACTCTGATCCACACTAACACCCTCCACTCACAGATCGGAAGGATTCCTTCCGTGCCACTCGGCACATTCAACGTCGGGACGTCCCAACAGAGCAGCTGCCAATGCGAAGAAACGTCTTCCAGCGGTAGTGAGAAAGAATATGACGATAGAGGTAGACATATGATCCTGAGCCTGAGGTTCCCCATATTCCAACTTGGCTAACAAAGAGGGGTTTAAGGTGCCCGTAGGAGCAACTCTCTAGCCGACGCACACCCTCGTCGACAGCATCTTCCTCCGTGGTGCCACCATCAAGAAGAAGGCTAATAAGTACGATGGCGACAAGCTTGGAGATCGCTTTGCGGGCGGAGAAGCAGTCTACAACAGGTAGATCGGCAACGCCCGCATGCTGTTCATCCAGCTTGTGCGTATCAATGACGAATTGATTCCCAAGCATGGATGAAGCGGTCGAAAATGAACTCGATCGAAACAGCGTGCAGTAAGATATTGTGTGAAGCCGTGCGAAGGGCTGGCGGAAGAATTGGGGCTCCCGAGCCCCTCTATATCCAGGCTGCGGCCGCTATCCAATCCGAGATTCAAGGGGAAAATTTATTCTTGAAAGATCTACCGATCGACGGACTGAGATCAACTTATGCTTCGAATTTCACCTGGTCAATGATTCACAGACTCTTTAGTGATTCACGGACTCTTTCAGGAGATGTCTGTGGGCATCATTGACTGGCGTGCGGCCTTGGCCCTTAGGAGATCCCAAAGGCAGAATCTGGAATCTGGAATCTCCAGGCTTTACAAGAATGCCTGTGTTCACCTACACGATCCTGTAAGTTTTTCCATGATCCCATCTGCCAGTACTGAGTAATATTGCACATAGCCTAGTAGAAAGCTCACAAAAGCAATTCTGCAGATATTTGCATCTTTCCGTTCACGTTCCGAAGGAACATCCTCGGGCCATGGCCCTCAAAAATATAAAGCCCATCGCATCCGATGATGAGGCCGAGAGGCCGGGGTCAAAATAATGGCAGTATCCGGCCTTATTGTACACGGTCATGCAACGCCTTCTGGCAACGCAACGCCGTCTCGCAATGCATTGCCATCTCGCCATGCAACGCCTTCTATCAACGTAACCGATTACGTTAAGATCCCACTGAGGCGGCGAAGCCGCACAAGCGCCAACGATACGCGCGGTACACCATGCCTGAGCCACACCCCGTGGTGCCGCGGGGGTGGTGTGGTGTGGTGTGGTGTGCGCATGAGAAGGTGCGTTTTATGTTTTACTTGAGGGTTTTTTTTCAATGTGTTTCAGTTTTTTAGTAGTATTTTCAGCTTGATGATGAGATCTGTAGTAATGTGGAAGTTGTACATCTACGTCCCTAAATTACAAGCATATCGAGACTCCTATCCCTCAGTGGCAAGCGTATTAAGATGCGTTCTGGAATTTCGCTGTAGGCTGTAGTACGGCATGTTCGTGGGAATATGTGTTCAAGCAGTAGCAATACGCTGCGGCCTTGTCTTGCATCAGACTTATTCCTGTCATAAATAACTACACTCCAAGTGCCCATTCCGATTTCAGATTTCCGCAAAACCGAGTGACCAGTCGTGACGGTCTCCGCTCAGTAAACGCGAATACCGTAGCCGCGTCTAGGATAACCCCGCAGCCGACAGGAGCCTTATTCGAACTCCGACGAACTTCAGCCAAGTCCCGCGTTTCCGATCAACGCCCAACGTCCTGAACGCAAACCAGACGCAAACCAGTGCTAGAGTACGTAGGATGAATAGTGACTGCTCATGAGGCGTCATAGACGGTCGCTGCAATACCACCGACCTAGGGAGCGCGGAGTCGTAACCTACATAACCTATGAGTACATATGAGTACACGCATATCCCGACCAGCTCATCTGTGCATTTCCCGATCCGCTGCGCGTTCGAGTGCTACTCTTCATACACTACACTCCCCCCCCCCCCCCCGCCACAACGGAATGAGGCTTGGCCGGCCGCCACAGTGCAGTGATTCATCTTGGCAGGGGGAGCAGGTTTCAATACCTATCGTATGCACAATTTGGAGGGCTGTATTCAAATTCCATAGGTATGTAGAGTAGATATTGTATTGTATTGGACACAAAATTCTCGCTTCCATAGTCCAGAATTCAGACGTTCTGCAGGCTGGGGGGACTGGGGCAGAGTTGATAGCAATAGGGGTAATCAAAGTGTCGTGGGTTGCAAAATCTGTGGATTCGCCCGCTAGCAAAGACGGATTTTTATTGGCCTTTGAGAACCCACAGATCCCACAGAACCCACAGACGGAAACCCATTTGTGGGTTTGCACCAACGAGCTAAGGAACCTCCACTAGACAGAAGATGGTCAGCATTTGCGAGCTAACGAGATTTTAGTGCTTGCTCGGCGGCGGTGTGTATAAAACTTTTTCGCTCTGTACTTTGTACTGAGGGCAAACGAAAGAACGCGACAGGGCAGGGTGTAATCGTACGCCGCCACACCAAAAGTCGTGACCACCACAGCTGGTATTTTTGGTGTTGCAGGCGGTCACGACTTCGTCTTTTGTCCCCCTCAGTACAAAGTACGCCCTAGTACTGCCTCAATGCCTTGTACATTGGAGAGAGCACGGGCATTGCACCGCCGACGCACATTACAATTGGGAACCGAACAGCAACTCGGTGGCAGTGACGATTCGGAGGAGATTTGTTTTTTTTTTGGTGTGTCGTCGCTACAGACTAGTGATCGCGACAAACCCACAGACTAACCCAACTGGGGGAATCAAAATGTCTTCGTCCTCATTAGCCAAAATCAGCACACTAGAAAGCTACAGATTTCGCAACCCACAGCACTTTGATTACCCCTAATGCTTGTATGGAGTGTCCACTGTGAGCACAGTTGAGCACAAACAGTACTGAGCACGCATAGGTATCGGACAACACCGAACCCGCCAAATGCGCCCGTAGCCACGCCTTGTCGCCAGAGCCAGGCTGAAGACTCGTTGTCGGCGGCATGCCGGTAACAGTAACGTACCAGGAGCTGCCAATAAGTGGTGCCTCACCTCCATTACGAATTACAAGCACTAGTCTGTATTGGGAATGCACTAAGCCAGATACAATTAAATGGGTGAGTGGTTGTGACCAAGTTGTATGGGGGAAAAACGCTAAGTTGTAAGGGGGAAAAACTGGTGAGGCAGCACTTACCCTTACACGAGTACATAACTTCTCGGGCTTGATCTGCGGAAGTCGTGGCCACTGGCGAGCCCTGTACACGTATGCTATGATATGCAGGCGCGCAAGAGTGAGTGAGTGAGTGCAACCTCGCCCTCACCCTCACCCTCGCCCTCACCCTCACCCTCGCCCACTCCGCGCATATGCGGAAGAAAGAACAAGCCTTCCTCCGCATCCTCCGCAGTTCAGCCCTTGCCAGCCAGATCACCGCAGGGGAGGGAACCCCTATCTCGATTCTCCACCCGTCCTAGAAGCACAATGCATATCTGCAGGGCTGAACAATGAGTGAACAGTGAACACAGCGGAATGTTGCCAGCACACGCGCGGTGTTCACTCCAGCTGGCTGCACGCGCTGGCTGCGTATTTGCCACCGAGTGAGAGAGAGAGAGAGTGTGTGTGTGTGAACGCACGCCCGACGGACGGATACATGGTAATGACTCCCACAGAGCCCCTGCTCCGCGCGGTGCTGTGACTCGAGTGTTGTATCGGCGGCTTCTCGCCGTGGTCTGGTGTGGCGCCTGGTATGAATGATGAATCCGTCAACCTGGGTGGAAATGTCGGGGTATGTGCATGGTAGTACTCTACTCTACTCCTGCAGATCACGGGTGTGTGTGTGACAGTTGACTTCTGGAGGCGAGTTGTCAGTCAGGTGTGCACAAGAGTCAAGACATGACTGAGCCACAAGACGGCAGGGCGAGTTGTAATTGGCGCTTACTACAGCAGCAGAGTACCTAGCAGGACACATTCGACCATACCGTACCGACGGCCATTTTCGAACCCTGCGGACACCGATGAGAATACATATGGTTCGGATGGTAGGTATGATGATGATGATACCTTACCTCCTCCATCTTTCGTCGAAGAGGGCAGCCATGACGCCAGGTCGTTCGCAAGCCGGAACGCGCGGACACGCATCCGCGGCGGCCTTCGAAGTTCGAACGTCGAAGATAACTATTACTCATAACGATCGGTAGCTGGTGCCGGTACGGTATTTCTGGTAACAGATCGATACCTGGTAAGCTGGTTTGTATCATGCGCAGCGAGAAGGAAACGCCGAGTACCTAGCAGCACTCAGCACTCAGCATGCACCCATGCAATATGTTACTTCTTACCTACCCCACCGAAAAATAGGTAATCCCCCGTGCCCGTGACACCGTTATCCCCTGTCCCTGCCCCTGACCCTCCCCACCACCACCACCACCACCCGACGATTGGGGTCGGCCAGCTACTCTAGCTGCCGCACTCGCAGATGGATCCACGAAACCGTTGATTATCGACATTCGACCAGTGGCCGCAGCGTATCCTGCAGAGTCAAGCTTCTTACCTACATGGACGAGGCAGATTCCGGCCGACGGAGAAGGCGCAGGTGAAGTTGCGAGATCCCTCTCCCCTTTCCCCTGCCAGCGAATCGTGTTACGAAATTGGGAAAAAATGGTGCGCCTACTATGGGTGAGTAGTTGGGGGAGGGGGGTGTGGTGCGCGCAAGGTGTGCTGGATTGTTGCCTATTACTCACGAGTTCTTTGTGTGAGTAAGCCTTGCTCATGGCACGCGTCGACAGAGTGGTGGGGAGGAGGCACATACGTACATGAGGTATATAATCCACCATGGCCCGCCGTTTGGAGTGGATCGTATTCTTACCTGCAATAGTACACTATACATCACTCAAGCCTACGCATCGCATCGATATCCTCGCAACATCACTATAACAAACGCTTCCTACAACGATTGCAGCATCCACACACACATCGAGAGAGAGTGAGAGCACTGTATGCCCGCACCATTCCTTCGGAACCTCAAACGATCGAGTACTAAACCCGCGACGACTCTTGCCTATCCGTCTGTTGACACCTCGCTAGACACCGTCGTCCACCAGCAGCCCGAGCAACAGGACACGATGTTCGTGACCCTCGCCGGCGTGATCCTAGCCGTGCTCTCGCTCCCCTTCGCCGTCTACGGCGGCGACCGAACGATCTGCCGTATCCCGCGGCCAGAGTTCGTGCGGTCCCTGAGCGACCGGTTGAGGAACAAATACCGGGAGGACGCCGAGTCCGATCGGGCCTCCAGTGTTCGCAGTGCACCAACTTCTCCCTCGCTTCCTTCAGCGGCGATCAGGCCGAGCTTGCGGAGGGCCATGACCACGAGTGATGGCATCAGCAGGGTCGAGACTGACTTCTCGGTCGCTTCGAATGATACCTACATTCGGGGGCCCATGACGTTGGAGAAGACGGGACTGGACTAGACGGGAGAGGGGAAGTGATGCTGCGTGTTGTTGTGGTTCTTTCGGTTACTTGCTCGACTCGATTAGATTGTTTTCGTCCTTTGGTGCTGTGTTGATGCTGCATGAATGTCGGTGTGGTTTTTTTCTTCATAGTTTTTTGGCTGGGCGTATAGGCGTATGGGAGGTATGGAGGAGAGGAAGGAGGAATATGGAGGAGACGGGGGGAGGGGGCGGACGGAGGAGGTGACGTGAAGGCGGGACGATGTGGAGGAGGACACCTGGGATTTGGTCATTGGCATGGTCGTGTTTCGATGGGGTGGATTGGGTCTGCTTGGATTTGTTTGGATTTGCGTGTTTTGATAGATTGCATGTTTTCGGAGGGATTGCTGTCGATATGGATCGTGGGCGGCCATCGGGTTGGGAGGGGGGGGGGGGGAGGGGTTGGGTTGGAGGAGGTCAATATCACCCTCGAGCGGTCGTGCAGCGACGGCGAGGCAGACGTACCGGCGGCGGCGGACTGGCAGTGGCCAAGGTCTGATCTGTAGTGTATGATGATGTATGTAGCAATTATTATTGTAAATTTTCTTTAATGGCTCCAGCATTTATAATTGTAAATCTCCTTTTATGGCTTGTCGTTCCCCGTATTCGGAAATGCTCTTCCACTTTAACAACCCTAATAACGAATTTTATATGTTGTATCTCCTACTATGTTGCTGCTCCCTCCTATTGTTTTGCTGCTTTCTCGACCCTCACCACCCCCCCACCCTCCCTCCCTCCCCCTCAAGGCCAATTCCCACCCCCACAGTTCGTTCGCAACATTCCGCACTTGCCAGATCCCAGTACCCCCCAAGAGCGAGCAGACGATGGACAATAGCTTCACAGGAGACCGCAGCTATGCGCTCTCACACAACGCTGTTGTGCCTTCGTCCCCTGCTCCCCCGCTCCCCTCACGCACCCCCCTCGCTGCTCAGCCCTCCCAGCAGGATAGCCCAATGTTCCCGGACTTTGGGGTCCCCCTAGGGGACGCTATGGAGGACATCGAGGAGTTCATGCAAAACATTGAGCGTCATGGGCTGATCCACATCGATGAGCAGCAGGCCGGCCCCCTCGAGGCCCCCCAGCTGCAGAACCCTCACCCACCCGCAAATTCCCCTCCCCTTCTCTTTCCTAATTTCTTCCCCGCAGCTAGTGAGCCTGCTCAAGCTCCACACAGCCCCGCGCCTAGCAATCCCGACTGGCTGTTTGATGGTGTACCCATCGGCGAGAACGTGGGTGTCCCACTACTCGACAACCGTGACCCACTGGCCGTCTTCGCTTCCAGCTGGGATGACCTTCAAAAGAAACAGACCGAGATCCTCCACCAACAACAGAGGAGTCTGAAGGAACACTTGGATCAGCAGGAGAAGTTCAATGTTAGACACCCGCAAACCTTGCCCCCTCCGTCAAGTCACTTCGTCCTCGAACACTTGTTCCAATGCTAATACCTATCCATCTATCCTGTAGAACTATCATCTCAGTCAACAGGGAATGGTCAGGAGCTTTATGGATACGTACGTCGCTCGGCTCAACTCTCAGTCGAAAACGTTGACTGCCCAGCCAGGTGGACCCGATCATCTACGTCACAGCTCAGCATTCGGCCACCCACAATATGTTCCCGGCTATCCAAGTCCGTCGCAGGCAACTTCTTCCTCGACAACGGCTGCTCTGAGCTCTTCTAGAAAGCGACCGAGAGCCTCTTCAACTGACAGGACTGATACGATCAAGTCGCAGACAGCCGGCCAGAGTACCGTTGCTGGCCAGGTCAGCAACATCGCGTTCGACTACTTGAAGATGTTCGAGCATGCGCTTAGTCAAGATACGGCGGTGCTTCTCAGCCACCAGCCTAGAAAGGCTCTTACTCGTATCGTTGAGTGGCTGCTCTGTGACAAAACTCTACCGGATGTGTTCAAGGGAGAAATCAGAAGGAGCCTCGTCCGGTCTGTCCGTTCGGCCAACAATAGGGACTGCGATGGCAATAATTCCTGGCATCGCCACTTCATCCTCCTCTGTGCAGATGTCGGCGAGGACATGGACACCTCAAATGTGGTGACCTGGCTTGGAAGGTTCTCAAGAGATTCTTTGCAGTCCATCATCTTCAAGATTATGACGAGTGGTGTCACGCCTTCCAACACAGTCTTGGAGCTGCGCAAGTATTGCATGGAGAACATCGTAGCAAGCACTGACAACTTGGCCCGGTATCCAGGCGTTTCGCCTGTATGGGTGACACAGCAGAAGGAGGACAACAACCCAATGACGAGAGGAAGTATTGGAACGTTCAAACTGTCACCGGAATGTATAACGTCCGACCACAAGCTTTCATTGGCCATCACTGATCCCATACCCATAGGCTTATCGAACGTCCTCGCATATCTTCCCCTTCGGGATATACTGATCCTGCTTCTTGGAACGTGCAGAACCTTCCGCGCATTCTTCGACCTGAAGGGAGTCTGGTCCAAGGTGCTCATAGATTCGAAGGACACGTTTAAATCCGGCGCTAATTTCATGCAATTTATTCGTCGCTTGCCCGAGACGTCGATCCGCATGTTCACCATGGACGTCAGTCTCCTCAATATCGAGGGAGCGGTTGAAACTGCAGATCTGCTTGTCCGCAGGAAGCACTGGCAGCTGCAATCATTGCATATCGTCGGCAAGAAGCTCACTCAAGCCGCTCTGAATCAGATACTCCGACGCCTCTGGTCGGATGGCTTCAAGGTCCTGTCGGTTCATGACATGTCGGCCAACAAACTGGACGCCAACCAAGCAACAAAGTCCGTGATCTCTCATGCACTGAATGTCCAAAAGCTGAGGCTTGATGCGTCGTTGGACCTAGAATCCCTGAGAAGTCTCTCGGGTCTCCATGCTAGTGGCTTGGTGATGTCCGATAATCGAATCACTCACCTGAGCTTCCTGGGAGCTTGGAAATCTGCGATTCATTGGGACGAGTTGAGGTGCTTCGGTACTTGGTTTCCGGAACTGGAGCGCCTGTTCGTAGCTACCATCCTCTCTTCTCCTGATTGGGTCGATAAGTTTGCCCGCGATGACAGCGCAGAGGGCCTCCGCACTCCCACCGCTCAAGAGATCGAATGGCAAGACATTCCACGCCTCAAGTCCTTCAGCGTCGAATACCTAGGCGAATTAGGTTCACGGGCCGTCAACAAGGTACCGGATAACGTTCATGCCGCATATCTTTGGGCGTTGGTAGGAGGCAGCAAGGGAACACTCGAACGACTGGAAATCGGTCCACCCGGTCCTGAGGTTGAGCTCAAGAAGGGTGAGCATCATTTGGAACATCGGAATTGATTGAGTACTAACCTGAACATCCGAACAGCACGCAGAAGCGATGGCGCGCAGTCAACTCCTATGGTGAAACTCTCGCCCGAGGAATTGGACGTGCCTCCAATAATTTTCCCCCAGCTGCAGCACCTATTCCTTAGCCATTGCGTTATCGAATGGAACTACCTGTTCACCACGGAAGACGATGCGAGGCATGATCCCCCGCCGCCATCGCCTATTCTGGTGATGCCTCACCTCCGCACCGCCAACTTTTACCGCTGCGAAGGTCTTCCCGGCTCTGAGGTTGAAGCTGCTCCCCCTAAGAAGAAGAAGGCTTCAACTCCGAAGAGGATCCCGTGGCTCGACAAACTGCGTGAAATGTGCCCTTCTGTCGACGGTTGCGGAGATGGCAGGAAGGGTTACCTCGGTTCCGGCGACTGGTAAATGCGATCATGCAATACCCATTCTTCCTGCCGCCGCACTGAACTTTGCAGGTGAGTTGGCTAGTTGCTGTCATGATTTCCCGTGCTATTTTCCCGTGACATCCGTTCTGCTTTTTTCTACTCAGGTTTTTTTAGTCAAGTTTACTGTCCTCTCCTACTCGAATACCTAGTTTGCTTCTTTCATCTCCTTACACTGTTGTTGAGATTTGTTTTTGTGGAACGGTGGTGGCATTTTTTCCACGGAGTGGTGGCGTAGTTCTTTCTCTTTCATGAACTTGTTAATTCGAAGTTGTCTGTTTTTCTTGTCTTGGTTTTCTGGTGTCCTCGTTTGAGAGGATTTGGAGGGATGGTTGCATACTTAGGGAGTTTTACGGCAAGGAGATCTTGTTTTTGTGCGATGAGGTACATACAAATGCAACTGCTTTTTTTTTGTTTTACGATCAATCGATATACTCATCATCGCCCCCATTTCCTGTGTGTGGAAGAGTCGATACGAGTGACACATTGTGATGAGACTAGGTAGTCCTGCCCAGCCGCCGCATCACCGCACGTGCGAACGTGACATCATCCCATCCCCACCCGCAACCCCAGAAAAGCGAATCGTTTCATCTTTGGCGATCACGATTCACGACTCACGAGTCACGAGGGCATGTAGTAGATCCTTTTCTGTTCATCCCATACCTGAAATGTGCTCGGAGACTATGTGGGGAGTGGGGTTTGAAAGGTAGAGTAGTGCATAAATCACTCGGCACCCGTAATTGTAATTGTCAATGTGGAGGAAATGTGGAGGAAATGTGGAGGAAATGTGCAATGGCGTCATGGCGTTGCGCTGCGTCATCGCGCACGAATGGGATATCTATTATACTAGAGTTGTTATGATAGTACAGAATAGCTATGATACTATGTACAGAGCGAGAGCGAGAGGGGGGGGGGGGGGGCACGGGGGGACGCGGGTGACTCCCGGTCGGAGGCCCGGTCGGAGGCCTGAAGATGGGATGGGATGGGGCGGCGGTGGGCACTGCGCACTGCGGCAGGCCCCAGGGGAAACGCTGAAGCTGCGTCGCTGCGCGTGTGAGCGCGTTTCTGTGAGCGTGTTTGCGTTCACGTTTTTGTTCGCATTCCGGCTTCGTGGGGGGTGGGGGGATGTTTCGTTTCGTTTCGTTTCGAGGGGGAGGGGGAGTCTAGAGAGGGTGGGGGAGGGGGGGGAACGGCTGTGTATCGTGCTCTGCTTGCAATAGACAGCAGACTCTGAGAGTCGAGGTAGTACCCTGCACCGGACGGCGGGCGGCGGACATGCTCGGATGTGCTTGAAAAGTCTAGGCCGGCGATACTCTATGTAGAGTATGTTACGGTACTGGCCCCCCAGGCACGACCATGCGATGCGCCGGGCCGCTGTACCCACCGTATGTACCTGCTCTACCTGCCTGCTCCACCTGCCTGCTCCATCACGTACTTGTGATACTTCTTTGCCTTCGCATCGTCCCATCCCTATCTCCCTCTCTCTCTTTCTCTGTCCCTCCCCAAGTGTGTCTCTCCCTCCCCCTCTGCGTTCGCCACTACCACTACCACTACCACCGGGAACTACGGTACTCTACAAACCCACTACGCTGCCGAGTACCCGCTGATGGCCTATGTACGAGTACTAGTAATCTTCACAGCTTCCTTCCTTCCTTCCTGCGCAGAGCATGACAGACAGCGTGTGGCACCTTCTCGAGAAAATTTTCGTACGTATGTGCGTATGATATGTCGCTAATCATGTGGAGTACCGTAGTTGTCTGCCTACATACGGTACTCCAGATACGCTGCCCACGCGTCTACCGGTATCCGTACGCGATGAGGGCGTGCGTGGGTGCGAGCGAGAGAGAAGGCGTGGTGGAGACAGAGGGAGGGAGGGAGAGGTGGATGCGTGGGCGTGGGCGTGGGCGTGGGGATGGGGATGTGATGCAAGTGCGTCATGCATGCGCATTAGGTGGTTATCTACATACATATGATATTTCTTTCGCCTCGCCTCGCACCCGCGAATGTCATCATGTCATCCCGTACATTCATGGGCGCTGTAAGGATTGAGCCTTGAGGTCGCGACTCGCGAGACGAGGCGGGGCGGGGTGGGGGGAAGCGGGTTGGGGACGGGGCATTGGGCCTGGGGCACATGGAGTATGATGAGTATCGGTATGCATTTCCGTGGCTTCATCGCATCGGTACATGCTTCGTATGGCAGCTGTATCAGGAGGGAACAGTGAAGGAAGGAAGGAACGAAGAAGGAACGAGATATCCTATGATACGATACGTACCACAGAAAGCATCTCCTCGTACCTACCAGTTTGTAGATACGAGGAATTTCTTTTATCCGATATCGAATGTTTCCCCCCATCCCCCCACCCCACCTGACCCATTCCCTCCCATTCCTTTCTTTCCTCTCCCCTCCCCCCTCCCCTCCCCCCTCCCCTCACCCGATCATGCAGCCGTATCGCGCATGAATCTGACTCTTTCAACATCGACAAGGAAAAAACCTCGGGATGCAGCCAGCAATCAACTCACCGAGCACCCGTTTGTTTCCCCCCAGCCTCTCTCCGCATTCCGGAATCCCCGATACCACCACTGTATCTCGATAAGGTTCCGTTTTCTGCGCAGTGCAGTTCGTGGGGGAGAGACGGGGGACTGGGAAGTATATGATATGTATGCGCACTGCGTGTGTGAGCGGGGGCATGGGTTATCTATCCATCGGCTGAATGTCGAAAATTTTGTGAGCGACAGCAATATGTATGTGCCACCCTGTGCTCACGCCTGTGCTCACACCCGCCGCCCTCTAGACCCGTCGATTCGTTTATGGGCTGCTTGGTCTCACTCAGCCTTACGGGGCCTAAAGCCTAAAGGAGGACGAGATTAAAGAGCCGAGGAAGGGCGAGGGCGAGGGCGAGGGCGAGGGCGAGGGCGAGGGCGTGGTGAGGGTGAGGGCGAGGTAAGGGACATGCGCGCCGGTGGCGCGGGATGTGAGGACTGATATGTACCGTAGATAATTGAATGGCGATGTTCCAATGCGGTGGTGGTGGTGCTGGTAGTGGCAAGAGTGGTGGGAGCTGTGATAGGTGCTATAGCCGACTCACTGGTGCCTGAAACCATCGTCAGTCAATTATTGGTACGAGATCCGAGTCATAGACGCGGAGATATAGGGGATACACGAGTCGTTAGGAGAAACGATTCTCGGCAGAATTTGTCGGCGGCGGCGGTGGTGGGGAGGAACTTCGGTTGAGGTTGTATACCGTACCTGGGCGCCGTACCTAGGCGATTGACGGGTGCTACATACCGTAATATGTGCTCGGAGGAGTAGAAGGAGGAGGAGGAGGATAAGGTGTCGCTGCGATGGGGCGCGCGGAGGAGAGACAGAAGCTGCGTGTTGACCATGTCGTCCGCTTCACGCTTTAGCTGAGAGACGGAGTTCACGATGCAAGGGAGATTGAAACCCGACCTGGAGTAGAGTACCTGGAGTATGTCATACAAGGCCAGCCCACACGTCGCAAAGGTTCTCTCATTCACCAGCCTTACGTGCACCATACAGAAACTCGATGAATAGAACATTGCCGTAAGTGAATAGGGCAAACCAGGCGCGTTGTAGCCTTGTAGTGAAGCACTGGGGACGAGATGACCCTCAGGCAACTTTGATAAAAAGATAGAAGACCGATTGTATTTTACTAGAGAGAACACGACACTGAAAGAAAAGAGCCAGCTGTGTTCTTCAGGTGATGAACCTGTACCCCGCGAGTTGAATGACGAGATGTAAAACTAACTGGTGATGGTGAGGTCTATGATGGTTGAGTATGTTGGCCAACCGATCAGACGAACATAAAAAGTAGCAACATCTCAACGTTGGAGCCAACCGGATCGGGTCTGGCTCCACGAGGCCCACAGAAGGTGACCAGTGACAGGTGCCCGCAGCTGTCACTCTGCTCTAGGTACTGAGTGGCTGATACCTTTGGCTGTCACCTGTAGCGCTCAGCGGGCCGCATCATTGTTGGAGTCTGGACACTCCTGAGAAACTATTACCTACCTACTATCGTTCTTCGTCCGCCTTTTCCCCCCGACGTCCCCGAACGACTCCTCGCTCCGTCCTTACGCCTTTGCCGTACACTCTCTCTCCGTCTGATCCCCATTCCCCGTTCCCCGTGGCTACGGTACTCTACCTACCTTCAGCATCCTCCGACCGGACAACAACAACAGCTACCGATATCTCCATCTGGAGTGGACTCGCACTCCAAACAAACACCCGCCCTTAGTTACCCTTAATTACCGACGAACCTCAGACATGTCGCTGTCACTGTCGCCGTCGGGTCGGAGGCCGAAAACAGTTTCCGCCGGCACTGCCGCGTTCCCGGAACACCTAGCACGCCCACATACCCGCACTAGGAACCCGGAAACCCCGGAAACCCGGAGACCCGGAAACCGCGTTCCCGACGACACCATGCTAGGTGCCTACCTATGCTGGACCCCAGAGTCTGATGGGGCGGGGCGTGGGCCGCGCCGGGGCACTGAAGATCGTCCGACGGACGTTGCGCCGTTGGCGGCTCCTGTGTGCGGCATACATCTGGCGTCTTCCCCACTCCCCTAACTGATCGGCCTCTTCAACGGTCCCGCGTTTCCCGGGCCGATTAACGGCGGCTATGGTACGGCCAACGGAAATCAGCGGTAATGACCGTAACATGTCTTCCACGTACCGTACGCGGGTACAGTACCGGTATGTTACTGTGGACTTCCGCGATGGTTCGACATGATACGGCACCGGTACCGGTAGTTGGTGGCTGTCGCTCGTTACGGCCATTTGCGCTGTGAAGGACGAGGATTCGGTTCATTCCGTTGACACGCGGGACACCAAAAAAAGTTCGCTTTTTTCTGGCGATTCCCGTCGGATCTGGCCATGCGATTTGGCTCCCAGATCAATACGCATCCAGGCGCGCGCCCTACCTGTCTATGGATGTCGCTGTGGGCTGTGCTTACTACATACCGCTAACTAACGGTAACTATTCCTCTCCACTCCTCTCCGCTCCACTTCGCTTCAACAACGATGTATGTACGTATGATATGACCTATGATATGACGGACGGTTACTTAGCATCGCCGAGGGATCGAATATCGATGACACCAGTTTATGTGGTCGTCGTCGCAAGTACCCTACTATAACTGCACCCCAGTACCTGGCCGGTATGTAACCACTCTACGTACTTCAGCAAGTTCATTCGTCATGGACGAGTTGGCGGGATGGGTAATTGTTGCCCTCCGTCACACACACACACACACACACACACACACACACACAACTGTTCCGTTCATGTGCGAAGGGAGAGACATGACGGAATCTGCGAGTGCGACTCCGATGGAGAGAGAGAGAGGGAGAGACACTTGCTCGAGACATACTGCAAACACTGACTCCGAGAGCAGCCGTCTACATAGAGAACTGAAACATTTGCTCGATAACTGCCGAGTACCTAACCAAGTACTGGTTCATGGTACGAAGTGCCTGGACATCGAGCCTAGGAAAATTCCGGGCCCGCTGTACATACAGCATGTGTACTTTCTACACACTCTAGCGCCTGGGTCAGCCAGATCTCACGATGCTTGCTCAGGTTTCAACGCCCCGTTGGCGATGGTCGTAGGCTGATTGGCGAAGGTGGCTGCAGGAGGGGGGGGAGGGGGGGAAGGTTAGGCCAGTCAGCCAGCCAGCATCGGGTCGCCGGTCTACCGAATGAGACTCTACCTGGAGTGGGAATGGCACGGTCCTTGGGCGAAGTGTGTGTGGCTGCAGGTGCCATGTGGATTCTGTGTTGCGTTCAGCGCGATGAGAGGTGTCAGCTCTGAGGCAGAAGAAGAAAAAAGCCGATACGCGCACCTGAGTGGCCTGGATGGCGGAACACGTACCGGTACGTAACTACACGGTACCTCACCCCCCACCATAGGTACCTAATCCAATTGCCCCTCCCCCTCCTTGCCTCGTCCATTCCCCTCGCCCCCCTCTCCTTCCGAAGCGCATTGAGCAGTCGATTTGCGTCATCTGTGGTTTTTATCGCGGCGTTTCTCGGTGGCTTTCACCTGCTTCTTCTTCTTCACCTTCCTTTCTTCTTCCTCGTCTTCGTCTTCGTCTTCTTGCTCCACCGATACATACCTCTCTGACTCTGCTCCAGCGATCCCATAGGTCGGCGCGGGTAGATTTCCCGTTATCTGGAGAGAGTTACTTTATCCCAAGTCCCACTAAAGCCTGGGCTGCGCTGTAAGCCTGGCTCACTCGCATCAATCACATCCATATCCCCACCCCCTCCCCCCTCCTCCTGCTCCTCCGTTCCGCCGCCGCGCCGTCTCTCTGGTATAGTTCGCCCTACCCCCCGCCATAGCGACACCGCTGCAGACTTTGTACATACATACGCAGCCCAGTCCCCAACCATGTCGAGTGGAGTAGGAAACTACTCAGCTTTGTACTCCATGTGGATTCTCTCTATGTAGAGTAGAGGACGCCTCGGGAGTATGGCCATCCCTACTGCGACTCCCACTACTGTTGCTGCCATGCGTACCGAGTGCAAAGTACCCACGTATGTATGTGTGTATGTACTCGTACCTACCCGCTACATACTGGTATACTGCCATCCTACCAAATCGTGTACTCTACCTGCCCAACCCAAGTCTGCAAGGTCCTCAGCTGTTGATGTTGTGGTTGTGCAGCGCCTTGCATGGTGACGCCTCTCTGATTGGCCTCTACAGCCGGATTCCCGCATATGTAGTAGGGCGCCCACAGAGTCGCGAAAGAATCACCACCACCACTACCACCACCACCACCACCACCACCAACTACCACAACCACCACCTCCACCACCACGCAGCGACAGCGACTACGATTGCGACTACCACTACTACTACTGCTGCTGCTGCTGCTGCTGCCACTGCTATTACTACTGCCATTGCCACTGCCACTGCCACTGCCACTGCCACTCCACTGCTACCACCACCACTACTGCTACTGCCATTACCACCTCTAGCCTATCCATTGCCCACCTCCCACCCCGCCGTCGCCGTATGGAGTACGGTCCGAGGTCCTCGTCAATCTCCGACCTGATATAGCCCTCCAGCCCTCCAGCCCTCCACTTTGTAACTTACCTCCTTTACGTTTACGTCGCCTCGTATCTCTGAGCATCATCGTCATCTTCGGAGATCAGCAGTATTTTCCCCGGGCCGCTGAGACTGAGAGGGAGCAGAGTTGTGTGCGAGAAAGAAAGATCTGCAACACACTACGCAACTGCCCGCTGAAGCGAAAGAATTCCGAAATCTAGGAAAATCAGGAACAAGTCTTTCCTGCACCCCCCAGGTAGCTCAGTTAGTGAGTAAACCAGGCGCGCACCTCCCACCACCGCTGCCCCCCCCCTCCCCCCTCCCATAAGACTCGACAGCCCGCCGTCTGCGAACACCCACGAATTCGCCTGTCCTTCGAGAAAGAAAAAAAACGTAAAAATTTGGTGCAGCTGACCATCTCTCTCTCGCTCTCTTCCAGATTCCTCTCGCACATAGGATCTACATACGCTCCTACTTCCGCCTTACATCCCCCGCCGCCGCGTACCACTATACAATATATCGTGCCGAATGGACGAAACGCTCTAAGGAACACAATTCAGCCCGATTTTGATCGTCTTCGCGTCTCCTCGTCTTATCTTCCCCTCACGCCCTCGTCCGTCCGTCGGTGCAACGAACAAAGTCATGGTCGACTATGCAGCACCATCATACCAGTTCCCGGCGCGGAACTTGAGGCCGCAGCCGCACGGTGGCGCATCTGGCCCGCGGACCATGTCGATGAACTTGACCTACCTCGCCCCACAGAACGCATATAGAACCGACAACTCCTCGCAGTCCCATTCGCACCACCTACGACGCACCTCTTCGTCGGGCATCTATTCTGCCCAGCAACAGGCAAGCCACGAGGCGTACCACCCACATCAGCAGCAGCCGCAACAGAACTATCAGCCATATCCGCCGCAGCAGAACCTTTACACCCCCATGCCGATCCACAAACACCGGTCGAGTACGGCGTCGACGGGCACGGTGAGGAGTAGCGCTTCCTCGACGCAACTCGGGCGCTCGTGCAGTAACAACACCACCAATTCCATCCCCGGCCCGTCGAGCAACAACTACGTTGCCGCGCTGCGACGACAGAAGGCTACGGTATGGTGCGACAAGTCGCAGCAGGAGGACCCGCGACTCGTTGCGTCGCAGAAGGCGGCGAAGGCGCGTGCTGCCAAGGACGTGGTTGGCCCGTCGTCGAGCGCTTCCAAGGGAGGCCTGGGATCGAGTTCGAGCTCGAGCACGTCACTGCGCGGCAGAGCTTCCGCGCACCACAAATTGGGCAAGACCAATTCGCACACCGTAGTCGGCATAGGGGCGAACAGTCTGGTCAATCAGCCGCCACCGCGGCTGTCCGCCACAGAGGCGAACGACGACAGCGGCGAGGAGGACGAGCTCTACATGGGCCAGCACCGGCGATCCGGCTCCGGGTCCGGAAGGTCCTCGCTGAACTCGAATCACCGCACCTACGCCAACGACCGCCGCAACTCGTCGATCGGCGGAATTCACCGCACAACCTCGACCGGCAGCGGCTCGTCAACCTACTCGCCCAACCTGTCCTCGACAGAGCTCAATGAGCCCTCCTCGCAACCGCGAGCGGGAAAGACCAACAGGACGCCTCCGCATTTCGTCCCGTACATCGTCGAGGAATCGAATCCGCGCGTCACAATCTCCGGCGGCGGATATTACGAAACGTCGTTTCCGGCGTCGCCAGTCGATAGGAATGTCGTGCGCAGGAGTGGCAGCCAGTTGAGAAGGAGCGGGAGCGTCGATGAGGGCGAGGTCAGGACTATGACCATGAGCGGACTCCGGCTGGTGGTTGCGAATCCTGACTAATCCTAGCACGCCTCTGAGGAGGAGGCGAGCAGGAGGCGGGAGTATCTCATTGTTTGTTTTTTTTGCCATCTGCCGGCCGGTGTTCTATGGGTCCTTTGGTGTTCAATCGTTTTTGTGTCATTCGTTTGGTTTATTTCTGTTTCGCATGGATACTCTACTAGGGAGAGTGGTGGGGGGTAGGCGGCTTTCTGAAGCAACAAGATCTCGTTCGTTTGGGGGCAGCGGGTGGGTGGGGGGGTGTATCTTTTTTTATCGGTGTTTTATGCTACATCTGGGCAAATGGAGTTGATTGTGATTGGTTTTGATACCTGTAGCGCCTGGTTTACTATACTGTCGTTTTGGGGAATTATGTATCGTGTTTGATTATCGATTATCGTGTGTCTGGATGCCGGGCTGCCTGTCTGTCTGTATTTTCCACTCCAAAAAAATAAGGCTGGATAGGTTGGCTGCAATACCTAGTTGTTGGTGAAGGTGGACGCTGGAGATGTGATGGATGGTGAAGGTGTCCATTCACGCTGCGATTCTATTGAATATTCCCATGTATGTATCATACCTGGACATATGGAGTTATATTACCATCTCCTCCTAGCATTCCAAGCACTCGTGAGTCCCGACTGTCCATTATCTCCATATCGCCATCTCCAGTCCACATCTGATCATCTCCCCTCCATATCCCACATCTCCCATGAGTTTCGACCCACCCCTCGAGTGCACATGTATGACTCCCCACTCCCCACTTCCCATAGTTACCACGCACCCGCCAACCGGTCCAACCGTACAAAACACGCCAGAGGTCTTGGCAGTAACAGCCGTATGTAGAGTAGCAGCAGCCGTAGCAGCAGCCGTAGCAGCAGCAGCGGCGGCAGCAGCAGTGGCACTTGTCACGTCGCGCACACGAAACTTTATGTCTTTCGCGCCTTCTGCCCGATCTACCTACTCTAGAATAGAGTGAACACCCTGCACCACCACGACCACCACGACCACCACTAGGTACCACCGCCACTGCCATTACCACGGCCATTACTACGGCCATTACCATTACCACGACCACCGCGACTACCACCGCGACTACCACTACGACGGCCACCACCACCATCACCTTCATCGGCTACGCGCAACCCAGCAATCCCACGCGAAGGACGAAGACGCGAAGAATTTGAAGGAATTGACAAGAACGGAGAGAGATGGAACCCGCCATGGCACTGTCACAGCCCTCCGCAGCCAAACCCGCCAAAGGCGACGTCTCGACCCAGCTCGACACGCTAGCCCTCGCCTCGTCACCTCCTCCCCCAGAAAGCCGTAAGAGACCCGCCGGGGATGACGGGGACCAGTCGGGGACAGGGCCTGCTCCGCCGCCCACGGTGAAGAAACCGAAGATCACGGAGGAGGAGCGGAAGGCGAAGGAGAAGGAGAAGGAGGATAAGCGGAGGGAGCGGGAGGTGAGGGAGCGGGAGAAGGAGGAAAGGAAGCGGGAGAGGGAGGCGCAGGTACGTTTTCTCTTTTTCTGTTAAGGAGGGTGAGGGGCGAGGAGGGTGGGAGAGGGCGGAGGCTAATTTCAAGAGGGTAGAAAGCGGAGAGGGATGAGAAGAAGCGGATCCGGGACGAGGAGAAGCAGAAGAAGGACGAGGAGAAGCGGAAGAAGGAGCGCAGCCAGCCCACACTGAGCATGTTCTTCCGGACGCCGAAGAAAGATCCGTCAGCGTCGGCGCCGGCGAGTGGTGCGAGTGCGGGTGTTGCGACGGTCGAGCCGGCAGCGGAAAAGAAACTGCCCTCGTCGGCGTCCGGTGATTACCTGAGAGCCTTTGGACCTTTCTTTGTCAAGACGAATATGATCGTGGCCCCACAGAGCCCCTTTCTAAGGGATGAGCAGGCGAAGGTGGCGATCAGTAGGGCTATCGATGAGGCGTTGGGGTTGCCGAGGGACGGAGCGGCGGATGAGATGGAGGTGGATGATGGGGAGGAAGTCCCCCCGGTGCGCAGGGTCACGGCGGAGGAGATCGCTGAGCTGCTACACATCCACCCGCTCAAGGCGCGGGCACGACGAGGGAAACCGATGGCCTTCACCACTCGAGACATCCTGGCACGAATCGAGAACCCTGACGACCCCTGCCTACCTCCATTGACGACGACGACGGGCCGAGCCACGAACGAAACCTACGACTCCGCCTTCTACCTCAAGCTACTGAACGAGCTACCACACAAATTCCTCAGATTCGCCGAGGACGTACGGCCGCCGTACAACGGTACTTACACCAAGACCCCCGAAACCAGTGGCCTCCGCTCCGGCAGGAAACCGTTCGATAGAGCTCTTCCGGGCGTAAACTACGATTACGATTCCGAAGCGGAGTGGGTGGCGGATGACGAGGACGGAGAGGATCTCCTTAGTGAGGACGAGGAGGACAAAGACTCTGATGGCGGTGATTCATTGGACGGCTTCCTGGACGACGAGGAAGACACGGGGCTGAAGCGGGCTCGGATGGCGGTGCTCATCGCGACGAATTCGGGAATGTGCTGGGAGGATGCGGCGGGCAGGGCAGCTCGTCCGGATCTGGAGGAGATGAGAATTCGGTTTTTGATGGGTTAGTTGACGACACTCCCCCCCCCCCCACCCCTGGAATTGTGCTCCGTACGAGAGAGAGAAATGCTGATGTGATCGGTTTAGACGGCATATCTGCTCCCATCGACCCGTTTTCCACAAAGTATTGGGAGCCCCAAGCCTCGGCAGAGAGCAAACGCACCTCGGCCTCAACCGCCATGGAGCCTCCACGCAAACCCCTCACAGCCCTGAACCGCACCCTCCCAGCTGTGGCTGCGGCAGCGGCGGCAGCAGCGGCGGCAGCAGCAGCGACCACAGCTTCCGGTGCTCCAAAGAAACTGGTACCCCCAGAGCACATGGAAGAGTTCAAGCGCGCCATCGACGGCAGCGACATGACAAAAGCCGGCCTGATCGAGGTATTGAAAAAGGCCTTCCCAAAGATCGGCAAAGACAACATCAAGAACACGCTCGACCTGGTTGCGGAGCGGGTAGGAGAGAAGAGGGACGATAAAAGGTGGGTGCTCAAGTAACCCGAGTACACACTTAGGTAGACAACATGGTGTTTATGTGTGCGTGGTTTGTTGCATGGAGCGTGTGCTGCGGATTTCTATCTATCGGAGATGGGTAGACGCCTTCTTGTCTTTTTTTTTGTGTTTTCGTGAGATTTAACTTGACGGAACGGAACCTTTTCTTCTCCTTGCTTGGTTCTTATGTATGAGGGCGTTTTGAAATTGTTCTATACTACGATAGATTAGGTAGATATGTTGCGGCGCGGCGGTTTTTATCACGCTGCTCCACTGCTCCACTGCTACCTACCTAGGTGCCTACCTGTTTGCACGCGGCGTTGGATATCTCCTGGCAGTTGGTTACATGTCATACGCGCCAAAAGAATCGAATCGAATCATCAGGGCGTGCTGTCTGTCTGTCGAGCGGCCATAAAAACATTGTCCTGTCCTGTCCATCCATCCACCCCCACTACGACAGAGTGATCCGTGATGCAGCGCACTTGCATTCCTCAAATTGAGTCGTGAAGAGAGACAGCAAGGGGACACCATAATAACCACCAATAACCACCAATAACCACCAAAATATGATTAGGCATGTATGCATGAGTTATGGAGACTGGAGAGGTGGTTGGATGTGAGGGGATGTGAGGGGGAGGGGCACGGTGTTGTACAACCATGGAGGAGGATGTCACACGCAGCGGTATGGAGTAGTTAGTTGCACTTTCACTTTCACTTTTGCTCGGCTCTTTCTCGCTGGTTGAATTGACTTGACTGTACTTGACGGAAAATTGTCCGGTGGAATGTACTCGGAAGGTGAGGTAGTACCCATGGCTCCACTCGGTATTATGCGGAGTCCGGACGGGGGCGTTACAATGTTCGTTTAGCTGCGGCGGCGATGGTGGCGGAGGCTGCGGCGGCGATGCGGCGATGTGGCGGCGGTGGTGGTGGGGGAGAGTGGATGGGGAGGGGAACCATCAGCTTCACCGTGGACTACGCATCACGGGATCTAATCCGAGCCAAAGCAAAGTAACCGTGGTGCAAGTGAGCAGCCACTGCTCATTTTATGCGTATACTGCCAGTTCATCTCCTCTACGAGCCTCGCCTCATCTCTCGCTAGTGCTGGCGTTCGTCGGTGGAGACCGAAGACTGAAGACACGTTGTTCCTCCGGATAGGGAGAATTGGGTTGTGTTCATGTGCTGCTGCGGGTATTTAGGCGTGTGTGTTGGGTGATGGTGGTGGGGCGAGGGTGGATCATAGTCATCACTCGGTGCTCGTTCTTTGCGTCGATCCATTCTTCGCGTCAATAGACAGACAAGACAAGCCAAAGTCAATGGCAGTGAGAGCAGTGACGGTAAAGGCTCAATTGCGGCTGTAAACTCCTATTCTACCTGTCTACCATTGAGATTTTTTATCCCCGACGTCTCGCAACTTTTTGCTCAATCCAGCACCCATTGACTTCTGCTCCACGCCGCACACCGGCGGGCTTGGAAAGCCTTCGCCTTCGCCCTTCCATCCATCCATCCAATTCCTTTCCTTTCCCCCCCTTTCCCCAGCCATATGCATCGCCAACTCCTGAGTCCTAAGACCCCCACGCATTCGGATAGCACCGGATTCGCCATGTGTCTGCATATCCGCAAATGGAATCCTGCCATTGCGGGCTTGTGGGGCTTGCATGGAGATGCATACGGTACCTGCATCTTGCAGCCTGCAGAGCCGGATTCAATTCCCCCACTGTGAAGATCGACGTATCATACTGTTTTTGTTCCTAAAGTGAATACCTACACAATTGCACCTCGTGGTGGGAGGTGGATGAGGTAAGGGGAGTCGTCGGATGGGCAGTGGGCACGACGAACTTCGAACGGACGGATCAGTCCACTGTGGCGTTTTTTGGGTGGACATGAGGAAGAGAAATGAGATGCGCAGGACTATTCCCAGAACGTTTGTTCGCTCGTTCGCTCGTGGCGGTGGGGAATGGGCATTGGAGGGGAGACTTGGGAGGAAGTACATCAGGCCCCCTATACTTCGGAAAGCTTTATGGTGCCCTCACCCCCCCCGCTCGTTTCTCATTCATCCCATCCTCCTTCGTTGCTTGCCTGTCTGTCTGCGTTTCGTTTGTTGCCTGTCTGTTTGTCTTTTGCAAAGAGGTGCTATACTTCTTGCCACTCGTTACTATTACTTTTCGCTCGCTCCGTCACTCGCTCTGTGGTGAGATCTCCATATCCTACCAGCTCCCATATACCAGAACTGATCACCAGTAGGTAAGCAGCCATTATACAAGGCTACGTTAGGTCCGTCTCAATGTCCACGTCTACGTCCACGTCCTCGCACTCCGGCTCAACCCTATCAGAACCCGACATCTACTGGGCAGCAACGCGAACCCGCACTTCCTCCACCGTTGTTGTACCCACAACACACCACAATGCCACTTCCACAGTAGCCTTCACCCCAGCCTTCACCCCAGCCTCGATCACCGGCGCACCCACGCCCACGGCCTCCACCGCCGCGAGCACCTCCGAAGTCCAACAGCGCCTTCCCAGCGCGGCGATCGCGGGTGTAGCGGTGGGCACATCGGTCATCGTCATCCTCCTCGCACTGCTAGCGGCGTTCCTATTTATCCGCCGGCGACGAAGGAAGCAGGTGCTGTACAACCGCAACCTGTTGCGGAGTAGCATTGCCGTATGCCTTCCTCTGGGGGATAGCGGCGGCGGGGGGAAGTATACTGCCGCGGCGACGAACACGGAAAAAGACCAGCCGCGCGATCTCAACCACTCCTTCCCCATGCCGCCGCGGGGCGTGCGGCCAACGCCCCGGCGGAGCAACAGCATGCCCGCGGTCGGCCGGTCCGGGACAGGTGGTATCGACCAACGCACCGCACCGCTGGCGCCCCTCGCGCCGCCTTCGCGGCCCGCGCCCCGTCTGGGCACGCCACAGGGTAGCGGGCGGCGCGGGAGCCACCTCCCACAGCTATATGTGTCAGCGTCGCCGTCGCTGCCGGGCGCGCGCTACCCGCCGCCGCAGTACCCGCCCCCGGAGACGCCCACCATCCCGTCGCGCGTGTGCAGTCTGCAGTCGCAGACGCGGCCCGCCGTGTCGGTGCGCAGGCCGAGCACGCGCAGCTCGAAGAGTCACACCCTGGTGCGCTCGCAGTCCCGCTCGTCGGTCGCGAGCAGCGCCGGCGTCGTCGTCGGCCCCATGGTCACATTTGTCCCTGGTGCTGGGAGGCACTCGCTGCCCGACGGGATTGTCCCGGCGATGACGTTGACGCCGCGGACGAGCGCGAGCAGCCTCATTGCCCACCATGGGAAGGTCATTGTCGGTGCGGCGAGTAGTGTCGAGCCGCTGGCGTCGGCGCCGTCGTTTCAGGATATTAAGGAGGAGGAGACGCCGGTGTATACGCGGCAGTCGGCGGCGAGGAATTCCGATGGTGGAGTGAAGTTGCCGAAGACGTACTCGCCGTATCCGGCACCGGCGGCAGTTCAGTCGCGGGATGGGCTCGCCAACACGCCGCTGCCACTCGAGTACAACAAGGCGCGGCCTAGAGATAATGGCTCTCGCAGCAGCTCACCGCTACTGACCGACCGCAACAAAGCGCGAGCCAGCGATGTCCGCAGCATTCCATCACCGCTGCTCGAGAACAACAACAAAAGGAGCCGATCACTCGGTGCATGGACTAATCTACCACTGCCACCACCGCCGCCACCGCAGAACGACGACCAAGGAGACCGGCCAGTGCTGGAGCGGCTCTCGTGGGACGACGATCCCATGCCGCTGGGTCTTCAGATCCGACGGGAGAGCTCCGCGTCCGTCCAGCCGGTGCCGGCTAGCAAACTGCCGGTCCGCAGTGTGGCGAGCTATGGTTCGCTGCATGAGCAGGCTTCGCAGACGTTTCATACAATCTCCTCGAGAGCCGGGTCTAGTGCTGCGTTGATCGAGGATGCGGCAAAGGAGGAGGCGACGCCTGACAATAGTGGAGCCAAGATATCTCGTACATTGCCGGGAAGCTGGTGGCGCGGTACGTTGTAGGGGAAATGTAATGGACCGCTTCTCTTCATTCTGTTCGATGGGGGCTGCGGGGAGAACTGGGTTTCTTGTGGATGTTGCAGGTTGCCATATCGATTCCGCGCGCTTGATAGCTTGATACATCATGCAGTCCCCTTTCGTGTAATCATACTCTTGTAATAAGAAGCCCTTTAATTTCTGCGGATGATTTCAAAACTTTTGCCCCTACCTACATATCAGAACTTCCTACCAAGTAATATACATTATGCTCCTAGTCGAACATTATTGCGTTTCTCCCCTCGCAGATTTGAAGGCTCAGTTCCGAATCCAACTCGTGCACGCCTGCCTTATTCGGTCCGCCGCCACTTCGCCTCATCCACGGCTTTCGCATCGTCCGTGACGGCATCATCGACATCCTCGCCCTCCTCCCTCCGCCGTATACTCCCCGCGCCGGGGCCAAGAATGGTAGTCAACTCATCAGCATCCTCGAACCTGAACTGGTCGACATTCTCCGCGGTGATCCAGCCTCCCTCTCCAGGGAATCCCTCCAGCCTGGGCTCATCGCCGTCACCCTCACCCTCGAAGATGATGCGGTCCTCGTCGTCGCCGTCGTCGGAGGTCGACGCCGCCGAGTGCAGGCTCGTGCACACACTCAGCTCCTTGAAGATCGTGTCCGCAATGTCCTTCTGTGAGATGTCGCCGTCGCCGTTGCCGGACGCCCGCGGGATCAGCGTCAGCTCGAGCAGCTCGTCGTCGTCGTGCTCGTCGCTGTTGGACGTGTGCGAGATGTCCGGCGTCAGAGAGATCTGCATGTACAGTCCGGTGTCGGAGTGAACGCGCTGGATCGCGTGCAGCGTGAGCGAGAGGTAGGGGATCACTGCGCCGACGGAGAGGGGCTTGTTGAAGAGGATTAGGTTCCTGGAGAGTAGAGAGGTCGCGTTAGCTCGGTGGGTGGAATTGAGGAGGAGGAGGAGGATGCGTACTCGTTGGTCACCCAGAGGTCAATCCCCTCCACGGAAAGCTCGCCAACATCGTCGCCAGCGGTTTTCGCACCGAATATCGGGATCAGCGAGGCCTGGTCGTTGGATACGAGGACCTTGCAGTCGGCTTGGAGATGGTGGAGAACGGGCGTCGAGAACGAAGCTGGAGTCTCGGACTGGAAGGTCGACAGCGCGGTGTACGACTCCACGTCTGGAGACGTCCTGATGATTGTGAGATGCATTTTGTGAGGTGATGGTGGGGGTTTTGGTTGATGAAGCTCTGATACCGGTGTGTAGCGGGGTGGTTTGCTATGCCTGCACCCGTCTGGTTCGGCTGGAGCTTCCTCACCACCACTCCGCGCAGAGCCGCATAACTACCTCCCGGCGTTGGCCATTGCATCACTCGGCATGTTCCGATCCACAGCCCCTGGCCATTCTACCTTAATTGGATCCGTGTCCCAAACGACGAATAAATTGGCCAGCTGCACGGCGTGGCCTTCTCCTTACCGGCCAGCCACACAACCCCGTCCTGCCGCAAATCCGAACGGATATCCAGAATCCCGCTGCAGACGGACACAACGGCACAGTCGATGGATGGGCGTTTCGACTTCATGGACATAAAACTCGCTTGCATTCCCCCAACCACCTCCTCCACCACCACCCATATATCCTCTCTTGCCCACGGTTTAGTGCCATACTCGATATCATACCTCGTCGAGGCTGGTCTATGTCGGGAAGGAATCGTATTTCCCCTGCATCAGACAATGCCCGCTTTTGCCTCTGCGATTCCCGTCTCCGGTGAGCCCGACGTCGGCCCGGACGCCTCGGGCCAGTCTGCGTGGTCGGTGCACCTCGTTCTGGGGTGCGTCGCGCTCGGCTGGTACATTTTTAACTGGGTGGTCTGTGCTATTGGATATTCTCGGATGTAGGTTCTCCCGGAAGCAACCCTTCGATCGAAGCCTAGATGTTGTGTTGGCATTGTGGACTAACAATTCCGGGTTCCGCAGATTCCGAACCTACAACAAGCCCCCACCTCCGTCACCACCGGTGTCAGAAAACGATGTCCCCTTCGTAACGATCCTCCGCCCGATCAAAGGCTACGACCCGAACCTCGACCTGTGCCTCGCGTCGACATGTCTCCAGGACTACCCGCAGTCCAGGTTCGAACTCGTCTTCTGCGTCGCGACGCCGCAGGACACCGCGATTCCAGTGATCAACCACGTCCTCGAGCAGCACCCCAACGTCAACGCGCGGCTTCAGATCGGCGAGGAGGACGTGGGTCCGAACCCGAAGATTAGGAATCTCAACAAGGCGTACCGTGAGGCGACGGGGGATATCGTGTGGATCCTTGACTGCAACATCTGGGTTAACCCCGGTACGTTGAGACGGAGTGTGGAATTGCTCGAGGGAACGAGGAGTCAGACGGGTTACAAGCTGGTGCATCATCTGCCGATTGCTGTAGATGTTTCCGATGTCCGCTCGTATACGCCCGATCACTCGCCGAGGACACCGTCAACCGAGGAGTCGTCCAGCTCGTTGCTGCGAAGGAGCTCGGTCACGCCGGGGGCGGAAAAGAACTGGTTATCGGGTGTGCTGGCCTATGGCGGTGGCAGACTCGAGGAGAACTTCCTGTCGAGCTCGCACGCGAAGTTCTACTGCGCCATCAATACACTCTCCGTCGCATCCTGCGTGGTGGGGAAATCGGAGATGTTCCGGCGCAGCCATCTCGCCGAGGTCACCCGCGACGGAGGCGACAAGGACGGGTTGATGTACTTCTCCGACTACATCTGCGAGGACCACCTGATATCCGAGAAGCTCTTCCTGACCCCTCTGGACGAGGAAGTCTCGGGCAAGCGGAAATGGCGCCGCCACGGGATGGGCACCGATCTGGTCTTCCAGCCGCTCGAGGACATGCCCGTGCGCGATTACCTTGCGCGACGGATGCGCTGGATTAGAGTCAGGAAATATGCAAACCTCCCTGCAACGTTCGTCGAGAGTCTCACGGAGTCCGTCACCTGCTCGCTCATCGGGGGTTACGCAGTAACCTCCATCCCCTCCTTGGCGAGCCGTGTGGGCTCCTCGTGGATGAGCTTCTGGGGCTTCTGGATCATGAGCATGGCAGCGTGGGGGCTCATGGACCGTGTGCTGTTCAACTTCCTGCACGCCCACAAGTCGGTGCCGGTCGACGACCACACGCCAGATTTCATCGCGCGGCATAAGGGAAGGAGTGCGATGGAGTGGCTGCTCCAGTGGATCGGACGAGAGGCTTTCGCCTTCCCCGTCTGGCTGAGTGCGCTGTGGCCCGGCCCGATCAGTTGGAGAGGAGGGCTCTATCGCATCAGGTGGAAGGATATGAAAGTCGAGGAGTTGGGGATGGATGGTAAGCGGCGCCGGGATTAGTCGAATGCGGGCACAGCCGCCGTCGACCGTTGTATGTATGTATGGTCGTCACGAACTGACGGGACCGGACCGGAACACGAGGCATATGACATTTGGGTTTGGATTTGGATTTGGGTGTATTACTGTAGACTTTGGCGTGGGAGCGGAAATGGTTGGGGTGTTTGCATTCGTTTGTTTATATGCGCTTTTTATCATTATCGATTATTTAGTTGGATGGAGGAGGAGAAGAAACGGATGTCGGCGGGCTAGTGCTGATGGCGACGAATGGACGAGGATTCCTGATCTCGAGGAGCTGAAGATTTGTGCCCTGACTCGGAGCATCACTGTTATTGGGTCACCCTTCCGCATATGCTTCTCGCTGGATATCGAATCGTGCGTGTGTATTGCCATGATGATAGCTCGCATGCAATTAATGATACACCGAAAGAAATGGACATCGCACCTATCGTTGCGCGTAGAGCCCTTCGGCAAGGTACTCCGCGGGCGCAGGCGAGGCGAGTGGCGGGTGCCCGTTCGTTACTGGCTCCGCAATCGAGCTCAAGTGCCCACTGCCCAAGTGCCATGTACCGCACTCTATCCAGATTCCAGCGGCATTAATCACGATTCAAAATCAAGCATCTTGCCGCCACCACAGCCAGTCATCTGACGATGTCGAAAGCCCATCCCTCCCGGCCCCCTTTCCACCCCTGTTGTGGTGTGGTGGATGACATCCAGTCCGCGCCTCCCTCGGATGTGCGAGCACACGAGCATCTACTGTATTCGAACAATTCTCGCTGACGCCGTGAGGCAAGCACACTCTCAATGTACCGATCTGCCGCAGGGGTTCCACTTCCGTCGAATATCACCCACGAGGCCCAGAATTGGAGCAAGCTGCCCCATGAACCTCCGCTTCTTCCCCTCCCATCCCGTCCCACCCACCGCCGCGCGCCGCCATTGTTGCTGATAAAGGGGTTTTGTTCTCGGCGGAGCAGACGAAGAACAAGATCGATCTTCGTGTTTCGACCCGGCCGAACGCGTTTTCTTGGACGCTATCTGTCTGTCTGTCGCCGCCGCCGCCACCACCGCTCACTCTCCCACCGCCACATCTTGCCCGCCTACTAGTTAGTAGTCCGCGATGAAGTTCGCCAAGTCAGTTCGCCTAGATTGCTTCCCCTGCCTGCAGCGACCATCCTGATGACTGACTCGGTGCTGTGTGATACGATAGGACCCTCGAAGACCTTATGGTCCCGGAGTGGCGGACGCAGTACGTCGAATACAAGGTTCGTCGCACTTTGCTAAGCTCCCGTACCGCTCGATGTATGTACCACCTCTGACGACATGCCGAACAGGTTGGGAAAAAACGCATCAAAGCGACAACAAACAACCTCCGGAATGCAACACCATCACCAGCGCTCACCTCACTGCGGCGCACCGCATCGCGCGTCAGTGGCACCGGCGGCGTCGGCGGCGGCGGCGAACCAAAATCGGGCGGAACCACACCGATCGGGCGTGTGCGAGGCCTCTCGATCCTGCGCAGATCGACAAGTTTGATGTCGCGCTCGCCGAATTTGGAGCGGACGCCACGAAGCCCCGGCGCCGAAGCCGAACCTGAGGTTCCCCCTCCAGTGACGTTCCAGGAGCGATCACCACTACAGCCGACGCCCGTGCAACGCCCGCAAACTGCCGCCAGCTCCATCGCCGCCCCTGCTAGGAGACCGTCGGTAAACTATGGGTCCTCCGGGTTCTCTCCTAGCTTTTCGCTACCCAAGGTTGCGGATGAGAACCATATGCGCCCGCCGAAACCACCGTCGCTGCAGCTGCCCGATCCCATTCAGCCGTTTGGTCCCCCCGGCACTTATGATGGCGAGGGAATTTCCCGCGGTCCGTCTGCGATACTAGTCAAGAGTGCGCCGGTTACGGGGCCGAGTGTGGAGGCGGGTCGGCCGGTGCTTGCGAGGTCCGAGTCGAAGGGGTCTATGATGGCGGCGAATCCGCCGTTGCTGAAGCGCATCTTCACGTTGGGGAGGACGCCGGTGGTGCCGCCGTGTAGCGATGAGCCCACGATCGAGGAGGTGCAAGCGACTGCTGAGAAGGAATTTCTGAGCTGGCTCCTCGGACAACTTAAGAAGTGTGAGGATTTCTACATCAAGCGAGAAATGGAATCGTCGCAGCGCTTCGACGACATGCGCGAGCAGCTGGATACGATGCGAGAGCGCTGGTTCAAGGCGAAGCATAACATCCCATTCGAGGAGGACGACGTTGAGGACGTGGGCGATGATGAGGCCACCTCCGGACTCGAGGCTTATGACTCCGCTTCGGTGGATACCACCATTGGCCCGAAGAAGAGGGTGGGATGGAAGACATTCGCCGAAGCTATGAATGGCCTCACTCGACCGCATCCAACCATCGCGCAGGTCAATACGGCGGTCATGCATCATGGCCACGAGGGGACAAGGGATTACGTCCGTCACCTGCCCGTGCCGACTCGCAAACCGCTCAACAATCCCGCCCACAGAGTCGCGAAGCGCAAGCTCAAGCGGGCGTACATCGAGTATTACCACGGACTCGAGATGTTGAAGTCTTACGTCACGGTCAACCGAGAGTGTTTCCGCAAGATCACCAAGAAGTTCGACAAAGCCAGCGGATTGAGGACGTCGCATCGGTTCATGACGGCATACGTCGACAAGAGTAAATTTGGAGGCGCCGATAACGACCTGGACGATATGCTCAATGACACCGAGGTGTTGTTTGCGCGGTTCTTCGAGAGGGGTAATAGGAAGGAAGCGTCGGCGAGGTTAAGATCGAGGGAGAGTAAGACGGTGTACTATAGAGCCGTGTGGATGACGGGATTTTACCTTGGATGTGCGTTGGTTATTGGTGTATATGGGCTGTATAATGCGATGATCCTGCTTTACGATAAGAATCAGCCGGAGCGAGCTTTGCGGACGAGCTATCTCTTACAAGTATGTTTTCGTTCGCGCGTTACCGGTTGGGTCAAAGCTGACGGTGTGGCAGATATGGGGTGGTGTTGTTTTGCTACTCGGCCAGACGTTACTGTTCGCCATCAATCTACGAGTTTGGACTCGCAACAAGATCAACTACGCCTTCATCTTCGAGTTTGACTCCCGACATCAGCTGAACTATAGACAGTTTCTGGAGGTTTGTTCTATGGGTGTAAATTGTTTGGGCTGATGCTAATTATTCGATGTAGTTCCCCGCTTTACTGAGTGCCATCTTCTCTGTATGCTTCTGGTTCAGCTGCCACGATTTCTGGAATGGCCGCATGGACATGATCTACTGGCCAGCGATTTTCGCTTGCATCGCTGGTGCCCTCCTGTTCAATCCTTTCCAAGTGTGCTATTATCACTCGAGGCTGTGGTTCTTGGGCGTGCTTTGGCGACTATTCTTCTCCGGATTCTACCCGGTCGAGTTCAAGGATTTCTGGATGGGCGACATGCTGTGTTCGCAAACCTATGCGCTAGGGGTTAGTTTGACCTTCCAGTCACCTAATTCACGACTAACTATCCGGTGTAGAATATCTCACTCTTCTTCTGTCTTTACAGCAATAGGTGGGATAACCCGGCGCAATGCAACTCCAACCACTCTCGCCTGATGGGATTCTTCACCGCTCTCCCCGGAATCTGGCGTTTCCTCCAGTGCGTCAGGCGTTACAAGAACTCGAAGATGTGGTTCCCGCATCTGGTCAACGGCGGAAAGTACCTCTTCACCGTCTGCTACTACATGACCCTCAGCATCTGGCGTATCGATAAATCCAACCAAAGCTTCAAGGCGGCGTTTATTGCGATTGCCAGTGTGAATTCCATCTACACCACCGTATGGGATGTCGGTATGGATTGGTCACTTCTGGACCCATATGCGAAGCAGCCCTTCCTCCGCAAGAACCTCGGATTCAAAAAAGCATGGCCTTACTACTTAGCCATGTTTGTGGATCCGATCCTGCGGTGCACGTGGTTTTTCTACATCGTGTACGCGCACCAGCTGCAGCACTCAGCACTGATGTCCTTCATGCTGGCCGCCGCCGAAGTCCTGCGACGATTCATGTGGTGTTTCTTCCGCATGGAGAACGAGCATGTCGGCAACGTCGGCGCAAACCGCGCCTACCGCACCCTCCCGCTCCCCTACCGCTTCCCCAGCGAGACCCCATCATCCACGACCGAAGAGGAAACCGAACCCATCGACATCACCAATGCACCCTCGGAACTCGATCTCGAGCGCACCGATACCCTCCGCCGCCGCTCCTCGCGCAACAACGCGCCGCCGCCCAGTCCCATGGTCCGCACTATCACACGGGTCGGAAGAACGGTCAATCAGGCACATTTGCAGGATTACGAGAGGAGACGCACGGATGATCATGAGGAGGGCGAGGTCAGTGGCGAGAGTGACGATGAGGAGGACGGAGAGGACTACTATGAACGCACGAGAGAGGCGGAGGGGACGACGAGACGCGGGAGGGCCGGGACTGTGGGAAGTCGCATGTAGAATATTGGTTGTTTTGTCTGTTGCTTTACTGTTCTAAAAGAGGGGGGAGGGGGGGGGGTATTTTCTTTGATCTCTACTTTGTAGTCATTTGCTTGGATTTAGTTTTCTTTGGAACTTTTAGTTTGTTGCGTGGAATTTGGGGGGCACATAGATGAAATGATGGGGGTACACATACTGATAATGATAAGACGTACGGTAATTGCCGTGATGATAGAAATTACTTCCTGATATCATACTCAGACGAGCTTACATACTACTAAACCCGAGTGCTCGCCGATGATCCCGAAGCGTGCATCGCTAAGCGCGAAACCCGTCATCCCATATTTCCCCCACCTCAATGCCGCAGCCACAGCCACTGCGCCTTCTCCTGCGGCGCCGACCGCCTGGTCCGTACCGACTCTTCAGACCATTCACTTCACGACGCTACACCTCCTCGCAATCCACGAGCTCAATCGAGACGCCACCACCGCCCACCCAGCTTCCACCCACCCACCCCTCCACGCGCCTCCAACGCACGCTGCAAACCCTCCAGACGACCGGCCACGGCCCCTCCTCGCGCATCGAGCTCGCGCTCCGCGGCCTCGAGCAGCGCGATGCACCCACGCGCATCGCCGTGATCGGCGCCATCGCCACCATCGTCCCCTCCCTCCTCAGCCTCGCTTCCTCCGCCGCCGAGGATGATCTACACGCCTGGATCGCAGCCCACGACAAGCCCGGCCGCGGCTTGTTGATCCGGCATGGAGCGGCGCCGAAACTCACGACGCCCACGGGCTCGCCGCTGTCAATCCTGACGGTACCAGTGCCGTTCTTGAAGGATGTGGAGCTTGTGGCGACCGCGCACTGCGGCAGCGATCCGCTCGTGCCGGTGTTTCAGGCCGCGGATGTTCCCGGCTCAAGGGTGTTTGAGTACCCCGTGCACAAGGCGGTGTTGTATGCAGGTGAGGGGGCGGATGGGGTTAGGAGGCTGGTGGAGTTCCCGGTGCAGAGGGGGGAGGGCGAGGGTGTGTTAAGGGTGTTGGCACTGCCGGGAGCGGCGAAGGCGGTGGAGGAGGGGAAGGTGATGGTTGTGGATCCGACGAGCGGGCAGGCGGTGGAGCGGGTGAAGGAGTGGCTGCTTGAGGGGACTGCGTCGCCGGCCGATGGCGGGGTAAAGCCCGTCGTCAATGCGCTCCTGCGCGACATTCTCTCACATGCCCGTCTCTCACTCGCCTCGGAGCTCGTCGAGCCACCGCCATCGGCACAACCCGCCGCGGAGAGTGACACGGCCGAGACCCTTGCCGCCGCTATCGGCATCTGGAGCCACTCCGCGCACCTCGAGCTTAAGTCCTCGATCGAAACCGCGTTCGCGAGCAAGGAGTGGAACAAGCTGCACTGGTACAAGCTGCCCTACCGCATCGACGACGTGCCGACCATCGCACGGTACATCCTGAAGACCGGGTTCCTGCCCGAAGCCGAGGGGGCAGCCACATTCCTTGCCGGACGGATGCTCGGCGCGGGATACAACAAGGGCGCGCAGATTCGGACCACCACCGGCGACGTGGTGCAGTCAGATGGGAACATCGCGCCGACACATATCCCCCTCCAGCGCGAGGCGGCGGTGAATGAGCTGGTGCCCGTGCTGCACGCGGCTGGGCAGAGGTTTTTGTTCAAATCGCTGGGTACGACGGCGCAGTTGGGCGCGCTCTCGGCGCTACTGGTCGCGGAGGATGTGAGCTTGTACTCTGCGCTTAGTGTGGCGGCCCTAGGGACCGTGGGGAGCGCGATGTGGTTGCAGAAGAGGTGGGGGAGCGAGAAAGTGAAGTTTCAAGAGGCGGTTAGGGAGAAGGCGAGGGTGGCGGTGGTGGAGAGTGAACGGTGGGCTTGGGGGAGGTTGAAGGAGGGATTGGTGAAGGTGGTGGATGATGAGGTGGAAAGGGAGAGTAGGAGGAGGAGGATGGTACTCGAGGAGGAGATCAAGGAGGGGCTAGAGATATGTAAAAGTGAGAGCATATGTAGAACCAAAGGCCCATAGATCAAAGTCCTCCATCAAGTATCAATCATTATCGGTGATCGCTGGCGGTATATTGCCTATTGACGCTCGCCTGCTAAGCGATAGCACCACCATATTCACCCAACCTCGGGACCTCGGATCGATCCCAGTAAACTAGGTATCTTCCCCACATGTCACCTGCCAGCCTGAGTTATGTGGATGTAGCTCCCATTCCATAGCTTTCCCCAGACATTTGCTTCTTCCCATCTCCCCGTTGGCCCGCAACCACACAACCACGATGACGTCTCCTCCACCCCTCACCAACCTCCGTGTGCTCGAATTCGCCGGGTTGGCGCCTGGGTAGTTAAATCCCATTCTGCTACATTTAATCCTGTGCTTACATACATATCCAGTCCCTTCGCCGGCAAGCTCCTTGCCGATTACGGCGCCTCAGTCCTACGAATCGACCGGCCCAGCAGCAGCGCCAGCAGCGACCTCCTGGCGAGCCGCAAGCGCAGTCTCCGCGTGGACCTCAAGTCCGCCCCGGGCATCTCTTTGATCCTCCTACTCGCGCAGCGCAGCGACATCCTAATCGACCCGTTCCGGCCGGGAGTTCTCGAAAAGCTCGGTCTCGGTCCCTCCGTGTTACTCGCAGCGAATCCGCGGCTGATCTACGCGCGTATGGCCGGGTTCCGGCGGTCAGGACGGTACGCGGCCATGGCGGGGCACGATATCAACTACATCGCTGTATCGGGGGCGCTAGCGATGCTGGGGCGCAAGGACGGCACGCCGTATGCGCCCGCCAACATCCTCGGCGACTTTGCGGGCGGCGGGATGGTCTGTTTTGTGGGCGTGCTGCTGGCGCTGCTGCATAGAGCCGCGACGGGGATGGGGCAGGTCGTCGAGGCGAATATGGTCGATGGGAGTGCGTACCTGGCGAGCTTTCCGAGGTTTGCCATGTTAAATCCCGCGGCGGGAAGGGGTGGCTGGACGAAGGGTAGGGGCGAGAATTTGCTGGACGGCGGCGTGCCGTGGTATGATACCTACAGGACAAGGGATGGCGGGTTTATGGCTGCGTGAGTCCCCCCTTTCCCCCTCCAGCCGCAGGCTTCCCGGACTGATAGATGGGGGAAACAGCGGCCCACTAGAACCGCATTTCTACGCAACCTTTCTATCACTGCTCCTACCCGCGCACACCTCCAAGTCGATCCCAGACCGCGACGACCGCGCCAACTGGCCAGTGCTCAAGGCGCTCTTCACGGAGACATTCCTGCAAAAGGACCGTGCGGAGTGGGAGAGGATCTTTGACGGGAGCGATGCCTGCGTCACCCCCGTAAAGACCTACCAGGAGCTGCGGGAGGAGGGGTTCGAACATGCGCCTGTCGTGACGCTGAAGGAGAGCCCCGCGTTGCCGGCGGGTGAGGAAGCGTGGACGGGAGCGGCGCTCGCCCCGGGGCAGGGTGGGAGGGAGGCGCTCCAAGAGTGGTTCATGCTCGAGGAGGGGAGGCATTGGATGGATGTGGAGGAGGGGGCTACGCTGGTGGTGGGGAAGGCGAAGTTGTAGCTAAGCTGCCCCGGGAGATCAATTGGCTGTGGCGAGATCTCCAAGAGGCCGAGGGTCCAATATCTACTATATATATTGCGTTTGATACCAGCACAAATCGTACGAAGCGGGTTTAAGCTTACTGAAGAGAGAACATCAATTTGTTGCATATGGCTTATATAGACACTATGGAGACCTGGCTGAGCTTACCAGAGAGATAAATTGAGTTTATTGCCGCATACGGCCTTTATAGACGATGGCGGCCTCATAGGTGACCTTTCCTGCTAGCTCCGCACACGAGCTTATTACACATTAAAGATAGGCCGATGTTGATTGTGACATGTTTGCCTGATTCATCCTTTACGGATATCACTCGTTTGCTCGTATCGTTGTCACGCGTTTGTTTCACTGTTTGTCGTGTGTTTGTTTCTCCTACATCTGCCGACTTGTGGCTTGCTCATATCTCTCATGTTCTGACGACTGTTTGCTCTCATTTCTGTACGATTGAGGATCTGCTGTCTTGGTACCTATAAAAGGGTCTGATACTGCCCACCTAGCTAGACTTCATCTCAGACATCTTGTTCGGTCGAATATCATCACGCATATCCACCACCAAAACTTCAACAGCCGATCTTCAAATATCGCCGAGTGAGAACTTATGATTAATTCATGCTTCCAGCCGTCCATGTCAAAATACAAGCAAGTTCCAACATCAATAGCAACTCGAATGCAATTCAATTTACATGGCGCTCTCTGCTTTGTTAGGACAGCTGTGTACTATAGTGTAGCATGTTAGCACAATGGGAACTCGAGTAGCGATACGTGCTAGACTAGCGGCTACGGCGGACGCGTGACGCCTGATCACGTGCCTGAAGTACTTTACACATCTTGCCCTTCGCGAATCGCGACCCGTTTTACACTTGGATCGACCAGAACCTGACAACACAAACACCCAACAACAACAAATATACCCACAACCCATATACCTAACAACACAAACAATAGAGTGTCCATTCCGCAACAAAATCCACGTCTCAAGACCATCGTAAATGGCGCCTCCCACCCATTCCCGTTCCGCGATCGCTACAACGCTCACCGCCCTTCTTCCGTCCGACCTTGCGATCTCACTCTACCACATAGCGACTTCCCCCTGCAAAACCAAACCTCTGTTTACGCCCGCACCCAACAAGAAGCCATCGCCCACAACGCTCGAATCGCACTTCATCGCAATCTCGCACGACGACGTGCTCGCCTTCGCGATCGAGCTGCTAGTCTACACCCTCGTGCAAACCGGCGAGCGGATAATCTTCGTATCCAAAGCCGACAGCAGTGGCTACCTCCCGCCGTCCGCAGCGTCGTACAGCACCTCCAGCTCCTCCGAAGCGCGCATATCGCTCGTCCGCAGCGTCGCCGAAACGGCAGTGCGCATCGTCCTCGACGGCGCAAAGGCGGCAAACCCGGAGGCTAAAATCACCGTTTCTCTCTTCGCTAGAAGCCAGTCCGCATACCTGTTCCCAAACTCGTTCGAGAATAAGAATAAACATGTCCTTGAGGATAGGGGGCTGATCGCGTGGTGGTGTCGTGTGCTCGATCCCGTGTTTCGGCAACACTCGGCCGCCGCCGCCGCCGCCATGACCGGTGGTGCGAAGGCGTACCTGCTTGTCCCGGGTTTTGACCGACTACAGACAAAGAAGCTGTTCCCAGCACACGTCGACGGTGATACGGCGGAGTGGATCGTCGGCCACCCCCTCAAGATCGATCCCGAGCGCGACCTGCTCGTCCGCGAGATCATCCCGCATTTTCCGGACGATCCCAAGGCTCGGTTTCTGGACGAGCTTAATGGCGACGGAACTGGGAAGAAGAATGCCAAGTGCACGCAGCGCCCGAAGCAGTGGGCTGGGATCACGACGGTCGAGCACTTCTGGGACCTCATGAGCATGCGCTCAGAGTGTGCGGGCGGACGGTGTGTGGGGTTTATATGGGTTGTTATAGAGGGCGATGGGAGTGTGCGGAAGACAAGTTCACCGACGGAGCCAGAGATTCCGCTGAGTCCGCTTGAGTTGGGGAGAGAGACATCACCGGTTTCGAGTTCATCCCCAGTCACACCTTCACCTCCATCTGTCCAGCAAATCGACTCCGACAGTTCGAACTCCCCACCACAGCCCACCGCATCCCCGCCGCCATCCGGACCGCTCTCACCGCCACCACTAATAATCCCCCCGCTCTCATCCTCGACCTCGACCTCCCCCAAATCGCCCAAGAAGCGCAGCCACAGCACGCTCCTTATGTCGCCGCGCAAGAAGAAGCTGCGCACGCTCGATACGGAGATCTTGCAGCGCAAGCAGCCACTCGTCAGCTCGGCGGTGGTGCTGGACGAGAAGCGGTACCAGCGCACGATCGATGCGCTGCTGAACCATACCGACTTTAAGACGCTCGAGCACGCCAAAGCTGGGACTAGGAAGTGGGTCCAGAGCTCGTATGCCGTCGTGAAGAGTAGTAATGTCATCATTCGCGACGGATGGGATTGGGGCGAGGTCGTCACGGGTAGCCTCCAGAGGGTGCAGAGGGAACGACCGATGGAGTCGGTCAGGGCCGGGGTCAATGTGCTGGCTGTTAGGAAGAGGGAGACCGCGGCGCCGGCCGTAAATACGCTGCTTCCGAGGAAGAGGGAGAATAAAACTGCTCCCGTCGTCAACACTTTACAGCCGCGGAAGAAGGAGGCTGCCGTGGTCAACACTCTGGTGCCGAGGAAGAAGGAGGCGGCGCCGGTGGTGAATGTACTCGCTGCCGGACTGGTTAGAAAGAAGGAGAAGCCTCAAGAGAACGGCGAAGAGCCAAAGGCCAACGTATTGGCCGGTGACCTAGTGAAGAAGGAGGTGGAGGAGGAGAAACCAGTGGTGGAGAAGAAGAAACCAGTGGTGGAGAAGGAGACACCAGTGGAAGCCGAAAAGTAAGGCGCATATGGGGATTATTTTTTTGCTTGCTGTTTTGCTGTTTTGCTGTCTTGCTGTTACCCTTTGCGATTTATTTTATAGGAATGCAGCGTGGAATTAGATGAGTGTATGATAGTTAGACCACGATTTACGAAATGGATTGCAGCGGTTTGTAAAATAGACAGGACCTTTGTGATGCTTGTGGCTATGCTCCCGTGATCGTCAAGTCACACGTCCTCACTCACTCCAGCATATCCATCACCATTTCCTCCTCCAACATATCTCCCTCCTCGGAAGTCTCCTCCTCCATGACCCTTCCCTCCCCCCTCATCCTTGGAATTAGATGAGTGTATGATGGTTAGACCACGATTTGCGAAATGGATTGTAGCGGCTTGTAAAATAGATAGGACCTTTGTGATACTTGTAGCTTTTCCGGTGATCGTCAAATCACACCTCCTCACCCAGTACAGCATGTCCATTCCCATTTCCTCCACCGTCTCTCCCTCCTTAGATTTATTGGGGAAGGGAGCTTGAATGTGGGGTTTTGAGAAAGACTGACGCTTTTCCTTTCCATTTAGTCATCTCATTTGTTCTTCTTTCTTTCTTTCTTTCCCTTTTTATGCGCGGATAGGCCGGGCGGAGAGCAATAGGGAACCCACATCGAGCTCTTGGCCAGCGGTCGGAGACAGTGGGGTGGAACTAGATGTGTATATACTAAGGTCGAATGCTACGATGATGAAACAAAAAACAATTACCCTCCTCAGAAGTCTCCTCCTCCATGACTCTCACCGCCTCTGCCTCCTGTTCCTCTTTGATCCTCAGTTAGACCATGATTTACGAAATGGATTGTAGCGGCTTGTAAAATAGACAGAACCTTTGTGACACTTGTAGCTCTTCCCATGATCGTCAAATCACCCATCCTCACTCACTCCGCATATCCACCACCCCCTCCTCCACCACCACCTCCCCCTCCTCCGCCGTCTCCTCCCCACCCCTCCCCTCCTCCTCCTCCTCAATCCTCCCCGCCACCCACTTCCCCAGTCCCTCCCCAAGAATCTCAATCTCCGCCTTCACCCCAACGAACAGCATCCTCTGCAGCGCTGTCCTAACATCCCCCCTCGCCCTGCCCAACAACTGCTGTGCCTTCCCGCGATCCCTCAGTCCCATGCTCACCCAGCCCTCCTCGCCTTTCACATCCCCCCACCTCACGCCCAACCACCCCCACCCCCCTCCCCCCACCCCCACCCCCACCGTCAGCGCAGGCCCCTCATGCGCAAGCGCCCTACTGCCCTCCGCAACAGTCAGCATAATTTCGATCCCGTAGGGATCGAGATCTACAAGCGCGTAGACCCTGCGCCCCTGCGTGGCCAGCAGCGACAGCAGCTCGCGCGTCGCGATGTCGGCGTACCCTTTGCCCGTTACTAGTACGCCTGCCGTGCGCAAAGGCGTGAAGGAGAGCCGGTGGAAGATTGATTCTTTCTCTATGTAGAGAACCCACCCACCCCCTCTTCCGCCCTTCTGCTGTGGCGGGGCCACAGCGGCGGCAGAGGGGATCAGTGTCGGCGCCTCGCACAGCACGCTGTGTCCGCCACCACCAGCGGTATGCAGGACCAGGCCGCCGCCGCAGACCAGCCCTTTAGCACCGGCAACGACGCCGAGCTCCTGCCGCCGCACGCCCAAGGTAGCGGCAAGATCGTCGAGTGCCCTGTCGACCACCGCTTGACTGCGGAAGACGGCGGGGTGGCGGTAGAAGATGTCGCGTTTTGTGGTTGTGGTGGGGGGCGAGGTGGAGGGGGTGGAGGTGAGGTGCGTGTGCAGTGTGCGTAAGAGGAGGGCGTATACCGTGAACCTGTGCGAGTGCGTGGGCGTGCGGCCTGGGAAGGTCAGGGTTGTGGGGGTGGGCGGGGTGGTCGTGCGGGATAGGATTGTTAGGGTGAGGGGACGGTTGAGTGATAGGTCAGTGTGCATCGAGGTGAGGAGCGCGTGGATGCGAGAAATGAGCGCGGCGCGGGCTGTGGTCGCGGGTGCGAGCGCTGAAGGGGACGCTGGTGGAGTGGTCGACATGGTGATGTGCAGTGGAAATGGTTAGACGAGTGATGTCGAGTGTAGTGGGAGAGTGAATGCGAGTGCCGAACAATGAATGATTACACCAGTCCTCACTCGTCCACACACAAGCTGCAATGGTAACACAAAATACAGAATATCGAGATTACATAACCTTGTTCACAGTATCTCAGAGTATTTGAATTTGCAGACGGGTAGTCAAAACATCTGCGGATATACCCACCCAATAGCTCGCCCAATTTACCAACAACGAAGAAGAGAAAGAAGAAGAATAAAAAGAAGAAGGAGACACCCGTTTGTGAATGGAAAAACCTGACAGACAAGAGAGAAACACAACACAGACAAAAACAACCAAAGTAAGCCAGCCCCCCACCTGCCCTAAACTTTCGGAAACTATGGCAAACAGCAGTACACGCCGATACGATAACATTCCTCCAGATGGTAAGCCTTCTAAATGTCGTGTAGTAGTTCCAGAGGACTTAACCTCCTCTGCTAGCGGCCCCTAGATCAGTATCAGAGATTTAATCGTTTCGCGCAGTGGTAGATGAAACTGACATGCTGATTCTCCTGGCTACTCTGTTCAGCTCTTTGTCATTGTCAGCTTCCCTGACCGCGCGGCTCATGGCCTCCGCCTTGGCGTCCTTCTCCTTCTTCTCGACCTCCTCGTGCGTCGGCGGCAACCTCTCGTTCTGGAGGTCAACCTTCCGGGCATCTTCGAACGAGGTGATCGCCTCCTTGATTCCCTCAGCACCCAGCATGAGCGTACCGGCGGGGAGCCGGCCACCAGTGGCAGTCTTGAGCTCCGTAACCCTCTCGGATTCCTCACGCAGCACCTGGAAGACGCGGGAGAGGCGTCCTATCGCTAGGATCTTGTTCTTGATGGCACGTCTCTTGTACTCGATGCTGTTTACGTCGGGTTCGGTAGTAGTAGGCGATTGCAGAGGGTCCATGGAAGTAGCCGAGAGCGGGGTCTCCTCCTCGAGTTCTTCCTTGGAGCAGGTGTTGAGGATCGCGATAAGCATATCGGTAACTACCGGCCATATTAGCATCGAAATGAGTCTGTATATCCGAATTGCTTACTCTTCTCTCCTACGAAGGGAAGCGACCAGGTGAAGACGTCCATGAAGTTAGGCAGCCAGTAAGGATGAGGAGTGCAGTCTGGAAACATGTCAGTCAGCTGTCACCCAAAGCGACACAAGACAAGGCATCTTACTGAATTGGCGAATGTTCATGACATTGTTCTCGTACTTCAACACGGCAGCCTTATTATTGTAGACATCCAAGTAATTCGGGGCCGAGAAAATCGTCATGACACTGGGGAATCCAGTGGTCTTCGTTTTCCTGTACATCCTATATCCAGCATCTTGAGCTTCGTGGGCGCGGATGACCGAGAGGAGGTTGTTCTTCTCCAGGAACGAGCACGCGGCGGGATACGAGAAGAAGTACGAGCATCCGCGGACGTGGTTGTGGATGAAGAAGTCCGAAGTCTTCTCCTGGCCAAACTCCTCCAGCGGATCTGCCCACAGGATATCGCACATCAAGCCGTGAGTAGGTGGCTCACGGAACCGGTCGATCTACTGTATGTCAGCTTGGCCGCGATCCAATGGTAATACAGAGATAACGCACGCTCCGCAGGTCATCCAGCGTGTGGAGCTCTGGACTAAGACCTCCGTGTATGCACAAGAACTGCTTGTTCATAACAGCAGCTAATGGCAACGAACAGAAACTGTCCATACAGGCTTCATAGACGCGTTCGGAATACTTGTGTTTGCCTTTTCGACTCAAAGTTAGCAAGCAATCGGCAGTGTGGGGTCGGATCTCAGCGTACACTCGAGCTTGAAAGTGAAGTAGTCGGTCAAATGGCGGCACTCGTGGTTACCTCTCAGTAACCAGAGAGTATTCGGGTACCAGATCTTGAGGGACCAAAGATACAAGACACACTGCGATCGCACAGAGTGTAGTTAGTGCCCACACCCAAGCTTTGGGGGAGGGTTGATTGTCAATACCTCGATGCTGAAGTATCCTCTGTCCACGTAGTCACCCAAGAAGAGATATCTCGTTTCTTCCGGGTTTCCTCCGACCTCAAAGAGCTTCATCAAATCGTAGTACTGCCCGTGAACATCACCGCACACGGTGATGGGAGCATCCATCTCCAGCAGGTTAGGCTCCGCTTTGAGAATCTCGGAGGCGCGCGAGAGAATGAAGAGTGCCTGCTCCTCGGTGAGGCGGCCTTCGCGGTAGAAGTGCTGCTTCAGGAAAGCTAGGTTGGGCTTCGTGCGGTCATTGGGGTCATAGAATTGTTCGTCGGTCGGCTTGTGGAAAGCAGGAGCTTGAACATCTACAGTCGATCGGTATCTCTATCAGCAAACACGCACTCGGAAACATCTATGTAGCGACCATGGGCAGGTGGCAAATGCGATGTTGCGATGCTGCGATGCGACGAGGGCAACACGAACAGCACTCAAATTCATCCAGCTATCCCTCGGCGACGGCGATGGGCAAGACAAGCATCGGGACGAGCTCTATAAGCAAGCAGACCCCGCCTTGGATGCCGACACGGATAGAACTGAATCTGACTGACCTTTGCAGACTCTCTCCAGAGTAGAAACCTGGGTCCCGTCCTCCATTGTGTGGAGTGTGAAGTCAATCTCCGGCGGAGGTCGCTTCTCATTCACGGCACGTATCGCATTTTCGAGCTTCTGGGTGTTCTCCAGCGCAGCTGTCGATGAGGGCGGTGCGTCGGCCATGGTATGATGATGGTAGTTGGTGTGCTTTGGTTGGGTGGTGGTAGATAGATGGGATTCGTGGATTCCGAGGTGTTTCTTTGTCCGCGCTGGAAAACACGGACGGCTGGGGGGTGTGGGGGGGAGGGGGGTGTGGGGAGACGAGACGACGAGGGGTGAGAAGTGTGGGGTTTTGGTGTTGTATCGACGACGAGAACCGGGGATGTGGGGCAGGAGGATCAACGCAGAAGAGTTGAAGTGAAGAAGGAATCAAGTGGGTAGTTGATGTCCTTGGGTCTGGTTTGGATTATTTTTCAGGGGCGCTCGACTTCACGGGATTCGTAGGAGAGGGAGCGAGGCAGGATAGCGGGAGGGCTTTCCCGCTTGGAGCTGGGTTGGATGGATGGTTGGATGGATGGTTGGATGGTTGGCTGGGTGGATGGTTGGATACCTCCTAAGTACCTATGCGATAGGGGAGATATGCGAGGACGACGACGCCGACTGCCTTGTGATGATTGAGGTGAAGCTGCTGGACGCGGGGAAGCCGAGAGTCCCGTTGGAGTGTGAAGAAGCAGAAATCTCAGACGACGAACGACAGCTTTCTTTCTTTCTTCTTTCTTTCTTCTCGCACTTTCACGGCGGTCGGCGAAGGAGAAGAATACGGACGACAGTTCTTTGGGAACGGGGGGTGGGTTTGAAGGGAAGCTATCGGACTGGGAGCAGACTATTGTCTTTTAGCAGCTCTGTATGGCGGCGGACGATGCTGAAAGCACTCTAGAGAAAGATGTTCAGCAGTTGCTGAGTGGGCGCTGGCAGTCTGCAGAGGGACAGAGAGAGGGACAGAGCATGCCCCGCCCCACCCTTGCTCGCTAGGCAGATGCAATCATGACAGCCACATGTTCGCATTGTTCGCATTGTTCGCTAAAGATACGGCGGTGGCTGGTGGGAGCAGGCCCTGACGATTTCCATGGAGAGTACACACGAATCGAGACGACAGGAAATGGGAACTCAATGCGAAGGGGAAACCTGTCGATGGACGGAGGGAGATCCGCCATCCGGCCAGACTGTTCGCCGCGTTGCAGTACCGTAGGCAAACAGGATGTGGCGATTTGTCGGCCTGAGCTCCTTCCTATGTCGACTGCGATCTCCTTCCTCTGCCGACTGTGATCTCCAGTTCTCAATCCGCAAGGTTCAGAGGTTCTTGGGCCCTTTGTCCGCCCTTCCGTATCCATCCAGCGATCCTCTTCACCGGCTCAAGACCTAGCCCTTCGTCGCAGAAAGTGTGCCCTTCCAAGTTCCCCTTCACGAGCCAGAATGGAGCCTTCGAACAAAGGAAGAAAGTAGCTGCGAAGCAATCAGTCCCCTCTCACACCGTAAATCATGAAGGGAATCTTACGTTGGAGGGTGAAGTGACTGCAGCTGAAGATGCTGTGAGGTAAGATGAAAAGCCGAAACTCGACAATGTTCTAGGTACCTATCTCTGGATTGTGCTCTCAGGTTCGATCAAAGAGTTCACGATTTGCGCTGCAAGCTCATGCAAGGCTTTGTGAACGCAAACTTCATTCACACGACATGGGACTATGTACTCTACCTGTACTCATTTATACTCCCACATAGGGCTGTCTGTACCCATTCACCTTCGTCGTCGCGGCAGAACTCGTGTCGACACTCGAGCTGCCTTGCTCCCCCCGCCGGCCGGCCACAAAGAAGCTTATCCTGATCCCTACCTCCCCATCACGAATCACGCCCCCCACTCACCACCAACAAAGCTCACAACATGCACGACCGCGGCGGTGAGCCTCCCCTCCTCCCCTCCTCCCACCCTCCATCACTCATCTAACACCGAATCTAGCAAACCACCACCTACAACAAATCCCGCTCACTGTCTCTCCGGCGCTGCAGCTGCCCGTGGCGGTGACGTTACCATACAGCTACCAGAGCCCACTTCCGCTGCGCCTGCCGCCATCGTCGAGCGTTTCCATCACGTCGCCGTCGGGGAACGTAAGCCAAACGCCGGCGGAGGTGGTCCACAGCTGCCACGTGCTGCTGTCGCACCTGCAGGCGCAGCGGGCGGCGGCGGAGTCGGCGGTGGCAGACTGGGAGGGCGGGATTGCGGAGCGGGAGCTGATGGAGAAGCGCCGGGTCGCCCCGGGATACTTGGATACGGGCATTCAGATACTAGAGCCTACGCGGAAGAACCAGGAGAGTCTGATGGATCAAGTGAGTGGCGAGGATAAGGCGAAGGACGCAGAGGTGGGGGAGGAGTTGGATCGCGTTTTTGGGAAGATGGGCGTGTAGATGGCCTACCTAGATGGCCTACAGATCCGAGGCGTATTGTTCGTGATGCTGATGAAGGCATGACGACGAGGCAAACGAACTGAACTGAACTTGCCCAGGGTCATGATCCTGACCCGGCCCTCGCACGTTCTATGTACAATACACAACACACCAGAAAAAAAAATATCATTATACGAAGATTACATCACGCCGCGAGCTCTTAAAATCATGTCTGTGTGGGTTCCGGCAATCGAACGTGGTAGTCTGGGGGGGGCCAGTGGTCAGTTCTATCACGAACAAGCAAGCAGGAAGCAAACAGGAAGTAAGCTTACCAGCAGCGCAAGAGATGTATCTGACCCAGGGCAAACTGGGGTACTGCAGCTTGGGCTCGATAATCTTGAGATATCTGACTTGAATTCCCGATGTTGTGAAGTACGGAATCTCAAACTTTACACTTATTGGTCGCTTTTTCCGCTCCGGCTCGGCCTCCTTGACACTTGGTAGTCCCAGCTCGGCGCGCATCAAGAACTCCTTACCACCTCCAAACTGCTTGATCTTCCAGATGATGGCCGCCTGCTCCGGGTGGTACGCGACTGAGCCGATATTAGTCCTAAACCGGGGGGTGTCTGCGTCCTCGGGGACGGGCACGATGATCTCAACGTTATTCGCGGTCGACCGTCGCTTGAACTGTGCTTTGGCCTGTCCACGTATATTAGCGACGGAGAATATCAGCGCTGATCCGGGAACCACCGACTTTAAGCATGTACTCGATCCTGGAACCAGAGTGGCTCTCGATCATGCACTCGACCCAGATCAGCGGCTTGACCTGGGTATTCAAGCGGTAGCTCATGAGCTCAAACTCTCCATCCGGCGGGATGAAGCTTATGGTGCGATCATTTTCGAACCTCGACAGCCGCACGCACTGATGGAACTTGACATCCTCCATCTCGATAGCCTTTCCTCTGCTTGTCCGTCCGGTATTCTCAAACATGACTTTGTCGTTGAGTCCGAGCCGCAGCTCCGGCATGCCCGAAAGGTAGCACTTCATCTTGACCGCGCCGAGAATCTCGGAGCGCAGCACGTTGCCGTTGCTGTTGACGAGAAGGTTCAGGGATTCGATCACGTCCAAGAAGACTTCGTTCTTGCGGTAGCGGATTCCCTCGGACCGCCAGCTGACGGCATTGGTAACAGCTATTGGTGGCCGCGCTTGGATCTCTAGCTTGTGGGATTCCTGCGTGATGTACCTTCAAGTACCGGAAATATCAGCCCCACACTCCCCAATCCCGCGAGTCACCACCACCACCACCACCACTACTTACTCCTGTAGGATCTTCGTCTCGGTGGTCTGTGGGTATCCGAAATCCATCATCTCGTCCAGCAACTCATAGATGATGACAAAGTTGTCCCTAATACTCTCCTCCTCCAGTTCCTTGAAGTACTCGGTAAAGACCTCGACGATCTTGTGCAGGAACAGCAGTATCTCCGCGGCATTGGAGTTGCGCTTCGTGATCGCGAGGACGTAGAGATTGTTGTGCTTGATGTAGAGGTACTGCACTTGTCGTGTGAGCGCGGGGTAGACGGACGGGGGACGGACGGGGGAACGTGTGAAGGAGGACAAGTACGCACGTTGATGCCCTCGTGCGAGAAACACGGTGGCACAGCAGAGCTCTCCTCCTCCGCCTCGAGAAGGAGAATCGGAAACTTTTCAACCGCGGACATGGGAATGTCTCCCCTGTAATTCCGCGCCAGGAGGGTCTATATTGAGGTTGAGGTCAGCCTCTCTCGAGCTGTCCCATCGCCGGCTGTAACTAGGTCACTGCTTTACCTTGCCCTTGAGGTCCAGGAAGAAGATTGCAGAAGCCATGTCGAGTTACTCTGCGTAGTCGATCGAAGCTGCTTGCTTGCTGTGGAGGGACTGGAGTGTACTATATCGTCGAGTAGAGTAGATGGTGATGTTGATGTTGACCGTTGGGTGACGCCGCCCTCCCTGACTATCATACGCCGTAACTTTCAACCACCACGGCAGGAGCTCCACACACCACACGTATCCCCACTAACGCTCTTCCAGCCTCAGCTTAGTCACGCCACCTTTTGGGGCGTCGGGTAAAATACTGCAGCTAGCGCCAACGAAACGACTACAAAAGGGCACTCACTTTTTTCCCTTCTGTTTCTTCTTTTCCCTTTCTCCTCATGCGTCCTTTTAGACAGTGCCGACCGACATGTCACCCCTCGACAACGGGAATTCTTCCCAGTCTTGGTTGTAGTTGTCGATTCAGCGATTTCGCGACGCAAAGAGGAGATCCTTTACGGGACGGGGACCATAAGAACTGTCTGGGTGCTTTCTGTTACCTAGCCGGTGTCAGAGGTCCTCGACATATCGTCATGAAAATGATTTTCGAGTTTTATTCTGTGATCCAGTTCGATGAACCAGAACTGTGTTCAGCAGTCTCTGCGGGATATCGGACCAACTGAAGCATGGATATTTTACGGCTCAGCTAGTCACTCGACTTCAACGAAGAACCGCCTGTGAACGAGTTTGATCCTGAGCAGAAACAATCATCACGAATTTTGGCAGCCATCCGAGCATGGCGGAGGACGGCCTGTGAACGAGTTGTATGCTGAGCAAAAACAACACGAAGTTTGGCAGCATCGAGCACGAGCACGGGCACGAGTAATCACCTCGAGAATCTATTCAGCCCGGCCATCAAATGAAGCAGCAAAACTCTGACCAACCGGCTGCGCTCAGTTTTTGTTATAATACAAACGCAAGCATGGCACAGGCGTCGTGAAGAAGAAAAAAGAAGTAAATCCATGTCATGTCACGCAGAGAAGAAAAAAATTCGCAATCCGAACGCAGCATAGCATAACCCCGAGTAAAACGCCAAAAATTAATCAACGACGCAGCTCAGTACGGCACCATCGCAGTAGTCCGGCAGAGAGCAAAGCAAGCCCGTCGGTCCCAGCGTGCTCCGGCACATTATGAAGTATCCCGTCTAGTATTTCCTCTCCTCTGTAACCTGTGTAAGCGCGAGTCGGGAAACGGCGAGATGAGGGGCATCGGAAAATACCTTGTTGGCTGAGAAGGAGTCCATATCTCTTCTTGAGGGTCACACGATGCCTGTATCGTCGAGTGCATGTCAGCAAAAGCGATTCTCTCCATTGAGCCAGCGCGAAGAAAAGGTAAATGTGGAAAGATTGATATAGTATCAGAAGGAACAATTGGATAAATTTATAATTTGGAGTTAATCCTCATGGGGTTTTTTTTGCGTATTAGGAAGCCAAATACTCATCATTATATCAATGGGAAGGGGATGAAGAGTGAAAACGTGGAAACGTGAAGCGCAATGGAGGGTACGGACCTGGAGTACTTGTCATCGGGGGAGAATCTGGCGGGATGAGCAGACTTGGTGATGGCACCGACAGTCGTCAACTTCTTCAGCGTGTAGATGCGCTTGCCATTCGGGTCGAGAGTGTACATCAAATGCATGATGGCGGTTGTGGGGGAGATGGAAGATGTGGTGGATCGTCTGGTGGGTGAGGTTTTATAGAGGATTGTCGGACGCGAAGAAAAAAAAAGGCACAAAAAGACAAGTGAGCGACAGAGCCGCATTCCACGCACGTGAGCCAAGCCAATTTAAGCCGAGCATTGCTGGTTTCGAGTTGCTTGCTCGTTCGGTATTTGTAGCAGATGCATAAACGGAACCAAGCATCCTCTACTACCCAGATCTATCTTCCGCACACGCCGAACTCTTTGCATTCAACGAAACATACGACCGACCAACCAACTACGCATAGTCCCACCCTACACATCGAAAATCAGAGTCCGGAATAGCAATGTCCTCGCCAGTCGCCTCCGTACCACAGCTTCCGGACGAACCGAAAGAGGCACTGGAGGACCCACCACTTCCCTCCAAGGAGACATCTGCGACGACGGTGGTAGAGACCGTTTCTGAAGACAACAATGCCGAGGCGGTCCCCGACTTAGCGGCAGATGAGGCTGCGGCCACCGACGACGAGAAGGAGGAAGGGGAAGAAGAGACTCCGCCACTGCCACCCGGCCCACCCCCAGGAGACTCACTGGAAGAAGGCGATGACGGATGGCAACCGGTGTGGGATGCCACCTACGGCTCCTATTACTTCTACAATTCGATCACAGAGGAGACAACGTGGACAAACCCGCGGGTGCCAGACGCAACACCAGCTATTCTAGCTGCAGTCGCCGACAGCAGCAGCGCAGCAATTCCCGACGACCCCGACGATCCCGCTTCTGCGGCGGCATACCTTGATCCACTGCAGTACAACCCCGCAATACACGGAGACTACGACCCGACAGCACCGTATGCGCAGCCCCGCGAGAACCCCAACGCGCAGGCCGGTGACTACACCGTGACTGCGGCGTTCAACCGCTTCACGGGAAAGTTCACGCCATCGGCTTCCAAGCTTGTGCCGGAGAATTTCAATGATGAGCACAAGTCGAAGAGGCAGATGGAGTTCTATTTTGACGTCGACGCGGCGGCCAATAGTCACGACGGAAAGAGTCTCAAGGCTGAACGCCAGACGAGGAAGCTCAGCAAGAGGGAACTGAAGGAGTTCAAGGAGAAGCGGAAGTTACGTAAGGAAGAGAAACGGAAGGCCTGGTTGAAGGACTGAGTATATGGCCCTGCACCTGTTTGTTTGCAAGAGGGGTTTGTGGTTCTGTATAACACGGGGACATGTGGAGCATGGGCGTGAGTCTGCGAATGGGCGTTAGATGTGCTTCTTCTTTCTTTGATGACAGTCCGGCTCTGTCTTTGCATGGGTGCTTGCTCGTCGTCCGGTGTTGGGTTTACAGGGTCTAATTCATTTTTTTTTGCTACTTTATTCCTTCATTCCCTTTCTCATCATCTCTATGTATCTCTCTCTACTTGCTTGCCTCTGGCACACAGTTTCGGCGTTGTTTGCTTTTCGAAACAGTCTACTACAATCCACTCTACATTTGAAGACTCGCAGCCCTATGCAAATAGATGATTTCCGCCCTCCGTGTTCCGAGTGGTCGAGTCGCAGGAGCGAGTGAGACGGCGATATCCACAGCACCAGCATAAACAAGCTCTCATCAAATACTCTAATCCTAGCGCGCAGCGCCCCCCCCACCAAAGTTCAAAGTTCAAAGTTCGACACTCATAGTTTTCCACCTCACCGCCGCATCTCACCAAATTTCCACCGCCCACCACTACATACTCGCAGCCATGACTCCGCAACCGCCCCAGCCCACCGAAGACCAAACCGAAGACCTCCTGTACTTCGCGCGAGCCGGCGAGACCGCCGACTTCGTGCAGGCGCTCTCGGAAACCAAAGCGGCCCTCCCGGGACTCACGGACGCCGAGATCCTGCTCGCCGCAAGGGACGAGCACTCGCAGAACAATGTCCTGCACATGACGTGCGGGAACGGACACCTCGGTTCGCGCCCTCTTATCCGTTTCGTACATGTTACATAGTGGGGGAAAGGAAGGAACGCTAATCTTTGGGGTGTGGTGGGGAACGAACAGAACTGACCAAGAAAATCCTCTCACTGCTGCTGGCGCCGGTTGCGCCCGATGCGCCGCCGCACGAGCTGCTGTCGCAGAAGAACTCGGCCGGAAACACGCCGCTGCACTGGGCGGCGCTCAATGGGCACCTGCCGGTTGTGCAGACGCTGGTGATGGCCGCGAACGCCGACCCGACTATTACGAATGCGGCCGGGCACGATGCGGTGTTCGAGGCGGAGGCGAACGAGAAGGGCGAGGTTGTGGACTGGTTGCTGGGACACTGCGAGGGGCTCGAGGAGGTGATCAAGGGCAGTGTTGACGGCGAGGAGGAGTTTAGAGTCGCTGCTGGCGAAAAGCTCGAGGAGGGGAAGGGGAAGGAGGTCGAGGTTGTAGATGTGGAGATGGAGATGGGCGAGAATTAAAAGTTTGGGTTGGCTGGGCTGGGTTTTGGGGGCGTTATTTGTTTTCTACACCCAATTTACTCTATATAGCGAGAAGAGATTCGATTGGAAGGGACTTCTGGCACTGGTACTCGAACATCTTACAAAATGGGAAAACGTCTCTTCAATGATCTTCAGCATCACAAGATATCACCTAAAGTACAGCACCCGAGTCCAAAACCTCTCGATTCGTCTAGATATCCGCCACGTCTATACCACTAATTCACGCCCCTCCTCAGAAACATCCAATTAATCCAATATTCTCCTCCTCAGGAAAGCTCAACAAACGAAGCGGTAAGTACAAGTAAAAAAACATTAAGGGCTAGGGTATATCATCAATCATCGTCGTGATCATCTATGTGTATGTAGGTAGTGTGCGTATGAGTGTGTGCGTGTAGGACGGAAAGGTGGAAGAAAGAAACCAGCAACGACGAAGAAATAATCCGCCAAAGCTATATGATGAAAAGAATTCTCAAAAACAAGAAACCCCGCTGATTACTCCGTACCGGTAAGATAAACAGGACCAGAAGACAGAAGACAGAATGAAACAGAATGAAGCAACCAAACATCCCAACTCAACTCAACTCAGCGTTGCTGGTAACTCTCTCCCAGAGTTCGAACTGCGTCGATGATCTCTCCCTTGCTGCGCAAGGTCCTCTGAGCTTCATCCACTCCATAGCCATAAACACGAACCAAGTATTCCAACCTGGTTGAATGACACGTTAGTCCTATCTGTTCCCGGAAACCAGAGAGTGGGGACCGGGAGGGGAGGAACTCACTTGGCATCCATGATGTGTTTAGCTCTAACTTGTTCATAGTCCTCGACACATTTGCTCCAAACCCATTCTCTTCTCGCAGCATCGATGGTTTTGACTCGGATATGGAACACGCCGCTGACAGGTCTGTGATCACTCGCCTTGACCTCCCAGCGGCGGTATTGAACCTGCTTGATGTTCGCCAGACCACGATAGAGGAGTCGATCACACCATGCCGGACTGCGCTTCTTCTCCGAGGAGTCATAGGTATCCGATCCCACGTCGTACTTGTAGGTTGGCTGGAATGTAATCATTCCCTCTTGGAACACGCGCAGTCTGAATCCAGGGTTCTTCTTCCTCTCCACAAGAAGTTGATCGCGTTCCAAGAGTGGGCCCAGGTCATTGTTTTTGACTCTGTTGATGATAGAATCCCGGCCGTGGTCGATACGGTAATTGAGATCACCATTGAGGATGCAGATTTCGTGATCGAGAATCATGGAGCCGTCACCACCGCCGACAAACATGTCTGATCGTGCGCTCCCTGAGATCTCGAGAGGCAGGGAGTTTGACTCTAGGATTGCTGCTATGTCGTTATTACGGGATATGGTATGGGACTGTCCAGCAGCGAGATGGCAATTGATGAAACATAGCGAGCTATCGTCGAGGAAGAACCGCACAATGAGTGCACCCTATGATCAGAATGTCAGTACAACCGATCCCCCCAGTGAAACACAAGCCCTTCGCGTCTTACCTTGTTGCCGTGAAGACCACCCAACCCTCGTTTCACAGTGGAAGCCGCGATATTTGTGATGTTGTTCTTTTCCGACGCTTTGATAAAAATACAAGTGAAGAGACCGACCAGATTCGCCGCATGCAGGAGGATGTATGGCTGATCCCGCGGCATATGGGTTTCAAGGGATTTCGTCAGTTGCTGCTGCCACAGCCTGTACTGGTGTGACATTCGTTCCTGATGGTCGGCTTGTTTCTTCTTCTTGCTCTTCTTTAGGAAGGTCTCTGCACGTCACAATCAGACCACCGCATGCCACACGTGAAAAGAAGGGGAAACGCACTGGCCGTAATCTTCTTATCTTCCAGATCCACCAGCTCTTGGAAACCAAATACTATGATATCCGGAGAGTCAACACTATGCAACACATTCTGCAGGAACACCTTGTCGGTTTCTCTGGACAACAAATCCTGGGGCTTCGAGGCGCCAGCATTCCAGGTGCAGACAAGCGTCTTGATCTCGCGGAAGCTGCAGAACTCGACATCTCTTCGTTGCATCTCGGTCTCGAGGTGGTCGTCTTCCAGCATACCATCCCAGATCCGTATGACGTTGTCGGCTCCTAGGCTTACGACTTGTAATCTGCCATTCTTCCAAACACTGGTCCAATCCGCTACCACCTCCATGATCGGTCCAACCGAACATTGCCAGTCCTTTTTAGCCAGCCATGGCTTTGTTCGGACATCGTATATGTACACCATCCCCGTCTTGAAGCCAGCCCAGAGGAAATCTCCCACACCGGTCATCGAGTTGATTTTGTATAGCGATACACTCACAACGTCAACACACGTGAGGGGGTTCTTTGAATAGATGGACACCTTGCCGTCCGAGTGGCCAAAATACACATGGTCTGGCTGGCTGTTGACGATGGCTCCGCAGGTGATATCGCCGGCGGGTTTTGTCGCCGTAAGCTGCCGTGAAGACACATTGAAAATAGTCGAGGAGTCCGTGCTGGGCTGATAGACATCGACATTCTTTCCCGAGCCTACCCACAGATACCCGTCGACAACAATCGAGCACGAATGGCGGGGATTTATTCTGAAAGTGATAGGCGAGTTCCTCAGGTTCGGCGCGCCGTTCACATCCGGTCCCCAAACTTGGAGCTTCCCACCATCGTCGAGAGACCACAGTTGGAATCCGGAGCGGTGTATCTTGACAATCTCCTTCTTGGTGTGGGCACTGGTCCGTGATTCCACTACCCGGTGTGACGCAATATCCACCTCCATCAGTTCGCCGTGGGAAGTACCAAGCCAGAGCGCGGCCCCTTCACTTTCCACGTCCGCGGACGGCTTAAAGGCCAGCGCTGTTACCCTGACGCCTTCGCCGTGCTGTAGAGCCATGATGCAACGCCCAGTGTCAACGTCCCAAACTTTCGTCGAGTGGCTGATTGTGCATACATATTGACCGCAGACAGCAAACATTTTGACGTCGCTCTTGCTCGGTATCTCGGAGGGCCCTCTCTTGAAGTAAGGTCTCCGGCGATTTGCTTGAGAGGAATCCGGATAATCACTCAGTTTAGAGGAATCGTCAGCACCACCGTCGTCCGAGTCATCGCCATATCCGGATGCTGGATAGCTGTCCTCGCCTTGCGCGAATGATCCGGAAACATCCCGGATTGGCGATTTAGCTTTCATGCTTCCCAAGCCACGCTTTGGTGGAGGCAAGTAGCTTGAGGCGCTCGCAGGATCAATCGTGGGAGGCCGCGGGGGCGAATGGCTGCGACCGCGCGAAACTCGAGCTCTAACGCCTCCGATCAATCCCATTGGCCTGGGTGGTAGTTGCGGCCTGGATCCTGCATCGTCGAGAGACATCCGCTGGCCCTTGACAGAGTCCTCCACTCTCATCCTGGGCCGAACCATCTCGATCGACATCCTAGGCGGTGGCGGTGCGACGGCATTCCGAGCTTTCGACGGACCTCCCGCTCCAGCGAATGAAGTAGGCAGAGGAGGTATGGGTGGAGGAGGCGGCGGCGGAAGGTTATGAGCCTGCACGTTTAGTTTTCGCGGCAGCGGCTGAACTCTGGGTGCTGACTCGGTGTCCGACCGATTCGGAGAATTATTAGCGCTCGATGGCGGGGTGCTGAATGGTGATGCACGGTCACCCCCAGTTACTGCTGGTGCCAACGCATTTGTAAAAGGAGTTTCCGGACGCTGTGTGTTGCTAGGTCTACTTGGAATCTTGGGTTTGGTCGTCCGTTGTGGTACCGGGGGTGGTTCTCGTGGCCGCTCGGAGTGCGGTACTGGCAGGGACCGGTCACTATCCGTGCTTGGTCCGCCGCGATCTGGGAACATTTGGGCTGCAGGACTGAGCTGCCTCCGATGTACTTCTCCCCCCATATTCCTTATTGTCCCGCTAGCCTGATCCAACATGTAGCTGGTAGATTTCGGTCGAAGCCTTGGGGAGACTGGTGGCGGCAGCGGCGGTGGAGGTGGCGGCGGCGGCGGGGTCCTACCAGTACGGAATTTTGGTGCCGGAGAGGTAGGCCGACTCGGTGGTTGTATAGGTGGTCCATGTTGCAGTGGTCCACTGGACGCCAACGTCCCTAAAATATTGTCCGGCGCTCCCCCGGGGACGTCGAGGTTCAGAGGTTTTGGTGAGCGCGGTGAGTCGACGCGAAACGACGGCGGCGAACGCGGAGGAGCAAAGGTGCTGTATACGGAAACCGGGCGCTGACGGGACGAGTGGTGACCGCGAGGAAGGGTGTTGCTTCGATACTGGTCGTCCTGCTTGGAGGTAGCACCCCCGTACGAAGATGAAGATCCATCATCCGAAGCGTACGACGACGTCCGTGCAGTAAATCCACCGGGGCAGTCGGGCGTAAAGGGGTCCGCGCCGGTACGAGAGGGCCTCAGAAAGGGTGCGGATTGCTCCGGTACCGTCGGAGGGGTGACCGGATGTTTGCTGGTAGCTAGTTGTTCGAATCGCGAGCGAAGGGTCGACACGGACGCCTGTAAACCCTAGAATTTAGAAAGGAAGTCCACCTAAACTTTCAGATCTTAAAGGTTGAGCTTGCATACCGGAGGGAGTTCTTCTTCGTCGGCCATGTTTGCATGAAGAACGGTACAAGCAAAAGTCCAGGGGCATGTAGATGTTGCTCGATCGTTGGATTACGTTTCTGTGGATGATGTCCGTCCAACAAGTTGAGCAGGGATGTGAGAGTGCCTGGATGCGGTAGCGGGTTTGTGATGGGGCTCAGCACGCGCGGCGAGTTGACGTTGCGGCGGTGCAGCCAAGGGGCTTTGAATTAAGAACGAGAGGGAAAAAAGGTTAGAGTGATCCTGACAAAAGCCGCTCAGCGGGTTTGATGTGTGAAAGAAATAGTTGAAAGCGCAGGCAGCCAACGGGCGAGTTTGTTTGCTGGTGAAGGGCCGGCAGGGCGGTGATGGCGATGCAAGATGGTGGGGAAGTGAGGTTAGGATAAGAAAAGCGCGTGGTATGTACTCCCCTTCCTCTGCAAGCTAGAATTACAGGTGGCTTGTGTTTGGTACCTGATCAGATGTGCTCGTGACACGAGAAAGTACGTGATATCTACCTAAACATAGGTCCATTTTCCAGCGTCCCATTCTATGCTCTCCTTCCAGGTAAACTCATGGAAATCAGAAGTCTCCCCCAAATGCATTCAAAGTTCGTGCTGCTCTTCCATACGAACTTTCCATCGAACTCAGCCGTGATGGACTCGATGGACACAGAGCTGACGCTAGTTGTCTACGTCATGGGGGCCCTTACTGCGAGTGCAAGTCTATGAGGAAGTTCTGGCTGAGAGGTGCGTAAAGAACGCTCTAGAAGCCGGTGATGATATTTGACGGGCGATCAGTTACTTATTGTGACTACAACAGGTTTATGAGTGCCACCGAAATGTCAGCTCACAGTTTAGCATTCCGCATCTCGGATTCCACGAATCAAGCCTATCTTGTACGCGTATTCCGGAGATCTCCTACAACAACGGATACCGGTAAGCCGTCACGAGCCGGATTTTCACAGTCCTCGCCGGGCTTCCCGGATGATCTTGGATATGCAGGAACAGTCAAGTAAAGTATGATTGCGCAGATAACTAGACCCACGTCCGGATCCAAGTTAAAGCTTCCACTAGAGCACACACTGCTTTCCAGGACCGAATAACCTGCATGCCCTACCCCTGAATGTAGTCGGTCAATGGAGATGGCAGAGTTAGGGCTGGGACTCGCAAGCAGACAACTTCCACTCCAGCCCATATGTATCACGGTCAAATGTAGAGTACAGAGCCAGTAACTGTAGCCAAGTACTGTGGCATAGATGCGCGAACCACAATAACCACCCGCCACAGTTTACCGGACACCCCCACACTCAAACAAAATACTGCCAACATGCTGCACGTTGATGTGCCGAGAGTTTCCTGATGTGGTGGAGGAAAGGGGGTTATGGAACCCCTAAAGGGCTCATGCAGACTGAGGATCCTCCACCCGTGACCTTCCTCTTCCATTGGCCAGGAGTCCGTGGTATCGGCAAAGAAACCCGGAGCTTGTGCACCCATAGTTTCGGTGTTCGCTTGATCGTAGTGATGGACTTCCCAGAGAAGATGGACTCAGGAACAAGGATTGTTGTCTGCCTGCTGAGTCTTCATGCTGAGTCTTCAAGCTGAATCTCCAAGCTGAGTCTTCAGGCTGAGTTTCCAAGCTGAGTCTTCAAGCCAGGCCTTCAAGCCAGGTCTTCATGCGTTTGGGCCAGGGTCTCGATGGCTTACCTGTGGCGCAGGCTCCGAATCCTTTACCCGATAACATCAGATTCATAGGCAGTCTTCATGTTGAGATGGTGAGGCAATTATGTACTGGTACATACCGACCTCCAGAGCGAGCCATCCCGTTTCCACAGGTTTCTCAACGGCAGTTACTTATCCGTGCATCGGACGCAGATTCACGCCCAGCCTGTCTCCCACCAGCCGACAACAGAATGGCATCCAACCGAGAAACGAGGAGGAAACGAGGCGGGTGGATATATGCTTCAGGCCAGCGTGGAGTACCCTCCGTTCATAAGCACCGTACCTGCATGTCTCCATGTCAACGCGCCAAATCCCCACCCGTTTCCATCTCCGTTCAACACAAGCGGCAGGTCGAATTGACCTGAGCGAGAAAAAAAACCCCACCCGTGAAAACATCAGAATGGAAGGAGCTTCGAATTCACAAGGAAGAAAAACAATGGGGACTTTGCCTGGTGCTCGGGTCACCCGGTTCTTCCCCACTCACCGGCGGCGCCAAGTAGAGTGCGTCCAGGAGAACTTCGGTAGAAACAAGTTAGCTAGAGGCCTAGAGGAGGTGACAGATCTAAGGGATTCGCATCGAGCGGCGGGACGAACGATCCATGCTTCTGGGTATCGGGGCGCGCTTGGACTGTTTTGGGGGTGGTCTCTCTCCACAGCTGCTCTTGCCGGTCCCACACAGCCCTAGTTCGGGTTGGATCCTTTTTATGGAGCCGGCGGATGGAAGTTCGGATGGATTTCCCGATTGGGCAATTAGCCCAATCGGGAAAGAATGATTTCGGATAGGAAAGAGTCGTGCATTATTAAGCCGTGTACGTATGAGAAACTCGGGGATTTTGGAAGAATTAAAGGCTTATTCGCTGCCCAAGATGGGCCGCCAAGCGCTTTATCCGGCTTGGGTCTGTGGCACAGACGACCGGCAGCTTCACCGACCCGAGACTCTTCCTGGCTTTGCCGAACCCGGCGGCCAAACAGCCGCGAAGTCTCCTGATGAACCTCACGGAAGATGAGTCCGTTGATGCGGCTGCGCGAGTTTCGGACGGGCATGTGCTCTATTCCGGCCGAGAAGGACGCTCTGCGGACTCGTGTTCGGGCCAACAGTGGCCGCACTCTTTCAGGCTGTTAGGTAAGTCGTTGGCATTGCCGCCAGTGTGACTGTCATGGATCATCACTCGCTGCCGAGCCAGGCCTTTATTGGGCGTAATCTACGCCTAGCACCAGCCTCGACGATTAAACAAAAAAACAAAAACGCGTCTAGCACCAATCTGCTAGTGGCCCCCAATTCGATCGTTGATAGCTGACCCGAGTAACTCCTAACTTAGCCTTGGAGCACCCCCAGCCCGCACGGGCCCGGCGCCGTAGGCAAAACGAACTGCCAGCCGCCAGGGCGAACTGCTCCAGCGACGGCTCGATTGATGTTTCTGTCTAGTGCACCAAGCTCGCCGTCGGGTTTCCTGCTTCTCAGTCACCCCCTGAGATTGCGCCCTGAGATGTGTTCTGGGTAAGTAAGAGGTGTAAGTACTTCTCTTCCCCCTTGCATCCTACCTATCATCATCTATCAACGCGAAGACTGTCCGTCGCCAATAGAAAAGCTAATCCGCCATCCCGCCAATCGAAGACTAGGTGACAACAACAAAGACAACAAATCACACGCCCGCAATTGCCTCCGGCAACCAGTCACCTGTCGCCTCGCTTTCGTCGGACCCCGCCGCCTCCCCCGCCATCCGCCAGCAAATCAACAGCTAGAACTGCAGCAGCAGCTTTCCAATAAATACCGCCAAGATGGGCTTGTTCTCCAAGAAATCATCGTCGAGAGCCAACTCAATCAACAACGACCACATCGGCAGAAGCGGACGCAAAGGATCTCAAACTTCAGTAGCCAGCGGATCAATGAACTCTCCTACCACTTCTTACACTCAGGGATACACTGGATCGTTGCCATCGATCCCAGCTGTCGATGCCGACCTTCCCCCGCCGCCGGACCCAGCTTTGGATCCCTCCGGCTACCTGAGGAGTATATACGCCGTTCGGCAGAGGTCGAGATTTGTGCTCGATGCGGCGTTGAAGGACCAATTGACCAACTTTACCGTTGACATGTCAAAGTTCCCGGAAGTCGCTGATTATGTTGTTTCTATAATCAAGGTAAAGGGTTTTGGATTGCAATGTAGAGGTGGACGTGTATGCTGACATCGCCGTATCAGAGAGATTACGCTCCCGATTACCAAACCATTCCTCCCCACGGTCGATGGCAGCACTTCGATGTCGGCGGAACGCCCAGGATCGACAACCTCATGAACTCATGGCCGGCTGATGTCGACGTGACCGAGCGTACGAGACGATTGCTCGACCTCTTCCTTGTCTCCGTATTGCTGGATGCAGGAGCTGGAAACAACTGGCAGTACAAGGCGAGCAATGGTAAGGTATACAGACGAAGCGAGGGATTGGCAGTTGCTAGTTTGGAGATGTTCACCAACGGACTGTTCTCTAGCAATCCTGGACAGAAGGATCAGGTTGATGGTAAGTTGAACCTCGGAGCAGCTGCTAGTGTATATCATTCTCATTGACAAACAGGCATGGCTCTGAAACAATTGACCGTGGAGAAACTCGCTGCTGGACTTCAAGTTTCGGAGGCGAATCCCATCGAAGGTCTAGCAGGACGGTCATCTCTTCTGATCAAACTTGGAGAGGCGATGGACAACCAACAGCTCTTTGGTGTGGACGGACGTCCGGGAAATATGCTTGGTACGTTCCGATCGACATGCTGGCGCGATTTGCACTAACATTGCCGCGTCTAGATTACCTTCTCCAGCACCCGACGACCAAAAAATCGGGCGTCACCCCGATTGTTACCATTCCCACGTTGTGGTCTGTTCTCATGGATGGTCTCGCACCGATTTGGCCTCAGTCGCGCACTCAGTTCGACGGCATTTCCCTCGGAGATGCTTGGCCATGCTCTTCGATGCCCCCCGCCCCTGGCTGGGAGCGCATCGTTCCGTTCCACAAACTCACTCAATGGCTCACGTACTCGTTGCTTGTGCCGATGTCGAAACTGATGGGTATCATGTTCGTGGGCGAGCAACTGCTTACCGGTCTGCCCGAGTACCGGAACGGCGGCTTGCTCATCGACACTGGACTGTTGACCCTCAAGCCGAACCAGACGAAGCGCGGTATCGACAGATACAACGAGAATGCTAAGAAAGCCGGTCAGCCGAACATGGAGGTCGTTCCGATGTTCACTCCAGACGACGATGTTATCGTTGAATGGCGAGCTGCCACTCTGGGATTCCTGGATCTATTACTCGAAGAAGTCAACAAGAAGCTCGGACTCGGTGATTCCGATGGATTGAAGTTGGCGCAGATGCTGGAGGCTGGTACCTGGAAGGTAATTTGAAATCCCTCTGTGATGGTTTTGTAGAGCGGATCTGACGGATATGTGTGATACAGGGCGGACGAGAGCTGGCAGAGGTGTCCAGACCGAACACCAAGGAGCCCCCGATCATGATTTTGTCTGATGGAACAGTCTTCTAGGCTGGACGACTTATCCCTTTCATGTCGTTCCTGTCGGCTATAGAATTCTTGATGTGATAATGGGTTGCATCGATGAGCCGCATGCTGTATGCGCTATGAATACTGCTTGTAGCGTCCTGTTTTTTTCTTTTCTTTCTTCACTCGATGCTCTGGTAGCTATCTTGTATAGAAGGCTCTGTGCACTTCTTTTTTTCGAATTCATTCCCAAGCCATGGTCATACCTATTTCTTACTCGTTGGTCGAGAATTGTCGGGCTGAATACTTTACATAAAGTCAACTCAATCAATCGTCATGTCTCATTATTTCTTTTTTGGCATCCCAATTGAATGCAAGCTCCCTAGTACTCTTCGATAGAAACCTCTAGAAAAGCGGGTTGCTTGCACTAAGGCGGTGACACAGTACTAAACTTCAACCTGGCTACCCCACTAATATCGCGACCATTCGTCAAGCATCCCTTCCAACAAACACTTCCCGTCCACTTCAAGAAACACATTTAGGTATTTACATAACCGACACACCACACCACACGCGCGATGGCGTCATCAACCACCCTCGCCGAGCGAGGCTTCAAGGCCTTCACCGTGTCGAACTACCCAGAGGCGATCTCGCTGTACTCGCAAGCTCTCGCGATCAATCCCGAAGCTCCCGACTACTACATCAAGCGCTCGACGGCCTACCAGCGCTCAGCACAATACGAGCTCGCGCTGTACGATGCCGAGCTTGCCGTGATGCTCGCGCACTGCCGCGGCAAGCGCGAGCTGATCGGAACCGCACAGCTCCGCCGTGCGATCGCACTGCACCTTCTGGGCCGCTACGGCGACGCCGCGTTCTGCCTCTCCGAGGCGGAGACTAGATGTACGGCCGTCGCCGAGAAGAACATGATCGGTGTCTGGAGGAAGAAGCTAGAAATGGTGCTGGAGAAACTGGATGACGATGATGTTGCGCGCGAGGTCACGATCACGGCTATTCCGGAGGTGGACGTGCCGAAGGCGCAGGCGAAGATTGTGGGCTTGGATACGGAGAAGGGGAAGGGGAAGGTTCCGGCTGCTGGTGGTGGTACTGCTTCGTCTAATGCTTGGACTGCGTCCACGTCGCCGACTACCGCTTCGTCTACTCCTGCTGCCGTCGCTGCCCCGCCGCCTCCGCCGCCGTCTCTAGGCTCTTCTACGCCGTCCGACAAGATCCGTCACGAGTGGTATCAGACGCCTACGCATGTCGTCCTGACGGTGTACGCCAAGGGCGTTCCGAAAGACAAGGCTACCATCGAGATCCACGACAAGACGGTTTGCTTCCCACCTGCGCCATAATACAGCGAAGGGCTTTATTAACAGTTGTGGGGTCGGTCGCTAGGTCTCGATTTCCTTCCCACTTTCTTCCGGTAGCGACTTCACTTTCGACGTCGATCCGCTATGGGACTTCATCCAGGCCGATCAATCCCACTTCAACATCTACTCCACTAAAATCGAAGTTAACCTCCGCAAAGAAAACCCCAACAAGAAATGGGCCGACCTCGAAGGCGAGGCTGAAGCGCCGGTTGAAACGGCAGCGGAAGCTAGCAAGGAGGATAAGCCCGTGTATCCATCCTCGTCCAAGGCTGGACCAAAGGATTGGGACAAACTTGCGCGGGATCTCTCGGCTAAGTCGAAAGACAAGAAGGGGAAGGGGAAGGGCAAAGACGGCGAGGAAGACGCGGAGGATGAGGCGGATATGGTGTACGATAGCGATGATGGCGGCGATCCGGTCAATATGTTCTTCAAGAAGCTGTACAAGGACGCGGATGAGGACACAAGGAGGGCCATGATGAAGAGCTATATCGAGAGCAATGGCACGGCGCTGAGCACTAACTGGTCCGAGGTTGGAAAGGCTCAGGTCGAGACTAGTCCTCCAGGTGAGTTTGTACCTTTGTTCTAATCTACATGGAGGGGCAGCGCTGACAAGAATGCAGATGGAATGGAGGCCAAGAAGTGGGGCGAGTAGTGAGGGTGCCGGATTGAACAGAATTTAATGCGCATCCGTCTGATGTTCATGGAGGTTTTACGATACTTACGCTGTACACATTGCCTGTATGTTTAGTTGCTACGGTGAATTGAATCGGATTGATTACTTGTTTGCTTGCTGGTCTGAAACCATCCATCCCAATCACCTCTTGGTCGTCATGCAACGCTGTCGATCAACCGCCCCCGCAAAACGCCGTTGGTTGCAACCATGTTCCTTGTCTGTCTGTCCATCCGGCGCCACCGCCCGAACGAACCCAAGCATTTTTCGCATGCGATTGAGATTTTCCCATGTGCCGTGGGTCATGTCATTTTGAGTCGAGTATTTCCCGCCACCGCTCGTCTCCCTCCTCCCCTTCACTCCTCCCTCCACCTGTCCCCCCTCGGCAATGTTATTCCCGCCCACACAAATCCTCCCGTCGCTAAACCTGACAGCGCTCAGCGGCGTAACGGGAAGCATCAGCATCGCGTGCTGGATCGTCGTGTTCACGCCACAGATCCTGCAGAACTTCCGGCGCGGCTCCGGCGACGGCCTCAGCCTGGTCTTCCTTGTCATATGGCTGCTCGGCGATCTGTTCAATATCGTCGGTGCTGTGGTCCAGGGGGTTTTGCCGACTATGGTGAGTCTTGGATGGAGAGAGGAGGGGGAGGGGAGGGGTGGGCTGGGGGGGGGGGGGGGGGGGGGGGAGATGTGGGCTGATGAGTGAGGTGCAAAGATTATCCTCGCGGCGTATTATACACTCGCCGATATCGTCCTGCTGGGACAGTGTCTTTACTACCAGCGGCGGAACTCCAATTCTACTTCTACACTCGGCGAGAGTGAGGAGGGTGAGGAGGACCCACTCTTCGCCGCCAAAGACGACGAGGACGACGAGCTGCACCTTCTCACGGCAGCACCACAGCAGGCGCTCTGGAAATCCGTACTGGTCAACACTCTTGCCGTGCTAGTAGTGGTGCTCGCGGGGGTACTCGGCTACCTTTTATCCCCATCCACCCCCTCCTCCCCGCCGCACGGCCACATCTCATTCTCGCCGCTCGGCCAAGCCTCGGGCTACCTGTGCGCATTCCTCTACCTCGCCTCACGGATCCCGCAGATCCTTTTGAACCACCAGCGGCGGTCATGCGAGGGCGTCAGCGTGCTGTTTTTCATGTTCGCGGTGATCGGGAATGCAACGTATGTGCTGAGCATTCTGGCCAATGTCGATGGTGGCGGCGAGGACGGGAGGGATTATGGACGGTACGTCGCCGTAAATGCGTCCTGGCTGCTGGGCAGTGCCGGAACGTTGTTGCTGGATTTGGTCATTTTTGCGCAGTTTTGGTGGTATAAGGAGAATGGCGAGGGGCTGGCGGGGATTGTGGAGGAGGAGGATGAGGAGGAGGAGGATGTTTGAACTTTGGTAGGATACTTGTGTACAAGTAGAGGGGGATGCTGATATATAGACCACGTAAAAGGTTTTGCTTTGCTTTTATACTTTTGACTCACGCAGGCGAGGAGAATCGATCGTTAAACCTAAACTCAATCAAGCAGATAGTTCACGCCAATCGATGCAAACCAGTATATAAACAAGGGAATATGCGCCAGGCCTCAAGAAAAAATAAAGAGAGAACGAGAAGAACCCAGTAAAACAAGAAAGTGACTCTCCTCCCACCGGCCCAAGATTATGTAGTAGTAGTAAACACAAGAAGCACGCCAAACACTCCAACACAAATGCAAAAAGGAGAAAAACCGAACTCAACTCAAAATCCCTCTGATCCCCCCATCTACCTCCGCAGAGCCAAGATGAGCTGTCCTATCTTCTCATCACTCTGCTTTTTCTCCGCCTTGAGTCTCAGAGTCAGCTCGTTAACCTGCTTCTTGAGTCCCTCGACCTTGCTCTTCTCCTTGGTATGTTCGAGACCCCATCTCTTGATGGCCGCTTTGAGCCTCTGATTCTTCTCCTGGAGCACGTTCTGTTGTCCATCGAGGCCGTCGATGAGCACATCGAGCGCTCTCAGGCCGACAATGATACCAGCGACAGTATCCATCTCGGCAACGCCTTCCGCAAGCAGTTCCGCTCGCAACAGATCGAAGAGCTGCTTGTCGCCCTCACGCTCAGGCGCATACTCGTCGACCTCGGCGGCGATGCGCTGGAGTCCCTTGATGTACGGCTCGACGGCGTGGTGAAGCTCTCTCGTTTTCTGCTCTAGTTCGGCCTGAAGCGTAGATTTGACACCATTCCAGATGCTATCCTTCTCAGCACTCTCGTGGAGGAGAACGTTGAAGCGCGAGCGTGCCTGAGTAGCTTCCGTCTCGGCCTTCAGGGTGGACGCTTCGAGGGCCGCCTTCTCGGTTTGAAGCTTCTCGAGCCGTTCGTCCGCCGCTGCGATACGCTTCTCGAGGCCCTGGATCGTAGTCGATGTCTCGCCTACATGGCTGGCAGATTCCCGAGCGACATCACGTTCCTTGGTCAGCGTGATTTTGGCGGTTTCGAGATCCTCGATTTGTTGCTCCAGGCGCATAACTCGGTCATTGTTGCTCTTTTCCACGATCGCGAGTTCCTTGAGGAGTTCGGAAGTTCGTTGCTTGTACGCCTCGACTTCGGCTAGATAGCCATCGGACTCCCGCAGCTGCTTCTGATTCTGCACCAAACGCTCCTGTTGCTCCTTGACCTTCTTCTCCGCCTCGGCAGTCTGCGCTTTCCATCTCTCAAGTTCCTTCTGCGCCTGCACGTACGATTGCTCGAGGGCTGCCAGTTGTGCCTCAAGGTTGCGGACCCGTTCATCCAGACGGAGTGACTTCTCGTTCTCTGCCAGCGCTTTCTCCAGAGCCCGGGCATTCTCCTTGAGGCGCTGTTCGAGCTGCGTGACTTCCTCCTCCACCCTTTCGACTGCCGCATGGCCCTCCGAGATCTCCTTCTGCAGCGCAGCGTTTTGGGCGTTTAGCTGTTCAGCCTTCGATTTCAAAGACTCCACCTCCTTGCCCAACGATTCGTTCGCCTGTGAGAGATCGTTTACTCTCTGCTCGCTCCGAGCGTGTAGAGACTTGTACGTGGTATTCTCATCTTTCAAGTTTTGAATGCCGAATGCAGCCAGCTCAGCCCTGCTGAGGCCATCATGTCCAGCGTTGGACGCCAGATACCTCAAGCTCTTCTCCGCCTCCTCTGCAGCCTCGTCGAAATTCTCGATCTCGGTCATACCGCCGATTTGGGTGAGGATATGGTCAAGACTGTCTTCAAAGAACTGGCTCATGTCCTGGGATCTCTCGTCCATCCATCCACCGGCGTCACCGGCGTCATCGGCATCAAAGATCCGGGAGGTGCGGTCACCAGGGTCCACTGGCATGACATTGGCATATTCGTCCAGCTCTGCTTGAAGGTGGTTGATCATCCCGTCCTGTTCGGCAAGCAACTCCTTGTACTTTTTCTCGGTGTTGCTAACTTTTTCTTTACCCGCTTTTCTCTCCAGCTGAAGTTGGTTTTCGAGTTCAACGATCCTCTTCTGGAGTGGTTCATTGATGGTTGAATTGACGCGCTGATCTAGGGCTGCCCGGAGGTGACGGATTGTGTTTTCGTGCTCCTCATTCTCCTGCTCGCGAATTTCGACCTGCTCGTTCCTTGCTGTCTCGAGACTATCGATCTTTGCTTGGAGTTCGGCAATTCTGAGGGTGTATTTGCGGACTTGCGGTGTGGCTGGCGAGCCTTCGAGACCCTTTTGATGCGCCTGGAGTTCCGCTACTTGTTTTTCAAGGAACCGGACCCTTTGGCGGTGTAACTCCACGTCGCTGTGCACTGCACCGTACTCCTCCTCGTACTGAGTGACAGTATCGCTCAGTTCACGGATCTTTTCTCGCTGCTCTTCGTCTTTCTTCGAAGCTTGGTTGAGAGTTTGCCTTAGCTCGAAGATATGACGGCGCATAGACTCCGGATCATCGTGTAGCTCGGATTCGTCTCCTCGGACCGAGTTGGGTGTTTGAACCCTGACTTCGACATCTCCAAGTCTGAGGCTTCCATCGTGGGATGACGATGCCATATGGAACTGAGAGCTAGACATGTCTTCGATATCCTTGTCTTGCATGGTGGTCTGACCCGGCTCGTAGGAGGGTGTGGTTGATCGGAAAGTTTCAGAAAAACCAGACCACGCATGACCGCCCATGCTGTCACTAGCCGTGGTATCAGCAATAGATCACCGAGCCGCATATTGGTAGGGAAATTACCGATTCTTTTTGGTATTCTTGGAAGTCCGCTCTCCTTCATCTTCCGACGAATCCGGTCTACTATTCCGAATTTCCAGAGTGCGTAGCTTTGGGGTAGCGTCACTCGCGGTGTCACTGGAGGAAGTATCACCGATAGTCGAGGGGCCTTCTTGCAGGTCTGTTTCACCATTATTCCTAGCAGATCCCGGTGCAACATCTCCGACCTTCTCTACTCTGTCGACATCAAAGAGCTGCCTTGGGGGTTTATCACTGCGTTGAATAGCTCCGGGCACAGAGTCAAGCGGATTACTTTTGCTCCTCTCTCCCAATCTGCCATTCTCATTTCCAAGCGATGGCTGGGTGCTGTTTTGGTCATCCGGGGTATTTATCGTGGAGTTTGGTGGAGGCTGTGTGCCTACGGGGCGTGGGTTGTCCTTGAAGGTTTGTTCGTCGGCGATGACGTCCGCAGCAGAATGGGGTCGTCCTGGAAGCTGCTCCGGCGACACTGTGAAATCACTGGGGAGCGGTGATGGAAGCTCTTTTCGAAGGGCTTCGGTGTCCGTTGTTGAGATGGAAGACATCGATGGTGGGGTAGACATAGAGACTCGGCGTGCTAATTTACTATTCTTCAGTTTCCATAGATCAAAATTGCGGTAGGAATAGTGCGGTGTCGCAAAAATATTACCGTCTGCAGTCTTCAGAGGCGAGACGTTGTGGCCCTCGGTGGCAGCTTCGGACGCTGGAACCTCTGGAGAGGCGGTAGGTCTCCCAGCACCAGGCAAAGAGCTTGGGGGTGCAGCCAAAGGTGCTTCTTTGCCTTTGTTACTAGGCTTTGTGCCCAAAGCAAACATTCCTTTGTTTGGCGTTATTGGTGGGGTCGAACTTGAGATGGTGTTGCGCTTGAAAGAGAAATTAGACGGCACCACGTTTGTCTGGATGTACTTTCTTCGCGGTATGTTCCTATTTGGCGGAGTCTGAGGTATCGCCGAATCCGATGAGTTGCCCGAAATTTTGCCCATACTTTCTGTCGCACTCTCATCAGAGGTATCAGGTATTTCTAGGTTTCCGAATGACACCCTTCGAGGAGTCGGCCGTCCCGATTGTACTGGCACCAAAGCTTGCGACATTTTCTCCATGAGCACACTAGCGTCAATTTCCTCGAATATCTCGTTTCGCATGACACTAGCCGTCGACACTTGGGAGACCGTCCGCGCTTGGTTCTGCATTTGCGGTCTATCCTCCAGGCTCTCCGGTGTATCGGGCGGCAACATTGCGCCTGTTCCCTGAGCGTGATCCAAAGGTGTAGAGTCCCCCGATGCGGTCTGCTTCGTTTCTTGGCCCTCGCTTCCTTGTGATGGCTCTGGGAGCATTGTATCTTCCTCGCCATTGTCACTGGAGGATCCTTGCTGCCCGCCGAAGAAACGGTTGGCTGGTGTTGAAGGAGATCCCGATTTCCGCGTCGGCGATTGATGCTTCGCAGGGCTGTCTCGAGGCCTACGCACTGCCACCCTCTTCGACAGGCCTGTCAGAGCGTCAGGTGTTGACTCCGGGTGCGGGGTCGATGCTTCGGAGGTGGACGGCACTACGATCGAGCTGTCAGATTCGTCCCCGCCGTCATATCGGCGCTCGTCACTCTGAACGATGTCGTCATCCTCTTCCGAATTCATGTCGAGGTGGGGACTTTTATTCTCCGAGCTCCGCTTTGACCGGGTCGTCTTGGGTGTGGACTGTGGGGAGTCGTTTGAGTTTGTCGGCCGCAGGACCACCCTCGAAGGCGTCTTCGCATCAGGAGATGAACCGAGTATACTTGGGAGCACCCGCTTCGACTTTTTGGAATTGCGACGGCGGAACACTACGATTGGCGACTCGTCCACTTCGTCGCCGGAGGACTGACTAGCTGACGATTCCGGTGGCCACACTCTTGCGTTCTGGAGAGCTTCTCGAAGATCAACTTCCGACCCACACGCCTTCTGTTTGCCGGAATGGAGGCTAGCTTACCGTTGCTGATGTTGAAAGAAGTCTCGGTGGGCGACGGAATGGAGGCATGTCCGTCGCTGTCGGGAGAGTCGAAGTCGTCATCCATCTTGCGGCTTTGCTTGGTGTGTGTCGAAACAAAGGAAGTGCACCACTCAAGCTTAGAGGTCGCGAGAGACGGACAAGGCAGGTGAGATCAATAGGTCGTAGTGACAGTGGTGGTAAGCGGGGGCCCCTCCTTGTCCTGCGGGTTGGCGGAGCGAATGGCGGGTGGCGGATGGTTGCGAGGGTTACGGTTGATGTGCATAGGGCGAGGTTTCTGGGCGTTGTTTTGAAGTCTGCTGGACGCGCCGCTTAGCTGTGAAACCCACCGTCGTTACACACAGCCAAAACACGGAAGACACCACCACCGAAACACCCATGCTGTCCGCATGTTGCGTCGCTGCTGCACGGGTCATCGCGCTCATCGCGATCATTCAGGAACACTGTTACACAAGTGAAAAATCTACGAGAGAGGCTAAACGTGAAGAACGTTCTGAAGAATAAATCCTTTTGGGAGAAATTCATAGAAGTATCATAATAGCAATCATTTCGAGCAAGGCACCGTCAGATTACACCGGGTCAGGTATCTGTACGTGTCCATCGCGCATAGGGGACGCGGTCAGTCTGCCAGCCAATTGTCTCGCACTTCCGGCCCCCGGAACCCCTTATCACGCCCAAGCTCTCGTCTGGCCTGTGAAATATTCCAGTGTAGAGTTCAACGACCACCACTGGGAGCTCCACGAATAAATACCATTCGACTTCCCCCAGAATTGACTAGATATTTCCACCAGCATCGACAGCAATCATGCCGAAGACAGACTATACACGCTGGCGACTGAAGACCGAACGCGGACGACAGACATGGCATTACCTCGAGTCCGACGAACAGCTTGCAGCATGGCCCCAGGCGACCTACGACAAGTACCATCTGGGAATGGATACTGTGAGAATCGAACTCTGAATTTGCGGGGAGTCAATGGGTTCTGACGAGCTGCTGCTGCTACAGGGCCTCCCTACGCTTCCCGAAGCTTCAAACTCCCTCGAGGCTGCTCGTAATGGACTGCGGTTCTTTTCCCAACTCCAGCTGCCGGACGGTCAATGGGCTTGTGAATACGGAGGTGTGCATTCCCGTCCGCTGTCTACGTGCTGTCCGTGCTGACAGCCCATAAGGTCCCATGTTCCTCCTTCCGGGCCTCATCATCTCCTTCTACGTCACCAACACTCCCGTTCCCGAGCCATGGAAGGTCGAAATCATCAACTACCTCACCGCCCGCGCAAACCCCAAGGACGGCGGCTGGGGGCTACATATCGAAGGCGAATCCTCCGTTTTCGGCACAGCTCTTAACTACGTCGTCCTGCGGCTGTTGGGCATGGGGCCGGACCACCCCGTCGCGCAGAAGGCACGCAACCGACTCCACGAGCTCGGCGGAGCGCTCGGCTCACCGCACTGGGGGAAGTTCTGGCTCGCACTGCTCGGCTGCTACAGCTGGGACGGAATGAACCCCATCCCGCCGGAGCTGTGGTGTCTGCCGAACTGGGTCCCGTTCCACCCCTGGAGGTGGTGGGTCCACACCAGACAGGTGTATCTGCCCATGTCGTACATGTACTCGCTGCGGCACTCGCACCCAAAGAACGACCTGATCCGCTCGCTGCGTGAGGAGCTGTACACCCAGGACTATGCCACCATCGATTTCTCGAGGCACCGGAACACCGTCGCGCCGGCGGACCTATACCATCCCCACTCGCCGCTACTGGATGTCGCCAATCATGTCCTCGGCGCCTGGGGAAGCTACGTGTGTCCGACCTTCGTCCAGAGCTATGCGCGGAAGCACGTGTACGATCTCATCTGCCGCGAGGACGAGAACACGCAGTACTGCTGCCTGGGGCCCGTCAACAACCCTCTCAACTTCGTCGCGCGCTACCTGACCGAGGGCGGGGACAGCTACGCCGTCCAGCGGCACCGCGAAACGCTCAAGGAGTTCATGTGGATGAAGAGCGAGGGCATGCTGATGAACGGCACGGACGGCGTGCAGACGTGGGACACCAGTTTCCTGGTGCAGGCGGTAGTCGAGTGCGAGCTCACGGAGGAGCCCGAGTTCAAAGAGATGCTCATCAAAGCCCTCGAGTTCCTCGAGGATCAGCAGATCCGCGAGAACTGCCCCGAGATGGACAAGTGCTACCGGCAGACGCGCAAAGGCGCGTGGGCGTTCAGCAAGCGCACGCAGGGGTACACGGTGAGCGACTGCACGGCCGAGGGGCTCAAGGCGGTGATGATGCTGCAGTTCACGCCGGGCATGCCCAAGCTCGTCGACGACCGCCGCTGCATGGACGCCGTCGACGTCATGCTCACCATGCAGAACGCCGACGGCGGCTTCGCCTCCTACGAGCCGATCCGCGCCGGCCCCTGGGCAGAACACCTCAACGCCGCAGAGGTCTTCGGCAAGATCATGGTCGAGTACTCCTACCCCGAGTGCACCACCGCCGTCGTCACCAGCCTCGCGCTGTTCCGCGAGCATTATCCCAAATACCGCGCCACCGAGATACAAACCACCATCCACCGCGCCATCGGCTTCATCAAGAACTCGCAGCGCCCTGACGGCAGCTGGTACGGTGCGTGGGGCATCTGCTTCAACTACGCAAACATGTTCGCGCTGGAGTCTCTCGCGCTCACCGGCCACACGTGGGAGAACTCGCCCGTCGTCCGGAAGGCGTGCGAGTTCATCGTCAGCAAGCAGATGGACGACGGCGGGTGGGGCGAGGGTTACATGAGCTCCGTCAAGGCGGAGTATATACATCACGAGAAATCGCAGGTTGTCAATACGGCCTGGGCGTGCATTGGACTCATGAATGCGAAGTATCCCAAGAAGGAGGAGATCGAGAGGGGGATTAAGTTGCTGAGGAGCAGGCAGCAGCCGAATGGAGAGTGGCTGCAGGAGGCCATCGAGGGCGTGTTTAATAAGAGCTGGTGTGTTCCCCCCACCCACCCCCCGCCTCCGTGACTTTGACGTCGGAACTGACATTTGCGGTGACAGTATGATCTCGTATCCGAACTACAAGAACGTGTTCTCGATCAAGGCGCTGGGGATGTTTGCTCGGCAGTACGAGCATATCGAGTAATGTCTAGTGTGAAGCATGCTACAGGAAGCATGCTACATGTGGTTATGATGGATGGATGGACGGTTAATGTAATACCCTGGGGATGGTGCATTTGGTGCATTTGGGGGAGGAGTGTAATGGGTCTGGGAATTCCGGATGAACGTTTGTGGGTTTGTCTAGACGGGCAATTGAATATCGATTACTCATGCATTCTTCTGAGATATGGCCCGTAATCCGTATAACCCATCGGATCAAGCTCTTCCTGTACCTATGCATACGACGGAACATCGACTTCTCTCGCATCCAAACCGCCGGGTGATATCTGGTGAGGATCTTATGCTTTGATTGGGGAGGTTTCTATCCAGAGTATGTATCTACAGTAGTGTTCACGGCCGCTGCCCAAGCTCAGTCCTCGTCATCAAAGAACCAGAACGCCCCGCCGCCACCACTTTCACCATCACCGCCACCACCGATATCCTCGCCCGGTCCTTGCTGCCACGGGGTCTGCTGCTGCTGCTGTTCCCACGGATCCGACTGCTGCACCGGATACCCGCCGTACTGATCCGGCGCCTGCTCCTGCTGCTGGTCACCGTGATACCCATCCATAGCACCGCCGGCGGCACCTCCCATCACGCCCCCCGCCACGCCACCGGCAGCACCAGAACTAGGATTATGTTCGCCTCCACCGCCGCCGAACACACCAATCGGCATGAACCCGCCATGTCCCATGGCGGAGGAGTGTCTACTAAAGTAGTCGAAATCAATCGACACGGCAGCAGCCAGCATTACCGCTCTCTCGTCGAGTGTCATTCCCCTGCCGGCCGCGGGCTTGCCCACGCCCTCGAGTTCCGTCGATTCTGGGGTTTCGACGGCGGCGGGGACGCGGTACGAGTGCTGCTTGTGGCTGTTAGAGATTAGGTGCTGCGGCTCGGCGGCGACGCTGGCCGCGTCCATGCGGAGCGCGTATACACCCGTGTCGGTGAAGATCTCGCGGCCGAAGCCGGCGAAGTTGCGATTTACGCTGCCGATCAGCGAGGGAGGAGTCGAGTCGGTCAGGAGTGAGAAGTCCCTGGCCGCCCTTATAAGCATACGTCCACTGCGACACATACGAGGTGTGGGACGTACCATGACAGAACTGGCTCATCGACATACGCAAATTGCTTATATGTCCCGCCCCTCCCTCCAGCCACCGGCTCAACATCGGACTCGGCAGGCTGGTCTTGGTATAGAAAGAGATTGTACTTCCTCCTCAGCACGTGCCACTGCTGCTGACACTCTCCGATGATTCTGTACTTATCTCGCGATACATACTCCGGTGTTCCGCCGTTACCCAAGGTTGCGGGGTCCAGCGGATCGTACGCTGTAATTGCCGAGTTGATGAACGAGAATGGCCTGTGGAACTTTTGGGGGCCCGTTTAGCCACGGCTGGAAAAGATAGGTAAGAGGGGGGAGGGAGCCAGACCCGTAGTATTTCAACTCCGTGCTTGTCGAATACGTGGGTTTGAAACGACCGATGCGTGCGTGCCCATTGTCGCATCACCACCTTTGTAATGCTGTTTTCCTCCTCGGCCATGAAGCCGACGTGGTTTCCGGCGGGATCCATGATGACGTATTTGTTTGCCTGCTCGAAGCCGCTGTCCATATCGTGAGCCGCCGGCTTCTGCCAGATGATATAGAGACGTACAGCAAAATATTTCCCAGCTCCAACTGCCTCTGTATAACCAACGCCGAGTTCTCGAGCATTCTTGCCGCTGGATGCCTCGAGGTAATTACAGCGCCCGGGTCCTCGGGGATGTAGACGGGCGTGCTCAGGGAGTTATAGCTATTGTCCGGTACCTCGGCGATAGGCTCAGGCCGGAGGAGCGTGGTACTCGCTTTCGTCGCATTGTCGGGAATGCCGGCGGGTGCTGGACGACGGCCTATGGTGCCTCGAGGCCCCGGGCCGCTGGATGAGCGTAGGGAGGAGAGATTGCGGCATTGTATTAGGGGCCGGAAAACTTTCGTGATATTGTAGATGGTCGACATCGGAGTTGTGCATGTTGAAAAAGTAGGATAGCTAACAGCTTCGGGGTGTTTATCCCCCGCCAAATGAAGTCATCATGTCACCCATTATCAGTTCGCCCTGCAAGGATTGTGAAGTACTTTAGCTGGTCTTGGCAGGGTGTATGGACAACATGAGCTTCACCTCCAAGTTCGCTCCCGAGGATCTCTCTCCCGAGCGCCACTCATCACTACAACCACAACTTCTCGTTACCACCACCACCACCATCACCACCGCACATACTATTATACACACTACACGCACGCCATGTCTTTTGCCGTCGCCAACAGACGTCTCCTTAAGGAATACAAAGAGCTGATCCGGGAAGCACCGGAGGGCATATGCGCCGGACCGATCGACGAGGACAACCTTCTGGAATGGGAGTGTTTAATACGGGGGCCCGACGACACACCATTCGAAGGTGGCGTGTTCCCTGCAACTTTGAGCTTCCCCAAGGTACATACGAGCACACTCTCCTCCCCCAACTCCTCAGATGCACGCGTGCGTTGCGTTGTGCTGACTTAAAGCAGGACTACCCTCTCAACCCGCCCAAAATGAAATTCACCTGCGAAATGTTCCACCCCAACATCTACAAAGACGGGGCGGTGTGCATTTCAATTCTGCACAGTCCCGGCGACGACCCGAACCAGTACGAGGATGCCAGCGAGCGGTGGTCGCCGATCCAGAGCGTCGAGAAGATCCTCATCAGTGTTATGAGCATGCTTGCGGAGCCGAATGACGAGTCTGGTGCGAACATTGATGCGAGCAAGATTTGGAGGGATAATAGGAAGGAGTATGAAAGACGGGTTAGGGAGTGTACCAAGAAGATTCTGGGGTTGTAGGCTTGTGGAAGCGCTGGACTGGACTGCGCGGATAGGAGGTCTGAGTGATGAATGCGTGCTGATGAGATATCCTATTCATGGGAAGAGGGTTTATAGAGTAACTTGCACTAATTTCACTCATTTTTTGGAGAGAACCAAGGCCGAGTGCGTGGAGGGGACGGGGGTGGGAACAAGGTGGCGGAGTCCAGTCGGCTCCTTCTCCAGAGACCATGATGGGAGATAGGTTGGAACTACCTCAACCGGTGGCCTGGCCGGAAATTCAGAATCCTTAAGATATCATCTTTAATCGTAATGTAGCCATATAAATTTAGCGATTTAAACAAGACTGACCACATCCTCCGCCGCTTCATCGCGCTATCACTCGATGCCTCTCCTCGATAACGTGCGAGAATGTCGACGGAAGCTTGAAGGAGATGCTTGAGGTTTTGGGATCGAAGGGCGAAGTAAACATAAACTCTTGATGTGTCTCGTTCAGGAGCCCATTAAAGGCAATGCACAGAAAGCAGAACTGCCGTTGGATTGTTCTCATTGGTTCATTAAAAACAATTACCAGAACAATATCCAATCAAGACAGCTCAACAGCTCCTGCCGGGATGCCAGCACGACTTCTAAGCCTTCTCGCCATGAACCGCATCATCGGCATAGCTTCCTCCTGGTTCTTCATCACGCCATCCCCAGTCCTGCCACGCCACTTGACAATCTCGACAAACTCGAAGACCTCATTCACACGAGCTTCAACGCCCTCAGTGACCTCCGAGTTCTTCTCTGCCCCCATGACCATCACTGGTGTCTTCGCCTTCGGATGAGGTGAAGGGGCCGTGTTCGGCAGTGGTCCACCAAGGGAAACAACGCCGCCAAACTCCTCGCTCGGCGGAAGCCTCGACGCAAGGTCCAGAGCCAGCATTCCGCCTTGCCCCAATCCCAAGAGGAAGATCGCCCGCCTCTTCCAGCCACACTTGCCCACCAAAGTATCATCAATAATCGTCTTCATGAGCTTGTGAGCGGAGGTGAAATCAGCCTCCATATCCAGTCCACCAGTAGAAGAGTCGAAGATCAGATCGTCGCCCCAGTGAAAGCCATTCGGATTGAACGGCAGCATCGTGGGAGCTCTGACAGCTAGACACGTGGTTTCGGGGAAGTTGAAGTTCTTGCCCAGGGCTGCGAACGGCGAGTGAGAGTCGCCGAGTCCGTGAAGGAGGATCAGGATGTTTTCGACTGGGCCGTCCTTTCGAGGCGCAATAATCGTGATGACCATATCACCCGGAAAGTCGGAGGGTTCGGGGATTCGAGACATTGAAGCGGATTGAGATCTGTCGGTCGTTGTAGATGTCGCGTGGCGATATGTAGTGATACAAGCAGCAGTGGGATGATCGATGGTGGGGCAAAGAGGGGCTGATGAGACCCACCTAAAATCGTTCTCGGCAACAGAAACCGACGGGAGCGAGACCTAACTGCATGACATTAACAAGAAAGTAGAGTACATATAATTCCATACTCTCTAGATCTTCAATCCGTTCCAACAGCATCCCGAGACCCTAGAAAAGACAGAATCCAAGCAGAGCCGCACTACACGTGCCCCACCCTCATCTGAAGCGATTGGGTGGTTGGTTTGTTACCCGCTTTAGATCCTTCACAGAAACTCAATCAAGTCAGTTTTTTTTGGTCACCAGCTCAGCTCCTCCTCCCGCACCACAATGGCCTTCCAGACATCCCGACAGGCCTCGTCCCTGTTGTCGCTCACACTGCGGCGGCCCCCGCTCGGATTCACACCGAACCGACAAATTCTTCCTTCGGCGCAGCAGCGATGCATACACGAAGAACAGCAGTACGAGCGGAAGCAGTACGAACGGAGACCCGCCCGGCTATCATACACACAAGGAGAGCGGTTCCAGAACGTCCGTCCTCAGCCTCGGGCGCCGATCGCACACCGTGTGCGCAAGGAGTTCTTGGTGAACGATGATTTGGAGGTGCTGGATGCCATGTATCTGAAGCTTTTCGGGAAGGACCTGGGATTGTCCGAGGATGTCAAGTGGCAGGCGGTCACGCACAAGACTTTCGATCACGGACGGCAGCCGTTCAACTCGAAGTTGAAGTTCTTGGGTATGGTTTCCTTCTCGGTGGCGGCGGGACAACGGCGACGCCGCTAAGGCAGCCTGCCATCGTTTAATATCTCGGCGAGGACGAGCGACAGATGCTGATACAATTACCCTTATAGGTAAACGGCTCCTTCAGACCCAGATATCTATCCACCTCTTGTCTGTACCGCTTAAGGGAGGGCCGAAGGAACCCAAGCCGTCGGTCTATAAATCTCTGGAGGGATCGCTGTACCAGAACCCAGAGCCATTCGTCCACGAAGACTACAAGAGCCTTGAGAACATCACTGGAGCACGAATCGAAGGTCTTATGAGCGAGAGCCGTCTGATGCCCTTGATTGAGGAAGTCGGGTTGCCAAATGTGATGCGGTGGAAGCCGGCAGAGGTACAGAACGCCACCACTTAGCCAACTATTGCCGAGTGAATGCATTGATTAACCACTGTAATAGATCTCGGACTTGAAGCGATCTGGCCAGCAACCCGTAGCCCTTGAGTGCCTCTTCGCGATTACCGGAGCGGTGGCCCTGCAGAAGGGCGGTGACGTGGCCGTGCAGTTCATTCGCGATCGAATCCTGACGAAGACCAGGAAGGCGGCGTCGGCTTCGCCGGATTCAGCGCCGGACCCAGCGCCGTCGCCGTCAACATAGATGGAGGGCAGTGTGGATGGATGAGGGCAAAATTCAGGGCGCCCGGGAGAGGCCCGCAAGGTGACCCGTGTACAATATGCATTTGCCAGTGTATACAATAGACCTGTATTTACTGGAGTTGGGCTCAAGAGATTGGCGATTGACGGCGGTGTGCAGCGGTCATATTCTGTGCGAAATTCACAGCGCACTCACTCGTCTCCGGGATTTCTCTCTAATACCACATATTTATCTGACTACATGCCGCGTTCCATCTGCCATAACCACAACGTAGCGACCGAAGAGAGTTTCCAGTTTCCATGCGGGCGGCAGTGAGCCCCCCTCCACCCCACTCACTCACTCGAACCCTAGCCCGCAGTCTCTGTCGGCGAAGTTTAGCGCCTTTGGCGGGGTTTAAATTCCGCTTTTCAGTCATCCTCGTCTTCTCTTTTATCCCTCCTCTGACTCTTCAAACTTCTCTCTTTTCTCTCCGTCCTCACCTCCTACCTCAACCCCATCCACAACACTCATTTCTAAAAGGTATGCTTCCGCAATTCTTTCTGCTGCATCTCTAAACGAGGACTATATCCTCCGTCGCGTTGATGACACCAATATTGCGCCTAGGGGAGCGGCGTTGACTTTGTTCGCTCCTCAATGATGGCACAATCTTTGACTACAACGGTATCTGAGCGACATCAGAACCAGCACATTTTGTTATCACTAGCACTTGCAGGAGAACATGGCTGACTCGTTACGAAGAAGTAGATGGTGAAACAGATAACATGAGTTCAACACCAACACCCGCGGCGGCCACCGCAAACATCAAGCCCCCTCAACCGAGGACAAAGCGGCCAAACTATCACTTGCTCCACGCCAATCCCCTTCCTCTCACAGTCATCCCGTTCTCTCCCCTGATCCCCCACAACCCGCTGTCGCTCCTACAAATCTTGTACACGTATCTATTCTGTCGGTCGCCGTGCCAGCCCGTTCCGGCGTATACGGGGTTCTTCAATCCCGCTACACGGTCGGTGCATGTTGTGGAAACGCGATCCATCCAGGCTTTCTGGAACAACGGGTTCTTTGGCAAAGGATCGTTGTCGCGGTCCGAACCCACGTGGATTTCCCGCAGGAGAAGGGCCCTCGGTGTCATTGGTAAAAATGAGGATCTAACGGCGGAGGAGATCACGGAGCGTCGCAGGCAGGATAGGCGCCAGTTCAAGTTAGAGCGTGCAAGAGCTGAGAAAGAGAGGATCCAGAATCAGTTGGCTCAGGAGGGGAAGATCGAGCTGTTGGAAACTGGTGAGGGTGGTTCGGTGGAGCCTGACGCCGCTGCTTCGCCACTCGTCCCTCTCGAAGGGGACGATGAGGACGAGGAAGATGCGCTGCAAGATAAACCAGTCGTCCATGTGGAAGATCTTGAGCACTTGCAGCTGACTTTAGAAGAGGCATTTTTCTTGCAATGTGGCTTGGGCGCCCTCAGGATTACGGGACCAGGACCTGAAGAAAATGTGTGTGCTGCCGTGCTTCTTCGCTGCTATTATCTAGACAATAAATCTAATACTCCTGGTATCATAGAAGTCCATTGAAGTGTGCGATGCCCTGTGCTTGTTCCGAAAACACTCGTATTTCCCACCTCTTGATGAAACCGATCTTCAACCCGATGATACCTTCCTACTCAACTACGTCGTATATCACCACTTCCGCTCGTTGGGCTGGGTCGTCAGGCCTGGCGTGAAGTTCGGCGTGGAATACCGTAAGCTCACACACTCGCACATCACACGTGTGTCATCACGATGGCTAACAGACATGCAATAGTCCTCTACAACCGTGGCCCCGTCTTCTCCCACGCGGAATTCGGCGTCCTTGTCATGCCTGCTTACTCACACCCCTACTGGGCCACCGACGTCGGGCGCAAAAAGAACGAGTCGAAGCCGTGGCACTGGCTGCACAGCGTCAACCGTGTCAGCGCGCAGGTCAAGAAGACGCTCATACTGGTGTACGTTGAGGTTCCGCCGCCGAGCGCGATCGAGGGATTGGAGGTGCAGCACTTGTTGAAGAAGTACGGGGTGCGCGAGGTCGCGTTGAGACGGTGGTTGGTTTCCAGGAATCGGGATTAGCTGGGTGGATGGGATGTATGGCGGTGCTTTGCTTGCTTGCTTGTTTGTTTGCTTGATTATGGCGTTTGGAGCTTCAGGAGCTGGATAGCGAGACAATGAGGAAACATTTGTTATTTCGTATGATACTTGTAGTGCCAGCCTATTCCAATTTCCACCCTCCCGCAAACAAACCAGTGTCCCAATCACAGCGCCTCACATCAACCCCTTCCTTGCCATCGCCACCCTCGCCGCAGTATCCTTCCTTCCGGTCTTGCTCAGGCAGATTGCCAGTCCGTCAGGGTGCAGCTCGAACTTGTCCTCGGTCTTGGGGAACGCGCAGGGACAGTGGGTAGGCTTGTCGACGCATGCGAGGGTTCCCGAGCAGAGGTATTTATTACACGTGGCTATTCATTACTATGAGCGATGATCATTCCCGAAGCAAGAGAGTAGTTAGTAGTAGTAGGGAGGGGGAACGCACCCTCCTCATAGTTGTGATTGTACCAGTCGCTGTTGCTGGGAACGTTCTGCTGTTCGCGCTGGCGCCCTCCGCTGCCGCCGTTAAACATTTGGTCGAAGAAACCAAACTGCGCGTACGCCAGTAACGGCGACAGGAGGAGCAGGAGAAGCGACAGTCGGGGGATCATCGTGGTGCTGTTTGGTTGCTCGTCGGTGTAAATGTGGGTTGAGGTTGCTGAAAGGAAAGCTTGCGAGCGTGGGTGAATTATACACGTTGCTTTTTGAGGGCACGTGACTGCTCACGCGTGGTGATATTGGGTGAGGATTAAAGCAACACGGTCCCGGGAGCTACATATGGCAGTCACTTTTGAGTTGAAATACTTAATTCAAATGCTCACATAAAAATGAGGTATATACATCCACCGCCTCCAACCTCCTAAAATTAACATTCCCTTTTATGCCTTGATGTACTTGTACGGATTCATGATACCGTTGGGATCAAACAGTCCCTTGATGGCCTTCATGACACCGAGCTCCGTCTCGCCTCTGGAGTACCCAACAAAGTCGCTCTTCGCGACACCCAATCCATGCTCCGCGCTGATACTTCCCCTCCTCTTCTGGATCCACTCGTAAATGAACGGCTCCAACGCCTTCTCAACACGCTTATCGAATCCGCGCACGGGGATGTTCAGGTGGAGGTTGGAATCTCCCATGTGCCCGTAGCCAACGATGTCGACGACAATTCCCTCGGGGTTCTCGGGCGTGGTGAGGAGGCCAACTTCCTTCATCCGCGTGCGGACGTCTTCAACGAGAAGGTACAGCTCCGATAGAGGAATGGAAACGTCGTATTTGTATACTCCGCCGTAGTGGCCGAGCGCCTCGGCGATACCCTCACGCCATGTCCAGAGCTCCCGCATCTGAGTCTCGGATTCAGCGACCGTGCCGTCGCTGACGTCTTCGTTCTCCATGAGGTTCTCCAGGAGGGTATCGAGTTTCTGCAAATGTTAGTTATTATTGTGTTGGTGAGTGGCAGTAGTGGAGGGATACCTCTTTGTCATGTTCAGTGTTGCTACCGCTCGTTTCTATCAGAACGTAAAATGGCGCCTGAGTCTCCAATGGCAGCTTTTTTCTGGTAACCAACTTAACGAAAGCTTGCGAGCTTGAGTCCATGAACTCGAATGCCGAGAGGATCTCAGAGAGCTGCTGTTTGGTCTTGACGAAGATCTCCTGCGCCTTCTCGTATGACTCAACCGCAAAGAAGGCGACGTTCTGAGCCGTGGGCTTCTGCGGGCAGATGATCGAGATAGCAGTGATGATTCCAATCGTTCCTTCGGAGCCGATGAACAGCTGTTTCAAATCGTATCCAGTATTGTTCTTCCTGAGAAGAGAGAGGTCGTCCAGGATTCTTCCGTCGGGGAGAACAACCTCCACACCCAGCACAGTACCGTGGAGCGAGCCATACCGGAGTAGCCGCAGACCACCAGCGTTGGTAGCGACGTTTCCACCGACGTGGCAAGATCCTTTCGCGCCCAGGTCAAGTGGGAAGATGTACCCCTTCTCGCGGAGGTAGCTATCCGCCGCCTCGAGCACGACACCCGCATCGCAAGTGAGGATTCCCGAGACCTCGTCGAACGAGCGGACCTTGTTCATGTTGCTCATGTTGATGACAATCTCGTCGAAGACAGGAACGGAGCCACCGACAAGCCCGGTGTTGCCACCCTGCGGGACGACAGCGAGTTTCCGCTCATTGCAGTGCTTGATGATTTTAGAGACATCCTCGGTACTTTTGGGCTTGACGACGAGTCGGGTCTGTCCGCGGTATTTGCGCATCCAGTCGGTGTTGAATGCCTCAAGCTCGTCTTGGCTAGCGCCCTTGTCGATGGACACAACGGGACATATCGATTCGAAGTACGTGACGTCCTCGAGGGTCAATTTGGAGAATTGCGAGTTGCGTTGGATGTTGGGGTAGCTGTGACATCACATTAGCAGTTGCTACGGCTTTCCGTGAAAGCGTGCACCGGTACGTACGAGTCAGCGGTATATTTGACCTCCTTCTTCTTGGGTGCGGGGGCATCGGGCGGGCCTGCGACTTCAGTGGATGAGATAGATCGTCTCGCAGCCACCTGGACGGCAGCAGCTCGCAGTCGCTGACGGGGTACGGCGGCGACGACGGGGCGTCTGGTGGCTGTGCGCGCGACATTGCGGAGGACGATGGCGGGATTCATGGCGATGTGTGTAGAACTTCGTAACTCGTCGGCCTTCCTTTAAACTAGCAGGGGAGAACTGCGCGGATTTCAATACAGAAAATAAAGGCTCTTCCAGGCCATGGGGTGCTTTCCAATGTTTTGCCCCACCAGGTGTCAACGATTTTTCTCCATCAGCCGTCGGCTCCACATGGTGGGGGCGCTTGAGGCGGCTACGTTTGACGCTACTCTGCTGTGTCAGCGGCAACTTCCGATGCGGGACAATCGACTTGGCTGTAGTGGGAGCCTCAGAGAGTTGCGAGTTCTCTCCGCTGCCAAACCAACCATCAACAACATTCATCAACTACAGGTTCCTTCTCCTCCAAACTCGCCCTGTCCTTGATCTTCACGACATCCCGCAGCTTTCCAAAAGATGGGTTCCTACGACAGAGCTTTGAGTGGTAAGTAAACTTGCCAAAGGGCACCTCCGAAGCTCTCCCGCAATGCAGCGCAACTGACATCCCATCTAGTTTTCAGGTACCTATCCATTCATCCATCTACTAGCTCTGTACATTTCCAGATCCAACCTGCTAAACCGTACACAGTCCCGATGGACACGTCTTCCAGGTCGAATATGCCCTCGAAGCTGTCAAGCGAGGTAAGACCTCCGATTGCGGCCCCGGCCACCCCGCCATCAGCTACCTAACCACCACCTCTCTCCTCAGGAACCTGCGCGGTCGGTGTCAAAGGCAAGGACGTAGTAGTCCTTGGCTGCGAGAAGCGCTCGGCGATGAAGCTCCAGGACACCCGGATCACTCCCTCGAAGATCGGCCTCATCGATAACCACGTGTGCGTCGCCTTTGCCGGTCTTAATGCCGACGCCCGAATCCTCGTCGATAAAGCGCGCCTCGAGGCTCAGAGCCACCGTCTCACCGTCGAGGATCCCGTTTCCATCGAGTACATCTCCAAATACATTGCTGGTGTCCAGCAGCGGTACACGCAGAGTGGTGGTGTGCGGCCTTTCGGTATCTCAACGCTGGTCATCGGATTCGATCCGAACGATTCTACGCCGAGACTATACCAGACTGAGCCCTCGGGTATCTACTCCGCGTGGAAGGCGAATGCTATCGGAAGGTCGAGCAAGACCGTCCGCGAGTTCTTGGAGAGGAATTACAAGGAGGATATGGACATGGAGGAAACGATCAAGCTCACCGTCAAATCCTTGTTGGAGGTGGTTCAGACTGGTGCGAAGAACATTGAGATCGCCATAATGACTGCTGGCAAGGCTATGGAGGTATGCTACCCTTGACCTCGGGCCAGTGAATTTCGAGCTGACATGCAGCAGATGATGCCTGATGAGCAGATAGAAAACTACGTCAAGAGCATTGAGCAGGAGAAGCAGGAGGAAGCTGCCAGGAAGAAGAACAGGCAGGGCGGCCAAGGCAACCAGAGCGGTCAACAGGGCTCTTCGTCATAGGCTGAGGATACTAATGCACGATACGAGGGATTGACAAGGTGGAATCTGCAGTGAACAAAAAGTAGAATCATGGCTCGTGTTGTGATGGACTCCGTGATGCAAGCAATATGTAGTGATATGTAGCTCCCCAACCAATGCGCCCAACCCCATGCCATCCAAACTGAACAGAAGCTCAACCGCCATTAACCCAGCTTGTTGGCAACGTCATCGCCTATATTCCATATCGTCTTCTGCTCGTCCGTCTTGACCCTCTCGTCCTTCAGCATCCTCGCATCGACTCTGACGTCCTCGCCCTCCACATTCAGCGCGAGACTCGGGGTTTTAGCATCCAGAACGAAGCGGTTGTCGCAGAAAGGACAGTACTCGTCACTACCACACCATCAGCCCTCCATCTCCCCCCCTCCTCATCCCGTGTGGCAAAAACAAACCTATCATCCCAATCGGCCAGCTGCTTACGGAAGCACTTCTTGCACTTCTTGCAGGCAAAGACCATCTCGGTGGTCTGCAGGAGGGCGTGGTCCTCGCGCTCGGCATGGCACTCGGCACAGTCGAACCATTTCTTGCAGCACGGGCTGCGGATCGCGACTTGGGCGTTCAGGATATGTTTGCTGTCGCCGTCCTACCGCGTTAGAAAATTAGTCGAGGGGTGGGTGGGGGAGAGGGGTGAGCGAGCGGGAAAGGTTTCATACCACATTATTGCTGGCGGCGGGTTCGGATGAGGTGGTGGTGGTGGATGTGAGAGTTGAAGGTAAGGGTAGGTAATATCGAAATGAAGCTCCTGACCGGATCTGACCGCCGCTTTGCTGGGGGGAGAAGGCGCTGGAATGGCATACGGCTTGGCGCTGACTGATGTTCACACTGCATCACCCGGAGGTATCGACTTGTCGCCGTCTTTGAAGGCCTGGCAAACGCCTTTGTATGGAATTACTGGCCCTTATTCAAGAAGAGCAAAATAGATCTCAAGATGCCTTTCTAGGGGAACCAAAGGAGCCTAGGTGTATACAAGACACTTCAACCCACCACTACATCTGCGGTTGCCTATTCTCTTCCTCCTCAACCTAGGTACTTCGCACAATCACCTTCAGCATCGAATCTCACAGTAAAACACACGTCCGAGATCCCACAAGCAACAATGCCATGGAAATGTCCCCGCTGCGCCAGTCTGAACCCGGATCACCACCCGGGATGTTCATGTGGGTATACGGATGCCGTCCGAACCCGCTACAGAACGGCAAGAGTGTACAGGTGGCTCTGCAGACAGTATCTATAGGGGTGGGTGGTCGGTCCTTTGTTTTGTTCTTTGTCCAGTACCAGTTTCTTTGGTTGGGTGTTTACTGCTTCCCACGGAATCTCAAACGCCCGAATCATTGATGCTATGATATGGCACTCCATTTGCTCTCCGCCGAGTTCCGCCTGTGAACTCAGATCGCCCCGGCGGTGCCGTCACGTCCGTAAAGCCGTCTTTAGAGCATGACATTCCGTGCAGCAGAATTCGATTTCATCCCACCACCCCATCCCCCCAAACACGAGTGACCCTTTATGCCTAGGTAGTCTGCACCCCACTACATTTTTCCCCGACGCTAGCCACCTCGCCTCCCTATAAAACCCCGCTTCCCTCTTCCTCGCAACTTTTTTTTCCCTTCCTTCTTTACATAAAACATATATACCGATCCTCAACATACCCTTGCGCAGACCTATAGACACCCGACGTCTCGCCGCAAATTTTAGTTTTGGGATCCAGACCGATGAATTACTTGCCTATTATAATCCCCACCTCCATATTAAAGACGGGGGGTGGGATTCGCTTTGGGCCGACATATCGTGAAGAGAGTGAAGAGAGAGAGATGAGATGGAATCTTGATTTCAGTTTAGTTCAGATTAACGGGGCGGGGGAGTGCCAGGTGTTAAAGTTCTGCGTGTGATGCGTGAGATGCGAGCAAAGAACAAAAGAAAAGAAAAACAGAACGAAACGTGTATTTCATCAGTTGGAACCCCACTGCTCAGGCAGGCGGGTGTCGTCGCGTTGTTGCCGACTCGTCTCTCGTCATGTGTATGTAAAACTTTAAGAAGCGCGATGAGCAGCGAACGCCGCGGGAACCAAGCAAAACGCGTAAATTCTGACGAAACACGCAGAACAGATAAACCCAATGCCAATCCCGATCCTGAACGCCCATCCTTCCCCATCAGTATAGTGTACCGTAGACCGCCGCAATCCCCTCCACTCTCTCCTACTTCTCCCCCTCCGGCTTATCATCGAACTGCTTCCTAGCATCTGCAATGACCTTCGACATGACGAGGAGCTCCTCGACCCTGCCTAGCTTCTTGGGGTCATTTCTAAGCGCATACTTGAAGTCGTCGACCTTGATCTTGTTCCTTCGGGCCTGCGCCGCGAGGCGCGCCGCGTCGTGGCACATGTCGACGATGTACTCCGTCACAATCTCGTCAAGCACTTGCACCGACTCCGGCAGTGGGTCCGGGTCATCGCCGAAGGCGTACATTAGGGTGCGCACTGGGAGGGTTAGCTAAGGGGAGGGGGGGCGGGTGAGGGTGGGAGGTGCGTACGCTCTTTGACGAAGAGGTTTTGGCGCCGGTTGCGAGGGCGGGAACGCGTGATGCCGGCGTCGGTAGCCATGGTGGATGCAATGGGTGAGGGTATTGGTGGTTGGATAGGGAGGTGTCAAGCGTGGGGTGGAGTGGGTCGAGTATTTCGGTGGAGGTGTGGTGAGGAGGATGGTTTGGATGTGGCGAGCTTGGAACTGGGCTGGAGACGCGTTGGAATTAAGGTGCGGCTCTCGGTGGCTAGTTAGGTCCGTGCACTTGCCGGGTTGAGGACCACTTATTGTCACTCACTTTCAGGATGGGGGGAAAAGCCTTTGCTTTCGACGGACGACTGATAGTTCTCCTCCAACTGAAGGCGACTGAAATCCTTACAGAAATAACGATCCTATCAAAGTCTCCACGCTGCATCGCTCTAGCCCAACAGAAAGCGTAGAGAATAATTCACAAGTTCAGCAAAACCGGCCCTCCTTCTAGCTTTACGATCTGGTCGGAGGCCTCTTTTCAGTTTGGATGCTGCAGTGAAGAGATATCAGCACGGTGCTCCCCCAAGTACGTAGAGACCGGGAGCGGATGGACCAACCTTCTACAAGCATTCCTCCTGAGGTTGAAAACCAACTCTCGCATTTCCATTCTTACCTCCTTCAGATTCACATTCTTCGCCCCAAGACTCATATCAACGACATGATCACTCTCCACCGCAAGCAGCCTCCTGACGAGGAGATGTTTCATGGCCCAACAAATAAACACTCCGCAAGCACTGCCATCCGTTTGCTGCGGGGTCTCCGGCAGATCGCGAAAAGTTATGTCATATCCGAACCAGCCGCTGATTACTCTGCACAACCGCCTCGCATGATGCGCCAGCATCGATCCACTAGAGTCGTAGTGGAAGGCCCGGCGGTCATGGGTGCTGATGACTAACAGTGACCAGTGGCTGCCGCCGTCTTGATGTGCACCGCTGCCGTCATTGATGGGTAGGAATATGTGACTGGCCTCGTTGATGTAGGGAATCTCGGTGGGCGAGAAATGTTCGTTGATCATAACGGAGATGGCCGGAGGTACGAAGATCACCCTAGACGATGGATGTTTCGCCAATTCCTCGTGGATGAGATATCTGCATCAATCTATCAGACTCCCACCAGGCCAAAGCACACAGAAGAGAGAGAGAGATGAGAGACGATGTTACTTTTGCCAGAAGAAGATATGCTATTCAAAGAGAAAATTTCAGCATAAGAAGAGTCCCTACGAACGAATCATGGATGCGTGCGCGCCAGACCTGGTCCATCAACCATTCGTCAGGATTCTGTAAAACCCCGTAGTCGTCCCAGGTAACTGCACCCCTCTTAGCCGTGTACCATCTCTCGTTCCGGTAAGGAATAACAAACGCTGAGCCCCGTGGTCTGTAGAACATCCGTCAGCGTACTGCATGGAGATCGTGGTGGCTAGGTTTTATGGTATGTGAACGCACAGTTAAGGTATATGTCTGACTCTTCTTCCTACTCAATAGCACCATCAGTCACCGTCCCTCGAATTCAAGCTCTTCCTCCTAGAGTTCCAGTCACATACATTTTCATAGTCACTCATAGTGAATCTGTCGATCTTATCTCGTACTCGCTCAAGGATATGCATCTCTTCGTGGCGCGGGTGGTAGGGGGGTCCTTAAGTACTGCACAGTGTATCGAGACGGTGAAGGGGTTTCTCAGTTCGTTTCTTTGTTCGTTTGAGGCTGTGGTTGGAGGTGAAACACACGATGGTATGCTGTTGTGGTGGCGACGGTGGTGGTGGTGGAGTTGGTTGTTGTTGGACAGATAGCCGGCCATCCACTGTCGTCATGTCATGTCTGGTCTGGTACATAAATACCGGTATGTCTCGCCTAGCTGGGCCAGCCAGCCAAGCAAGCTTTCGGCTGGCGATTCCGCAATGCCTACTCGACAAACCGGACAGACACCTCGGATGCATGCATGAATGCTGTTGGGAAATCATGGAGTATATCATGGATTCGATTTTGTGCTATGGGTGGTGAATTGTGGCTGATGGGGACCGTGGGGTGATGCGGAGGACGGTTGTGGAAAGTCTGGACTGGCCTCGTACGGTATTCGGCCGGCAGCCGGGTGTGCCTGCATGTCCGACCGTTTTTGCGATGTTTCACTTTCGTATGTACTCGTGCGCATACTTTCTCTTTCTTTGTCGGACCGAACAAACAATGGTTGGCCAGTATTGACCCCTCGGAATTACTGTCAACTACCGGTATCATGACTCTGTACGAAGTAAGGCCAACGATCGAAGAAAGAAGACAGCGAGCACGATTTCTTCATATTTCTTCGGGCAGGTATGATGTGTAAATATAAGGTATGTACTTCTATTGTTACTGCATATAACGGGCGGGCTGGCGAGCTGGCGAAACGCGGACAAAAAATCCAAACGCAGACTGGTATCGATCTCCACCTATGCCCAACTCCACACACAACTGGTATGTAGCACATCACAAGTCTACAGCTTCGCCTTAATTGGAGTCCCCGTCGCCGCCTCGGCTTTCGCATGCTCCTTCAGGATCCTCCGCAGGATCTTACCAGAGACCGATTTCGGAATCGCCTCTACAAATCGGATTCCACCGCGCAGCCTCTTGTGGTGTGCTACGCGCTCAGAAAGGTACTGCGAGATCTCCTCGGCCAGCGCCTTTTCGTCGCTGTTAGTTCCGGCTTTAGGAACAATGTAGGCGCGCGGGACTTCCGAGGCCAAGGCCTCGTCGTAAACACCGATTACGGCTACGTCGTCGACTTTCTCGTGGCCCATAAGCTTGCCCTCCAACTCGGCGGGCGGGACTTGGAAACCCTTGTATTTGATCAGTTCCTTGACGCGGTCGGTGATGAAGACGTTGCCGTGTTTGTCTTCGTGGCCGACGTCACCGGTCTTGAAGTAGCCATCGGGTGTGATGGCGTTAGCTGTGGCGGTAGGATTGTTGAGGTAGCCCAGCATCACGTTGGGGCCCTTCAGCCACAGTTCGCCGGTCTCGCCGATGGGGAGCTCGTTGCCTTCTTCGTCGCAGTACTTGCAGGACATGTTCGGGAGCATGTGGCCTACACTGCCGATCGTTGACTGCCACAGATGCCATTGCTGGGTGTGGGTAACGGGCGATGTCTCGGACAGACCGTATCCTGTAATTGTCAATTTCCAAACCTCTGGAGAGAGCAGCGATGACCATACCCTGCTTGACCGGCACCTTCAGCCTATCCCAGACAGCGTCCACCAGTTCTCTCGTCAATGGCGCAGCTCCACTGTTGAGCATCCGCAGACTGGTGAGGTCGTATTTGGTAGCCACCGGCGACTTGGCAAGGGCCAACACCACCGGCGGGACGATGTATCCCATGGTGATTTTGTGCTGTTGGATGAGACTGCAGAATTTATCCAAATCGAACCGGTCCATCACAACTGTTTTCTTCCCCGAATAGCAGTTCTGGAGAATAAGACCTGCGAGTTAACGACGCATATGTCAGTCTGAGCTCATCATCATCATCATCATCATCATCAACCCCCATAGGCCGGGATCTCGCTAAATCCCACTAGCGGGATCTAGCGGCAATGCACTCCTCTTTGGTGGGGCCCCACAAACTCGATCTGGACAACGCCCAAACGGGAAGCAAATCAACACTCACATGTGAGACCATAGATATGGAAAAACGGCAAGAAAGCGATGATAGTATCCTTCTCCCAGGTCAAATTCGGCCCCTCTCCAGCCAACAACTGCAAAACATTGCTCCCGATATTGCGATGACACAGCATAACACCCTTGGGATGCCCCGTCGTTCCGCTCGAATAAACCAAGAACGCCAGATCCTTGTTCGCATCGATCTTTCCCTGACGCCATTTGACCGCAGTGGACGGATCGATTATCTCCCTCCAGTGCTTGAACCCGGCTGCCCGCTGGTCTCCCAGGATCAATATGCGGTCCGTGGGAATGCCGACGTTTGCCGCCGCCTTGGTCACGATGGGCAGGAGCTCTGGCAGCGTCGCGATCGCCTTCGCGCGCGAATCCTTCAGCTGAAACGTGAGCTCGTCCACTGTGTAGTTTGGGTTCGCGGGGGTCACGGTGCCGGAAGCCCACAGCGCTCCGAGCATCAGGGGGGGTGTGTCGATTTGGTTCGTGCTGGAGATGGTCATCAGCTACTCAGCTCTCCTTCGCCCTCGCTCGCCCTCGCCCTCTCGCTGCCGTCGCCGCCACAGAATACACTACACACCTGAACACGGCCAAAACGTCGCCCTTCTTCCACTCCCATATAGACTTCAGTCCGATTCCGAACGCCTTGGACTGGTCGCGGAGGTCCGCAAAGGTCATTTCGCGATTGGTGTTGCCATCGACAAATATGACTGTGTGCCCACCCGTTGTTAGCCACAAGGTTCCGCGAGGGCGTGGGAAGACGGAGTGCAATTAATTTCAACTCCGGCGAAAAAAATATATACATACCCTGACTGTCAGGAAACGGCCGGTCCTTGCGATCGAATATAAATCTGTACAGATCCTCCTTCGGCACCGGTATGGGCGGGTATTGTGAGTGGGCAGGCATTGTGTATATTTCCCGTATGTATATTGACACAGAGGTAGGTAGCGAGGAGGCAAGGAGTCAACCAATGTGGTGCGACTGATTGAGTGAGTGCGTGGAGGATCAAGAGAGAAGATGGTGATGATGTGGAATAACAATTGTGCGGACGGAAAGGAAGAAGAAGAAAGAGCAATGGAAGGAGGTCATCTGCTCCTCTCCTGCCCCTTCATAGCCGAGCCGACTTGCCTCGGCATACTTGATGCCGCGCGCGCGCGCCGCGTGGGCATTGGGCCTGCTGGCTGGAATTGGTATGTACCGGTACTCCACACGGTCCATGGTGGTGGGGGATCAGCTTGAGCTAGACGTGCGTGGAGTACACGGTAGGTGCTTGAGATGGGTACACGGCAGGTCGGGACACAACTACGGTACTATATAGACAAGGTTGGGTACTCTATAGTGGCAACTTCGGGCTTCCGACTTCTGCACAGGAGAAACGGCAGATCAATGGGTGAACAATTCATGCTTATATCAACTCCAGAGTACACGCACTCATACATATTATATGCAATGATGAACAACCAAACATTCCCTGATATATGTACACCGATTACCAACGACCAAACCCCGCAAAACCGTAGAATATACATGCATCTACAAATCATCAAAGGGATGTCGCTCCTGCTCCTGCTGCTGGTACTGCGGCGCTTGTTGTGAGTCCTCCTCAGTCTGTTGCGAGAACTGCTCCTGAAACCCCGACAACTGCTCCGAATACATATCGCGCCCTAGTGGCGGCATCTGTTGTTCCGCAGTCAAATGCTGATTCTGCGCTTCATGGACGTCGCGCAGGGCAGCGAAGTACACGCCGAGAGCAAATTCATGCACCGTACCGCCTTGCCGTTTCCACTGCTGCATCACCTCCTGCCAAACCCTCTCCAGCACCTCGCCATTCACGTACACTTTCGCTACCGCACGCACAACCCACACCGCGTACACCCTCTGCCACTTGATCAAGCCAGCCTGCTCGTCCAGCACCACGTTGAGCACGTTCTCCAGTCTCGCCGGGTTCCACTGGCCGTACGGGTCGGGACTTCCCCACCAGGCGAAGCCCTTCAGCAATGACAGATAGACGCTGTCCGGAAGAACGAGCCCGAACGTCTTCATGTCGCGGATAAAATCCTGAGCGCGGTCCCAATTCGCCTTGCGACAGTTCAGATGCACAAAGAGGTGGAAAGATCCTATATCTGGTCCGAGAACGACCTTGAGTTCCTCCATATATCGCTTTGAATTTCGAGCTCCAGGTCGTTTCAGCTTCTGCGCGAAGGAACGGCACGCCCTGTATTCGACCATCTCTGGCGTCGGGCTCTTCTCCGCAATAGCTCCAGCCCTCTTCATAAACGCGAAAATCCGCAAGGCGTCATCTTCTTCGCCTACTATGACGAGAGCTGTCATGAGAGTGTTGAGTACCACCGTATCCACGATCTCTCCCGCATCCACCAGGCCCTGGTATACCTGGCGGATCTTGGCACCGTCGCCGATATGTGCGTGGTACATCATGAGGGCGGTGTATGTGAAGCGATCGTACTTCATGTTCCGTGTGCGCATCTCTTTGAGGATCGATTGAGCGAGGGCGGGAGATTTGGAGTTCGAGGCACCATCCAGCAGGATGTTGAAGGTCGTCAAGTCCGCATTGACGCCGTGATCTCCTTCCGATTGAGCCCACAACTCGTAGGCGGCCCGCATTTCGGCGGCGGTAGTCTGTTTGAAAGCTTTGAGGACGAACGACATTGCCTGATTCCATTCATGTCGTGTGATGGGGATCTTGGATGCCTTCATGTCCTCTATTAAGGTCAAGTATCGGAGCATTGCGACCTGGTCTCGAAGAGGAACCGTCATCAACCGGACGATAAACCTTTCCATCGTGATTCGGTCCAGGTACGGCAGCCGACTGCCTGGTAGGTTGCGGTAGAGCTCAAAGAGAGACTCATTCGTAGACTCCTTGTTTCGTATTTCGGCCCGGAACGCCGAGATGGCATCGCGTTCCTCCCACGAACTGGGGAAGAGCCAGGGCATCTTGTATTTTTCCTGGTCTTCCTTTGGGATCCGTTCGATGCGAGGACGTATGGGCCTTGAATCTTTCGGCTGACGGTGGGAGGTTTTGGAGGTAGCAATTGGTCCACGGTCTATGGGATCCACAATGGCCCTTAACTGAGGCCTGAAAACTTGGGGAACGACCCGAAAGGTCCCGGTCTGTGGTGGTGGCGATGTTGCATCATCGGAGAGGTCACGCCGTGCTGTAGATGGCTTCCTCGAAAACGAAGGTTTCGAAAGCGAAGGGCGAGCACAGACATGGTAAGAAACCGAGTGGACCCTGCAAAGGCTAGCCTTAACCAAGGCCTTGACGAAGAGTACGTCGACAGGAAACCGCTGGGAGCTCTTTCCGGTGGTGGGGCGTCGGGCCGGACCCCACGGAGATGAGGGGCAACAATTGACGGTCGTAGTGGTGGCGGCGGCGTTATGGAGTTGGGCGCAGTGGTGGCGTGAAGGACGGCGTCCATTTGAGGTGCAAATTCGACGGCCAGATACTCGGACTGCCGTCGTGGCTTCTGCTATATGGCGCGGTAACATGTGGCGAAGGATACCGCTCGCATCGTTGAAGCAGCCGGGGGAGAGTGGTAAAGGTGGGGAGAGGCTCCGTGCCGTAGAATAAAGACTGATCTCGGACGGGTTGAAGCCCAATCCTGAGTAACACGGTGTGGTCCTACCGTGCGAAACCGAGGAAGAACAAAGGAGATAGAGGGATTGCTGATTCCGACCGCTGATTGACGTTGCGTAAATACTAGGTCTGGATGTCTAATGTTGAAATTTGGATAACTTCCCCCTCCACTATCCGTCACTCTACAATTACCCGGCTCTTAGCACAACTCGGGAGTCTTTCTCGAATCCTCGCAGATTGACGGCCTAGAAGTGGAAATTCGGCAGCGATTAGCAGGAAGATGTACTCGATAAAAGCAGATGTATTTACTGGTGGTTTATTTTGACGGGAACAAGAAACTTTAGAATTGGCAACGATTTACGAGACCTAATGACATTGATCCGGGTAAATGCGGGGTGTCCCACTAAGTTTCTTGGCTGACATTTTGAAGTAAAACTTTAAGGTATACCGTGATTGGACAACATCCCACCGCCGCCGCCGACACTACTGTATACTGTCAACCCCGTCCATTCGACCGCGGAGTCACAACTGTCCCGACCTTCGTCCTCAGCTCCTCCACCGAAAGTGTCGTAAGCCAACGTCGCCTTCGCCATGGGACGGCACCTCCGACCCCTCCGGGTACACCAGCTTGCCTCGCAGATGCTCGAAACTGGCCGATTACAGCAAGAACCTCCGTGGTACCGTGTTGTTGGAGCGATTCCACCCACGACTACCCTCGTCCGAACCCCACCGGTTCAGCTCCAGGACAAGAAGATCCGAAAGTCTGCCCGCAAGCCGTCTCGGATGTTCCAGCCCCACCGCATTGTTTACCCCGAGGACGAATTGCGTAGCCGATTCTTCCAGGACCACCCGTGGGAACTGGCCAGGCCCAGAATCTTGGTGGAGAACGACGGAAAGGACTTTATGAGATACGACTGGAGCAAGATGAGACAGCCTGGGAAGATGCTGGACGGAGAGAGGTTGGTAGCCCGACGCTCGTTGCCGGCGTATTCGAACTGGGCAAACATTGGCTGACGCATTCCCGCAGTGTCGTTCAGCGCCAGATGTGGTTGATGGAGAACCAGGGCCGGACCAAGGTCGAAGCCTACGATATCGCGCGAAAAGAATTCTACGATCTCCGAATGCGGGAGGATATCGAGCGTCGTGTTACAGCTGAGGAGGCCTTGTCCGTCGGTGCCAAGTTCGGCAAGTCATATATGGATATTGGTATCGAACTGGAGCAGAGAGCGCTGGAGCAGTGGAAGGAGAAGGCTATTGCGCTGTTGCAGTTGAAGCGTGGTCGCCAAGCTGCGTTCAGCGGAACCACGGAGGAAGACCCAGCCACTGCGGCGACCCCAGAGGTCACTCCTGGCGCAGCAGAGGGTGTTGCAGTGCCTGCAGCGGCGGCGGCGGTTTGAGCAAGCAGAGCAGGCGAGTGATGGGCGGACCAAGTATTTTAGCAGAAGTTCGTTTCGTCACGAGGGGCATCAGGTATTTTTTGTTATTTGTTAGTAAGTACGTGTACAACAGCTATCCTAGGGCATACGCGGCAACTGGCTTCCACCTTAAACCAACGCTTTGTAGTAGTAGAAGCAGAGACATACGCCGGCGCATCTCATCCCATATCAACATCTCAATTGTCATCACCACCCAAAATCGCCCAAAATCGCCCGGGTCTTTTGGGGAGGGGAAGCTCCTGGAATTGGGTGCTGGTCTTAGGGGGGAAAACCTCGAAGAAAGAAAAAGCCATTAACTATCCCAAAGCCGTTGTACACATGGTGAATTGCACCTCAGATCTGTACCGGTAAGTGGATTACCATAATTCCAAGTCGGCAAACGTGTGGAGAGGAATAGGTACGGTGTACAGAAGTCACCGGCGAGTATCAACGGTGGCCAACGTACTTGATATCGATTGTCTGTGGCGCGGAACCGGGCCTGGAGACGCAACCGCTATTGGTTGATGCGCTGGTGCTATTCTCACAGCTGATGCGTTGGGGATTCGGGCAGTGTTGTAAGATGGGTTTCTCTGGTGTTTCAAAGGAGGCATCTGACACCCCCGGCCCCCAGAAGGGAAGAAATACTGGGTGTGGCAGTTGACCCAGATAACTACCCTGCCACCCATCAGATCGAAACACCCTGACCTTCGAGCGGTGATATTCGAGCGAGCGGTGTTTCGGGAACACGACCATCAAGTCCGGAGCCGAACTGCATGCTGGTAATGCCGGTATGCATTAAACTCGATTGGATTATGGTGCAACACGTCATGTATTATCACTCGAAGCCTTCATTCTTTTTTCAAACGATTCAAGCAAACGTCTGGAAGTCCTGGGGTTGGATAGAATACCTAGCCTATCGATCGGAAAGCTATAGACCCTCAATGGGACCTCAATGGGACTCATACTTTGTTGTGGGTACTCTACAAGAACCCATCTTGTCCGGGATCCTGACCGGTTGGTCGGGGTTTGTGGATAGTGCCAAGATTCTTTGAAGGACCCAGTGGGTAATCGTGATGTAACTGCGACAATGGTCACCCAACTCTCCCCAAGGTAAGGGAAGAGTGCTCACCGTACAGATATCCACCCTACCTATCAGGACGTTCGGGGCCAAAAGGTGTAGATAATTTCGCAGATTTCGAACTCACAGCGGACTTTGGGCAGCGAACCACATCCCAGTGTTCGCGGCTTCATACCTCGAGAGTGCTTGATTAGAATAAGGCTCTGACATCGATATCGCCTTGACGCCGTCGACACCTGGACCGCTGCAGAGCGTTTGTCTGCAGTTTCTTCCAGGGTGGACCCAAGCCCACCAGCACGAGACACAATGGCGAATTGACTCCCCAATCTGCGTCGAGTGCACGGCTTCAGCGGCAGATTCCTGAACTGTTGTCCGGGTAGGTATCCTACTGTCGTAGTACCTAATGCTTAGAGAGAGAGTTCGGAGTCCGTGCGATGGACTGATGGCTGACCCAGAGTGCGGCAGACCCCGGCATCGGTCTTCGCCCGCCATGTTCCGTTGGGAGCTATTCCAGCACCGTATGCGGTAGCGCAATCGTGAGCTCGCCGCTCGCATCAGGCATACTCACTCTGGATCTGTTAACCATTGCGGGAGGTCAACTGCGTCATCCGTGCAACATTGGTGACCGGGACTGAATGTATCACGGCAAGCGTGCTTCTGCCGATGTCCCGAGCAGCTCGGATACCTGTGGATGACAGGGGTAGTTATTGATCTTTAAGCAGAGCTGCTCCACTTCGCGCTGCCCATCGGAGATAAAACGACCAGCTGCCCTTTTGACTGCAGCCCGCAGGGAAAGGGACGTAAGCCATGCAGAGGACCGAGAACTCAATGGCCGCTGCACGTCGACCCGGCTCTATATATCCGCTGCGGAAGCGGCAATAGGCTTTATGTACGATAGATATGGCATGCGGCATGCCGGTATTTTGTCGACCACGCTGTGCCAAAATTTCATCCCTCCGCCACTGATCCAACCACATTATGTCATAATCGCCCACCGTATATAATAACTACTACTACATAACCGCCCCCTCTGGTTCACAGTGAAGTCACTGAGGTTGTGCAAATACCTACATCATCGAATAGGCACCGACTCTAGCCCAAAGCTTTGGCCAACTGTCATACATAGCAATGTCGAAATCCGAACCCTCTTCCTCGCAAGACATCGAGAAAGGCGGCCCACCCGACAAACATGATCCGCTCTCTCGATATCCAACATCTGCATCCACTGCTTCCTCTTCCTCCACCTCGGTCGTATCACGCCTGTCGCTATCACACCAGCGGACAGCGCCACCACGAGATTATGATGCCCATGACAGAGTGGTGTTGGAGCGACTTCGCACCGCTACAAGTATCTATGAGGCGACCGTCGGTAACGATTTGGATAAGCCGCGGTCGGGATCGGTTTTCGGACCGGTTTTCTCGCGGATAACTTCAAGACTGCCGGCAGAGGAATGGCCCGAGTTTGGCGGCGGGAAAGGTACGGGCCACTGATACCTATGATCCAACAGACAATATATTGACCATAGTTTTAGGCTATCCTCCATTACTCCCGGACCAAGCTTCTTATGTTGTGGATTTTACGGGCCCCGACGATCCAATGCACGGCCAAAACTGGCCACTCAAAAAGAAGCTCATCACAGCTATGGTGCTGGGCTTCACCACTTTCGTTGCTGCATGGGGCAGCTCCATCTTCTCGTCCGCAACAAGCGCCGTCAGCCTTCACTTTGGAGTCAGCACTGAAGTTTCAATACTCGGAATGTCGCTGTACGTGCTGGGGTTTGCCTTCGGTCCTCTGATCTGTATGTTCCCGTCTCATCCAAGAGATTATATATCAGCTGCTGATCCGTCATCCAGGGGCACCTTTCTCCGAACTCAAAGGCCGAAAGAAGCCAATCCTCTTGGGCATTTTCGGCTTCTCGATATTTCAGGTTGCCGTGGCAGTTGCAAAGGACATTCAGACGGTGTTGATAGCACGGTTCTTCGGTGGCGTATTCGCCAGTTGTCCCGTCACCCTTGTCGGTGCCGTCTTCGCAGATCTCTTCGCACAGGAGACACGAGGAACAGCTGTGGCAATGTTCTCGATGGCGGTATTCAGCGGCCCGCTGTTCGGCCCGATTGCTGGAGGATTCATCCTGCAGAACCAAGATCTGGGATGGAGATGGACTGAGTACATCACCGCTCTGATGGGCTTCCTTGCTCTTGGGCTTTGCCTCCTGTTCCTGGAGGAGACTTACCCACCGGTAATTCTGATTGAAAAAGCCGCGCACCTCCGGCGTATCACCAAGAAGTATGCGCATTTCCCCCCTTCACTTGATCTTTTCCTGAGCTGACATGAAAAAAGCTGGGGAATCCATGCCAAACAAGAAGAAGTCAGCGTCGACCTACCGACCCTCCTCGTCAAGAATTTCACCCGTCCCATTAAGCTCCTCTTCGCCGAGCCCATCATCTTCTTGATCTCCATCTACACCGCCTTTGTCTACTCGATCCTCTACCTTTTCCTCGTCTCGTACCCTATCGTCTTCGCCCAGGTCCGCGGCTGGAAGGGCGGCCTTGCGACTCTTCCCTTCATCGGCATGGTCCTCGGCATGGTCATGGGCGGAGGCTTAGTGATAGCATTCCAGCCGTGGACGACGCGGCGCGCCAACGCAGCCGGGCACGTTCTACCAGAGGACCGTCTGGTCCCTTGCATAATCGGCAGTATATTCTTCCCCATCGGGCTCTTTTGGTTCTCGTGGACGGGCGCGGACCCCAATATCCACTGGATCGTCCCCACACTCGGCGGCGTCCCGTTCGGCTTCGGAATCATCATCATCTTCCTGCAATGCCTGAACTACCTGATCGATGCGTACCTGAACTTCGCCGCCTCCGCCATCGCGGCGAATACTATCCTGCGGAGTGCGCTGGCCGCGGGCTTTCCGCTGTTTGGCAGGTTCATGTTTGAGCCTAAGCCGGAGGGTGCCCTGGGTGTCGGCTGGGCTGGGAGCTTGTTGGCGTTTTTGGCGGTGGCTATGATACCGATTCCCGTGTATTTCTTCCTTAATGGGGCGGCGATCAGGAAGAAGAGCAAGTGGGCGCCCACTGATAAGTAGTTGGGGTGCTTTATGATATCTACTGGTTATTTGGTTATTTGGTTATGTATGGTGTGCCTAGAGGGTGTAATGTAATTTTTTGAATAGGAGTACTGGGAAGGGCTTGGGTCTCTATTGGGCGTTTCGGAGTTTCACGAATCAGACTATAAAATTGCAAACATTTTTACTACAATCGATATTGGCTCGGTAGTTTAGCCAGCATTACAGGATAACGAGATCAATCCCATAACTACACGACTGCAGTCTGCAGGCAAGAATTATGTGATTACCTAAAGGACGGTCCGATTGTGGATCGTATCCCTCAAACCACCAAAACGGAGAGCAGGCCCGTGACTGTCGGCTTAAAGTCCGATCCTTCCGGTTGGTCAGACCATTATTATATCTAGAGTACTTTGGCCATCGCCGAGGAATTGGGTCTCCGCTTCTTATGACCGATGGCCGTCGTGTCTACGTCCACGTGATTTCAACGAGTGATGGCCGTGGGCCGATACTGGTGTCCTCGAATTCACTGTAAACTGGTATGTAAGTAAGCAAGCACTCAAGTATCACTGTACACTGGCATGATAATGTACTCTTACTCATGCCACCGATATCTAGCTTCAATCGGATCGTCTCCTTTGCACAGAAACGGAGCTCCAAGCCTAACGATTAGATGATCCGATAGAGATAGATATCGGCGAAATGAGTAGGTAGTACCAAGTACTTATTTGAGTACTTCTTACTTTGGTACATTAGGTACTTCTTTGTAGTCTTGCTTTTAGTGTAGAGGACAGGTTATTTTCCAGGTCTCCCGATGTACCAGCCGGGGTTGCTGCTCTTAAGTCTTAGTGGGCCCACGGCCGAACTGTCCGTCCACGGTCTCGTCGTGGATCTTCCAGACACGATCCTCTGTATAGTACCCGCAAAACGCACCAGAAAAAAATGTGGTGGTGGAGTGAAATATAACACAATGACCAGTGCCTACATAGGTCGAGAGCTATCTTCATTTGCCGGTTTTCGGACTGGCAGCGGGCCAAGTCGTCCATGCCATTGAGTGCCCGCCAGCAGCTACCAGAATGACCTCGCTTACTAAGTCCGGCCACCAGCTTGTCCCATTCGGAACTCTTCAGGCTCTCATGCCACTGCTGGAAATAGACCTTGGGTGATCACTGTTCACACCTCCGTCCGGCGCTTTCCCCGCCCGCTCACCACCAACGCCGCCCCGCCCCTGCCTAATTATCGCCAAGGGTGCGCATCGGTCCCCCCTACATACCGCGAAACGTTACCGTGTTCGAGTTCTTTGCCGTAATCTAGAGTACATAGAGCTCGTTCGCGAAGAGCATCTCGCTCCGAAGGACTTTACTATCCACTACATACGTGCTGAGCCTTGCCCGATGCACGACAACATTCTCCTCATCCTCGCTGAACGATATCAACATATTCTACTACTATAGTACAGCATCTAAAGAGTCCCCGAGCTCCTGCATCCCCTCCCACCCCGCACCCGCTTCGCCGCCATGTCCACTACTCCTCACCAGCAGCCACAGCTTCTCTCCGTGTCCGGCTCTCGAAACGGAAACGGTGCGCCGGCGCCCATAGATAATGCGACCTGTGTTTCGATCTTCGTCGGCTCTTTGGAGGATGCTCGCGAGAAGACGAGAGAGCTTCTGGCCAAGGCTGGCACGCCGACGGCAGAGAATGGAACCCTCAAGGCCGGCGTAACTCTGGATTTGAGCCACAAAAAGATCGCGAATATTCCTCTCGAGGTGTTGGAACTCATCAAAGACGAGATCGAGAGGTCAGTGCAGGCCCACAGCTGTCGCCCCTTCCTCCTCCCGTCCCTTAGAGCTTCCGACTCCTTTCCCTGCGGTTGCGCCTCCTGTGCGACACCGGAATGCTTAGCATGCGATTCTACGGGGGGGAAAAGACATCTGACAGCACTTGGAGTTGTGATCTCGTTGCAGACTCGCCCTCGCACACAATCAGCTTTCGTCGTTTCCGGACGAGTTTTCCAGCCTTGGTCGATTGCGTTACCTGAACCTGAGATCCAACTTTTTGAAGGAATTCCCCATAGCGGTGAGGACAACCCTGATCCTGCGCTCTCGCGTCCCTCTGGGGAACTGTGGACTCTCCCCCACCGGAAGGAGTCCGTGCTGGCTTCCTGATGCGGCTGAAATCTGACTGCCGGTACCCTACAGCTCACGCGATTGCCATCATTGGAGATCCTTGACGTGAGCCGTAATAGATTACGCGCATTGCCGCCAGATCTGGGGAATTTAATGAGCCTCAGGGTATGTACTCACTTATGCTTCCATTATTGCTACAATTGTGGCGCCAGTCGGAGTGAAGTTGCGTGGTTTCCAGATTGCTGACGGCCCATAGGTGCTCTCGATGTCGAAGAACAAGATCAACTCGCTCCCGACCTACATCGGTGACATGAACGAGCTCAAAATTCTGAAAGTCGACCACAATCCGATCACATTCCCGCCGCGAGAAATCTGGGACACCGAGGAAACTGACAGAGATGCGTGGCTGGACGGGGTCAAAAAGTTCCTGCGACAACACGCAGAACGCTCCAACTCCGCACAAGATTCCGAGTCCGGGTCGAGGTATATTCATTATTTGTCACTGCTGCGGCCAGGGGAGGGAGCGAATATTGCCGCCTTACCACCTTGGGACAGAAGGTGCTGACCTGTGTTGCGATTGACCCAGCAGCGACGACTCCTTCGACCCATCGTTCTCTCGCCGCATTCCAAGCTTTGCTTCCGACGCGACACTGGTCAACGAGTCTGAACTCTTCTCAACCCTCCGAACTCTCCGCCCTGCAAGACCGAACGGCTCCTCGGCAACCGGCGAGAACGCCCGAGCTAGGTCCCCTGTTCCTTCGGGAGTGCCAGGCCGAAAGAGATCTAAGCACCCAAGCAACTCGTCCATAAACGTATCTCCATCACCAGCAATGAACGGGATCGCGCAACAACGTCCTGACACCGCATCTTCCGCGTTACACCCAGTTTCTTCGCCACAGGTCGCCGAGCGACATCGGTCGAACAGCGAATCTACAGTCGGCAACACACGAGACCGGCGACGAGGAATGCCACCTCCACCACGTTCCAACACCGCCACCCGGACGAAGCCTATCTTTACGCCGCAAAGCTTAAGACCCGTCGACGAGAAGCCGTTCAAACACGCAAGAGGATATTCGCACGATTCCGCCATAGATGGAGGCCAGAGCAATGCACACGTGCCGTCGAGAAGTCCAACCGACACGGAACGACGACCTGGCCAGTACTTTCGTCGATTGTCTTCGTTGCCTGAGAACAAACGATCATCTCTCTCGTCCGCACGGGTTGGCGAAGCTGCAAGGGGGATTCTATATTCCATGTCGCAGCTACAGCAACCGATTGAGCAGTACATACAGTCAACTGGTGAGCCGGAGGGGCCCGAGAGCAAGGTTGGCCGTGCCCTATACAACAGCAAGATGCACGTGAGCTCGCTGGTCAGCGCGTTGGAAGCCTACGATACCAAGGACGACGAACCCGCGGTACAGAAGGTTATCGACGCTTGCCAGGCCTGCGTTGCTGCGTTTAGACAGGTGCTATCGATGCTGCAGTCGAGCTTGAAAGAGGCTGGATCAGTAACCACCGGGGAAAACATGCGTTACGCGAGAACTTTGATTCTGATCATTTACGGATCGTATGTCGAGATTCAATGCGCTTACGACATTCTCCGGCCATTGCTTCTCGCACAGGCGGTATCCGACGGGCCCAAAACTCGTTCCGCAAGTCTGACTTCTCGCCACCAACAAGCCGTTATGAACCAACACAATCGACAGAATACGAGCTCGAACAATTCAACCGCCGACTTCGGTTCATCCGGAATGACGATTCAACCTCTACTAGCAACACCCCGAAGCTTCGATGCCACTTTCACGATCCCTCCAACCCCCGGAATGCAGCCATGGACGACCAACTCTCAAAACTCGGACACTGGGTTCGACCAGGAGCAACAATTGTACCGCAAATTCCAGGCTGCAACTGCTGCCGCCCTGTCAACGCTTCCTTTGATCGACCGAGAGATAAAGTCTGCGGGCACTCAGAACTTGCAACCGCCAGTCGCACTGAAACTTCGAGAGGTTTCGTCGCTGTGTATGTCTGGGTGTGAAGCGGCGAGAAGGTTGACGCAGGTGCGGTGGGATGCGGTCCAGGAAGGAGATCAGACTGAAAGAAAGAAGTTTTGGGATGATACGAATAAGTTTACACAGGTATTATATTCTGAAGTATAGATGCGGAGGTCACAGCTAACTTGGTAATTCAGCTCATCATTAGCATCGCTGAGTTGATCAAATCGGTCACCCAGGAGTACACCTTTCCTAAACGCACGCTGGCTGCCATGGGGACTGTGCTCCGTCCAACGAAGGAGCTCTTCATTCTGATGAATGACTCTGCACTTCGTTTCGCCGCGGAACCTATGACGGCTGGACTAGTGAGCCCGTATGCTCATACGTTCTCATTCCAGTCTATGACTGCACCTCATTCTCACATGATGCCTGCCACTCCACTCTCTGCAGCTCTTGGGCCAGCGGCACAAGCTACGATGCCTCAGCTGATGCACCAGCAGACGATGTCTCAGCTGGGAGGATACAGTGGCGCGAGCAGTCGCTCGGGCACACTTTTGAGCAACTTCACACCTACGATGTCGAGCGCTGGTGCGGAGGTAGGGGTGAATTTCCCTGGAAATGGCAGTTTCAGCAATCCTCTCTCCCGATCAGTGATGAAGTCGAACTAGGAGCTTGAATTTTCCCGTGTGTTTCGTCGGAGTTTGGGGGCTCGTCTTGCTTGATTTTGCTTTATCTGCGTACATTTCACTTTCACTCTGGGCTATACTGTGGTCATTTGGTTTCGCTCTTGCTCTTCTTCTGCGTGCTTGCTTTCTCTCTCGTTATAAGCTTGCTATGTACTTGCTTTCCTTACGGAGTCGGTGTTCTTCTTCCCTTCACACCTGTGGCTTTTATCACACTTTAACTACATCTGCTATAGTTGTTCTTTTCTTTTCTTTCTTTCCTCGACATATTTTTGCCCCCTATTCGATTACCCATCGGCGGCAAGACTCCTTATATCGGTCATGATGAGTTTTTTTTCCCCCGGCTTATTGATCTGCTACCTGCGTACTTGTGGGGCTTTGCTATGATTGTGGCTGTAGTGTTTGGCGTTTAGTGGACTGTGGAAACTGGGGGATATAGAATTGGGATTTATTCATGTAGTGCCAGTACCGTAATGCACTTTATTGATAGGTGCCTATGGTGGTTCGAGAATAGAGGGGGCGGCCGGCCTCAATGCTCGGACTCATCGTTCTGGTGATATTGTTGGTTTCCACTCATCGAGGTTTCGGAGTCGAGAATCCACACAATAGCGACTTCTCATAGGCATTCGGAGGCTACATGTCTGGTCCGGAAAGACCGTGATTCCGTATGACTGTCTATATACACTTCTATCCTCCGCAATCCTGATGCTCCTATGCCGTGACCTGGTCCTCGGTTTCCCTGCCGCGCAAATATCGATGCAAGTCCCCCACCAAATATCTGCAATCCGTATCAGCACAACTCCCCTAAAGCAATCGGAAACCACGCACAAGCTACCAGCCACCACCACAGCCGCGCCCTCCTCCTTCGCTTTCCTGCACGCCGACCTAACGGCCTCCACGCAGTCCTCGACCTCCATCTTCTCCTGCTTCACACACTCCGCGATATCACTAGTCTGCACAGCCGTAATCCACGGCATCCCATCAACCTTACCAAACCTCGTAGCCACGACCGCATCACCCTCAGCCACCAACTCCTCCACCATGCCAGCCACATCTTTCCCCTTCGTGACCGCCAAAACCCACCACACTTTCCTCCCAGCTCTAACATGGCCATCCAAGTACTTCCTTAGCTCCCGTTGCGCCTGCGGATTATGTGCGCCGTCGACCAGCACCTTCCCACCACCCGGAAACTCCAGGTGTTCCAGCCGCCCAGGCCACTTCGTATTCGCCACTGCGGCGACAATCCCCCGTCCCGTCAACTGCGGGAACCGCGGAGCGATGGCCGAGAGCGCATTGACCGCGCAGGCGAGGTTATGCGGCTGGAAAGCGCCCGGCAGCAGCTTCGGGAACCGCAGAGTCCCAAAGGCGGGTGTAGTGATCGTACACCCCTCCCGCGCATCCGCCTCCATCTCAGGCGCAGCGAGCACCACCTCACCACCTTCCGCCCTCGCAACCACGCCGCGCACCACCTCCACGACGTCCGCGGGATTATCCGCATCAACAACCAACGGCACCCCGCGCTTCGTGATCCCCGCCTTCTCGCCCGCTATAGCCGCCAGCGTACCCCCCAGGAACCCCTGATGATCCAGCCCGACCCTTGTGACGACACTAACGAGCACATTCTCGGGCCTTAGGGCATTCGTTGCGTCCTGGCGGCCGCCCAGGCCGACCTCCACCACACCAACCTGCACGCCCGCACGCGTAAACACCTCGAAGGCAGTAGCAGTCAGGAGCTCGAACTCTGTTGCGTGCAGACGCAGGCGGGCGTTGGTTTCGAGCACGGCGTTTTCCGCGGCGACGAACGTAGCCCGCGCGATCGGCGCGTTGTTGATGCTGATGCAGTCCCAGCGGTCGATTAGGTGCGGGCTGGTGAAGCGGCCGACGAGCAGCCCCGCGGCCGTGAGCGACGTGGAGAGGTACGCGCACACCGAGCCTTTGCCGTTGGTGCCGGCGACGTGGATCGCGCTCCACGGGAGCGTCGGCGGGAGCAGTTGCGTTATCCGCTTGAGCGTGAGGTCGATCATGGTTGTGGGTTGGGCGGAAGTTGCCGTGGTGGGGTAAGGTTGGGAGCCGGGGATCTACATATGGGTGGCTTTGGCGGTTCAAGGGGGATGCAAAATGACAACTTCCATATTCCATGCAGTTGTGGACAGTCTAGTTATTATTTATGTGCTTACTCGATTGGGTCTTCAATTTAGAAGGATTACAGATCTAGGGAAAATCCTCACTCATCAACCATCTAACCAAGGAATGCCTCTTTTCGGAGAGACTGGCCTCATCGTGGATTACTCGGTAAACCTACTTTACTGCAGCAGACACCTACTCAGGTACTTGGGTAGGAACGTCATCGCCAACCAAAACTGTAAGGAGGCTTTCTCCGTCCTCTACTCTATCCAGCTACAAGGAAAGGGTGTCGTGGATTAGGTAGTTTATTGTAAGGAAACGAACAATTCATGTATTGTATGTAAAAGAACCCGCTCCTCAAACTCCCCGAACCTTCCTAGGAACGAAATATCGAGCATACCTGGTCCCCCGTCGTCGTTCCTCACAAAATAGCCACCCAGAAAGTCGAAAAAAGTTGCTCGCTTCAGTATCCAATGTCCCATTTCCATTCCCCTCCTTTTTTGACATTTCATGCGCTTATTTGGTTGTCGTCGTCGTGGTCGTCGTCGCCGGCACAGGCGCAGGCGTCACCGCGGCAAGTGGGTCCTTGGGACCGAAGTTGTATGTCGCCAACCGTCCGGAAAGATCAATTTGTGTACGGATGGTGTTGGCAAGGTAGGAAACCATGAGAACGTCCTGGATGTGGGAGTTGAACATTCTCTCGACGTCGGCGGCGTTCACTTTGGGAGCCAGGCTGAGGGTGTTCATCAAGAACTTTCCGATGGCGACGGAAGCAGGAGCGTCACCCTTCTGCAGACGGGTATTAGCGAAATCACCATGCGAGCTAAGCTGAAACACAAACAATGACTTTTGAGACATAGTCGCTCACGCGGTCAAGCATGCCGATCACATCTTCGATAGCCTTCTCCAGAGCGCCAATGTCGGTCATGATGGGGATATTCCGATCCTCGTTGTTCTTCGCGCTAGAGATCAACTCCACTACACTCCGTTAGTTTGAGGATATTCAAAGGCGGCAGGAATCCGGGGCGCCCGTACGTCCACTCTTCTCCGACTCGGCATACCGAATCTCATGGGGAACCGGTACGAAGAGACAGCTGTCGGCAATGCGGTCGGGATTCACTCCGACGGCGGAAGAGATGTAGGTCTTGATCGCAATGTCCTCGCCGGGCTTGGTGGAAATGGTGAGGTGGACGGCGGGGTGGGGGAAAGTTCCCTCGCCGTTAGAGGCATAGAAGTTCTGGATCAAGGCAGAGAATGTGTTGAGCTCTGGCGAAGTCGCGTACCTAATACCATGGATAAGTGAACTGTAGGTTGACTAGTAGTAGTCGGAGATGCTAGTTACCAGCCCACAAGCACCTCCCGGGGGTTCGCCTTGAGGTGGAGACCCAACATGGTCTTGTGGTACTCCATGTCGACCTCAACCTGGAGTCACGCAGGGCTGTATCAGCAACTCGCCCCACATTGCTTTCTTCCACATCACCTCCATATTCACACACCTGCTCCTGCGACTCGTTGTGTCCAACGCCGAAGCAGTTCCTGATCTCGACTTCCGTTCCATCATCACTCCTCACACCCAGCAGAGTTCCAATCACACGCTCCTGGTCCATGTTCCGTCGCAGGGAGTGATCAAGGATCGAAAAGAGAGCCTATTGATACCCCGCCAACAAATCAGCACCATCGGTGGGTAACGAGTGATAGCAGGTAGTCGGACCTGGGTGTGTATCGTGACATTGAGGGGCGCGGTAGTAGCGTGCGCGTGGGGAACCGGGACCGTGGGGAGAGGTCGGGCAAGGTGCATGTAGGAAGCTTGGTCAGCCATGGTGATGACTTGATGGCGTCGGAGATGAAAGGGATCTGTCGTGCGGAGGGACGGGACGAGGAGTTAATTCGGGGAACAGCGTCGGCTGGGTCGAATCGTCGGGTGGTTAGGATGGCGAGGGTATGTGGTAGGGCTCGTTTGTTGCTCGGCAGTAATCCGTGTATGTCCTCGTTCGTCGTCGCAGCTGCGTCTCACCCTCCCACTTCAAAGTTTACTGAATTCTTTCTTTCGTTTTCAGTGAAATCTTGGCACCCCGCAGGGCAAAACCCTTTCACCCCGCCACCAACTGAGCCGCATCTATCCCTGCCCATTCTAAGAAAAGTTTCCGCAGAGCCCCAAGCAGCGCGACGATCACGACAAAAACCAAACAGCATCGCATATCATGTCAGGACAAGCACGAGGCCGCGGACGAAGCACATTTCGTGGAGCAGGTGGAGGTGGAGGTCGTGGAGGTGGTGCGCCCCGTGGAAGAGGTAGTGCGCCTCGTGGAAGAGGTGGTGCGCCTCGTGGAAGAGGCGGCGCGCCCGGTGGAAGAGGTGGAATTCGAGGAAGCGGACGGGGACGAGGACGGGGACGGGGAGGAGCCCCAAAATTCGACAATCGGCCCAAAAGGTTACTGCAGACGCGCCAACTGTCGCTTGCCATCTTCCTTGTGCTGACATTTTCCCAAGAGAACATGATTCAATTGCCGCAGACGATGCCCCGAGCGACGACTCCGAAGACGACGATGGATCCGTGCAGTCAGATGTCGAATCAGAAGCCGAGTCGGAAGACGAGAAAACTACAACTACAGTCAAGCCATATAATGCGCTCCTTGAGTCTCTAGTCGCTAGCAAATCCAGAGAGGACAAACACAAGTCGAAGCGCCGAAAGACTGCTACGGAAGAACTGGTAATCGAGGATGTGGACTCAGATGTGGATGCTGTGGTGGAAGAGGAGGCAGCGGAAGGCGCGGAGGAAGAAGCGGAGGACGATATTGACAGCGAGGACGAGGACACATCAGATCCCTTTGAAACACATTTTGCCAACCCATCACCCGACTATCTCAAGAGAGTCGATTTGGCAAAGAAGGGACAGTGGACAAGTAATAAGCTACAGATACCGGGAATCGGAAGGGCCATACACACAACGCCTTCCGAATCCGAACCGTCTACGTCAAGGAAATTCGAGGGCATCAAGTCCCTACCTCTCAAGCAGCGCCTAGTCGCTTCGTTCGGAGAAGTCAATGGGGAGCTGACGCCAATTCAGAAAGCATTCTCTCCATACATCTTTTCGCACCAAGACGTGCTCTTCGCCGGAAGAACAGTATCAAATGCGGACGAGTTACGAAGGCTTTACTGTATCCACGCATTGAACCATGTCTGGAAGACACGGGACCGTGTGATTAAGGACAATACGAAGCTCTCTCATGGCGGTGACAGTGGACTTGAGCTCCGGGATCAAGGTTTTACACGCCCCAAAATCCTCTTTATCCTTCCCACCCGTCACTCTTGTGCGCGGGTGGTGGACACTCTTGTATCGCTGGTTGGTGCGGAACAGCAGGAAAACAAGAAGCGCTTTACCGATACCTTCGTAGTCTCCCCAGACGAAGACCGCCTCAATGAATCCAAGCCTCTGGACTTCAAGGAACTCTTCAGCGGCAACCACGACGATCTTTTCCGTGTGGGTGTCAAGTTCACCCGGAAAACCATCAAATTCTTCAGCCAGTTTTATAACTCCGACATCATTCTCGCCTCTCCCCTCGGCCTCCGTCTCGCCATCGGGGATGAGGGAGACAAGAAGCGGGACTTCGACTTTCTCTCCTCCATCGAGCTCGTAATTGTCGATCAAGCCGATTCTCTCCTCCAGCAAAATTGGGACCATGTCGGGCACGTTTTCCAACACCTCAACCTCATCCCCACAGAGGCTCACGGCTGTGATTTTGGCCGCGTCCGTAACTGGTATCTCGACTCGAATGCTCGCTACTTCAGGCAGTCGCTCGTCTTCAGCGCCCACGGTTCGCCCGAGCTCAACGCTCTTTTCAACCAGCACATGACCAACATCGCCGGTCGTCTGAAAACACAGCCCGAGTACGAGGGTGTGATCACGGATCTGGGCGGTCTCCAGGTCAGGCAAACATTCGTCCGCTATGAATCGTCAAACCCGGTAGCAGACCCCAATGCACGCTTTAAGTTCTTTAAAACGGCGTTTGTTCCTACGATCACGCGCAAGGTTGCCCAGGGATCCAACGGAGTGCTCATCTTTATCGCTTCGTACTTTGACTTTGTCCGTGTGCGCAACTTCTTCGACACGCTCGATATCTCCTTCGGTGCCATTTCCGAGGAGACACCGGTTGCCGATGTTTCCAGAGCGCGTTCCCACTTCTTGTCTGGGCGTTTCCCGATTCTTCTCTATACCGGCCGTGCGCACCACTTTAGGCGGTACGAGATCCGTGGAGTGAAGGAAGTGGTGTTCTACAGTTTACCGGATAATCAGACGTTTTACCGGGAGGTTGTTGGCGGCTTCTTGACGAGGAGTGTTGGCGAGGGACGTATTGAGGGCAGCAGATGCAAGGCTCGCGTCTTGTTCTCCAAGTGGGATGCTATGAGGCTCGAGCGTGTGGTTGGCTCGCAGAGGGTCCGGACAATGTGTAATGATGTGAGTGGGGATACATTTGAATTTATATAGTGCAAGAGTCTGCTATCTACCTATTTGCTTTTGTGTACATACCATATCTATTGATACTAGAAGCTTCTCGGCGCTCTTTGTGCACCTCCTTATTCTCGCTCTGAACTATGGTTTCTTTTTATATTTGGTAGGTTTATGGGGCAGGCACGATATGACCAAGAGGTATCGGATGTATTCTCTGATCAGATGGAATTGGCCATTTGTATTATATAAATGAATTATGATTTGTCCGAGATTGTTGACAGCCTCAGCAAAGGTGTCAAAGACGTGTATAATAGAGGGTTGTAGTTGAGCAGGTATGCTAACTGATAGCTGACACATGCAACGCTGTCGATCTGGTTGCTTCCCAGAGCTCTCCGCGACACAACCAGTTACCAGTTCCGCTAAATCCACCGCCCCTCCACCGCCCCTCCACCCCCCACCACTGAATACTTACTCACCTATATATCCTTCACCATGGCTCCGCACCTTTCTCTGTTCTCCGTCAACGCGCTACTAATCCTCTCAACCGACGGCACGCGCATCCTCGCCAAATACTACTACCCGCCGCACACCTCGAGCACAATAGCGACATCCTCGAACCCTTACCCGACCCTGAAGGAGCAAAAGGCCTTCGAGAAGGGGCTGATAGAGAAGACGGCCAAGTCGACCGCCGACATCATCCTATACGACGGCCATGTCGTCGTATTTAAGGCCGAAAGCGATGTGATGCTGTACATCGTCGGCGGCATGGACGAGAACGAGATGATGCTCTACCAGGTGGTGCTGGCGCTGAGGGATACGCTGCAGATTTTGTTGAAGTGAGTTTGAGCTATGCAGGCACGTACGGGAATGATGGAATTGAAACGTCTTTAGAAACTCTACCGACAAGCGAACGATCATCGAAAACTACGATCTTGTCGCACTGGCGATCGAGGAGATTGTGGATGATGGTGTGATACTGGAGACAGATCCGGGAGCAATTGTGCAGAGGGTCTCAAGGCCGCCGCAACACGATATCCAGGTCAGCGGCATTGACTTGTCTGAGAAGGGACTGTTGAATGCGTGGGAGTTTGGAAAGAAACAGCTGGCGGAACGGTTGAGACAGGGTCTGTGAGTGAGAGGTTGGGTTGGGTGTGTATCGCACAACAGCGGGGGTTACGGATGTGGGGTTATGATAGAGCGATCGCTTGAGTTGGTTTCAATTGATCGGTCATGGCTGCACGAAAGCTTCAGGATGTGGAACTTGTTGAAACCTCGCACTGCCCAGTGTTCATGGGCGCCCTTGGGACCGACCGAATGGATGTCGGCTGTACGCCTGTAGTCGCCAAGTTCATCAAGCAAATCGCGTTCGCGGCTACGGAGTTGCTATATTTAGTGAGGAATAATGGGGAGGAAACGCGCAAATCCAGGTGAGCTGGACCGACGATCCTGAATTGTCCCCAGGGCTAGAACGTGCGCATATGTAAGTTGGCAGCGAGGGCTGAAATATTGTGCGGAAGACAGACTGTCAAGCTCGATTTTAGGTATCACACGGCTCTGACCTGGCCCTGTCGGTGACTGGAAGTATTTTGAAATTGAAACCTTATCATAATGCCAGCGAACAGTGACTCGAAAAATAAACCCTATGTATATCCACGGACCATTAAAGTCAAGATCGAGTGACAACTCGTGAAACTTATCGCTATCAGATGGGTTTTCAATTTTGTGGTGGGATACCATAAACTCCCCACACAACTTTTCGCTTCTAGCTCTCCACCATCCCACCTTTCACCAACGAAAAACGAAAAAAATGCCTGCACCAACTGCCCTACAGAAGCCCGCGCCCGTGGAGATCGAGGATGTCTCTATCCCGGACCACTCAGGTTTGAAGCACATCTTCCCTTGCGGCAGAGAAGCGTCTGACCACGGTTCGCAGCCGACGATGAAATGATCATGATCGAGACCGCCATGCCGTCGCTCGAGACCGGAGGAGTCAACCCTGTTAACCAAGTACAACAGGATGCTGTTTTGCAGATTGACGAGGAGGGGCGGCCGCGCTTTGCGCCTGCTCAGAAGACGGTACGCCCTATACCTTGGTCCTGAGGCGAACTTAGATTCTGACACGGTGCGCAGAAAGGAGCAGTCACCCAAGAGAGCCGGAAGGTACCCATCCCGCCACACCGAATGACGCCTCTCAAAGCCGCCTGGCCGAAGATGTTCCCGCCACTCGTCGAGCACCTTCTCTTGCAGGTGCGCATGAACCTCAAGGACAAGGCGGTTGAGCTACGGACGTCGAAGAAGACGGTAGACACCGGTGCGCTGCAGAAGGGTGCGGATTTCGTCAAGGCGTTCTCGCTAGGCTTCGATGTCGACGATGCGATCGCGCTACTGCGTCTAGATGATCTGTACATCGAGACATTCGAGATCAAGGATGTCAAGACGCTGACCGGAGAGCATTTGGCGCGTGCGATCGGTCGTATCGCTGGAAAGGACGGAAAGACCAAGTTCGCGATCGAGAATACCACAAAAACCCGTATCGTGCTGGCCGATCAGAAGATTCACATTCTTGGCGGTTTCCAGAATATCAGGATGGCCAGGACTTCGGTCGTCAACCTGATTCTCGGAAGTCCCCCCGGAAAGGTGTATGGTAACCTGAGGAATGTGGCGGCTAGGCAGAAGGAGAGGTTTTAGACATCTGGGTGTGGTTGTTTGACGGCACAAAAGTTTTATCTGGTGTTTTTGGGTTTGACTTATTGTTTTTTTTTGTGGGGAGGAAATGGTCTACGAACGGCGTCTTTGGGATTATCTTGCTTGCGCGCTCTGCATGGTGGCAGATACAAGATGAAGAGGTTACATGAGAGCAGTATGCAAATCGTCACGAGAGTTCGAGTGTGATGTCTGGTGGCCGGCAAAAGGTGACTTCGTGTGAGGGCCACTCTGGCCCGACAAAAGCAAAGTGTCTTCCGGGAGTGCTGTCAATATTCCGCTCTTCCCTCTATGGAGCCACCAGTAGAGTACCTATCATCGTCATTGTTACCGGCATCTCTCAACAAAGAGTCCTTACTCGAGGATGTATGTAATCGGACGCAGACGAGACGGAAAGAAGAGCCCAGAAAGGCAATGCCGAATGCCAGTCCATGAGATAATATCTTGGCCCCCAGACGAGACCCCGACTCAACAAGTTGCGGCTCAGGTGCCAGCAATTTCTCAATGGGGTCTAGTAAAGCCTTTCGCCAAAAAGTTGAGGAGCTGTCTGTCTTTCCTTGGATTCCTCTACAAGAGTCCCTTTAACCACACCTACCATCGGCCTAGATATCTATTCATCTGGCTGTCTCATCTGTCTGTGTGTACTGCCGCCCACCTATATAATCCGCCGTCCTTCCAATTCTCACCCCTCTCGGCTGCATGTCCACACGCCCATGATGCGCCTCCTAGGTCCTCTCTCCCGAACACTTCTCCCACGTGCCACCACCTCCGCCACGACAACAACTCCGTGGATCTGCAAAAGATGCATATCGTCGACGATTCCGCGACGGTTTCCGAGCACCGTTCTACAAACCAGCTCTAGAACGAAGAGCCGGCGGAGAGCGATTCTGTTGGCGGTTGTGGGCACGGGAGTGGTGGGTGCCTCTGCGGTGGGATGGATGGATGGGAAGCACTACTTGAATGCTACGGAAAGAGCGTTACGAGTGGCTAAAACGCTATTTCTCAACATACAAGAGTAGGCATTGCTGTGTCGCTTCGAAGGGGTGTGTGCTGACGGGGGGATAGTTACCGGTCGACGTTGAAGCTCCTCGAGGATGATCCGGCGGATACGAACGGACTACTATCGGCGTGTCATATACGGTGTGCGAAAAGGTTGGTCTATCCAAATACGGAGACGTCGGAGGTAAAGGGGCGGTGGTGGGCTGATTCGGGCTTGCAGAACGTACGTCGTGCTCGAGAAGAACGGGAGTGTTTTCGTCAAGCTTGGACAGCATCTAGCGGCAATGGGATATCTTCTGCCGGAGGAATGGACGACTATGTTTATCCCGCTGCAGGATCGCTGCCCTGTCAGCAGCATGGAGAGCATCCGGAAGATGATCTTGGACGACACTGGGCAGACGGTTGAGGAGCTGTTTGAGACCTTTGATCCGGTGCCCCTTGGAGCTGCGTCGTTGGCGCAGGTGCACCGGGCGACGGTAAAGGGCGGGAGAGAGGTCGCTGTAAAGCTGCAGCACCCTGCGCTCGCTGAATGGATCCCGCTCGATATGGCATTGACGAAATTTACCTTCACAAACATCAAATACTTCTTCCCCGAATACCCGTTGACCTGGTTGAGCGATGAGATGGAAGCTTCGTAGGTTTTGCAGCCTCCTCTCAATTACTACATGTGTTCTAAGTGTGCATAGTTTACCCCAGGAGCTTGACTTCTCGCTCGAGGCCGAGAACATCAAACGGGTACGAGAATACTTTGGTCGTGTGGCGCCGGATCTTCCCTTGGTTGTTCCCGATGGTAGGATACTCTCGGTGTAATTGCTGGTAGTACCAATAGCTGACACAATTACAGTCCTCTGGGCGAGGCCTCGGCTCCTGGTGATGGAGTACATCCCCGGCAAACGTCTCGACGACCTCGAGTACCTCGACAAGAACAACATCTGCCGAGACGAAGTCTCTGCTTCTCTCGCGCGGATATTCAACGAGATGATCTTCGGCAGCGGCGCACCTCTTCATTGCGACCCTCACGGAGGAAACCTTGCGATCCGCGTTAACAACGACCGTCGTAAGCCGACCAACTTTGACATCATCCTTTACGACCACGGACTGTACCGGGACATCCCACAGGACCTCAGACGGAGCTATGCAAAGCTGTGGTTGGCGGTGATTGACTCGGATGTGCCCAAGATGAAGCGGTATGCGGAGGAGGTCGCGGGTGTCACCGAGGAACAGTTTCCATTGTTTGCCAGTGCCATCACCGGGAGGGATTATATTGCTCTGACTAAGGGAGTGGCGACGCAAAGGGACGAGGACGAGAAGAAGGTTATCACCGAAGGTATGCTGACCTTCCTTGTATGTTTGTAATTGATGCTAACCACCGACTCTAGCTCTGACCGACGGCCTCCTCGCCCAACTCGTCCAGCTTCTCGCCAATGTCCCCAGCGTGATCCTACTGATTCTCAAAACCAACGACCTAACCCGCTCCCTAGACGAGAACCTGCAGACCGGCAAGGGCCCCGAGCGAACATTCTTGATCATGGCACGGTACTGCGCGCGCGCCGTCTACGAGGAGACACTCGAGGGCATCAATGCCCACGGTGGAATCCTTGGCAATGGCAACCTCATCCGCTGGATTGGTGCGGTATGGTACTATTGGCGAGTAGAGCTGAAGCTCAAGACATTTGAGAGCTTGTTGTTCTGGAAGGGCCTACTGGGGATTGAGTCGGCGTAGGCCAGTGCCGCGGGGGGGGGGGGGGGGGGGGGGGGGGCTGTATATAGTGGTCCAGATGGATGATGGCTTCTGTTTTCCTTTCTGTTTTCGATTCTTACCCGATTTCAACATTATGGGTGGATAATGTCCCATGTTTCTTTCAACATAGCGCTTTTATTGTTTCTTGTTTAGATTCCTTTTCTTTTTGTTCACCACAATGTTGTATGAAATAGAGTAGATGTGTGCGGTGGGTGTAGTTAGAGATATGCGAACCGATACCACAAGCTACGCTTTCTCCCATGTTACAGTCACTCGTGCTTGCATATAAGATGGCATTCTCATTCATTTGATCTCATCTGATCATCTCTGTCTTCATCGCCCCATCGCCTGCCTGCCTGCCGTTCTATGCCCTCGTATCGTGTCATCCCCATCCCCCTCCCAATTGAAACGAAACACCCTTCATACACGTCACGCCGAAAGGAAACGTAGGAAAAAAAACGCACCCATGACAAACAGAACGAAGCCAAGGAAACACACAGTAATGAGGATATAGAGAAAGAAAAAGAAAAGAAAAGGTGAAGCGTATACAAGAGTAGCACACTCATCCCATCTCACCCCCGCCTCTTTCGTCCTGCCATCTGTTCATGCCAGACCAGTCCGATAAACAACCCCCTCCCAAAGCCAACTTGAAGCAAAGACAGTGTCTTCATCGTTCCGCCCAGTCCTTCAGGTTCAGTTCTTGCCCAGCAGTAGCACTATTAATCGCTGCGGCGGCGGCACTAACCCGGTGCCTTCTCGGCACGTAATTGTTAGCAGCGCGGTACCGTCCGTTGACGCCGCCCGAACTGGGGCTATGGCTCAGGCCGTTGCTGGTGGTGTCGAGGCTGCTGCTGCTGCTAGCGGTTTGCAGCGGCGATGAAGGGAGCACCCCGCTTCCGCTCGAGGAGTGGCGAAGGCCGAGCACGCTGTGGCTATTCCTCAGGCGTAGCCGCGAGATCTGGGGCGTGCCTGGCTGAGGTGTTCTAGATCCCGCGGAGGAGGCGGAGGATACGCTGTTGAGACCGCTGCTGCTGTTGCTGCGGTTGCTACGTGTGCTTCCTGGACGCCCGAGTGCCATGTCGAGTGATGCATTGGTGTCCCACAGGTTGGAGACATGGCGGCGGTTGCTCTGTACGGCGGATGCTGAAGGGACACTGCTGCCGACGCCCGAGGCGTGGGATTGCCGGCGGCGGGGGAGGTGGATGCTGTGGCCCTTGGCACGCTCGTTGCAGGCTTTGACGAGCTCGCTAGCCATGTTGCGGACTAGCACTGCGGGGTCGCGCTCGGAGACGCGGTGCACGATCGGGTACATGCCGTATTCTCGGATTAATGCCTCTTTCTGCTCGCTGGCGTCGCAGATAGTGGTCAGGATTTTAAGGAGGTTGAGTCGGACCACAGCCTTGTTGTGGCCGAGCTTCTGGACGATGCGAGCAAAGAACTCGCGGCGGCCGACGGCGTGGGCGATCGGTGGGCTTAGACGGAGGAGTTTCTGCAGGGGCTCGAGAGTATTCTCAAAGGCGTTTGTCTTCGACGTGGTAAAGCACCTCACAAGCGCATCGATGGACGACGGGCTCTGAAGCTTCTCTTCCACCCGTGCGGTCTCCTCTTGTAGCCACACAAAGATAGCATCGAGAGCAGTAACCTGCCAGTACGGATCCAAAAGGAGGGAAATGTAGAACTCCAATCCCTTGTTCTGCCACAGCAGTCTGCGGCACCTCTTTCCGGAATGCGCCATGTCGCACAGAATAGGAAGTGCAAACTCCTTGAGCGGCCGTTCTGTCTGGACAATACTCTGCAAGACTGGAATGATTCCATTCATAGCAGCCTCTTCTTGCCGGGACTTGCTAAGCCTACAAAGGTTGTACATGGTATTTAATACCTGGTTCGAAATCTCCTTGAAGTGTGCTGCCGTCCGGCTTCTGTCCAGTAGTTCTGTTAGAACTTCGATCGCATTCGAGTTCTGTAATGTTTCTAGCGTTGACGACAGCATGGAGAGGTTCTTGATGAACTTGAGCATGACCACCTGGTGAGCAGGAGCCATTCGTTCCAGATCCTTCAGCACTCCTGGAAATCCGGACTCATCAGCAAACACCAATTGGAGGGGCAGCTGAAAAGGACTTACGCTTCAGAACAATGCGATCAGCAACCATCTCCTTGACATGATTTTCCGCCTGCGAAAAGAGGTAGAAGATATTGACAACGCGCTCGACACACAGGTCCGACAGTTCTCCATCCTCGTCGAGCAGATGGCTCAGCACGATCGAGAGGGGCTGCAGAACTGAACTCCTCGAGAATATTCGACAAAAGTCATTCTTCGGAGTGGGGCCTTGCATTTCGAAAACACTCCATATCCCATTGACACCGATCAGTACAAGGTCTTTCTGGGCCTCGTAGTCCTCCTCCAAAAATTCCACCAGAACATTCAATCCACCGCAACTGACAAACATTTGCAGCGTGAGGATCGAAGTCTGGTACATCTGGCGTACGAAAGCTGCGGCCTCCAGTCGGATGTGTGGATGGTACTTCTTCGAAGCAAATTTGGTGATGATGGGAATTCCGCCTACGAAACACAGATTCTCTTGCACCTCAACGTCGTCGAATATGAGCTGCGAACGAACATCAGTACACATGCCAAATCTCAAGGTACATAAACTAGTCAATACTCACAGCATTGACAATCTTGAGAAGCTTCAGGATAACGTCTGCGGTCTGGCACGTCTCGAGCACCTCCAGAATCGGCAGCATTCCGTGGGCACTGATGACATTATCCTTAGTCTCGGGCGAATCCAACAAGATTTCCATGAGTTGTGAAGATATTTCCTCGAGGTCCTCCTCCACTTGGGTGGTCTTCAGGGAGCTAACAAGACTATCGATTTGTGAGCACAATCTCGCGTACTTGTCTCTCGCGATATTTGCGTCCAAGTCCATCTCGTCGAACCCCTCCTCCAACTCCGCAAATGGGTCGTCCTCATCCGCTTCATCCCCCAGCCACGAATTGTTCGAGAGTTTGCTGTTGAGCATCAAACTCTTCTGGTCGTCGCCGCCGCTGGTTTCCGAGGCCGCTTCATCCGTATTGCCTTCATCTCCCCCAAAGATATCCGAATAGTCCTCTTCCCCGTCTGTTTCCGCAAACCGTTGAATCTCCAGTGTTGACCGTGTCCTCCGCATCCTGTGTGTCTCCTTCTCCGTATCTCCAAACGCTGCCGGTAATCGTCTCAAGCTTCCTCCGTTTTGTGAGGATGTGGTTGAGCGCGGCAAGCTGTTTTTGAGGTCGGATGGGTGAAACAGTCGAGGACTGAGCGATGCATCCTTCATCATCAGATCCACCTTCTTTTCAAAAGAAGACTCATTGAATGAGAAATCCGAGTAGTCCTCAAAGGCGTCCTCCCGGAATGCTGACGACGGACGTTGTATTGCTGATACGGTCCGCGTGGAAGGCAAGATGAACTTCTTCTTCTGCTTCAGGACCCTATGCTTCGGCGGAGATCCCTCCGGCGTGGGGAAAGAACCAGAATTTCTCGAGATCGGTAAGTCTGGAATATCAATGCCGTGTTCGGGTTCGCTTTGCCGGCGTGGCTGCGAGTATGGTCGTATTGTCTGCATTGGATCGTCCTCCTCAAAGGCTTTCTTAAGCGGACTCCGCGGAGGATTGGCCGTCCCACATCTGACGGTTAGGTCGCCTTCAAAGTTATCGTCCCAGCTCTCGTTCGCCCCATCATTCGTTGCGAAAGATTTAAGCCGTTCGGCAGACGCTAAGGACCTAACCCGAGGCTGCATTGCTGGCTTGCGAGGGAACTGGAGGATACTCGGAGAGATAACAGACACAGACGCAAAATCATCGTCCCAATTGTCGTCATCGTCTAGGCACGTCAGTCAAGTTGAACCGTGAACGAGTGCCAGGAAGATGCCATTACCTGCGGATTCAGGGGACATAAAAGCTTCCGTGTTGGGCCGTGACCTTGGGAGAGCCAAAGGGCCCTTGCCGGGGGCTGACGAGAACTCGCCACCAAGTCGCCGTTGGCTGGGACTTATGGATTGCCTGGGTGGTCTCTTTGACGAGCTAGTATTTGGCGATCTCAATGCCTCGTTCCATTTCTGGACACTCTTCACTGCTTCATCGTAATTCGTTGTAGAGGAAGCCCGCACAACTGAATCGATTCTCTTTGCATTGACTATCCACGGATGTTTGAGTAGTTTCCGTGCGGAGACGCGAAGATTTGGATCTTTCTGGAAGCACTGCATCAAGAAATCCCGACAAGCCTAGATGGAGTAACACATTCAGCCATGTGTGGTGCACCCGGTTGCCCACAATTCTACGTACCGGCGATACACCTTCCGGTAATGGCGGATGGTCATCATTGACTATTCGGAACAATGCTTGCATGGACGCCAGCTTGTAGTACGGCGGTTTACCCTCAAGAAGTTCTATGACTGTACATCCTACACTCCTTTTTCTCTCGTTAGATCAGCTTCCTTCGTCTTCCGGAGGTGCGCTGCTTACCAGATATCAGATGCCGTGGACGCTCCCGCAAGCTCGATTACCTCGGGAGCCATCCAGTACGGCGTTCCGACAACCGAAGAGTCGCTGAGTCCGGTAGCCCTCGTAGCAACACCGAAGTCCGCTAATTTCACCAGCCCCTCTTTCGTAGTCAAGATATTTGCACCTTTGATATCACGGTGGATAACACCCTGATCGTGCAGGTACAGCAAGCCGTGTAGGACCTGCGTCAAGTAGATTCCCACCAGGTTCTCGGGGAACTTTCCAAAGTTCTTACAAATGCTGTGGAGGGAGCCATTTTCGCAGTACCTATTTCGTGCGCGGTCAGCATATGGCTATGCCTCCTCCTCCTTCTACTCCTGTATATGCCGTAGCGCTCGGAAGTGGGGAGTGGTACTCCAAAATAATGTAGAGAGAATCCGCCGTTTTCGAGTAACCATGGTATTGCACAATGTTCTGATGCTACAACACGACAAGAAGGGGTTGTCCTGTCAGCACGGTCCTTCTTCCTCTTCCTCTTCCTCGTCCCCTTCCTCGGCTCGGCTGAATTGACCCGCCGGTAACGACCGTACGTACATTAAGGTTCTTGAGTAGATCGATCTCGAGCTATTGGCGAGATGGTGAAGCGAGACACCCGAAAGTCAGAAATAGTCCCTCATACACAACCAACCGAACAACAACACCCACACAAAGTGCAGAACGGAGGGCCCCAGGAACGCACCATAATCACACGCAGTTCACTTTTCGGCAAGTCCGACAGTCGCACTTGTTTCACCGCAACCGTCTGCCCAGTTCCCCAATTGAGTGCCCGATAAACCGATCCGAACGCTCCCTTCCCGAGGCAATCTCCTAGAGTCTCGACTCGAGCGTCAGTACCTCCTCACCCCTCCACTCGCTGGAGAGGACCGACATACATAGTCCGGCAATGCCGACGCCAACGACGATGACGACGGAGTTGAAGTCGAAGGCTGGTCATTTTCGTGGGAGGAATGCGTCGAGTGTGATGTTCCTGGGCGGCTCACACTCCCGGCCCGGCTGGCGGGCCGATTCGATGGTGTCCGGGGTCGATCGCTCGGTCGTGCTTGTAAGGGAGTATAGGCTGGCATCATATGTATATAATAGGTCTCGGCTTCCTACCAGCAGTGGAATTGTTGAGGTGATGGTGGGAGAGAAAGACGAAGCGAGAGCGATGGAGAGAGCAGCGGCAGAGCAACCCGTTCAACGAACCCGCGCAAATGTGTCTGAGGGAACAAGAGATGATCGTATCGTCATTGCAGGCCCCGGGAAAAACTGCGGCGGTAGCTCAATTCCCTCCCAGGCTTATTGTAGAAATGTTGCCGAATGAACTCCCGGAGTTGTTCGTGTCTGACGGCTCAGGCTTGCGACTGCTTGTTGTTGTTGCTACTGTTGCTGCTTGCAGATGCGGCTCCGCTCGACCAGCTAGTGTGGGACCAGCTTCAAGCTCTCGATCGCTCCGCTCGTCTTGCACACTCCGCCACAACCCTTCTAGAATCCGATATCGCCGAGTGAGGAGGTCCAGCGGCGTCGAGCGGCTGCCGATTTGCACTAAAGATTTCTGCGACGGCGGGATGGTGTCGAGTGTCGGTGTCGGTGTGTGTGCGGAAGAGGTCGTCGATAGAGTAATGGGCAGAAAAAGGCGTAACTAAGGAACAATAATATTGGCTGGCTGGCCTGTGCCGCTAAGGGGCGGGGGGAAGGTTTATCGCCAGTTGACAACATCTGAAGGTTGGGATTACTTGCTTAGAACACCGGCCCACCCCTGCTGGCCAACAAACCACGAAATATTCTTCCACATTGCTTTTAAATCTGTCTGACTCTGCACTGCACCCAATCATGCGTTGCGGGCGCCGTGCGAGTACTTGCCTCATGCATCAAATTACCGGAGGCACAGGGCAGACGTGGGAACTCTACTATGCCGTACGTAAGTACCTACTCTAGCATGTTAATGTACATGTTGGATCATGGGTTTCAGCTACGGAGGAGGGATATGGATATGTATCTGACACCTATCTCCTTCGAAGACGGAGGCAAGCAGAGGCCACATCAACAGCCGATGACCCACCGTGATTCGCCACGGGCGCAATCGCACACGAACGAGCTGAGAGGTACATATGCAATGTAGGAGGTGCCTAGGAGCCCTCAAGCGCCACTTCGCGCCAGTCACTAGTTCTGACAGCCGCCAACGGCCCACTTATTGGCCTTCGAGGGAGCCGATATCGAATGCCAGGCGTGTTCGCTGTAATTGCCCTTCATACCGGTGTGATCTGCCTGGTTCACAACTTATTATGCCCGCAATAATCAACACCCATGGCAGCATCGACCATTGGGTACGGTCTTATGAGGGTCAAGACCCTCCCTCCCTTCCGCCCACAGACATTCGGCGCCGGAAAAACAAAATCGCGTAGATCATCTCACGGAAATGATGACAGAGTAGCCCAAAAGACTGCCGTTTAATGAAAGTCTCCACCGGTAAGATCTGCCCTTTTGATTCACTCGATATCACTCGACGATCGGGTGACCGCGCATGAGTGTTGCCCCTCCATATCCGACGAAGTTGAGGAGGAGGAGGGTGCTGAGGTTGAGGCGGTGAGGCAGGGATGAGTCGAGGGAGTAGAAGTTGCCTTTTCCTAGTGCCATTTCTTTGGTGCGCTCATACATCTTCGGGACAGGCCACGGCGGGGGTAGGGAAAGCCACATCGGGCCGCCTGATGAAAGTTGGGTTGGACAGTGGCGGGGAAACGGGGGGGCGAACGGGTAGATATTGCCATGATCTAGATAGGTCGCACGCAATCAATGAATGAACAAAAAAAAGACCATATCCGACGAATTCATCGTGCCTTGACGATCGGCTCTTCGAAAGTTTTGATTCCCATGTATCGGCAGACAGGAGTATTTTCCGTTCCGGAGACTTCGAGGCTGAGCCACAAGGGAAGCCGATCCGAGTCATGCGGCATAGCGAGGCAGGGTCAAGTCTTCATTATGCGTGTGGTAGCGGTCAATAATTTTTTGACGGTGCATTGAAGCGGCGTTTCGCGGCAAGGTTTTAAAGTCCTACGACCTGTCAGTTGTTTCATTGGCACTTCCACTCCACGACTGTGGAACATACCCGCCTTGTCCGCAGTTCCTTTATAGGTGCTCGACGAGGCTGATCGAAACGAAACGACGGTGGCCCTCCAAGACGGCTTGCTGTCGCCGTCTCTGTCCCCCCGAATGCGTATCATCCTAATCATCCCAACTCCTCCTCCAGACCGAAGCAAGACCCAAGGGAAAATCAGAAGTGATGCAGGGAGGCAATCCACTACAGGTACATCGCCTTAACATCGACCCTACATTTCCTATAGATAGATTACGAGGATTGCCTATCAAAGTCCGCTCTATACTCCAGATCTTCTGATCCGCCTATGGGTTGACAGGATTGTAGCGAATGTCTTCCGCCGGGCGATAGGGCGATCTCGGAGACAGACGTCTTCAGCAGGTCAACCGGGCGCTCCACTGGCCCCAGCTCATGAATGAGTTTTTTAATAGCTAGTTTAGTCGCAGCCACGGAACTCTGGATGTGAGTGCCATCATCTTCGGGGCACCTTGCCCGTCGGTGAATAGCTCCGGGATATAAGCGTAGCCATTACCACCAGGCATAGGTATTCTATACTCATCTACGCCGGACTCTCGCGCGTGATCGCCAAATCGTGGGGAGATACGAGCAATCAGTCTGCGTGGCACTGGTGAACGGAAGCCGTCGGAATCGATGGTACAGTAGATAGGTAGGGCATCAAGAAGTGTAGTAGGACATTAGCATCCTATGATATCGGTATCGGGAGCGCCATGAAATGCCGTTCAAGTAGAGCCGATACAAGTCCAGATGCATGCACTCTGCCGCTATTGCTAGAAAAAACTGATCAATAGCACAACAGAGAGGACTCGCATCCGGCTCCGATATGGTGGGTGGCTTGTCCAGTATAACTAAGCGTAGAAAAGGATCCTGTGGCCGGTATGTACGTCGTGGAGATGACGGAACGGATAACGCATGTATATGTATGGAGGAAATGGAAATATTCTCTCCAACGGACGCAGAGAAGACCAGTTCACCTTCGGAGTTATACTCTCCCGATAACCGGAAGTGAAACACATGCCATGCGGTGCAAACGAGGATTTTGAGCATGTAGCACCCTATAGAACGTTAACTATGCATCTACGGTTCCGATCCACCGGCGACACAGCGTCAAAACCCGCAGAATTGGTAGGTAATCTCTCGTGGAGGTTTCCGAGCGAGAAAGATGCCGTGCACTACAGAGGGTGGCCTGAGCAGGAGGTGTAGAAGTCAATGGTGGTAATGACGGTTGGTGGAGCTGTCTGAATATTTAAAGTTCGCAGCGGTCCTCACCAGGCTTCATTCTTGTGAGGGGGTCCCACCAGTATGTACGAGCTCTCGCGCAATCAAGCTCCTGATATCAGCCCCTCGTATCCGCCCATGCCACGGGGGTCATCTCAATGCGCTGCAACAGGGCCCATGCCACATGGTATGAGTAAAACACCCATGATAAACCTGGATAACGATACCCACACTGCCTAGAATCCGGGGTTAATAGTGTGCGTCCCATCCGTATCCTTCGAGCAGGTAACGCTCGACAGCTAACGATACGTATGCGGAAGGAAAGTCACTGTGCTCCCATCGATGCGTGGGGTAACATCACTTGGCAGAGACGGATGTATTGTTGCACACGGGATAGCATAGCCCGGAACGTCGTCCCGAGACGAGAGCTCCCGAATATTGGGCTGAGCTAGGTGGTATGTACGACACAGGTTGCAACTGGGTTGTCGGTGGGGAAATAAGGTGTACAGGGCCCGGTGGAGAATGATGTCTCATGAAGCGTTCCGGGTTCGACTGGCGGAGTGGGGACCCACACGACAAGCCTCCCCCCGCCTGTCAGGGCATGCTGGCTTGTGCTGATAGAACCCCATATGAAGTTAGGTAGATTCAAGCGTCAACCGGTGGGCCATGAGAGAGTTAGTCGGATTCGGCTTCAGACCGCTATGCACTCGCGAGTCGCTGCTCGTCGTCAGGCGCTAGGTAAGTACATACTTCCTATAACGAATTCGTAACGGCGAGCGAGGACCTTACCGTAAGTTCCCATCTTGAAATGAGGCACATACATAGCACATGGCCGGATTTAGTGAGTACGTAAGATGGTTGTGGATCGAAAGGAATAGGTTGCTGTTTAAGGATTCGAGGCATGGAAAGTTTCTAAGAGCGAGTAACACCTAGTAGAGTAGTTACTCCATATGGTATGAAGGGAAAGCAGCAACAGATCATGACAGCACAGTACTTCGTCTCCGGCGGCACAGGTGCTCGTCCTTCCAGTGTGTACATACCATGAACTTTTGGACATAAAGAAGCAACAGTTGGCCTCGAACTCGAACTCGGGTATCCAGCTCCCACCAGATCGAGAGGGCCTTACAGAACCCCCCACTACCTAGACTAGGTAGAAGGAAACATCTGTCCTATAAATGCTGTATGTAGATCCACGTACACGATCGAAAGATCCGTGGTTGCCGCACACCGTTGTTTTTGACTTCCTGGCGCGAACTGAGGAATCCCCGGCGGTCTCACTATCGATATCGCCAACAGCTCCAGCGGCAATCCTGCCACGGTACCCGGAAAATGATTCGCCCGGCCGGATCCTTGATGTGAAGACGAATGCTGGTTCTGGCACTGCGAAGCCGCTGTCGGAGCCCTTGTAGATGTACCCGTAATAGAAGCCGCAAGTTGTGGATACATCGTACCAGTACATAAGTACCCAAATATGTAGGTGAAGTGTGCGAGTTGACGTTCTCTCCACAGGCTCTGCCTGGTCATGCACCAAAAGGTGGGGCTAGCCGAGATGCGAAGCCAGGATGTCCGGGATGCGGCTCACCCATCCGCTAACTCGAGAGAACCCTTGCTTTAGTCGGTGAGCGGGCCGACGATCCGGATAAAAGGCAAATAGCAAGTAGCAAATAGTAAATGGCAAATGGCAAATGGCACACGGAGCTTGTTATGGTCCTAAAGTCGAAGGAAATTCCTTGAGGTGCGAAATTCCCAAGGAGATCGGGCATAGAAAAAAAGAGAAGAAAAAAACACTGCGGAAAGAAATTCTCGAGTAAAAAGTTAAATCGAAATCGGGTGTGAAGGCTGGTTGATTGGTCTCGCGACTGGAATTCGGCCCTGCGTACAGCGGAAAATAGTCCATGCACCTTATCTGCATTTCCGCCGCAGGATTTTATTGATTGGCCTGGCCGGTGATATCACGCCGCGAAGCAGCAGCCGCAAAGAGCAATTGCAAGCCCTATTCTCTTCCATCCGTGCCCCGCCGCCACTCACAACGGGAGGACGGAGGCCGATCTTTGGGTGGGGATCTCCGTGTTCTGCAGCAGCTATGAACTTACCTATGCAAGTGTCAGCTTTTTTTTCTCTTTGCCGCAGCCCTGAAGATCACATTACGCATCCAGCGTCCCGCCCCACTATCACTGGTCCGCACTGGACCCGTAACGGAGCTGATGGAAGAGGAAAAGTACCAAAGAATCGGTTGGCCACCCTAGATCACTTTGGACGTCCCGAGTTCCCACCGTATGTAGGGATTGAGGTGCTGTATGGTGCTTTAGCTTGCTGGGGGTGGCGACAGCTTGTTAGAGCTGTACCCTTCTTTATATATACATCTGTATCCCCCCGTATGGTCTGGAGTTGTGTCCATCCACCGACCCCTCAATCCTTCCTTTGGGTTCCCAGTGACCAGAAATATTGACCTGGGCTTCGATTTGCGATCAAAATACCCATACGAAATCAACATGTCGCCCAACACGCCGCGGCCTCTCCACACGGGCTTTCCCGTCCAGCAGCTGATAATTCTTGGTGAATACCCATCCCCGGAATTCGCGTGGGTAACGTGCCACTAACTTCGATCGCAGCATTATGTCGAATCTGCGAACCCATTTCGTTCACGTCCATCTTCCCTTACATCTACCAGATGATCGAAGGCTTCGGCATTGCGGTATGGACGGCCCGGAATCCGTGGCACGCGTTGACCGGAGGAAGCATGGCTGACATCCCGTGCAGAAAAACGAGAACGAAATTGGAATCTATGCGGGGATGGTGACGTCCGCATTTGCAATCGCGGAGTTTTCGACCGGAATGTTGTGGGGTCGGATTTCGGACCGGATTGGACGGAAGCCGGTACTAATTATTGGTCTGGTTGGAACGCTCATTAGCATGTTGATCTTCGGGTTTGCCAAGAGCTTGTCGGTTGCTCTGATCGCCAGGGCCCTAGGTGGTGGATTGAATGGAAATATCGGTGTCATCCAGACGGCGGTGGCCGAGCTTGTGAGGGAGAAGGAACATCAGCGTAAGTTCGAAACGTTATCCAATGGCGTGAACCTAACTAATGAAACCTGTAGCGCGGGCATTTGCAATCATGCCTTTCATCTGGTGTCTTGGTTCGATTGTCGGCCCGGCTCTCGGTGGGCTCCTGGCCCAGCCGACCAAATTCTACCCTGGCGTCTTCCCTCCCGGTGGATTGTTGGAGGAATACCCGTATCTCCTCCCGAATATGGTTTCCTCGATTGTGTTGGTTTTTGGAATCGCCAATGGAATCCTCTTCCTGGACGAAACCCACGATGTGCTGCGAAACAAGCGGGATTACGGACGGGAGCTCGGAGACAAGCTCGTGAACCTGTTCAAATGGCGGAAGGCAGACGAGAGCGAATCCAGCCCACTGCTGGTTGACAGCGCCGCAAACTATAATGGAACTGGTAGCGGCAGCAGCGAGGAAAGCGTTGAGGATAGCATCAACGCAAAGCCCAAAAGGATCCCCTCGGTTTCCAGAGCTTTCACTCGCCCAGTGATCGGATTGGTCCTCTCCTACGGAATCCTCGCTTACCATACCATGGGCTTCGAGCAGTTGATGCCCGTCTTCCTCTCCACCCCAGTCCCAGACGAGAAGCCGCACAATCTCTTCTTCTTCACCGGAGGACTGGGAATGACCACGCAAAACATCGGCTTCATCCTCTCGATGCAAGGTCTCTTCTCGATGTGCGCGCAGTTCGTCGTCTTCCCTCCGGTAGCCAGAACCTTCGGTGTCCTCAGCGTCTACCGCTTCTGCATGTTCACCTACGCCATCTGCTATATCGTCGTGCCCTACCTCGTCTGGCTGCCGGAGGGCAATATGCAGACCGCCGGCGTGTACGCCGTCCTCGCCGTCAAGATCATGTACGGAGTCCTCGCCTACCCGTGCAACGCAATCCTGATCACCAACTCTGCACCTTCTCTCCTGGTCCTCGGCGCCATCAATGGCATCGCAAGCAGCTGCGCAAGTCTTGCCCGCGCTTTCTCCCCAACCGTCACAGGAATTGTGTACAGCTACGGTCTCAACATTGACTGCGTCGGCCTCGCCTGGTGGGTAAACGCCATTGTCTGCCTTATCGGCGCCATCCAGGCTATCTCGATGCGGCAGGACGATCTCGACCGCCATGCGGAGGACCTTGACGATCTTGTCTCTTTGATGGACGAGGAGCACGCAGCAGGCCACGACTCCAACGTCGAATCCCACATCCCCGGCATGGACGCGAACACACAGATGATCGGTACTGCAGACGAGACATTCGATGAGTATGGACTTGTGCGGTCGGTCATCGAGGCCGATATGGATCTTCTGTCGGCGAGTCTGCCACCGGATACCACGCTAGGATCACTGGCGAGATTGGATGTGAGGATGTCGGAGCGTGCAAACTAAAAGTTGTGTTGTGTTCGTTTGGCTTACGATGAGCAGGGTGACCATGTGAAAGAACAGCGATGAGTTTTGATGCAACAAATTGTAGATATTTCGACCCTGTTGCGTTATTTTCGACAAAGCGATTTTTGCATGCGATTGGCCGTCACTTCCGCTTATAGATTGGGGTATGTACAAAAAACATGTTCATATGTTGTTAATTTCTTTCATTGGATTTGTTTTTGGGCAAAATTTTGATCCTTTTATTACTGTTTTGGGTTTGTACTGGAGTTTATTTTCTGTCTGATAGTCATGTTTTCCCGCTCTGGCCGGAATGAGTCCTAGTTATATGGCAGTTACTTTCACTTAGCCACGGATCATCTTTTAATGTTACATACAAATCAACGACTTGTGCTAGAGACCGCTGCGAAACTGAATGGAATCCACAAAACGCAAATGGCGAGACCTTTATCCCGTTTAAGGGTGTCACTCGCAGTACCAATTCACTTGCTGAGGCGTGATTCAGACAGCTTGAAGTGCTTTGGCTGGATTAGCCTCACCGAGAGCTGATGCGTGATTCATATACGGTTTGAGGTGCTATTGTGTCAGCCTGACTGAGAGCTAACTGACAACCTTTTTGTCTAGCGAGTAACAACTGAAGCAGACCACAAACCCTAATCACACTCTCACTCGACAAATCACGCCATCACGTGCCGCCCAGCCGCTAATTAGCTTACTCCTACTTCTCGCGTAACACGTATCTATAGCTCTTCCACAACCTCAACTAGCACCCCCACAACAATCATGTCGTCCCCACCACCGCCGGGCTACGTCCCCTCCTCAGCCAGCCACAAGCGCCGAATCTCTTACACGCCGCAATCGCAAAAGAAGCCGAAGACGCACTCGGCTCTACCGTCGCCACAGGCGCCGCAGCCATCCCGCAAGAACTCGATCTCTATTCCACAGCATCCACTCCGGCAGACGTCGTTTCCGCCTGAGCGCGTAGTGGACCGGGGCGCGGAGAAGGCCGAGAGTGTTATCCACGGTACTGCAGGAGGAAAGGACGACGAAGACGAGGACGAGGGACGGGATGATTACGGTACCGAGACCGTCCTAGCAGATGGAGGCACGGGAGGCTTCGTCGAGGACGACGAAGAGAAGAAGAAGATGGCGTTTGTTTTCCCTTTCCTTCCCCTCTGCCCCACTAAACTGACGAGAGTAGAATCCTGCTCGAGGCATTCGACGCGAGCCAGAACGCACGGTACGAATCGTTCCGACGCGCGAACCTGAACAAGGCGGCGGTGAAGAAGCTGGCAAATAGTGTGCTCACGCAGAGTGTTACGGCGAATGTGGGGACTGTGATTTGCGGTTTCTCAAAGGTCTTTACCGGAGAGATTATTGAGTTGGCGTTGCAGATTCAAAAGACTTGGGGGGATGAGGGCCCATTGCTGCCGGATCATCTGAGAGAGGCATGGAGGAGGTATAAGGTTGAGCGACAGGGGGCGGTTGGGTTTCGTGGGGCGGTGGGCGGTGGACAGCCGGCTGCTACCGGCGGCGGTGTTGGGGTCGGTGATTCGGTCGGTGGTGGGGTGGGCAGGCTGTTCAGATAGAGACGAGACCTGCATATGGACTGTATTTTATAGGGAGCACGGAGTTCTCTTCTTATTTGCTTTGGATTGGATATGGGGATTTGATGGGAATGAAAGTTTTATTTGGCCTGGGCTACTGTCACTCGGAATCAATGTCATGACACCGGTGCTTCACATTCAGATATCTCCGATTACAATAGAAGCAAACAGATGTGGATGAAATGCGATCACAACTAAAAGCAAGCCTTTATTTCCGGTTGCGCCCATTCCCATTCCCCGTAATATGCGCCCCAGTACATTCCAGAACTTAAGAAGCCCACTTCTGAACAACAACTGCGTTGATCAGACCAGCATCCTTGACGCTCTGACCGTGGTCCTTGAGCTCCTTGTTGGGAAACGTGGTCTGCAGGATGTAGTCCCTACTCCGACTGCCAGCATTCGACGCGTTGACGAACGAATACAGGTCTCCAACAGTGTGGTGGTGGTTGAACCTCGAGACCAACCTCGTTCCATCGGCAAGCCTAATCTGAATGCTCGTGCTGGGAGTAGACGCATCGACATTGACGCTGGGAGCGGTTGGCTGGGCGGCGGCAGCGGCCGGAGCGGCAACTGGAGCAGGAGCAGGAGCAGCAGCACGAGATGGCTCACCGGGAGTCACGGAGCCCAATCTCTGTCCCTGACCGCTAAACGGCACAAACTTCTTCTTCGGCGCGACATAATCCTCATCCAAGCGCTTGAAGACGTTGACATCAGCGGGCTGGCCAGGCTCAACATTCATCAAGCTCAGAGGGGCGCGGCCGCTCTCGATAGCCTGCAGGATCTCGCGGTTTGCGGGGTCGTCGTAGCGCATCAAGGGTCCGTCCTCAACACTGAATCCGTCGCGCCAGAAGGTAAGGGTGCGAGTGACAGGCGCACGAGGAGCCGGCATAGCAGCGACGGGATCGGGGATGGTAACGGATTCGTTGGCATCACTTCCGAGGGTGTGGCCGGAGCCAGAGAATCGGGGGCGTGGACCGGGTTCTTCTTCCTCCTGTCTACGACGCTGTCCACCTCTGCTGGGTTATCAGTATCGTGATTCGACGGAGGTAGTAGCGGAAAGGTGAACATACTCCGCAGCACGCTTTAGGATATCTTGAATCAAATCGACACCGGCTCTTCCGCCGCCCTGGTTGCTGGGATCCTGAACCGCAAGGCCGCTGCAGAGCCATCAGCATGAATGTCCCTTCCTCCGTTCACACCGCACATCCACTCACGATTTTTCTCCACCAGCGAACAAATCGCGCTTCTTGGGTCCTTCATCTTCCTCATCCTCGTCATCATCGCGGGCACTCAAATCTCCGAGGGTCCGAATCTTTGCACCGGAGCTAACCCACGTACTAATTAGCACCATAGCTCGAAATAGTATCCGTCGCACGGCTGTCGCATACCCAGAGCTCTGTTTAGGCTTCGGTCTCGACGCAGCCGATGAGGACGAAGGTGCTGACGCAGCAGCATGCGAGCGGTGAAGCTCCTCATCTTCGTCGTCTTCTTCCATCGCGTCCTGTCCAGCTTCATTGGGCTCGTAGTAGTTCGAAGTCGCGATCTAGATTCGTAACGTGTCAATCTTTCGTTTTCCGAGCTTCGTGCTGCGGGGCAAGGTGGGGTTGATTCGTTCTCAGCTCACTCACCTGCAGGTTCCAGTTTGAGGCTTCGAGAAAGTGACGGGCCTGTGGGGGGATGCGTGTCAGAAAAAGAGAGAATCCTCAGGAATACGTTCTCAATCACAGGTCGAACGCGGGTAAGGGACGTGGCTGACAAACCATATCTGGATCAGCTCCAGTGATGGCGCAGAAGCTCACGATGAGCTCCTCGTTGTCGGCCATGGTTGTTTTGAGCAGTTTACTGAGGGTGGGGAGAAATAACTCGGGGCGTGGGGTGGCGGGGCGAGGGAGGGATGAAGGGTGAGGACGAGGGTTGATGGAAGTTGGTTCGTAAGGTTGTGGTTGTGTTTGATGTTTGCGTGTTTGTCTTCACTTCCGGCTTTACTCAGATGACATCGAAAGCTACCAAGAAGGGGAAGAACCAAAACGCACCAACACCAAGGGAGCATAATTAACTTGCCAAGACGCCATTCGTTAATGATTCACGTGACTGTAAAGAAACTTGAACGGAATCTCCCGACGAGCACCTTAAAGTGAGCAGTGGATGAGCGGAACGACAAAATCGGATCAACCACAAAAATCTACACGATGCTGGCTTCACGGGTTATGCGCCTGGGGACTCTCCAGAATGCAGTCTGTGTACGCTCAACAGCTGGCATTCAGACCAGATCACTGCACATTTCACCTCAGGTCAGTCCTCGGCAAACAGACAGCACCGCACCCAGAACTCGTCAGGAAACGTGGTGCTGATACTCTACGCAATCTTCAGTTCCGACCAGCAGCTGCGTTGACTCGAGTACGACAATCCAACGCTGTGCGGCCAATCTCTTTGACTACCGTCCGGTTCAATTCCACCACAACCTCCGCTGCCGCCGCTGCTGCCCCGCTATCCTCCCCCACCACCACCGATGCCGCACCCTTCCTCGCAAACCTGGACAACTTTGATACCTCGACGGTCATCCAGCACGCGCCAGAGACGATGGGCTACCTGAGGTCCCTCGGAATTGACTCCGGCTGGGGCACCACGAACATAATCCAGACCCTCTTCGAAGGGGTGCACGTTTACTCCGGGCTTCCTTGGTGGGGCACGATTCTAACGACCGTCGTCCTCGTCCGTCTCGCGCAATTCCCTGGCTACTGCCAAATGTCCTCCACTGCCGCGCGCATGAAAGAAATCCAGCCCGTCGTCACCCCCGTAATGGAGAAGATGAAGGCCGCGCAGGCCCGCAACGACATGCCGGAAATGATGAAGTACCGCAGCGAGATGTCACAGATGTACCAGGTCTCTGGCATAAACCGCTGGTGGCTCATCTTCCCGTTCACGCAGATCCCGGTGTTCTACGGATTCTACAAGATTCTCCGGTCGATGGCCGAAGTTCCAGTTCCGGCGCTGCTGGACGGTGGAATAGCTTGGTTTTCGGATTTGTCGGTGGCGGATCCGACACTTATCATTCCCACGACTGCATCACTGTTGATCGGTTTTCAGATCTACAAGGGTGGAGAGGCCGGAAGCACCACCATGGCCAAGTCGATGAAGAACGTCCTGGCCTTCGGTCTTCCCCTGGTGTCCTTTGCTTTCACCTACTCGTGGCCAGCAGCCTTGGGCTTCTACATTATGTGCAATTCCGCCATTGGAGTGGCGCAGACCTTCATCCTCAAGAACGAGACTGTGCGCGAGAAGCTAGGACTCTATCCTATGGCCCTGGAGGGTACCGCCAATCCGTTGGCGTCAAAAACTCCGACCAGATACAGTGCCCTTAATATCGTCCGTCCCGCTGTAGAGGAGAGCCAAGTTATCGATGCTACGCCGAAGCAGATTGGTGGGCCCGGAAGTTGGTTGGATAAATTCACCGGCGGCACTGGTGAGAAGGGGTGGAATGTGTTGAAGTTGAAGGAAACGGTATGGAAACACCCTTACCATTGACGGGCGGAAGCAACTAACTAGTTCATAGGCCAGCGAGAAGCAGAAGGAAGCCACACATAAGGAATACGAGACCCGAAGAAAGAAGCGGTTGGCAGAGCAGAAGAAGTTGGCGCAGCTGGAGCGGGAAAGGAAGCAGCGGATGAGGCAGGCACCGAAGCCATAGGCTTAGAAAGGATACAGATTCCGGAATGTGTATTGTAACATAGCTAGAGTCAATCTCTGTTAAATTTAAAGGGCCATGGGAAACTTCGGAGAGAAGTGGAAGACGGGCGTTATCGAGACTGCTGGGACAAGATGAAACTACTGTTGATGGTAGCATTCGACTTTGCAGTGAGGTTCCAAGTTCCGGAATCCGTCAAAACCACGTGCATGTCGGTGGATATTTTTGGAACCCTTTCACGATCCACAAGACTCCCTGGCTTCCAGCCCATTTCAGACGTTTGGTCTATCATCAGGACATCTCCAATCGGGTCCAGTAGAGTAGGGCAAGAAAAGTGCCTGGTCCGATCCTCATAACAATGGTTATGTACTCATAAAATTCTCACCATCGAGCCTTATACACATCGGTGCACGCATGTATCTGGTCCTGGAGGATGGCAGTAACCTACCGGCCCAAGAATGGCCAGAATCTATGGTGGCCATGAATTGGGCAGTTGGAAGCACAAATTCATCTTTGCATGCGCACTCGCGGGGACTCACAACCATCTTCCGAGTCCAATACCGTCATACCTATTGGATTATTGCTATCCCAGAGATATGAGCTGCTTCACTCGTGTCACCTGTGCTTGTATCTGGATAATCATCTGCCGGACTGTTGCCTCGGGAATGCGCCTTTCAACTGCACCTGACTCGGAATTATGCCGAGTGATATCACATGCACCCGAACCTTCAATAAATATCGATATCGGTTCCCAGGCAGAGTAGCCCGCCACCGCCATCACCAGAAGACAAGAAAAACGTTTATACAAAGGTACATTAATGGGGTTCTAGATTCCCCGATCCGATGATAAGACACAGGAAAGCGGATGTACCGGTACCACAGTTCTACTGCTCTAGACCGGGTGTACCGGTATGTACAGTTTGCCAACGGAAGCAAGGTCCCGTCATGTCAAAGATTCGCTTGGAACGACTGGCAACTTTGGGCTCGGGAGTTGGGGTTGAGTGAACTGGCTCGGGAGTTGGGGTTGAGTGAACTGGCTCGGGAGTTGGGGTTGAGTGTACTCGGATGCGGACTCGAATATGTGCACGAGTCGAACCCATAATCACACTGCTAAGCACCTCAGTCGAGTTAAGATATCTACATACATACATAAGCACTCCTCGTAGCCGTAAGAAGTGAGCTCAATAATTGGAGTATACGATCTTTCAACGATGCAGAAGTACCCCATCTTCTTCCTATTCCTTTTGTCAGTATTGACGACTGTGGCACTTGCGGCCGCACCCCCGGCCTCAGGAGGACCATCGGCCGCGCTGATATGTAACCCTCTCTGCGTCTTACTTGGATGCAAGTGCCCCGAGAAGGGTGAGATACTTACTTCCACTCCTTCATAACTAGGGAGAAAAACTGATGGGAGGTAGCGGATATCACTACAACTGTCTCCGGGACTACGACGGCGACAGAGATATTGACCACTACTACGACTGCGATTACGACATGGATTGAGTTTTTAACAACCACTTCAACAACTACGACAACCAAGCCCACGACGGTGTCGGTGAGTAAGACAGTCACCACAACGGTCACGATTGTGCCGCCGTGTCCGCCGCCAGTGATCACGACGGAGACGACTACGGAGACGACTACGGCAAAGACGACTACGACAAAGACCGCGACGTCTACGGCCACAATCATTACTACTACGACGGACATAGATACATCCACTGTGACCACCACACGGACGTCCACTTCCGTGTCTATATCCACCCTCACCCCGTCTCCGGTCATAACAACTACTACGGTAACCGTGAGTCCCCTACTCTACTCTCCAGCATGATCCTCGCTAACATTCCCAGAAAGCCGTCACCACCACTATCACCGGGTCTCTCCCAACTGCAACAGGCTGCAAAGGCACCTGCAGCATTTCTCTAGTCCCTAAAACCACGCAGACCCTTCATGTTGGTTTCCCATCCCTCCTCTTCCCCAGCTACTGAACAGAATCAGTTCGACGATCTCACGGCAGTCAGCACTGCCGGTCCTCTCCCAAGTATCTACAGAGGTCTCTCCTTCCATTCCAGCTTCCAAATAATCAAAGGCGGTGCCCTCCCCCTAGGACTGCCACCATCGTCCCCAAACGCGATCTTCTTCAACCCTCACCTGTCGAATCCCGTACCCGGGGCCACCTCGGGGGATGGAAAGAAGTTTGGCCTGCTGAGCTTCCGGATCGCGGGATGTTTCTCGTATTCCGGAAGTGGTGGCGGGATAGACCAAGCGACGGCTTCGGAGTGTATGTTGCGGCTAGAGGGGTATGGGCAGGGAAAAGTGGCTATATTTACGACGACAATCACAAGGGATAAGTATACTACCTTTTTGATGCCGCCGACGGATGGGTTCGGGGAAGGCTTGCTAGGGCTGCGGTGGAGCGTCTACTTGCAGACGGGGGAGAAGATTGAGTATGGGCAGTTCTTTGCACTGGATAACATCGTGCTCGCCAACGAGGACAATGGGGTGTATTTTTGTGTTCCACAGTAGCAGCAGCAGTAGCAATAGCAGCAGCAGTAGCAATAGCAATCGCAGTAATTGCTGTTGAAGTGGTAGTAAGTTCGATGTTCTTCCTCTGCGTGCGTCTAAAGCTTAGCAGCAGTAGATACCACCAATGCATGATCACTCATGACTCGCCAAATTCTCTAATCCGCTTGCACCCAAGAACCCCCCTGTCCTATTCTCTCTCCGTCCCCTAATTTTTGACGCTCGCTGCGTCCATTGATCATGGCTCCGTCTCCGGTGAAGCGCCGGCTGCGGAATCCGTGCTGTGATCTTCGGAAACCATCTCTCAGTTTAAGCTAGCCAAAAAGCACCAAACCTTCGGACCGGAAAGAGCGGAGGTTGCTAGCGAGTACACGCTCTTAAAGCTTTCAATACCAACACCCGCGAACTTTAGTATCATGCCGATGCTAGTTATTTACCAATGCCAACCCGCTTTTCATGAACGAAGTCCGCCCTGATGAGTTTGGTACTAACGCCCACTCGCGGCAAAGAAGTAGTCGACTTCCCCGGCCATGGTGGGCTTGCAGTGCTGAAATTGAAGCGCGAGAAACCACATCCCCAAACAGTCGTTGCGTTCGTGGTCGCCTGTAATATCGAAAGTCTCCACGTGACAATATCACTAATACGCGCGTGGTAACAATAAACAAGTACCTTGCTAAAGATGTACGTAAGGTCTTACTTAAGTAGACACCGAGGGGTGAGCTCCTGTCACGAAACTAGATAGCTTCACCGTCCCCTCCAAACCAACCCACGGCATCGTCCTCCCCGCAACTTCACCAAACAATCTACCACCTCACTTCAAACCATGGCAGGATGGCTCCGACCCGGCAGTGGCAATCCAGCATCACAGCCCCCGCAACAAAGCGGGCAGCAGTTTACGCCGTATTCCTCTGAGAAACCTACACAGCGGCTCTTCACGGTGGTTAAGAATGCGCACACCGAGATTGTTCGTAGGAATAAGTACGCACTTCCGGCGTTGCGTCAAGGAGAGATAGAAGGAGCTCAGCTGATGTGTTGTCGTACCTTAGAGCCATCACCGAGGACCGCGATTTCACTGCGCGCTACGCTCTCGTCGACGGAAAGTACGTCATTAACGTTGAGCCACTGTCCCAAGCCATCTACCAGCACAAGGGGCCGTTCGCTCAGGCGGGGCAATCGTTTCCTCCTCAGCCGGAGCGGCCGTTTCTGGGGCTCGGAGGCTTCCTGAGGGATTACCTGGGAGTGCAACCGTATGAAGAGGCCGCGAAGAAGATGATAGCGACTGGGCAGCCGCTCAGGAACTATGAGCATCCCTACCAGATATCCGTGGAGCCGTACGATCCGCATCAGAAGGATGAGTATGTCATCAGCGCCAATATCGAGATCGCATGGCATAGTCCCGCCGTGGCGGCGAAATATGCGGATCAACCGCAGCTAGAGCTAGATCAGGACGAAATGGAGGAGTTTTTTAGACAGGTTTGTGCCACGGTGTGTGTGGCGTGGGAATGGACGCTTACAGGCCGGACAGGCATACATGGACACAGTTATTGGCTCGGGTCTGGCGATTCCGATCAAGTACAAAGGCTTTGACTTGATCGCTATGGTTACATCGGTGCAGCAGTACTCGTTGGCGCGCAAGCGGCCAACGGAGTTCGCGCCTCGAGGCTTGATATTCGATGAGACTCTGATCAACTTCCACACTAAATCCGGACAGAACCTCAGGGTGCGACCCTCAAGTACCCGCATCTCTACCAATATCATCAAGCAAGATTTCAACTTTGAGAGCATGGGAATCGGTGGCTTGGACGATGAGTTTGCTATGATTTTCCGAAGAGCTTTCGCTTCTAGGATTTTCCCTCCGGGGTTGATCGAGAAGATGGGGATTCAACATGTCAAGGGAATACTACTCTTCGGACCTCCGGGTACTGGAAAAACCTTGATCGCGAGACAAATCGGAAAGGCCCTGAACTCTCGTGAGCCGAAGATTGTGAATGGTCCTGAAATTCTGAACAAGTTCGTCGGTCAGTCGGAAGAAAACATTCGAAAGCTTTTTGCAGACGCAGAGAAGGAGTACAAGGAGAAGGGAGATGAGAGTGGGCTTCATATCATCATCTTCGACGAGCTGGATGCCATCTGCAAGCAAAGAGGTAGCAAAAACGATGGTACTGGTGTTGGAGATACTGTCGTCAATCAGCTCTTGTCGAAGGTATGTATTTCTTGGTTGGGGGGTCAAGCATTATGGGCTAATGTCAAACGTAGATGGACGGTGTAGACCAACTCAACAATGTTCTGATCATCGGTATGACCAACAGAAAAGACATGATCGATGAGGCGCTTCTCCGTCCTGGTCGTCTGGAAGTCCATATCGAGATCGCACTGCCAGACGAGAATGGTCGCCGACAAATTCTCGGTATCCGCACCAAGGAACTCAAGATCAACAACGTTCTCGACCAGGACGTCGACATCTTCGAGCTGGCTTCAGTGACCAAAAATTTCTCCGGAGCAGAAATCGGCGGTCTTGTCAAGAGTGCAACTAGTTTCGCTTTCAACCGCCACGCAAAGTTTGGCGAAAAGATCGACACTAAGGATATCAAGAACATGAAGGTGAACCGTGCCGATTTCATGTTGGCTCTTGAAGAAGTGCGACCGGCTTTTGGTGTCTCAGAAGAGGAGTTCGAAGCGTGTACCACTGGTGGTGTCATCAAGTTCTCACGCAACATTGAGAGCATCCTCTCCGAGGGCCATCTCTTCGTCGAACAGGTACGGAAGTCAGAAAAGACGCCTCTGGTCTCTGTCCTCATGCACGGCCCACCAGGGTCTGGAAAGACTGCCCTGGCAGCTACGATAGCCATGGCCAGCGACTTCCCGTTCATCAAGATAGTTAGCCCGGAGGCCATGGTAGGCTACAACGAAATGAATAAGATCTCGCACCTGACGAAGGTGTTCTCGGACGCATACAAGAGTTCACTCAACATTGTGGTCGTGGACCAGATCGAGCGCATCATCGATTGGGTGCCAATCGGCCCACGCTTCTCGAACGCGGTCCTGCAAACCCTGGTCGTCTTGCTTCGGAAACCTCCCCCTAAGGGACGACGCCTCCTGATCCTGGCTACATCCACTGAACGCAGCGTTCTCAGCCAGCTCGACTTGCTCAACAACTTTGACGCCGAAATTGCCGTGCCGAATGTTGCAAACCATGAAGAACTTCAGTCAGTTCTTGGGAGCCTAGAGCTCTTCTCACCGCAAGAACAGCAGATAGTATTGCAACTGATTGAGGAGCATACTCGCACCAAGCGCATCAATGTCGGTATCAAGAAGATCTTGATGGCAGCAGAGACGGCGAGACAAGATACGAACGACCGTGTGGGAAGGTTTGTGAGTATCATTGGTAGGGCAGTGTCGGATATGTCGTCGGTGTATTAGATAGATCAATTCGTGTAATTGTACATGCTTTGATTTCAGTTGATCATGCGTCTGTTTAGCGGCGGTAGATGTTGCCAGGGTTTATGACGAGTGCGTGCGTGCATTTTATGGAGGAAGTTTACATATGTAGATCTTATGGCAGATGGCGGTCGAATGGGATTGCCCGCTGTTGCCGCCTGACTATAGTCGTATAGATATCAAGATGATGCTGTGCCACAACGTGATCATGTCCACATCCCTGACTGAGTTCGCGCCAAGCCGGACGTTACGTTCCTGACTTCCGCCTCGCCAGCTTCATCACTTATCGTCATCGCTCGCTCCACTCAACCCACAACAAGAGCCTCTCGAGCACCTTAAACCCACCGAGTCCACACTTTCGCTTTCTTTTTTCTTTAGAACCTTCTTCTACCTTGCGACAAGGACAAACGCACGCCGGCGAGATGGGACAGCCAGACACCATGTTCCGCTCTTCGGAGATGTCGCTCGTACAGCTGTACGTGGCGACGGAAATTGGACGCGAAACTGTCAGCGCGTTGGGAGAAGTCGGGATGATGCAATTTCGCGACGTGCGTGTTTTCCCCCTCTGTGTAGCTTTTTGAGGGAGTGGTGACGGCAACGTTGGTCTGACAGCGTGTAGTTGAACGCAGATACCTCCGCCTTCCAGCGAACCTTCACGAAGGAGATCCGACGCCTCGACAACGTCGAGCGACAGCTCCGTTTTTTCGGCGCGCAGATGGAGAAGAATGGAGTTATGGTCCGGCCTGTGGAGAATAACGCGAGCCTTACCGCTGCCCCCTCCGCCGCTGAGATCGATAACCTTTCGGAACGCGCGCAGGCCCTAGAGGGTCGTATCTCCCAGCTCAACCAGTCCCACGAGACGCTGCAGAAACGCTGGGTAGAACTCATCGAGTACCGTTGGGTCCTGAGGGAGGCGGGAGGGTTCTTCGATCGCGCTCATCATCAGGCCGATGATATAAGGAGGAACTCCTCAGACGAGGCGCCACTACTGGAGGATGTGGAGCACTCCGTTTCGCAGGCGAACAGCGGGAATGCTGGCGAGATGAGCTTCCAAACGATGAATATTGGGTTCGTTGCGGGTGTTATTCCCCGCGACAGGATCGCGACGTTCGAGAGGATCTTGTGGAGGACCTTGAGGGGTAATCTTTACATGAACCAGTCGGAGATTGATGAACCGATTACGGATCCGGCTACTGGAGAGAATGTCGACAAGAATGTGTTCGTTATCTTTGCGCATGGAAAGGAGATTCTGGCAAAGATCAGGAAGATTTCCGAGTCGCTCGGTGCGGATCTGTACTCGGTCGACGAGGACACCAACCTCAGGAGGGACCAGCTTCACGAAGTCAATAACCGCATCAACGACCTCCAGAGTGTCCTGCAGAACACCGAGAACACCCTTCATGGCGAGCTTAGAATGATTGCGCAGAGTTTGGCTAGCTGGATGGTCATCATCAAGAAGGAAAAGGCTGTTTACCAGACGCTCAATCTATTCAACTACGATGCTGCAAGGAAGTACCTAGTCGCCGAGGGATGGCTGCCGACAAACTCGCTGCCGTTGATCCAGGCCACCTTGCGGGACGTCACCGAGCAGGCTCGCCTACAGGTTCCCAGCATCATCAACGAGCTGAAGACGACCAAGACTCCCCCGACCTACATTAAGACCAACAAGTTTACGGAGGGATTTCAAACTATCGTCAACGCCTATGGTGTCGCCAAATACCGCGAGGTTAACCCTGGTCTGGCAACAATCATCACTTTCCCGTTCCTGTTCGCCGTCATGTTCGGAGATCTTGGGCACGGCTTCATCATGTTCTTGACTGCGTGTGTTATGATCTACTACGAGAAGAAACTCATCGGCAAGAAGATCTTTGAGATCTTCGACATGGCGTTCTTCGGTCGGTATATCATGTTGCTCATGGGTATCTTCGCCATGTACACCGGTCTGATCTACAACGATATCTTCTCGAAACCTCTCACTCTGTTTTCGAGCGCTTGGGAATGGCCTGAGCATTTTAACGCGGGAGACGCCCTCGAAGCTCACAAGATCCCTGGCTACGTCTACCCTTTCGGGCTTGACTGGGCATGGCACGCAGCCGACAACGCGCTTCTGTTCACCAACAGTTACAAGATGAAGCTGTCTGTCTGCCTCGGATGGGCTCATATGACCTATTCGCTGTGCCTCTCTCAGTACAACCATCGCTTCTACAAGTCTCGTATCGATACTCTCGGCAACTTCATTCCCGGCATGCTCTTCCTACAGTCGATCTTTGGCTACCTCGTCATGTGCATCCTCTACAAGTGGACCGTTGACTGGAATGAGATTGGAAAGCCCGCCCCGTCGTTGCTCAACATGCTCATTTACATGTTCCTCTCCCCCGGTACCATTGAGGACGAACTCTACCCCGGCCAGAAGCCCATCCAGCTATTCCTCACTCTTATCGCCGTGATTTGCATTCCCTGGATGCTGCTGTTGAAGCCTCTCTGGATGCGCTACGAACACAACAAGCATCACGCCGCCGGTTACCAGGGTCTCGGTGGTACCGTCACCCGCGTCAGCGCCCTCGACGACGACGACGACGAGCCCTCGGGAGCCCGTGACAGCGTTGAAACCGATGGCTCCGCGCACGCTCTCATCGCCGAGGAGATGGGTGAAGAGCACGAATTCGACTTTGCCGAGGAAATGATCCACCAGATCATCCACACCATCGAGTTCTGTCTCAACTGTGTCTCGCACACCGCGTCGTACCTGCGACTGTGGGCTTTGTCGCTCGCTCACGCGCAGTTGTCGTCGGTGCTGTGGTCGATGACGCTGGGACTGGCCTTTGGAGTTACCGGCACCCTCGGTGTTATCATGACTGTTTTCCTGTTTGGTCTGTGGTTCTGCTGTACCGTCGTTATTCTCGTTATCATTGAGGGTACCAGTGCCATGTTGCATTCGCTCCGTCTGCATTGGGTTGAGGCAATGGTAAGCTCCCTTTTATTCTTCTCTCCGTCTATATCTTGAACCCGAACTGACTGGTTATAACAGAGCAAATTCTTTATCGGAGACGGTCTGGCGTTTGAGCCTTTCAGCTTCAAATTGCTGCTGGAAGAGGAGGGCGAGAAGTAGTCTACCCCACGCCCTTGTATCAACAGGGTGGAGGTTGCGGCGGTGATGTATTGATATTGCCATAGTAGGTGGTGGGGAGGGGTATCAAAGGGGACGAATGGACCGTTGTAGTTTTGTGGTGTGGTGTGTGGTGAGTGGTTGGATTCGCGCTTTTGTTTTTTGTTTTGACCAGCTCTTCTTTTGATGCTGGTTGCGTTCTTCGAGTTATATTTGCTTTTGTTGTGAGATGGAGGGGATGATAAATATACCAAACTCTTACTGCAGCTTCGTGAATCGTTCCCTCCCATCAGGTTCAATTCGGCAGTTGGTCTTTTCGATGGTGAATTATGGGGTCAAAGAAAAGGTGGGTATTGACGCTGTATGATACCTACGTTCCAAAGACATCTCGAAGATGGAGCATATTTTCATCGCCAGTGACCAGTCTCCCTCCGACCTCATCCTTCCTTCATTGCCCATCACTCATGCCCAATCAACTCCAAGACAATCAACTCAGCCCCAATCACCTCAATTGTAGCCCATATACCAGTACTTACGTGCAGAACGCGCGTTGTGCGACGATCTCCCGCAGTATGTAGAGAGGATGCCCAGTAGCCAAGCCTAGATACTAGCATGTGGAGGCGGTAGGGAGTTTCACGGTGGCCAATTACGTGTTTTTCTTTTTTTTCCAAGCTTCAGCCTTCAGCCTTCAGCCTTCGGTCGAGTTCTGGAGCGGGCTCGCCAGACGCGGCGGCGGCGGGCATAAAGCACGGACATGCCTAGCTGCGACTGCCAGTACGGTACTGGTATTCGAGGATGAATCTGTGCCCTCTGTTGCACCCCTTCGGATGGAAACTCAACCGAGATACTGGATCTGCCTACCAGTACTTGGGTACTCTACACTATAGGTATACCTACTCTGCAAAGGCGTCCACCGAGCGTCACGACTCACGACTCACTCCCGATCATTCGCGCCAAGAATTCACTAAGCGAAGCTGACACCATAACGCGCCGGCGCTGCTCGACCACCTGCTGGCAAGCCTGGCCCAGCGGCCCACTGGCTGGCCCGGTAGAGTTATCGAGCTGACAACCTCTCATATGTATGCGAAAAGAAAAGAAGAGAAGAAAGCCTTTGACTTGACTGACCTGTTGATCTTTGATATCTTTGAGGCAGTACTCTACAAAGGTACTCTACATAGGGCCCGCCGCCCCACCCATATTTGGGATCAGCGTTCGTTTCAGCTGCGTTTTCCTTTTTTCTTCTCCGCGTCTTGGCAGCGGAAGGAGTTCCGCCCCGCGGTTAACTAACTAAGCAACGCAACTAGAGTAGGTACATAACAGGTGGGTGTTGGTAGGGCCGTGAACTTGGTGGAATGCCCACTGCCCAGTGGCGAAGCAAGCAAGGGGAAAGGAGAGGGAGGGAGAAAGGAAGACAGGGAAAGGGAAAGGGAAAGGGAAAGGGAAAGGGAAAGGGAAAGGGAAAGGGTGAAGCGCGAAGGGCGAAAAGACCGCCGGGTGGCCTGGGTCCTGTCAAGCTCCGGAAAAGTCTACTCTATCTAGATACAGTGTTTGTAGTGCACTACATGTGAAGACAAGCATTTCGCGCCAATCCTAGACGTAACGTGGCTTTGGAGAGAAAAGTATACACCTCTTGCTTACTTGGGTATGTAGGTCCTTGGGGAGAAAAAGCCGCCCGAAGATGATGCCCGGAGAATTGTGAGTATAAATAGTCAGCTACCGGTCCCGGTGAGTTCTGCAGCGGGAATTATTTGTAGAGAGGTAAGTAGCTTCCGGTGATCTATATCTCCATCGGTTTCGCCATTGAGTTTGAGGGGGCGTCCACATGTGGGTATAGCACCTAGCGGGCTTCATCTAGCCACAGGCGATGTGAGTAGGGCGTTCCTCCTGGTGGGTTTCGGAAAGGAGGGCGAAGATACATACGGTACTTGCCTGGTGGGAAAGCGAGATCTTCAGAGATCTTTGCTGGCCGAAACGTATGATATATCCCGGAGAGGACCGTGTAGTCTGCCGGTAAAGCGCTGTTAGAGTACCGATAGTGGATCTAACTCTAGAGCTCATGGAAGCGCGTTGCTCCCATACCCACCGTAGTCCTCACCGGTTCTCCACTTCTTCACCGGCTCCTAGTCTTCACGAGCATCGCAACCGGAGAAATGGCGAGAGGGTTCGGCTAGTTACCTGCACGAGTATCCGGCTGCTTAGCCAGATGGACGAGCGCGTAAGAAACCGAAACAGATCGCAATCGGTGTGCTCTACTAGGGATGGCAGATACTTGTGTCGCCGGGTGCTAACTGGAGAAGTACTCTAGGTATGCTACCTAGCTGTCACAAATTAAAGGATTGCTAGTGAGTGACCGACCTTACCTTGTTCACCCAACCTTCCCCCAGGTTTAAGCATTACAAAGTGTCCAAGCTGTCCCGCAAACTTGTATTTATACATGCCTCCACCACTTCCTTGCTCATCCATCCCACCAGCCCGATTCACGCTCACTTCTTCCCCAGCACCCACCGCTACATACCGCCTTCTTACTTGCTTGCTTACTTGCTTACCGACCTATTCACACACATAAACTCCACGACTGGTCGCTGGATATCCATTCTTGTCCATCGTGCTTCCACCTCTTCGTTCGTTTGATTCACTCTCACTCACTCACCTGTCACAAAACTTCATGTCGCCGTCCTCCGCGATGATGCGCAGAAGCCTCTTCAAGCTTTGCCTGATACTAGCTATCCCCGTCATATACCTCCTCCACCGAAACGAGGAGCTGCGGTTTCCAACATTCCATTCGGCGAACGGCGGGGGGAAGAGCGGTTCGGGACTATTCCTATCAGATGTCCGGGCTCCGCCTATAGATGGTAATCTGGTCGCCCAGAATGAGGGTATCAGCAAAGGTTAGTCGGTGTGAGCTTGGTAGTCGTGTGGTGGTGGGGTGATGATGGTGGGGCGGTTTGGCTGACCGTTGCGTTCGTACGTGGTGCACAGGTCCATGGATCATCGATCCGCCTTTACCGAACCGTATCCCCACGGGGCCGTTCACAATCCGATTCAAGTGTCTATGGCACGTCGCCGACCTCTGTCCGAAGCGCTACATTGTTATCCTCCGCGGCCCGACGATCTACGCGCCCTCGATCGAAACGTCGAAACTAGATCCAAACGACGGGTCGGTGGTCACGGTCGAGATCAATGTGCCCGAGTCAGGGCAGTATGAGCTCTATGCGTGGCCAGACTTTGAAACCTGTCCGAAGCAATGGAGAGAACACATGACGTATCCCATCAACCGGGGGCAAGTGATTGGAACTCCGGCGCATGTGCAGATCAGCGGCAGGCCGTTGGTCATCGATGGGTTCGAGCCTTGTGTTCTCGGTGGTCCGGAGACCGTAGGACGTTCGCAGGGAAGGTGGATCGCCAGGTCTGCGTTGCAGAGCCAGTACCGACAGTCGGATTGGGCCCGGAGCTTCCCCGAGAATCAGGAGTACATTTTCCAGCCGTACAGCTGCAAGCGGCCTCACCGCACCGCGGCGGATATCGATCGCAGTTCAAACATCACGAACATCCTCTTTCTCGGCGATTCCGTGTTGAGGGGTGCTTTCTGCTCCCAGGTATGGCCGCAGCTATCCAAGTCGGGCAAGGCGGACGGGAACTGCCAGTTCATCAACGACGCTATGCTCTATCACGTCGCGCCAAAGGACATGGTTCATGAAACGCCGAAAGGACAGAAGATCGGGCTGTCCTTCAGGTTTATGGACGACCACCCCAACGAGCGCGTTGCACAGCTCGCAAATAACGTGCCGAAGCCGTCCCACATCGTCACGAACCTCGGACTGTGGCTGGCTCCGTTCACGACTGAGCAGTACACCGCCATTGTCGAACAATTCCTGCAGCAACTGTACGACATGTTCCCGCAGGCCACGGTGGTCTGGCGGACGACCACCGACGTTGCGCCGATGATCCAGTGTTTCTCGGACAAGGGCATGACCCGCCGAGTGATCAGCGAGCAGCGCGAGGCATCGCTCAAGCTTGTCGAGCAGATGAGGGCCAAGGGCATGCGGATCTACGTGGTGGACGGGTACGCGATGACACAATCGCGACCGGACTCGGGCAACGATGGCCGCCACTGGGTGGTTGAGAGCCCCGAGGAGAACGGATGGCTGCCTCACTCGAGGCCCTCGATCAATGAGGCCGAGAGGGCGGTGCTGGACGGCGTCTGGGATATCATCATGCAGGACGAGGGATCAAAATCGAAGGTTGAGACTGCTGTGCCGCAATGGTGGTAATGGGTTCAAGATATTTCAGCACTTACTGACACTCGGAAACGAACTTTTTTTTATTAGTCCTGGGGAACCTTCTTCTAGAAGTAGGCTACGAACACATATACATTGTACATATTGGAAGAACGGAGGAGGGGGGGGTTCTTCCTGCACAGCATAGAAAGCGGCACATTTTCAGATTTCTCTTTTTTCTTTCTTCTTGGGTTTTGGGCAGGTCTTTCTGGAGTTTCCTTTTTTTTTGTATCTTTTCTTCTTCTCCTTTCTCCCCTCTGGCATGTATGTACCTAGAGTAGAGTACCTAGAGTAAAGTAGCTATGGATTTGCAGCGGTCATTTGAGAGTTCTACTGATCATCTCCATGTGCCACCGGAAGCGGAAGTTACCTACCACTGAGTTCTAACTGTTACATACGATGTCGATCACCTCCAATGTGACCCACGTAGTGGCGGTGGTGGTAGAGGTGAGGGTTGTGACTTGCCGAGCGTTACCGATCCGGCGTGTCGTTAGAGTATGTAAGCGTGCTCATGTAATACACGTGCATGGGTGGCTTGATGCTTCGCCGTGAAGAGTCCAGGTCCGCGGCACCGATTTCCCATCGGCGGACGGATGCAATGCAAAACTAGGGGGTCTCGACTTGCGAGGGGGCCGCTGGAGGAGATGTTTGGAAGGGTACTGTAGATTGTCCAATTGTAGTATGTATATAGAGGGGGGGAGGAGGGGGGAAGGGGGGAAGGGAGAGCGGAGGTAGCCGTGCCGGGCCGTCTATGTGCGAATGGGTGGTGTTTGGCTAGATTGAACAGCCGCAGGGGCTGAAGTCTGAAGTTGGTGGAAGGTGCGGTGAGGACTCAGGAGTGGAGATCCAGGTAGAGTAGGTATGGCGAGTACTCTACATAGAGTACGCATACCGTGCTTAGGGGGGATGCGCGATCTCCGGAGGAGGAGGAGGAGGAGTCTATCGGCATAGGAAGTTGGTAGTAGGTAGGTGGTACCTGGGTAGTTACGCAAGTACTACGTATATCTATGTATACATCGGTGCAACATGTATAGCAACTGTAGTTTCTACTCCGGTAGCTACTCGGATAGCCACTGTACACAGACTCCCGCCCGCCCGCCCGCTCACTCGAGTCTCGCATAGGTGAAGGGAGTTATGCACCTATGGGGCTGATTTGGGCTTGCTGCTTGGTGAGCTTCACGGTCTTGGCGGTGGAAATCACGCCGGTACATGCCGTACCTACTTTCATACCAGGTAGTGATGGTGGTTGTTTGTCGCGCAAGAAACGGTGAGCGCGGTCACTACGCCAGAATGCCGATTATGCCCCCCTCACCTCACCTCGTCTGCTATACATACATCACATCCCCGCCGCCATCGCCGCCATGCTGATGCAGATCGTTTCCGAGTGCTGACGTCTTGCAAAGTATGAGAGTTGCAGGTTGGATCCGCTGGGGTAAATATCCAAATATCTAAGTAGGCGACTGCCTGTGTAACATAGAAATCTCTTTTCCCAATCCGACGATGGGGGCGGAGACGCCGGGGAGGGGAGGTGCTGTCGGCAAAAGTCTTGTTCCATCGGCGTGGTTGCGTAGTTACCGGTGTAGGGTGCAGTAGCATAGGTAGGTGGGACTGGTACTCTACACTCAATCCGACCGGCGCCGGGGTGCGGATTCGCACTGTCGTTTGTATTTGTACGCAACGAGTAACCACGCAACCACGGAGCACGCAACCACGCAACCATGCAACCAGGGTGGCTCCGGTGGCTCCGGTGGCTTCGGGGGCTCCGGTGGACGGATGGACGGATGAAATGCCTACCTGCCTACTAAATAGGAGGTAAGTACCTACTTGGGGGTGTGTGTAGTAGACGTGCGGCGATAGTCATCGGTGCTCTACGGTGGGTGATAGGTGATACCGGTATTAACCGACTACTACAGTACCGGTACTATTTACTGGTAGTAGTAGGTAGCAGAGTGACTGCGGCTATGTTGTACGGCTGACAGTGAGGCTGCAACGTTGCGTTGCGCAGAAGGTGCCTCATGGTATCGCACTCAGCACCTGCTGCATCTCCGCTGCGGAAACGTTCCCCCAGCCACCCTCAGGTGTGCATAGGAAGCATGTGAGAGAGCCTAGAAAGGCCATAGACAATAAACTAATTCCTATTCTCTCTTCCAGCCCAGCCACCTCCTGCGTGTGTGTGGCATGGCCGAACAAAGAAACCCCGGTCACCCGTGACAACAACAGTTACTCGCCAGCGCTACAAGCATCACTACCGGGGGTCCCAACTAACCGCCCCCGCCGCCGTCACCGCCGTCGCCCCCGTCGCCCCCGTCGCCCCCGTCGCCGCCGCCCGCTACCGCCCGATACCATGCCCGCCTCCACGTAGTTTACCGCCGTGCCCACTGCCCGCTGACTAAAACTTCCAGTTTACCATTGAGCCTTGCAGCCACCACCGCGTCAAGTATGCATACAGTGGACCCAGCGCCCAGCACCCGGCGCCCAAAGCACAGTCGCCATAGCCGCTCGAGTAATTCCTAACTCGAAGTAGAACGACGTTACGGCAGATACCTTGGGTTCCACGCGATTGCGCGATTGCGCTTGCAGAGGTGAAGCCTGTGCGTGTGCCCTGTGCCTGTGCCGCTTCGATGCGCGGCGGGGATAATGGGTAATGCGTGGACGAGTGCACGGCCGACTCGCTTCGGCCTGATGGGCCACTACGCCCTCCGCCCAGTCACTCGGGTTGTGTGCGCATAGCGGCAGACCTCACGGTGCGCAGAAAATATGAGTCTTGAGTGACCGCAACCGCAAAATCTCGATGCAGCGTGCACCTGCCACAGTTCTGCGAACATATTACAAACATACACATTACGAACTTGTAGCGCTCTAAGTAGGTAACTGCACCCCCCAACTCCACGCATCTAAAGAGAAGAAAAGAAGAAAAGAAAAAGCAAAGTACCAGCCGGAACGCCATCCCCCGCCCCCACGCCCCCACCGATTTGTGCCCAATGGACTCAATCCGTTCCCACTGCGTTATCCACCTTCACAACACCACCCTTCACGATTCCATCGATCGCACTCCGCAGCTCCGCATCCTGGCCCTTAACGAACGCCCAGATCGCGTCGTCGCCGCGCAGTCGTGTGTCCTTGTGCTCTGTTCCAGGTATTATACACACTGTAGTGTTCACCGCGGGGACGGTTTGGAGGACTGCGTTTAGTTCCTGTCTTGTGTGTTAGCCGTGCGCGAGGGGGGAAGGGGCGGGGTTGGGAGGGGGGAAGTTACGTAGGTGTGCGAAACGAGCACGGTAGTATCGTCCTCGCCGTGGACGAGTAGTACATTCGTGCCCTTTGCCAGGCGCCGAGCCAGCGCGATCGGCGGGAACGGATCGAAGCGGGCGCCTTGCACCCACTTCAGGTGGGCGGGACTGCCGAGCCAGAGTTTCCATGAGGTGGGGATCGACACGTGGAGGTATTTCGCGAGATAGAGGAGCACCCAGAAGGGACTGTAGGGCGTTAGTTGGTACTCTAGGTGTGAGGAATGCGGAATGCGGGGGACGAACGTTAGTGCGCTGATACTTGTGTATGGCGAGACGAGCACCACCCGGTCCGCATCCAACTGCTGCTGGGCGGCCAACCACATAGTCGGACCACAACCTGTTTCCCATCAGCTCGGGACCATCGCCTTTCCCCTCCGCTCCCCCCTTCATGTCGAGCATACCAACCGAGTTCCCGAGTAAACACAACCTCTTCCCGGCGGCCCATTTGAGCTCCATAACGAACGTCACCAGCTGCAGCGCATCGGCGCACAGGCGCTCCTCCGTGGCGGGGCCCGCCGTGCCCCCATATCCGGGGTAGTTGTGTAGCACCACCGACACCCCGCGCTTCCCGGCAAGAGACTTCCACTGTTCGACGCCCGTTGTGTCGAGCGCCCGGAGGCGCCCGTGAGAGACGAAGACGACGGTGGGGGATTCAGGGGCGCTGAAGGGGGGAGGAGTCAGCAGACTATCGCAAGAGAGGGGTTGAGGGAAGCTACATCAAGACAACATATTCTATCTCGCCGACTGCGTCGGTGCGTCGGAGGCGCTGAATGTATGGCGATGCATCCCGGTTGGAGACGCCGGGAAAGGCAAAGTATGTCAGAAGTTCTTTGATCATCGTGGTGTTTTATGCGAGGGAGGTTGGCGTCAGTACCGACCGGAGTAGGGGTGTGAAGGTGGGAAGATATAAGATTGAGATGCAGGCGCAGACTGAGATGTGATGCGACACATTCAACCGTGCCTGACGAGCACGCGGACACGCATAGAATCGAGGGCTCAAGTAGAATGAGGGGTGTTCGCTCCTGCTTGCTCCGACTGCATGGTACTCTGGCGTACAACTCCCATCTACAACTCTAATGCGAGGGTATGGGCACGGGCAGTGTTGCCTGTATTACCCGCCAACCGCGCAACTTCCACTCTGATTCGCGCCGTGGCTATAGGATGATACCTACGGTATTCCCTCGAAACCGAAAACAAAAAACAAAAAACACATCTCTCTGTTTGCACCGCCGAGGCCATCACACGTGGTACGGCGCCCATCGACGATCACGCAAATTACTCGCGGTAGGGCCATTATTCGTCCTCAACTTTCAGGTTCTTTCTCTGTTCGTTTCCTTTGTTCTCGCCGGCCACGCGCACACGGATCGCGGAAATCACCGCCCTAGACACCGTGGCTAGCCGCCTGCTATCTCTCTAGCCGCGACTGGCTGTGCTCAGATATCTCATCACCCGCTAGATTGGAACCCTCTACTAGTATCTACTAACTAGTACTCTCCCTACTCTACACTGCCCGCTCGCCAGTCGTCGGATTCAGTTACTTCCTTCGTCCACGCCGCCTGGCCCCAGCAAACGATAAGCGAGGATGCCTTGGACTGGTGATCAATGATCATCAGAGTGCCCTGGCGCATAACTTCAATGGTGGTGGTGGTGGTGGGGTGGTGTTGGTGGGGTGGCTATGGATTCGGATAAGGACTTCTGTCTTGCTCAGGGTCATTGCCCATCCGTAACCCGGGATTCCTAAAGCGCAGAGCACCCTATGCGCGATGCCAGCGAGCAGAGCATCCTATGCGCAACGGCAATGAGCAGAGTCATGACTCGTGAGAGCACGGTGAGCCGGGCTTGTGCTCCTCAACGGATCCGGACCGCAAAATCTGTTGAACCGTCGACGGGGAAAAGCATAAAAAGCCGTCTTGCTCAACTTCCCGTAATTACATAGATAATATTCCCGCTCCACCGCCCCGAATCGAGTCACTTCCGTTTTGACGTCGATTAGAAACACACTTGCGGGAACACATCTGCGGGAACGATGTGAAACCGGACAGCCAAGCAGCCAGGTGATCTATGTATCATCCCGCGTGAGCCTCAGATTGATAGGAACAATAACCCACAAAACATCCATTGTCCTGCCCCGCCCTGCCCTGCCCCGCCCTGCCCTGCCATGCCCTGCCCCGCCCTGCCCCGCCCTGCCCTGCCCCGCCCTGCCCCGCCCTGCCCTGCCCCGCCCTGCCCCGCCCTGCCCCGCCCTGCCCCGCCCTGCCCCGTCATATACCCTCCTTCATAGTATACATGTTTCCGTACCCAAACGTCACTGCCTGAAACGACTATGAACTAATCTGAAACGCAAATGGTATACACAAACAAGAAAACAAACATGCTGCGCGCATACATCGTCGCAGAAACCGGATACCGGAACGGCCACTCCTCCAAACAAAATAAAAGCTCCAATCTATGACCCCCCCTTCGTATGACCCGCCCACGGCACCCTTTCCCTCTCCAGGTTGAGAATCGTACACACCAGATGGTACAGGAACAGCCCCACGAACAGGAACACTTGTAGTCCTATGACGACGCCGATGAACACCAGCGCCGCAATCGAGACCCAATAGGAAACATTCTCGAACGGGACGTTCTCTATTGCGGTGCTGAGGACGACCTGCATGGCCGAGAGTATGACAGAGAGATATACCACCAGCAGCAGGAGCCAGGCAAAGTTCTTGGAGAAGAACTGGTCGTACTGGGCGTACACCGAGTGGTAGTTTTCTCGTCGGAAGATGCGGTAGATGTGATTTAGGCGTCGGAGACGGAGCTCACCGTAGCGGTAGCGCTCGCTCACGTTGCCGTCCGCGATGCCGTTGCCTCTCTGGACGGACGCCGCGATTCGGCTCCAGTCCTCCCATCGCTCCAAGCTATCGGGAAATAGTCCCAGCTCACGCGCGATCCGGAAATCGCTCGGGTGCTGCACCAGCTTCGTGTAGGTGCTGAGGAGGCCGTTGGCGGCGCGGAACAGCTGCTCGTCTGCACACAGCACCTCGTCGTAGTAGTCCCAGTTGAGCAGCCACTCCGGCAGCGGCTTGACGTAGTACGTCGTATCGAACCACACCAGGTGCAGACCGATGTTCTCCGACGGAACGATGTCGCGCTTCATCATCCGCTGCGAATGCAAGGGCCGGATGTTGGCTGGTCGTCCCGCCCACCACAGGTGCAGGTGCACATCGTCGAGTCTACGCACCGAGAGCTCCTTCTCGGCGTGTCCCTCGACGGTCGTCGGCGGGACGATGGGCAGCCCCGGGATCGAATCATCGGTGAACGAGGCCGGTTTCGCAGCGGACGTCGGCGACGAGGTGTGCGGCTCCGGGAGCGAGAATCGCTTCTCGAAGGGTGGCTTTCGCCGTTGGTTGAGGGGTTTCCCCCGCTCTACGGCATCTGACGAGTTCCCACGCTGCATGCTGGAAACGGACAATGACATGAACGGCGGTGATAATAATGCAATGTCTGGCGGTCGGAGATGAGATGAGGGGAGCCGTTCGGATGAGTGGGAATATTCCGAAAATTGCAGCCGACACCTGGGCATTTCATCGCAACGGCTCGTTCGACTGCCCATGTACTCTTAGGTATAGGTAACCAACCGTCACGCCGACGGGCGCCGCGATCCCTACCTCACTACAGATGACCGCGAGAGAGGGGATCTACAGTACAGCGGGACGCAATGGCATGTTCGCTCAAAGCTGGTGTCGAAGCTATCGAGGCATCGGAAGCTCGGCTTCGCAGTCGCCACGTAGAACGCCGTGGATGGTGTGGCGGTCAAGTTAGCTGAACTGACCTGATCCGATTAGTTGGTAGGCCGTGCCGAAGAGAATCCGCCGCTGGGCAGTGAACTAGGAGATGGCATGCGGGATCGATGGGCCGGGAGTGGTGTATGTAGCTAGAGTCTATAGATGAAGAGAGTAAGTAGAGCCAGAGGACTGGTACCTATGGCTAGTACATAGTACATACATCATATGTGCTTCTGGATCTGCGCTCAGCGTTGTCGACCCAACCAAAAGCTGGCGAGCCATTCAGGATTCCCCTCCTAACCCATTAACCTGAATATCCACCGGTCCGAGTATCTAACTAAGTAGGTGGGTAATAGAGTATTAGTGCATGCTGTTGATCTTCAGTTACAAGTGGTGACATACACACCGCCATCTCAATGTTATCTGTCAGGTTTTAAAGACTTGGTGTTTCTCGCCATCGCATAGCCATCAACAGCTGCGCGCCACACTCCACACTCCACACGCCACACTCCACAAGTCACTCCGACATGTCCTATCACCAGCCATTGCACACGCCACCCCAGCCTCAACGACTGCCCCCTATCGCTTCCCTGCCGCCTATCATACTCTATGGCGCCAGTGGCGCAACCCCCTCTCTCGCGCCACAAAGCCTCCCACTGTCCCGACTCCCAGGAGTCCAACTTCCAAGCCTCCAAGTCTCCAAGACCCACATGCTCGGTGCCGATCCAGAATTAGATTTCCTCTGATTTCCTCCAGGCTCCGCGTCAGTCGTTCGTCTGTGCTGACACCGTTGCGACAAAAAATAATCCCCCTACACACCGTACCATGCCATGCCACGCCCACTGTTCGGCGTCTGCAGCTGAAGATCTAAAGACGCTGATCTTGAAATCTGATGTTTCCCCACTGCAATCATCCAAGTCACCAGAAGCCAGTTTGTCCGTCCACACACCTCCACACGTTTGCCTTTCTGTTTCCCCCCACAACGACCAACCGGCTTTGTACTTTACTTCGCGACCAGAGTAAAGTCGAAGCGTGGCCGCGTAGACAGAGCTCCTCCTATTAGCTGCTGTTTGTCTCAGCTGCCTAAATATACAATACCATCTGCGATACCTACGGCCCCCTCTCCCCTCCGCGCACCCCAAGTATGACGGTGCTGGAGGCTGAGACCCTTTCGGTTCCGACATCGACGACGCTGGACATCTCCCGCTCCACCTCTCCTGTCGCCAACCGTCAACCGTCGCGTTCGCCGCACCCCTACCGCCGTCGACAGGAGTCCAAAAGACCTGCGCTTCAACACCACTCCTACCCCCCGACTCCAGCGCTATTGTCGTCTCCCGAGTCCTCGAAGCCTGGAACCCCCCAGAAATCTAGCTATTCCGAGTCCGGCACGGAGGCCGACGATGAATTGACGCGAAGACTCCCGGCGCCCCCAGCGCTAAGGCGCATCTCCTCCGAGGATGAGGTTTGGAACCGTGACGGCAGCGGGTTAAGGGGGAGGGGACGACAACGCAATGGGGCTCCGTCGAAAGCGGAAAGGCCAAAGAAGAGAGCGGGTATCGCCTTCATCAGAAGGGCTATCGAGGTTGCGCTGTCGCTGGTGCTGGTTGTTGTCGCTCTGTTGGGACAGGAAAATAGAGCTTGGCGGGAGATGCTGCTCCGAAAGAAAGGTCGGCCGGCCCACCCCCGTTCCTTATGGTGTGCGTCGATTTGCTCGAAGTTCTAGGTGCTGATGGCTACGTAGAGGTCATATGTTGGTTGATTCCATATCTAGGCTTGGTCGCCGCGTATCCCTTCCGGGTGCTGCTACGTGACGGCACCGTGCAGCTTCCGCGCTCACTTGATCCTTCGCCGTTGCTATATCCATCGCTATTTCCTGTCCTCATCGCGCTGTCCCTCACACCGGTAGGAGCAGGCATTTCGAATCCGTTCCTGCTGGTTAACCTGGTCCTATCGATCTCCAACCTACCACCTATACTGGCGTCTTCATGGAACCTGCAGTGGCTTTTGTCGCTGTTACCACTACTGCCGTCCCAGTGGGATCAGGGCCAAATACCAATCAACGACACGCTCTCCCTCATCACACCCATTAATATAACTTTAACTTCTGCTCTGACGAGCATCCTACATCCATCCTTGACTTCGAGCGAGCTGCGTCTGCTCTCGTCGGCGCTGATCAACCTTCTCTTCCATGCGTCATCTCCGCAAGCTGTCATCCTTAGGGCTCTGGTATGGGGCGGTGGTGTGGCTGTTTTTCTTCTATGCGAAGACGTCATCTCATGGAATGTTATGCTCGCCCGTGTTCCCATCCACCGCTTTCGGCGTGCCGGATACGCCATCATTGGGGCCAGTCGGCTGCGCAGGTTGGCAGGACTGGAGAAAGGCATTTGGTCTACGTACACTCAAGCAAGCGACAGCGAGGCGGAGATCACCACGCCCATCAGGCGGCAGGCCAAGCCCAGAAAGGGATCATATTTTGCTACGCTCACCAAGGAACAAGCCAGGGTGCGCCGGCTGGGATATACTGCATGTGTATACAGCATTGTGCTGGGAAGTGTTTTCTTTGCGTTGAGGCCTTACATCAGGGATCATGCCCTTGACGGTATGGACCCATTTGTATGGGCTCCTGGCTACGTGTTCTGCGGTCAGAGCTGGTATCAGCGACTCGTGGACCGGTTCAGTCCCGGATCTGGATATTGCGTAACGGCTGGGTCCACGGCAGCGGCAAATTTGCGACTAGGCATCGTCGGCTTCTGGGCTGTCATCCTCACCATCGGACTCACCGTGGTGACGACATTTGCACACAAGCTGGAGGTTGATACCCGCCGCAAGATATTCCACGGCATGGTGGTGCCCATGTTTCTGATCCCTGGGCTGCTCGACCCACCGTTCACCCACCTCTGCCTCAGCATTGCCGTAGCCCTGTTCCTACTCGTTGACCTAATCCGTGCCGGCCAACTTCCCCCCGCTAGTCAATACATCGCCCGGTTCCTGCAACCATACGTTGACGGCCGCGACCTCAAGGGCCCCATGGTCATCTCGCATGTGTTCCTCCTCGTCGGCGCCGGCATGGGCTGGTGGCTGACCCTCGCCTCACGCTGCCAGAGCGGCTGGGACTGGGAAGAGCCCGCATCCCTCACGTTTTCCACCGGCGTTGCGTGCGTTGGCCTCGGCGACGCGGCGGCATCCCTCATCGGCCGCCGGTTCGGCCGCCACAAGTGGGGCTGGAAAGGCGGGAAGAGCGTGGAGGGCAGCCTGGCATTCACGGTAGCGGTGGTTTCCGGGCTGGTCGTGGCGAGACTGTGGATCGTCGGCACTGACATGGGGGACTGGGGGGTAATGGTCTGGGCGAAACTGCTGTTTGCGGGCGCGTGGGGGAGTATGCTCGAGGCTACGGCGACGGGCGTTAATGATAATGTGGTGGTGCCCGTCGGTGTGTGGGTCATTGTCCGTGGGTTAGGACTATGATACCTAGATGTACTTTGTAGTTATAGATAGACTTTTTTTCTACTTTTTTCCTTTCTTTCTTTTCTCCGGGGTATTATACATCTCCAACTCTAATATTTTCATCGGAATGGTATGGTTTTCTCTCTTTCTTTGATTACGGGGCGTTGGGAAATGTAAGGAGTTCATTCTAGACCTGGAAATAAGAGCTGCTTTTCGTTCGTTGGTCTACCTATTCCGTCTGTCTGCCTGTCTGCCGGGCAACTGAGGCGCCGCACCGAGGCCAGGCGAAGTGAATAACAGCTCCAAGAAACCATCAATGACACTCCCGCCTCGGCCCGACCAGACCAGCCAACCCGCCATGCCGAACAGGAACCATCCCCGTCGTGAGCCACACTCAACGTCCCGTTCCAACTCAAGCTATCACTCGACCACGACGACCTTTGAGCGCTCGAACGCTCATTCACGCTCAGAGTGCGTCTCCCCCCTCCCCCCACCCCACCCGTGTAAGTATTCCGCCCGTGTGCTCGCACCTTGGAAGTTGTGTTCGCAGCACTCGGGCCGCTACATACCCACCTAGTTAATTCCGCCTCCCACCGCGGAAAACGGCGTCTCGAGCGTCACCGAGCATCACCGAGGACTATGTAAACCGCAACTCCTCGAGCCCCCACAATAAATAAGAGCTGCTTTTTTCGTTCGCAGGTTCGTTCTTTGGCCTGTTCCGTCCGCCCGGCTGTCTGTCTATATATCTGTCGGGCAACATCGGCATCGCACCGAGACCTGGGTAGGTAGGCCAGACGAAGGGGATAACTCGGCCCGGCCGGCGGACCCGCCATCCCGAACTCCTAGGAGCCATCCCCGCCGCGGGGCGCTCAACGACCGCAACCGCTGCCGCAGCCGCATGTTCTTGCAACCCTACCTATCACTCGACCACGACAACCTATGACTCTATGAGCGCTCAACCGCTCATTCACGCTCAGAGTGCGTCTCCCTCACCCTCACTCGACCACGACAACCTATGAGCGCTCAACCGCTCATTCACGCTCACAGTGCGTCTCAGGGTCTCGGACTGATGCTTCGGCGGGCCGGCGTCGGTGCGGTATTTACCTATGATGGGTGCGGTTGATGTGTAGGGCCGAGTGCTGGGCAGAAACTCAGCTCGGCCGGGCAGGTGGGTCTGGTTCTGACCTTTGTAGTAGTTACCGCAGACTCGCGGTCGATACTCAATAGAAGTTCTCAGGCAATTTCACCCACAGCCAGCGAGCACGTCGATATCCAGTAGGTAAGCAAGTAGTTTATGTGCAATAAAACATAACTAGCAACCGTCTACCTATCTATCTATGATTTCCCTTCCTCCCAACGATCCCCACCTATTCCCATTCATATTACGAATAAACAAAGTACATACCCAAGCGTGGAGTACTGTAGATAACAATGATACCAAAATGCGCACTTCCCGATGCACCCCCCCCTATGACTACAAATGAGTAAAGATGGAAAAAACACAAAACGCCACCAGGAGCCCCCCATAAACACACAATACAGTCGAATCAGAAAAAAAAGTCGTAATTTTAGTTACAGACAAAAAAAAACTGACAAAAACACAAAAACAAACAAAAACCAAAAACAAAACAAAACCAAAAACACCACCCACATCTTCCCCCCCCTCCCCGGGGGTCTACTTCGAGCGAGTAGAACGGCGGGCGGCAGCCGTAGCTGCCTTACCCTTGCGAGCCTTTGCAGGCGTCGCAGTCGTCCTCTCCTCCTCCTCCCCTCCCGAGACCGCGGCCTCCTCGGCTTCCGTCACCGAGGAGGCCTTGAGCGCGCGCTTGGCCGGAGCCTTGCGCGGCCGCCCCTTGGCCATCGGGAGGGGCTTCTCCTCCTCCTCACCCCCCTCAACCGCGGCCTCCTCGGCTTCCGCCACCGAGGAGGCCTTGGTTGTACGCTTGGCCGGAGCCTTGCGCTTGGTGGGCGTCTTGGCCGGGGCGGCAACCGCAACACCAGCCGCGACGAACGGTGTCGTGGACCGAGACCGCAGATTGCGGGGCTCGGCCACGGGCTGCTCACCGTCCATCGCGGCAGCCTTGCGCTTGCCTGCCCTCTTGGCAGGCGCAGCCGCTGGAACACCAGCGGGGACAAACGGCGTCGTCGAGCGAGACCGCAGATTGCGGGGCTCGACGGCGGGCCCATCAGCCACTAGTGCCGCCTTGCGCTTGGCCACCCTCTTGGCAGGCGCAGCCACCGGAACCGCCGCTGGCACAAGCGGGGTCGTTGACCGAGGCCGCAGATTGCGGGCCTCGGTCGGTGGCTCGACCTTCGCCGGTGCCATCTTGCGAGGGCGGCCAACGCGGGCCTTCTTTGGCGGGGAAGGGGCCCCTTCCTCCACATGATCCCCCTCAACTGGGGGCACATTGCGCTTCGCCCCCCGCTTTTTCGCCACGGGGGGCCCAGTTATGGGAGTGATGGACCGATTCCGTAGAACGCGGCCCTCATAGACAGGGGCGCTAGCGACCCCTGTGGCCTCGGAAGGCTCCTCCTTCACCGAGATGTCAGTGTCCACCGCCTCGGCGGTGGACGTTTCCGGGGTGGCGAGCCCCTTGCTGACAATCTCGGAAGTGTCAACCTTGACGTTCTCCTCGGTGTCCACCTCGGTTGCCTCCTTGACAGGCTCGTTGGTTTCAACTTCATTGGAGCCATGCTCTTCGTTGATGCACTCCTCTTCCTTGGCCGTCTCCTCTTCGTTCACGGGCTCCTCTTTGTTAACGGGCTCCTCTTCGTGGACGCGCTCTTCTTCGTCGACGCGCTCGGTAATCTCGCAAGTCTCGGTCTCGACAGTAGTCACAGAGTCCACAGCATTGACGGTCTCTTCGATCACTCCATTGGCTTCCGGAGCAGTAGGATCTTCGTCGACGCGCTCGGTAATCTCGCAAGTCTCGTTCTCGACAGTAGTCACAGAGTCCACAGCATTGACGGTCTCTTCGATCACTCCATTGGCTTCCGGAGCAGTAGGATCTTCGTCGACGCGCTCGGTAATCTCGCAAGTCTCGGTCTCGACAGTAGCCACAGAGTCCACAGCATTGACGGTCTCTTCGATCACTCCATTGGCTTCCGGAGCAGTAGGATCTTCGTCGACGCGCTCGGTAATCTCGCAAGTCTCGGTCTCGACAGTAGTCACAGAGTCCACAGCATTGACGGTCTCTTCGATCACTCCATCGGCTTCCGGAGCAGTAGGATCTTCGTCGACGCGCTCGGTAATCTCGCAAGTCTCGGTCTCGACAGTAGTCACAGAGTCCACAGCATTGACGGTCTCTTCGATCACTCCATCGGCTTCCGGAGCAGTGGGACCCTGAGGTTCGCCGGGAGCAGCCTCCTTCGCCAGGCACATCTCCATTAACATCTGCTTGGAGGCTTCGTCGACCTCATCGTCCGCGATAGAAGCTTCTCCGAATGAGTCGGGCTCATATTCGTATTCTGAGCTGGAATTGGATTCCACGTATGTCGCTGCGTCTCCATACTCAGAAAGCTCCCTCATATCGTGCTCCCCTTCTTCTTCTTCCGCCTCCTCCAGCATTGGCATACTGGTCTGGGCCTTTGGCGCTCTCGACCGCTCCTGGTACCTGTACCCCGGAAGCGACATCATGGTTGAGCCCTCAAAGTCCACAAGCTCCTCATCATCTACCGGAGTCTGTTTCGGCTGTGGCACCTCCTCCGTCCCCGAAGAGGATACCCGCTCTGCCGCCGTTTCCTTTTCGAAATCTTCCTCCAATCTCTGTTGCTCCCTCTTCTGTTCGGCTTCAGACAAATTGGAGCCGATGTCGCCGAAGTCCTCGTAGTAACTTCCTGTGCGAACATCTTCGGAATTATACTCTTCATCGGTATTTTCATGGAAAGGCTGAGCGTCCACCGTAGTCTCCGTTTCCATCGTCTGCTGTGTACTCTTCTTATGACTGCGATCCTCATCCTCATCCAAAAGAAACTCCCGAGGAAGCATTTGTCTGGTATCCGCCTTGTGAGAATCTTCATCTTGATCCTCCGGGTTGGCACTACCGGTTGTGACATCGGGTCCAAATAGCGTATTATCCAGGGCAGTGATGAAACGACCGAGAGAGCTGTCCTTAACCAATCTCCTTGTCTGGTCTCCTTCCTCTACCTCGTCGAATCGAAGAGGTTCCTCGAGTTCTACCTCTATAGCGGTGACTGGTGCTTCCACAACAGTGGCAGATTCCTTCTCAAGGACCGCCTTACGCAACGGAGTAGACGATGCGACAGGTGGTTCCTCCAAATCCCCCTCATCCGAATCCGAAAGAAACTCACGAGGAAGCATTTGTCTGGTATCCGCCTTGTGAGACGCTTCATTTTGATCCTCCGGGTTGTCACCACCGAATGTGACGTGGGGTCCTAGCAGTCTATGATCCACGGAAGCGATGAAGCGACGGAGAGAGCTGTCCTTATTCATTCTCATCGACTCGTCTTCTACCGCCGCTTTGGGCTGTTCCTCAGTTAATTGCGTAGATGGCTGAGCGTCCATCGTAGTCTCCATTCGCATCGTCTGCTGTGGACTCTTCTCCTGATTGCGGCCCTCCTCATCCGAATCAGAGACAAACTCCCGTGGAAGCATTTGTCTTGTATCCGCCTCGTGAGCCTCTTCGTCATTCTCGTTTTCAAACTCTTCGTCATTCTCATCCTGGTTGGCACCAGTGACATTAGGTCCGAACAGCAAAATATCTAGGGCAGTGGAGTGACTTACAGTGTTGTCCTTATTCATTCTGGTGGACTCTTCTTCATTTGCCTCTTTGGGCTCTTCCTCAGTTGATTGTTCGGATGGCTGAGCGTCCATCGTAGTCTCCGTTTGCATCGTCTGCTGCGGACTCTTCTCCTGATTGTGGCCCTCCTCATCCGAATCAGAGACAAACTCCCGTGGAAGCATTTGTCTTGTATCCTCCTCGTGAGCCTCTTCGTCATTCTCGTTATGAAACTTTTCGTCGCTCTCCTCCTGGTTGGAACCACCGAATGTGACATTAGGCCCAAACAGCGATAGATCCAGGGCGGTGAAGTGACCGGCAGTGTTGTCATTATTCATTCTGGTGGACTCTTCTTCATTTGCCTCTTTGGGCTCTTCCTCAGTTAATTGTTCGGATGGCTGAGCGTCCATCGTAGTCTCCGTTTGCATCGTCTGCTGCGGACTCTTCTCCTGATTGTGGCCCTCCTCATCCGAATCAGAGACAAACTCCCGTGGAAGCATTTGTCTTGTATCCGCCTTGGCAGACTCTTCATCTTCCTCATTCTGGTTGGCACCACCGAGTGTACCATCAGGCCCGAACAGCGAAAGATCCAGGGCAGTGAAGTGGCCGACAGAGTTGTCCTGATCCAATCTCCTTGTCGCGTCTCCTTCCTCGGGTTCTACCTCTGTAGCGGTGACGGATGCTTCCACAACGGTGGCAGATTCCTTCTCAAGGACCGCCTTACGCAACGGCGTTGACGATGCGACAGGTGGTTCCTCCAGATCCTCCTCATCCGAATACGAAAGAAACTCCCGAGGAAGCATTTGTCTTGTATCCGCGTTGTGAGACTCTTCATTGGACGATTCGACTTCATCATAATGTGATTCTTCTTCATCCTCTTCTTGCGAAAAGTCTTCCGAAACGTCTTCCGTCATATTGAACGCGAGAGAACTATCCGATCCCATACTAGGCAAGTATACCTCCGCCTCCCGTAAAGTTTCGTTGTCTTCCGAGTCATCGCTGTAACCCGAAACATCATACACAGGCGAACCCGAAACATCACCGTACCCAGGCCAACCCGACGCATGATTGTAGGATTCTGGCTCAACGTCGAAAGATTCACTGCGAATAGAGTCTCTGGACACGTTCGATTCGTCATCGTCCGACTCCACTCTCGACGAGTCGAGTTCTGCATTGTCGGAGAGATCCACTCTGGAGGAGTCGAATTCTGCATTGTAGGAGAGCTCCACTCTAGAAGAGCCGGGTTCGTCAATGTGCGAGTCCTCCAGTCTGGACGAGTCGGATTCTTCCTCTTCCGAAAGCTCCACCGGACTCGAGTCGCGACGCGGAAACACACTCTCCTCCATGCTCAGAGTCGTATCATCATTTTGGTCCCAGTTTTCAGCAAACGAGACTTTCTTCTTGTTGGTGGGTGCCTTCTCGGCAGACTCTTCGTCATCGTCATCGTCCGAAGTCTCCATTGGACTCGAGTCGCGATGCGGCAAGATACCCTCTTCCATGCGCTGAGTCATATCATCGTCTTCGTCCGAGTTCGTAGAAAACGAGACTTTCTTCTTGATGGTGGGTGCTTTCTCAGCAAGCTCCTCGTCTTCGTCGTCTGAAGTCTCCACTGGACTCGAGTCGCGATGCGGCAAGATACCCTCCTCCATGCGCTGAGTCGTATCATCGTCTTCGTCCGAGTTCGTAGAAAACGAGACTTTCTTCTTGATGGTGGGTGCTTTTTCAGCAGGCTCGTCGTCAGCATCTTCCGAATCGCTAATAAGGTTGATGACTTCAGGTGATTTCGGGCCTCTGGACGAAGTCGATTGTTTGGCAGGGGTGGCGCTTGGGGCGTACGAAGCAGATGCCCAATTAAACGGCGGCGCTTCCTCCGGCTGCTCGTTCAAAGACCCCTCGTCCTCGGAGCCAGTGTCAAATTCGGATATATCGGATTCATCTGCCTCAGTCGACTCCTCCACGAAAGAGGACGGCGCTAAGCCCTGCGTGTAGCGATCCCGGTTGCGCGTCTCCTCCCCCGCTTCTTCTGCTTCCTTCAAACGCTTGGCACGATAGTAGTCCATGCGAGCCTCTTCTTCTCTCTCTGCCTTAATTTCTTCCAGCATGGTCCGGGCTTTCTCCACACTCTCGAGAGGATTTCCACGCGTCTGCTTAGCCTTAGCTATCTCGAGTTTCCTGGTGGCCTCGCGCTCTGCCATACGCTCGTTGATCTTGTGAAACGTTCGTGGTATCTTCTTGCCGGCTGTCACAATCTTGCTCCTCAACTTAGAAGCGAAGTCAGATTTAGGTAACAGAGGGGGCAATTGCCTGGCCGCGCTAGGTGTAGACGGCGCAACGCTAACGCCGGAGAAACTCTTGATATCTCTAAGCTGAGACGCGGTATTCGGAGGGTTCACGAGTCCAGTAGGAAACGATGCACTAGCCATCGGGGTAGGAGGCACTGGCTCTGACTGTGCTTGTGGCGGTAGGGGTGGTAGCCTCTGTCCAAACAAGTTCTTCCTCTCACTGGGCGGAACTATCTGCGTCGGCTCCCCGAAGTAATGAAACGACCTCGACGAGGTGTTCTGGCGAAGCGTGTTCTGGTGGGTCGAAAAGGGAAAAACCGGGCGACGTGCCGGAACCTCAGGCTCGGTTTGTGAATCCTTCGATTCCATACTCTTGTTCAGGCTGGGGGGCTGCGGGCGAACTCTGCCGGGCGTTTTCTCGACTTTGGTGATACGACGGGGCGGAGGACCGGGCCTTCTGTTCGGTGTTGCCATCTCGCTTGAATTGAATGCGGTGGTCTTGGGTACGTCACTGAAGAATTGGCTGATCGACCGTTTCTTTGAACTGCTTCCATTCAGATTCCTCTGGCTGTTCGTGTTCGTCGTGAAAGGGGTCGTTGGCGCGACGCCAGTAGACGCGATTCTTGAAGTAGGAGGTGTAGTAGGCGACGTCATGTTGTCGTTTGTGTTAGGTGTGTTCTCGTTCCCAACGGATGTGTTCGAGATGCCGGGCGTGAGCGTAGGCGTCTTCTTGCCGAAGGGTGTGAAGCGTGACGGCTCCATTGCGTGAAGGTTAACTGGACGCGATCAAGATCAAAGTCAGTCTTGCTGATGCCGATGGGTGGACAAGGATGGGGAAGATGATGCGGCTCCACGTTGGCGGAGCGGAACTCGCCGCCGACCAACCAGACACACAGCGCAAACAACAGCGTCTAAGAAGACGCCGCTGTAGCTCAGGTGTTCTGCGAACGCGACGAGCTCTAGGAATAGGAAGAAAAATGTTGGGATAAAGATAGCCAAGAAGCACTCACCCGTGAAGTAAGCTGTAAGTGTCTTCTAGATAGGTCGAAGGAAGTGGGGAAATTGTATTCGAGATGAAGTCAAGATTGCTTTCGAGGTCGATGTCGAAAATCGGGCGTGTTGGTTAGCAAGCTAAGTAACAGGAGCGATGGGGAAGAAAGAAAAGAAGGAGAGGAAGGGAAGCAAAAAAATTGAGGTCATTCAGGAATCGCGAGCTCCCGCACGCACTAGCGTCTTTTTTCACTGGCGTGCGCTTCGCCGCTACCGACCCTAGGGTTTGAGCGCGCCAAGCCATATACGGAAATACAATACACTAGTCGGTTGACCTCCCGAATGACGCACGTGTTGCTGCAGCAGCGGTGCAAAGATGAGATTGATACCAAATACTTATCTGGGTCCTCACTCGTGGAGATGGGCGATGTAGTCCGAGTGCATGCGTGTAACATATCCACAGCCATTGACCTGATTGCTGGATAGGATGCGGTGCTCTGCTAGTACAGTGATACCGTGAATTTCCTGCTTTAATCAAGCTCATGCCACTTTACGATTCGCTGGATGATTCTACCACTGAGGTCGCCAGCTGAGAGATGCGGTGAAGGATGGAAATGATTGATTACGGCTGTGTCACGATGGCCTGGATGCCCACGATGGCTATGGCTGTGGCTGTGGTTGTCAGGCGAAAGTTAATGAGACTACCATTCCGATTTACATCACAGAAAACAAAGGTGGGATCTCATTAAACACAGAAACAGAAAAGTACAGAATTTGTGAAGAAGCAAAGCGTATGATTCCCTCCCCTGTTTTGTGATAGCGGAACCTTTATGCACCATCCATCAAATCATCATCGTAATTGCGCACTTTTCTCACTTTTCACAACACCGCACAACGCAAATCAGAACCAGAACATCAATAAGGCCAAGCGATGCCCGCTTATTCCTCGTCCAGCCATCCCTCCAACAAGATCTGCTCGGTGAAATAGGTGAGGATAGTGTTGGCTCCAGCGCGCAACATTCCGTTCAGGGATTCCAACGCAGCAGTCTTGAGGTCGAAGACACCCTTCTCGGCAGCCGCGTGGATCATGGCGAACTCTCCCGAGACCTGGTAGCAAGAGATCGGAACGTCCTTGGCGATATCCTTCGCGTCGCTGAGAACATCCAGGAACCATCCGGCAGGCTTGACCATGATTCCGTCAGCGCCCTCACCGAGATCACGGCGGATCGCACGACGAGCGAGACCACGGCCGGTGGACGGGAGCTGATAACATTTCCTGTCGCCGAACGAAGGGGCCGATCCAGCAGCATCACGGAACGGGCCGTAAAGGCAGCCAGAGAACTTCGCCGCATAGGAAATGAGCATGACCTTGTGACCGACATCCGCCTCGAGGAGGCCCTTCTTGATAGCGAGGACGCGTCCGTCGTTCATGTCCGACGGAGCGACACAGTCGGCACCGGCACGGGCATAGTCGACGGCGGTGGCCGCAATACGCTTGCAGCTCTCCGCCTGGTTGAGTGTTCCGTCGGCGTTGAGCACTCCACAGTGGCCATGGCTGGTGTATTCGCAGAGACACACATCGCACATGACGAACATCTTGGGAAACGCCTTCTTGATGGCCTTGATGGCGAGAACCACGGGACCGTCGGCAGCGGAGGCCTGCGAGCCGGTTTCGTCCTTCGCGCCGTCCGCAAGCGGGACACCGAAGAGGATGACGGATCGAAGTCCGCGCTCGACAAGCGGGGTCAGGAACGGGATGAGCTTGTTGACACCGCGACGGCCCTGGCCGGGAAGCGAGGGAATGAGAGTCTCTTCATCGGGATTGTCGGTGATGAATATAGGGTAGACGAGAGCCGACTACAGAGTTAAGTTGGGAATTAGCTGCACTGCACTTGCATGCAATTGCAACTGCAGGCGGGAGATGCGATGTGGGGTAACACAAACCTTGGTGAGCTGACGCTCGGCCTGCCACTGGCGGGAGAGCGGATGGTGGTATCCACCCTGGAGAATCGACGAGATCTGGGTTTCGGACATTACGGAGGTCGTGCGATAGGGGTACTTAAAGGAGGATTTGGGGGTGTATGCGGGGGGAACGAAGGGAGCGGAAGTAGTTGTGGATACGAGAGTGGCGGAGAGCAGAGTGTCTAGGGGTGTCCGCCGGTGTCCGCCGATGTCTGCAGAGACCGAGTCAACGGACCGGGGTAATCGCACCGTTTAACCGCCACAAACGTGAGCATGGAACCCACGGTTCTGGATCCGAGGAACGTACGAGGTATGGGACCGAACAGTGGTATGATAGCTGGAAGGTATAAAACATGTTCCGCAGCCATTCTCCGCCTGCAAGAACCATATGATCCATATAACTAAGATTTATGTACTGTAGAATCAACTATAGTAGGTATGCAGAATCCGATCTCAAAGTTACAGCGGCAATGAACAAATAAACAAAGACCAAAACCAAAAACCAAACACCTCCCATCTAAAGCAGAAAACACCCATAGAGAAGGCCCCAGTACCCACTTACTTAGGCAGTGCGTACGGAATCTTCTCCGGAAACACTTCTACCATCTACGGACTTTCATTTTTAATCGGTATCCTCTCCGAGCTCTTCGCTCCGGACCCGCTCGTAAGCAGCTTCCCAGGCCTTGCCCTGCTTGAGCTCCTTGATTTTCCTGATCATCTCTTCGATTTCAACCTCATCGACAACTTCATTCTCGAAACCCTTCTCCTCGACGACGACCCCCCATTCGTGAGCGGCCCTGCCGAACATGATGTCGGATAGCCACTGTTTGATCTTGTTGGTGTAGGTACCTTCACCGCCGAGTTTACTGGGCGCAATATCCTTGCCCCGGAAGTGAATCTGCGTCACCGGCGCTACAAAGAATGCCGTGCCCGCAGCGAACGCCTCGATCAAACGACCCTCGTCGTGCGCCAACGCCAGATCCGCCATAGTGTACTTTTTTGTCACTACCACGAGCTCTTCCGACAGCCGCTCCTGGGCGAGCTCCAGCACCGAACGTCTCGTGATCCCGTCGAGGATGATCTTGTCATCCAGCGGCGCGGTGATGAGCTCCAGCTTCGTGGTCTCCCTGTTGCGGATGACGCAGAAGAAATTCGAGGCGCCAGCCTCGGTGACGGATGCGTCCGGTCCGAAAAGCCAGAGAATCTGGTTGAACCCCCGACTTTGCGCCTCCTTCTGCGCCATCAGCGAGGGGCCGTAGTTTGCGCCCACCTTGGCGTAGCCGAATCCTCCGGGCCACGCGCGGATGCTGTCTTCCGAGCTAGCTAGGAGCTTCATGGGACCGTCCAGCTTGGGGAAGAGCGCCATGACGATGTAGAGGAGCGCCTCGCGGGGCTTCTGCACTAAGAACGCAGATCCCGTTAGTTATAACTAATATATTTAGGGACCCATCAAGGAACAACTTACCACCAAGGGCGCGGCCGGTTCCGATCATAGTGGGTCGAATGTAGAGGAAGGTTCCGGGCTCCGGCAGCCACTTATCCGCGTCCACGGAAACCAGCGCCTTGATTAGTTCTTCGACAGCGTGGGGGGGGAAATCCGGGCACGCAATGCGGGTCGAAGAGAGCAAGAAGCGGGAAGCATTCCTGGCCGGACGGAACAGGCGGATCTTGCCGTCGTAACCGCGGTATGCCTTCAATCCCTCGAAGCACTCGGTGGCATAGTGCAGGCACGACGCGGTGGGCCAGAGATCCATACGAGTGTATGGACGCAGTTCTGGTGCGTGCCAGCCCACGGTATCGGTCCACCTGACGGTCACCCAGTGATCGGTGGTTGCGTCGGACTTCCCCCATTGTGTGGACTCCGGCCGGGAGTAAGGCTTGGGCGAGTTGGTGAAGGTAGTCTTCAGCTTGGAGGCGTCGAGCTCGGCCAGGACTGGGTCATCGGTGACGGGCCTTGCTGGAACGGCGGAGGCGGTGACATTGGACTTGCAGAGGACCTCGTTGACGGCGGTGGAGTTCAGATCCACAATTGTTGCTGGTGGAGGCGCCATTGAGGTATGAGGTATGCCCACGGGGAGGAATTGAGTTATGATGGTGAGTCAGAGGCAGAGGTGCAGAGGCAATGTTTATGAATCACTCGGCCATTGCGACGGGGCAGTGACTTTTATATAAAGAAAGTACATTCAGCTTCCTAGCTTTGAATTGAGACTTCCGACTTCCGACTTCCGAGCCGGTGGACCCTTCTAACCAGACCGGTACAATCCAGGCGACCTCGATAGTTATCAAGCTCCCCCAAGACAGTACCTACCACTCCCGCGCCTCCCCACTTCCCAATCCGTACTCCATATAGCGCTGAAGAGTCGTATATGAGGGTCGGCGATGGAATGTTTCAGCCGATATCTGAACCCGTATGTACTGCAAGGCCGATGTTGACGTTGTTATCAATCCGAGCACGTACGTACTTCCTCTACCAAGGGAACGGAAACAAAGATCTGACAGTACGCCACCTCGTCGTCTTCCGCCGAGTGTAAGCGTCGGTACCCGCCATGCAGGGGGGCCAAATGACGATAACAGACAAGGAAGGAAGGATCACTCTCCGTCGTTTTCTTTTCCCTCCGCTCGATCGTGGCAAGGCCCGCGCGCGCCCAGGGGCTTTCCTTCCATGAGCGAGTCGCCTGACATTCCGGCCCCGTCTAGAGCTCCTTTGAACTTTCAGCTCGTCAAATGGAGATGTTCAGGCAGTCGCCGTTCGGTTATCCGGTACCGTTGGGGGCAGCCGCTAACTACCAGCCATCCGCAAGCGTTGGCAGCAAAAGAGAGGCGAGACGAGACATGCCAGTTATGTATCGCCTGCAGGTAGCTATCGGTATCTACCCAAATGCAACTCTCAGCTCTCGCGTGAATTCAAAGTCCTGCAAACGTGGAGGCGAGGGACAGCGGTCTCGTGCGGTCCGCCATCTTGGCGCACTACTCTTCTATGAAGAGTAGAGTTGTTACTCGGAAGGCCGAAAGTCTTTGGACCCACGTGACTAGACATAGATAATAAGATTAGAGATTCTATGACTCTATATATGGGCTGAAATATGATTTTGTCGTGGGTATAATTGTACACATCGAGATCACTCATCAAATCATATGGGCTCGATGACTTTTTAGCCTTCTGAGTACCTAATGTACCTAAGATGTAGGTAAGTGGTTGTTCGTGAGAAGTCACGGGGCAACTGACGGTTTGCATTGAAGCTACACTGCCGCATAATTGGTGCCATGGTTCATAGCTTTGGAACGTCGACGTTGGCGTCCTGGATGCATAGGATGTGTGTAAGTAAGTGCTGAGAGGCCCCCGACGGGTACGAGAAAAGAAGAACGTGATTCAATTGAAAAAGCAAAGAACAAGAAAAACAGGCCTAGGCATGAACATTTGTACACAGAGACCTCTATAGCTAAACCGACAACGATATAGGAACTCCTCACGGAGTTCTGAGTTGTTGTGGAGCAATACCAAACGGGGCAAAAGCTAATGGTTGCCAAGTGGAAGCCCCATACAAAATGTAATGTCACTTTTCAGCCCCAATCCGTGATGAAAGTCGTCAAAGTTTTTATTGATGAAGAAGCTTGTGATTCTGACGCTTCTGTGAAGGAGTCGATTTTTTTCGACCAGATGGAGGATATGTTTGGGTTGCCTGAAAATGGGCATTTTTGATGTAAAACGGGCTTTGTCCAATCCTTTTTGTCATGGTACTTCATCCGTTTTTGTTTGCAGATACCGGTACATACTACATACCACGCCGAACCTAGATATCTGTGGTGTTGATAATGTCTGATGTGTTGAACAAGAGACCGACCAACAAGCCGAATACCTAGAAAAGCAGCAACAGAAAACATTTGAACATTCAACGACCGCATCGGGTCTACCCGCCATAACACACAGGTCGCTTCATGCCGCGCTCCCCGCTCCCCGCAACACAGAGGCGCTTCGACCCCCGCGCTCCCTTAGCACCTAGGTGCCTCGCAACGATTTGCCGCGATTTACCTGCATGTATGTAACTATTTCGATGACCAAACTCGAGCGGAAACTTCGTGGGCTGAGACGGCAGCGCACCTACCTGCTTGCATATATGTATCATATGTGGGTGTAGAGTGTTGTGATTACCACTCTGAGGAGATCAAGGAAGATGTTCGCTTGCAGTTTGTTTGTTCGTTTGGTGATGGCAGGGGCCGGTTGCGGAACGCGAGCCCAATGGAAGCGAATCGTAGCGAATCATAGCAAATGTCCTATGTGTATGTAGGGATGAACTCCGCGATGGCGAATATGCCCTTTCTCTGCAGCTGTAGATTCTTTACATCTCGAGCACCGCCTGTCACTGCTAGTACTGGTATTCTCCGATCGTTGGTGGCGGCGATCATGGCCCCATTGTCCGCTGCTTTTACGCTTTCGATCACTCGCATATCTGTAGGATTGAGCTACGAGCTCAACTTGAATTATCTATCCGTATGTTCATACAGGAAAACCCCCTTCCTTTGAGCTTCATGTCGTCTAGCAGCTCACATCAACTTGTTCGAGATTTCATGATCGCTAAGTTTTCGCTCGCTCCACATGCGAGAAGCTTTGCAGTCCGTATCTAAGTTCGTACAGACCAGATCAATAACCTTTGGTGAGGACGCGATTCGCATTTTTTTTCGCAACTTATGTCGAGCTTATCCCACTACCTGCCTCGAACTCATCGCCAGAACACTCACGGGCACCGGTCGATCATACGGGGACCCGCACGAACGCCCGCACGAACGCCCGCACATCACGATGAACAACATTTCGATGGCGCAGACCGATATCCTGCCCACACCGCGGTCGGAGGTGGAAATCTCTGGGGAGATCGAACGTATGCCATACCATTCTCTGCTGATGGGGGTTCTGGGGGTTCGTGAGCGTAGCTGACAGACGTAGGGGCGTGTCTTTTCCTGTTTCCGGAGAATGCTGGAGTGATTATCACGAGCAACAACTTCTGGACGTTGCACGGCATCGAGCAGACGGCGTACGTTCTCGAGAAGCCGCTGCAGACAACAGCTCCAGCCCCACCTACTCCACGGCACTCACCATCGGGACCATCGCTGCGGTACACGTTGCTGCCCGCCATGGAACAGCGCACCCTGCCGTCCACCCTACCGCCGACCCTACCGCCTACTCCTCCACCGCTCACGCTCCTCACCCCGCCGTACCATTATCCCCCTTCGTTGTCTCAACTCCAGTTGAATCCTAACAAGATCTCCTTCCCAAAGCCACAGCCCATGGAGCCGGTTGCAACCACAACCCCGCCGCCGAATTCTTTCTCCATGTTCAGCAACTTAAAGCCAGAACCCATCGAGCCATATTTGGCCCAGGCGAATTCCCCCCCCAGGTTCAGCAACCCCAAGCCGCAGCCCATCGAGCCAGCCACAACCGTATCCCCTCCGCCATACACCCCGACCGCTCGCTGGTCACCATGCGCGCCTGCCGATCCGCCGAAGAACCTGCGCTCGCGGGAGATCCCGGAGTGGCACAAGCCCCCCAATTCCGACGAAGCCTACAAAGTTCTGCTGCGCCACACGGTGCCGCTCAGCCCATCGCACGAGTTCACCAGCAGCCTCCCCAGTCTCGAGGGACTCCTGCGCAAGACCAAGGAGCGGATGCACGAGCACATCTCGAGCTTCCACGACTACGCCGAAGGCCAGTGTCCCCAGCAGAGCCCGTGCTCGTGCCCCAAGGGCTGCCACGGAGAGGTGCCCGATTTCACCGAGGCCGAACGTTACAGCCTCCGTAAGGCGCTCCAGCTCAGTCCGAAGATCACGCCGACTCATATGTCGTGGGTCGAGGAGGATGGCAGGGCTGAGATCGAGAGGTTGAAGAGTATTTGGGAGCAGCAGCAGCAGGCGGCTCAGAGAGTGGGTGTTAAGCAGTGGTTGGGCGTTGTCTTGGGTTGACGCGCATAAAGGAGGCTGTCAAGTGGTTGGGCGCTGTCTTGAGTTGACACACATCATCATCGGGGAGGTTATCGAGTGGTTGTATCTGCCTCTTTGTTTTTGTTTTTTTTTGTTTCATACTTCCTACAGATATAACTAGGGTCTTGTATGTAGGGATTCAGACTGCTTGGACCACGATTCCTCGGACCATCTCCATCGAGGAGGTTTGCAAGTACGCAGTTGCACCTATGTATGTGCTTCTTTGTTTTGTTTTTGTTTCGTACATACTCTACTCTACTCTTTTGTTTTTTGTTTCCTACTTCATACAGATCTATAGGGTCTTGTTAGGGATTCGAGACGCTTGAACCACGATTCCTCGGTCCATCTCCATCAAGGAGGTTTTTAAGTAAGTAGTTGTACCTACTTTGTGCTTCTTTGTTTTTGTTTTTGTTTCGTACATTGTAGGTACAGATACCTATAGTTAGGGTCCTGTGTGGATTCAGACAGCTTGATCCACAATATCTCGGTCCCATCTTGTCGAACCATGCCGTGAAAGCTCCTCGCGACAAAGACGTAAATTCCACCGTGAAAGTATGGTGCCTGCGGTCTAGAACAGCACAGTGGTTTTTTTTTAGCTCTGCACCTGGAAAGTTTACATGGCAACAGTCGACCTCACCAAAAAGAACAAAAAAAGATCGCCTGACCACTCTCGAACATGCCGCATCACCACCTGGCGATGACTGGTGTACACCCGTCCATTTCCACTATATTTAACTTTAGAGTGGAAATCAGTTGCCACTCGTGAGAGTTTAGTGTACTCGGGCATGATCTCTATACAAAACCTGGTTTTTCTTCTTATAAAAGAACTTCACACCAACATCGGACCATGAATCTAAATTCATAGACAGGGGGGCACATAACTCGTGCCTTTCCGACTCCAGGGAGTTCATATCTGCTTCGGGCTGCTAGCTGGCTTGAAATAAGAACCCCAAAAAGATTGCCCTTTTGAGCGGAGGCACCATACCGACTTAAGTAAGCTGGATCTGGCGCCTCGGGCCATATGTGATGAAGCAGCGTTTCCAACGACCGACATTCTTCATTGACCAGCCTGAGATACACACCATTGAGCTACGCCAGCTTTGAGGCTACGTGTTTTAGTATACTCCCACTCGAAATATATAGGTACCTACCTACCTGGTACCCACATACCTGCATCACACATCGTCTCGACAGCTTTAGTAAGGAGAGATATCTACTTGGGTGTTTAGGGTGCGGATCAGATCGGTATGTCTTTTGTGTGTGTGTGAAGAAGAAACTCTGTGGAGAGTCGATCTACATCCATCCCGCAGCACTCTGTCTACGCACGGTTTACACGCTCGTATACTTACTCCAGCCACTCCAGCCGCGGTGCTGAATCATCAGGGCAGCAATGAATTCCGGCAGTAAGTGCATACTACTCGAAGTCGGAAGTCCAACGATCTGATACGCACGGGGGGAAGATGCCGTCACCTCTGTCCGACTCATCTCTTTTCCCACTCTTTTCCCACCGATCCGATCCGAAAAAAAATAACATTCTCCGCCAGGTCCCTAGTCCCTAGCCCACGTGAGTTTATCCAGGAAAGGGAGAGAAGCCAATCGTGCCGACCCTACGGCGTTCGTGCGTTCGTTCGTTCCTCTCTCGGCGATGATTGTGGTGATGATCCGCTGGTGTGCTTGCGTGCGTGTGTGCGGCAGCCGCTCTGGATATGTACATATCATACAGAGAACGCGATGCAATGATTGGCGGTGGCTGGCGAGGTGAGAAGGGTGGAGCGAGAAGGAAGGTGCCATTCACTTATATGGCTGCTGGCACCGTTCCGCGTTTTTGTGTGTGCCTGTGGATGGGTGTTTCCGGCACCCACCCCGAAAGAAAGCAGGGGGAAATACACGCAGTCATCGTTCATCATTCATGCACCGCCCGGAGTGGAGTGCTTGACGCAAGTACTGGTGACTGGTGACTGGTAGGTAGGTCCCCTTCCCCCTGGCCCAAGAAGCTCCGCTGTCAATCCATCCGCTTCGATTCTGACGTTACCCCCTTCCCCCTCCCCCTCCCCAAGGCCGAAGTCCGAAGTCTGCGGATGAGGACCCTGGTAGTGCTTCTCCGTAGCCCAGTGTTGGATCCCATCGTTCACGCGAATATGAAGTAGTGCCCGTTTCGCGAGAAGCTGAAGGTATTTCGAATGCTGCACCGGCACGAAGTGAGGGAGGTGGCCCGGTTCGCAGAGGCAGGCCATTGCGCGGCTGTGGAAACGGTGAAGCACGATTCGAGTGAACGGCTGGGCCGGCGCACATATCGTAGGCTTAGATAGGATGGGATGGTAGTTAGGGCGGAGCTCGAGAGGGTGAAGAGGAGGGGCAGGGCGGGTATAAGTCACGCCCTGGGGCCAACCGAGGTCGGTGGTGGTAGTAGTGGTAGTAGTGGTGGTTGGAGGTTATGATGGGTGATGGGTGATGTGTGATGTGCATGTCGAGGGGGTTATCAACCGCTATTGTTATCTTTGTGCGCCGCCATTTTTATTTTTACGGGTATTTATGTACGAGGATAATGCTTGCTTGCATGTAACGGTGGAATCGTGATTGCGCCATATATCCACGGAAGATATCTACGGAAGATATCTACGGAAGATATTCACGGAAGATATGGGAGTCGTATGCAGATATCATTATCAATGTGGAAGACAGGCAGTGAGTGAGTGCTATCCGATGAAACCCCTTCCCAGATCGGAAGATCACGGGTGAGACCCCATGACGCGCCACGCGCCACTCGTCCTTCTCCGCCCGCCCATCTGGGTAGGAATTAGGCACCCCGTCCGCATCCAACTACCCCAGGAATAGGTATCCGGAACGATACACAGCATCGACGTCTGTCAATCTTATCGCTGGGCCGGCCCGCGCGGGCGGTTGGGTAGAGTACATAGAGTGGGGACATCTGAGTGACAGCAAATGATCCCCTCCCGGTGGATGCTGGATCCCCTTATCACCCACCCAAAGGCCAAAATCATATTCCCGATAGATACTCCCGCCCCATGGCATATCCTGCACTGCAGGTACCCAGGCACCCAGGTACAGTATTGTACAGTACACAGAGACCCAGCCCCTTCCCGTCCCGTCCAGCCCCCAGTCCAGTAGGTTCTAGATCTACCGGGTCGTGCTCCAGCCATCTACTCTACATACATATCATACATATCATACACACAACTGCCAACCTACCTATCAGCGGGGCGGGAGTGCGGGTGCGGGTGATGCTTTGTGCAGGAGTCCAGCCCAGATCGGCCCTTCCTACCCCCCCACTCCGGCCGAAAAGAAAGAAAAAGTAGGTATGGTAGGCACGCATACAGACACACCACACACGCATGCTCACACACACAGGCACACGCATGCTCACACACACAGGCACACGCACACACATGCTCACACACACATCGTGGCCAGCTCGATCCGGACTCGTTCGTGCCTGCATATCTTCCTACCTAGGTGCGTCCCACTCGGTCTGGGTGGTGGTGGTGGTGGTGGTGGTGGTGGTGGTGGTGTTGCATCCCTTTTGCAGGGCAGGGGGTGCGGTGTGGGAAGCAAAGCAAGCGCAGAGAGAGAGAGAGGGTCCGAGCGGCGGCGGCTCGCCACTGGTTGGAAGGCGTGTCTGCTGGCCGAGTCGGACGAATCGCATGGTGGTGGTGGGGGATACATAGGCTAGATAACCGCATGCCGAGTAGGAAGTACGTATGCGGAACGGTATGTATGTATGTACGGGTACGGACCGGCGCGAAGCGGGTGGGCGGGTGGAGCGGGCCCGCGGCGTGGCGTGGCGGCCACCTGCATTCCACCTACCACACCCGCGATGGTTACGCAGCGGAGAACTCTGGTCTGTATGTAACTATCCACAGCCCCAGACACGCACGCTGCCTACTTGCCGAATATGCATGCCTGCCTTGCCATCTCACGCATACACCCGTCCATCTAGTTATGTACCACCCATCGCACCAGAAGAACCCGCTGTCACCACGTGCTTGCTGTGAGCCTGCCGGAAACCCGGTGACTATACATAGTGGATGTACCTTAGCTTGCACGGCTGCTCACGAGACCTGGAAGGTACGTACCTATGGTCCTGCTCTACCTACGACAGTAGAACACGCGATTCTATACCCGAAGGGTGCAAAAGGAAATAAAGTACAACGCAGTGCAGCAACGTGGACACCCACAGCAGAATGTCCGTAGAGTACGGTAGTGGAAGCCTGTCGGTGCATTGGTGTGGTGGTGGTGATGATGGTGTTGGTGTCGGTGATGTCGGTGGTGTCGGCGGCGGCGGCGGCGGTGGTGGTGGTGGTGGTGGTGGTGGTGGGTAAGCTATGCAGCTCGATTCGAAATCCTCTGTGCCACAGACGGCGTGCCAGGCCCATTCGTAGAGTGCGGCAGTGGGGCCAGCCAAGCACCCGCTCTCACTCTTGCCATTCCCTTCCCTCATCCCCGGACTGCCGATTGGGCCAATGCGTCGCTTTGCGAAGCGAGAGCGGACAATCCCGCCGCTGCGTGCTCAATGGGGACGGGACCGACGACCGCCGACGAAACTCAATCAGCAAAACCCCCGTTCGGGCACCACCATGCGCGGTAGTCTGGATGCGATCCTCCCGCGTCTGTCGTATATATGTACTCTCCATACATACGTCCTACATATGTACCGCCGCCGCCTTGCCGCCGCTAAGTAACTACAGCAACCTCCGCTCCCCTTCCCTGCGCCCGCGCCGCGCCGCGCCGTCTTTCCCACCCCACCCCACCCCACCCCACCCGATCCAGTATCCCGTCTCGCTGACCTACGGGATCAGTACCAGTACTTAGTCCGTCCACCCCCTCCCCCCCATCCCGGCCCAGACTACCAGTAGAGTACCTAAAGCTCACGATGCCAACATCATCATCAGCAGCATCATCGAGGTCGGTCGGTCGGCGGTCGAAAGCTTCGCCCGCATGCGCCTCACCTCACCACCCAGGTGGCAGTGGCCCAAAATCTCCCGATGCCCTGCATCCCCCTACCTACCCTCCCCCTCCCCCCTCGCTCGCCCCCCCTGCCAGCAGAGCATACCGTAGTTACCTACCGGCCATCTATCGATCGGAGTCCAAAAAAGCAACTGCAACGTTTGGGTTGATGGAATCGAAGTTGTAGCCCAGCATCTCCTTCCTTCCCTGTTGCAAGCCGGCGTCCCACCTCGCATCTCGCACCCCCCCCTCCCCGTCCCCGATTTCTTGTGGCCTTTTGTGGTTTTGTGGGGAAGAGCCGGACCGGCTGGCTATATGCATGCGATCGATCTCTTCCTGCCTTACCTGCCTGCCTACCTGCCTGCCGGCCTGACCCCATGGGCCCGTCACCGAGGCGTAGTGACGTTACTCTACCTACGCACCTACAATGTTACGTGGGAAAACCTCCATCAAACAGCCCGAAAAAGCATTCTTCAGCCAGCCACTGTGCTCACTACTCGCTGGCTGGCTGGCTGGATAGATCATGCCTACACACCTACACACCTACATAGATGTAAGTATCAACCTACCTACCGGGGATTTGTGGCCCGTGGATGCAGCGCAGTGCAGTACATACAGTCCGAGTCTCACCGCTACGCCACGCCACACCCATCCACCATCCACTACCCATCCATGGACCATCATCACCACTCCACTCCCCCCGGGACCAGCGATCATCTACCGTGAAGATGTAGAGTAACGATGTAACGTCGGACGGGGTTTTGTGTTTTGTGTATGTGTATTGTGTATGTTTTTCTTTTTACTTCTTCGGTTTCGGTGCGGTGCGTGCCCTCTGCTTCTGCTTCTGCTTCTGCAGTCGATCATCGAATCCCCCGCCCCGCCCCCCCGGGTGTGTTGGTACGACGTCATTCATGGTGGATGGCTCGGGGGAGGGGGGCATAGGTATTGGTTGGTACTTAACTGGGAACAGAGTTGGGCTTCGGAAAAGAAAATAGAGATCAGGTCAGGTCCGTCACCGAACAGTGTTGGGCCGATTCTTCTTTTCTTGGATCCTGCGATCCTACGCTCTCCTACGCCGATATGTAGGATGTAGCTATCGATGTTATGTTAGCACGATGAATCAAATCACGCCCGTTTCTTCATATTCCTTTGGATCGAGCGAGCTATGATGTAGAGTACTCTATGTAAGGTTTGGGCTGAATCTTCGCGATTTAATGTCCGGATATTGCTTCGCTTTGCTTTTGGTGGGCGATGTTGTGTTGCAAACGGGGTGAGCAGCGTTCCTTTCTGGGTAGCAACACGATGCCATCGGAGATAAGACATACACATGGGAGAGAGATCAATCATCAGATCAATCATTAATGGCAATTGCAATCGCAGCGCAAACGATGGCTTTCTTCCTTTTTTTTTTGCAGCGGCCAAATCCTCGGGCAGTATTCCTGATGATGGATCATGGGCCCACCCACTGTGCTGTGCTGTTCAATCCATCGGAATCGCAGTTTTGACTGGTTGCTCCGTCGGATCCTCTCTACCGAAGGAGAATACTTTCCTTTTCGGAAGAGCAGAGAAGAGAGAAGAGGAAAAACAGATCGAAAGACGACGCCCCCAAATGTGACGGTGCAAATTAATAACAAAAAAATCACCGCCCCTCCCCACCCCCGACCCCGAACCATAAACTTTTTGTTACTCGCTCGTGCGCGCATGCTTCACACACACGCTGCCGGCGGGTAGGTATCGTATCTAGACATGTTCCCAGCGCCCCTCTCTCTTCCGCATCTAAGCACCGCCACTCCTTCCGTCCACCTCCTTCAGATCACTCACGCCCAGGATCCTTCCGACCCTCACAGTCTTCAACTTCTCCTTCTCCTTAGCAGTCGGGACATCACCATCAACCTCGGCATGTCCATGTCCATGACCGTGATGATGATGATGACCACCCGCCTTCCCATCGTCATGATCATGATCGCAGCAAGCGCCATCGCCATGACCATGCTCGGCGCCCTCGTCGTCATCGTCGGACTCCTCTTGCTCCTCGAGAAACGTGAGGTCCTTCTTCATCGAGTACGCGTCCTCGCCGTCCGCGTAATACTTCGCCTCCACCTTCTCCACCAGGAACTGCAAAGTGTCCCGGTACAGGTGCAGCGCCGCCATGTTGCTCACTCGCACGTGCAGCGAGACGTACTTCGCCCCGAACGCTTCTACCATCGCTTTCTCTGTAGTTCAATTCGTCGGGATTAGCTATCTGCCCCCTATCTATCACAATCGCCACTGCACGGCTAGGGAGGGGAGGGGGGATCATACGCGACTGTCGCATCAACTTCTCCGCGAGCCCTAGGCGTCGATGCGTGCGCATAACACTAAGACTCGTGATATGACCGTGCTGAACACCATCGGCAGGCTCCTCCTCCATCTTTGCGAGGACATAGCCGACGATCTTTGGCGGCTCGTTGGGGTACTTGGGCGGGTGGCTCAGGTCGACAGCGACGTACGAGAGCTGCGGCCATGAGAGCGCGTGGTACAGGTAGTACTTCAGGAAGTAGTTCTCTGGCAGGTTCGTGATGTTCGTCTTCTGCACGTGCGGGATGTCGGACGCCCGGAGGAGGCGGATGTCCATCTTGTCTAACGTTGCTTGTTGGAGGTGGTGGTCGCTGGTGGGGAGCTGGGCGGATTGAGATGTTGGGGTAAGTTGGTTGCTGGTGGGGTTATCGACGCGGGGGATGGAGTTTGCCGTTGCCAGTTGAGCCGCATGCCATAGTATTGGCGTATGGTAGGTACTCTGTGTATGTAACACCACTGCGCATGCTCCCAGGATAGCTCAAGGGAGATACAAAGCGCCATTTCCCGCTGAACAGATATTGATATCGTATCCGAGTATCAAAAACACACATCTTGCCGTGTTGATGCCCATACGTCCCTGCCATCTCGTTGGGAATTGTAGCACTGTGATACCACAATTCTTCACCCCCTCTAGAAACACGGTACGGTAACCCACACAAAATGAACCGAAAGGCAGCGAGTTCGGATTCAGTTTGAATTCAGCTGAACTCAGCTCATCTACATACCACCACCACCACCACCACTACCACTACCACTACTACATACTACTACTCTAATCGACACAGGCCAGGACATACATACGTGAAACATGCTGATAGATACAATTTTGCTACATACAACGCAAGAGGAGGGAAAAAATTACATATAGACAGGAGTAATTTACTACCGGAAAGCAAAAAAAAAAACGGAAAGCAGCCAGAACCATTCTGAGTGGGTATGAAGACATCACATCGCATCGCAATTGCGCACAAATGCAACAGAATGAGCAAAAAAAACAGGAAGTGAAAAATATCTTACGAAAAGAGAAAAAAACGTAGAGAAGAGAAAACAAACAAAAACGCCTACCAAAATGCCCCAACCATAAAAGATTTTGTAAGAGACCCAGCCCAGCCCATCCACCCCCATCCTCCCCCCAAACCAACCATACCATATGTTTGTGACGCCATAACCAAGAAAATTCATCGCCATATACGTTTACATCTCTTCATAAGGCATCATCCCGCTGATGCCCCGCTACCGCAGGCATCCCGGACGCTTCTCCAACTCCCCCAAATCTACCTCAACCCTTCGTTCGTACTCAAACCGCTCGGGCACCCGCACAACCCCCTTGCCCGCCATAAGTTCGTCCCTGACACTCCGGTCAAGAGCCTGGAACCTGAAGAACAGCTCCTTAATCCAATCGGCCGCTCCGAACCACTTCTCGGCGCCTCCCGTGACGATTTCGTTGAACTTGATGTACGCTACCGAGTCCATGAACAGTCGTGTCAAGCCGAAATCGTGGAACGCAACTCGAGACGCATAGTACTTGCGGTAGTAGTAGAGTTGGATCAGATTCGACGCGCGTGTTTCGACCTCTTGCTGCGAGGTTTCGCAGGTTGGTGGTGGGGGCAGAGGAGGCGACGGCGGTGATGGCACGCCCTCATCACCGAAGTATTCCGAGTCGGGAAGTCGGCCCATGCATCCGTTCGCCGAAGCATTCGGAGATGTCAGATAATCTTCATCTCGCATGTTTGGGTGGGCGGGAGATGCAGGCGGACTCGGAATATCTCCTCGAGCCCTGGGCGGCGGAGCAACCCCGCTCAGGGAGGTCCAGTCGTAGTAATGGTGGTTGAACACGTCGGCTTCTTTTCCTAGTTTCCCCATCGACTTCGCAAATTCGTTTCCTTCCCAACCCAGATCATTGGGAAACCTTCCGGTGATGCATAGCGGCATCACTGAAGCGAACTCCCAATCGATAACTCCGGAAATCTTCATGGTCTTCTCGTCGAACAGCACATTGCGGAGCGCGAAATCAGAGTGGTGAATGCAAAGAGTGGACAATTGCGCCGGGGGATTGAACACGTTCGTCAATCCCGCCAATAGCTGCAGGAGCTCGCCGAATTCCTGGGGGTTCGCCTTCGACGGAGGCCCGAGGTGGGAAGGAAGCGACGAGTCCGATGGCAACTGCGACCAGTTTCCGATAGCCGACAACGTCTCCCTATCTATCCGAGCTTCCCAGAGCTCGGGCAGTGAATCGTACGGCCCGAGGTATGGTTCTTGCCGCGCATCCTCCTCCGGGCATCCTGACGGCAAAGCGGCGATCTTTCCGACGTAAAACTCGTTCTCGTTCTCTTCCCGCTGATAGATATATCCAAGCTGTTTGAACTCCGAAGGCTTGGAGAGCTCGGCCTGCACAAATGCGAGCTGCTTGATGACCTTCATTCTATTTTCGGGGCTTAATCCGTAAAAGCGCCCGTCGGTCGAAAGGTTCGTTCCTTTGACGCACTCCCGAAGAATGTATGGCGCGCCAACAGGATTATCGAATGTCAGATCCCAGCCGTATATTCGCGGTATCGGGATGTTGTATAGTGGTGAAGAGTGAATGTATCGCATGGTGGCTATTTCCGACCTCTTCGCGTCCGCCGAGAAGAATTGCGGTGGCGAATTCGATATCGAAGCGGCGCATGATGTACCATCGGAAAACCGAACTTCGTATAACGAATTGTGCGATCCACGACCTGAAGTGAAACCGTCAGCCATGAATCTTTGGAAATGTACTGAGTGGCACAAGAGATGCAATGCGTAAACATTCCCTCTCCCTCAGGCTGAAGCGACTGCGGTTGACAGCCTTCAAGCCGGAGGTCAAGCAGAAAAAGACAGAAATCCGGAATGACAACATGACGACATGAGAGACGATCCATTTTTCCGCGCATTGATGAGAATATTATTCTACCGCCCCGATTCCAGTATGCGAGACCAAAGACATGAGGGGATGTTGGATGTAGGTAAAGGAAATGCAAGACTGGGGAGGGGTAATGGTCAAGGAGACCCCGACACTCTGGCTCTGGTTCCTCAGACAAACCCGGTTATAGGGCGCCTTGGATGGTCTCAGATGCAGCCGTGCCCTTCAACCCCAGCGGATAGCTGAAGTTGAAGTTGAAGAAGAAAAAGAAGAAGGGAAGGGGATAAGGGAGGACGAGGATGAGGACGGGAGGATGTTAAGTACACAAGTACTTTGTTTCGGACGTCGATCGCTGCAAGTCAATGCCCAAAACATTTCCCCACACTGTCCACGTGCACCCACCCACAATCCCCCCCCCCCCCCCCCCCCCCCTCCCGCCGAGTACAACACCCCCGCTCCTCCTCCCCCGTCCACGCAATCGGTTATCGTGACAGTTGAACCACAACCTCAACGCAAATAAAGCATGACTAAGTACATCCCGGACTTCACAAGTAATGTGATCGGGTAAAGTAAAACGGGCGGAAATTGCCGACGAAATGAAAAAGTTGAAGCGGTGAAGGAAAATGGAACGTACCAAGCTCGCTTATGCCTGTGCATTCCTCCTTTCCGAGGCATCCCAAGGCGCACTGAACCAGTCCCTCCAGGTTCACCCAGTCGCTCCGTAACAATCGCCTTGAAATCGGCAGGGTCAATCGGTGTTCATTTCGTCCATTCCGCGGTGTGGTTGTCCGGGTTGTGTTTGCGCTCGGGGTCGCGGTCGTCGTCGGCTGTAGCCGTGGTGACGAAGGGGGGGAACGAAGCCGGCATCCATCGTCTCGCGCGCGATACGAGTCCTTATTGTTGTTACCGCCGTTTGTGCTGCCTCCGTTTATGGACGTCCTGCGCGCTCCCGCCATCGACATGTCGTCCCTGTCTCTGGCTCTCTGTTGGTGGTGTTGGTTCTGGCTCGGACTCTGGAACTGGTGCTGGTGCTGGTATTGCTGATGTTGAGGCTGATATCGTGCTTGAATCTCCGTGGCAAGGTCGAAGTGGTAGTCCGTGTTCAGGGAAGGTGTTCGTTCTGGGCTTCGTTCGGACCGCTGCTGTTGTTGCTGCTGTTGCTGTCTATCATAACGTTGACTTTGCATCTGGAGCTGCATCAAGGATAGAGTGGGACAGAGGCACACTTTGAATCCAAATAAAGGTTGGAGTGAGGATAGATCGAGATATCGCAGAGATCGCAGAAAGGTGGTCGAGGTGGATGGTATATAACGTAGGGGCTGAATATAGTAAAGTTTCCCTCCGCTGCTAGGGCAGGCAGGCAAGTCGGCAAGCAGGCAGGCAAGCGGGCAGGCAGGCAGAAGCAGGAGTCGACAGATCCACACCCTTTTTCGACCAGTCGTTTTTGTAAGAATCTCGGAGGGTTGAAGGAGGACAGGGCCAGCAGCTAGAGAGAGAGGGCAATATGTGTCGGGCGTGCAGCAACCGTATATCTCAGAAGGCGAGAGTATGAGCGCAGACGGCAAGAGTGTGTGTGTGCGTGTGTGTGAGAGTGTGCGAGTGTAAGTGTAAGTGTGTGTGAGAGTGTGTGTGTGGTATGTACAGGACCCGTACGGCGGCGCTCCACGTTATCTCTCGAAGAGGGCCACGCTGTCGGGGTGGTTGGGGGGGTGGTGGTGGAGGGTGGAGGGTGGGAGAAAAGAATTTAGGAGGGAGGGGGTGGGTTAGAGGATTTACGGCGAAGAATCGCTGAGTCCGAGTCGCTTTCACGGTATGTTTCCCTCTATTCTTTCTCTTCACGCACTTCTTTTTTTTCTCTCCTGTTGGACGTATTGGGAGCACTGGTGGGGGAGGAGGCAGGGGAGGGAGGGGGGGTTGTGCGTAGTGGGAGGATGGGAGGAGGAATTGTGGTGGAAGTGGGAGGTGGGAGCAAGAAGGTGGTGGTGGTGGAGGAAGTGGTGGTGGTAGGTGTGGTGGTGGTCGAGGTGGTGGTGGTGGTAATTGTTGTTGCGCAGCCAGGAAAGCAGGAAAGCAGCGAGACGACCGAGCGCGCGAGCGAGCGAGCGAGATGGTGAGCACTCCGCATACCGGACGTAGTACCTACAGCCACCCCGGGAGGTAGCTCCATGTACCCTCTGCCCGTAGTTACGCAGCCTTGAATTCTTGCGGACTTCTCCATCGAGTGCCCTCCCTCCAGGCCACTGGGCGCCAGTACTTTGGTCTACATACATACGGCCCTTTTGCCATAGTGATGCCTCGTCCCGACGACGGACGGCGGCAGCAGGAAACGCCTGATCGGTCGGAAAGAAGCCTTTCGGATCTTCGCACCCATCTATCATCAACAACAGCCTGCATCGTCACCAAGATTCTTACGCGGCAATTGTGTCTCTCCCGTCCCTCCGCCCTTCTCCTCCTCCTCCCTCCTTTCTCTTCTCTACTCTCTCCTCTCTGCTCACTCTCTCTCCCCCCCTCCTTCCTCCCCTCTCCGTCCTTCCAATTCCTTCCCCCCGATCGACGCCCAGTCTATCTACCACTCGCGGCCGTATGATCTTGGTTTATCGGTGTTCCCTTCCCTCTCCGGTTCGCGGTTGGTCACCAGCTTATAGCACAGTCGCGGATCACCATGTCATATTGCTTGCAAGTTGCAAGCTGTACCTTGGCCAACTACGGTACTCTGTCATCGACGGTCAGTCAGTCGCCTCAAGGCTGCCAATCCACGGTTAGTGCCGTCATCGTCGTCGTCGTCGCCGTTGTTGCTGTCGTCGTCGTTGAGTGATAAATGAACCTGCCCGGTGGGAATCCTTCTCATGGGACGTGGCCATTATCGCTGCTAAGTACCCGGCAGGCTGTGTGTTTCTCTGGGAGATGCAGGCAGATAGACTACCGGTAGGTAGAGTAGAGTACATACTCTAGACGACTCGACTCGCCTCGCCTCACCTCGCCTCCGAGTCCATCTCGTTGGTTTCCGAAGAGAGAGCAAGAGAGCGAGCGAGCTGCGAGACCGAGGGAGGGAGCGAAGGAGAGAGCGAGCGAAGGCGAGCGGCGAGCGAGCAAGAGTCCACACACATCTCTTGCCTCTCTCTCTTTTCGCCTCATGGGGTTAACCGAATTGCCCTCCGCACCGTGCCGGCTCCACCCTCTCCACCCTCCTTCGATCATATCGTCACAGAACCGCGTGCGCACACTGCCAAAAAAACCACCCCCGTTCTGTAAGTTGGGCGTACATCATACAGGACGGTCAGTTTCCTCTCTTCTCCTCTCCCTCCCCCTCCCCCCTCCCACCGCCGCCCCCTCCTCCTCCAAGCCCTGTCGGTTCATGTCCCGTCGGTCGGGGGGTGGAACTTGGAAGTTTCTTGTTGGGCAGATTGAATGGGTTGAAAGGGATAGGATAGGTCCCTCCCCCCATCTATGGGTGACGCGATAGGTCGATTGGTTGGTTGAGCTGCCTGGTCGCCTCCGTCCCCCCCCGCAAAACTCCGAGTGCCTACCCACCCACCCAGTGCACCCACCCACCTAACCCATCCATCCAACCCACCCACCACAAAAAAAACCAAAAAGAGAGTACATAGAGTACTACATGAATGGCATGACCCTGCTCGCTCGCTCGCGCGCGCCGCCGCGCAGTTTTTTATTTATTTGGGGACTTGGGGACTTGATGCTTGCTTGCGAGCTGCAACGGCGTGCTACTTCACACACACACACACACACACATACACACACATACGGAGTCTGGGCTCGATGCTGCTGTGGCATGGGTCCGGGCCAATCATGTCGTAAGCATACCGTAGTAACTGGTATGCTACATGAGTCCGACAGACAGCGGTGTTACTCTGCTGCTACTACTGCTAGTACTAGTTGTAGGTACTCGGTCGGTCGGTGGCCACCATATGTACCAGCCAGGAGTGCAGTGCAGAGTGCAGTGTGGCTAAGGCGGAGGTCGCGAGGGAGGTCGGGCTCAGGGAGGAGAGCAACGGCGGGAAAGGGCCCAACCTCGCCACACGGGTGGCTGGCGGGCGGATACAGGTGATACTTCAGCACCACAGACCCTGCAGATAGTCGTCGCCAGTATCCCGCCCGAGTGCTGCGTCATGACGGCGATGGCGAAGGGCACGCGCGCGCCCCCAAGCTATGTACCCAGGGACTCGCCTGTATGATATGTATACATAGCACATAGCAGGGCTCGTGAGCCCTGACCGCCCGCCGCCGCCGCCAGGACAACGTGAGCTTTGAGCACGACCGACCAACCCACCGCCCGACCGATAGACCGACGATCTCGGTTGCAAAACAAGGGGCAAGGGATCAAGGGGCAAGGGGTCCGGATCACCTGTTGGAACTGTCACTCTGGGAACTTGGAAGTGCGCGGCGCGGAGCCGCGGAGACGCCGGGAGGTAGAGTGTGTAGGAAAGGTCTCGGAACTTCGGAAGATATAGGTTGGTTAGTACGTAGGTCGTGGAAGTGGAGGTGGAGGTGGGAGAGGTCTACCGTCAGTCCGTAGTTAACCGTTGTAACTTGTACATACCTACGGTACGGTACGGTGCCCATGTGGCCAGGCCAGGCCAGGCCAGGCCATGCACGGCTCACGAGGGAGACTCAGGGAGGGCGCCGTTGGATTCTGGAGTGGCGTATGGACCTACCGGTACTTACCGTACATACAAGCCTACTCGACGGAAAGATCACGTACCTAATAGCTTGATATGTAGATACTAGTAGGTAATTATTTGAGCTTTGAACAGGAGACCTCTGGGCATATAGATACTACCTAGTAGAATAGGTACCGTGCCCATTGCTTTTACCTATTGCTTTTGTGTGCTACTTACATAGGTACTAGCACCTTGCCCTACATACACCGCCACTCCCTTGAAGTAGGTACCTATCACCCCGCCGAAGCATCGATGCCGAAATACCGGTACCGGTACCGGTATATCTACGGCTCTACGGCTCTACGGCTCTACGGCAGCCGCAGTCGTCGGATGGAGGCACGGGGTCACGGAGGTACCGGTATGTATATACATACATGGCTGAATTCACCTCGACATTGGAGGAGCTGTCTGCCCGTTGGACATCGTTCGGTGTCTTGGACCACCAAGTCTCGTGGTCTCGTAGCCACCCGATCCGTTGAACTTTTTTGAGATTTTGTTTCTTCACAGGTAGGTATCGCAGATGACCCCAATCCCGTCCGCAGTGATGCGTTGGGCTTGTTGGAACTTGGCTGGTTAGCTGGTTGGCCGCCGAAAGGTGAACGGTGAACCGAATGATTGCGTGTGAGTTGAGTTGCACCAAATCAACGACTTGGAGTACCGTACTACCTTAGGTATACCTACAATGCTATATACTATATTCCAATGGCCCCGCGAGCTAGCTTGCAATGCACCCGTCGTTTCGCCGTGCGACGGGACGTTCTCGCTCCCGAGAATTCGCTCCGAGTCTAGTCCGGCAAGATCTCTGGATGCCGTGGACTGTGGATTGTGGATCGTGGAAGGAATCGACCATCACCGAGACGATACGGTATGGGGTCTATGTATGATGCTCAAAGCTCAATGTTGCTCCCGGCACTCTCGGCACTCTCGGCACGCTGAGACGCTGAGAGCTGAGACGTTGGGAGGCTACATTCGCCCTGCCGGAGGCGGCAACGAGGATCTGTTCCCCCCTCCCGGCTGCGGTGGGTCTTGCATCGAGACATAGGTATCCGGAGTCCGCATTCTCTGGCTGCTGGCCGTATATGCAGCGGAGCGAAGAGATGGGGGTGAGAGTGAGTGTGCCTGTATGGGTGTGTGTGTGGGGGGGAGGCAGAGGTAGGGAAAGGGAGGAAGAAGAAGAAAGTGAGTGGGGGCTGCGATATAGCATGTGTGTACTGTATCATACATGGCTAGAGAGATACTTGGAGTAACTGCTCGTACATAGGTGGACCATAGTTACTCCACCCACAGCACAGCACAGCACAGCAGCACAACTGGCACGCACGCTGGTAGTTAGATAGTAGTTACCGTAGGTGGTAGCCACTGCGAGGCAGCCAGCGACACCCACCACACTTCCTTCCTTTTGCTGCTGCTGCTGCACTCAAGCAGGGACTTCCTTGCTCGCCCCGTGTGCGTGTCGATTAGCGGAGGAGTGCGGCGGCGGGCGGTGGGTGCGGAAGGAATGAGGGAGGGAGTGAAATAAAGTGTGGGTGGTTGTGGTGGTTGTGGTGGTTGTGGTGGTGGTGGTTGTTGTGGGTGGTGGTGGTGGTGGTGGTGATGGCCGACGACGCAGCAGCAGAAAGCACGAGGACTTTTGGGATATCAATCATCGTCACTTCACTTTGTAGAGTAGGTAGAGTAGAGTACCCGCCAATCCCGGCACGGAACGGTCGCCGGCCCACCGAAATCGGCATGGAGCACATGTAGGCAGAGCAGAGTGCAGGGCGCTGGGCATTCGAGTGTGCGGTCTCTCTCTCGAAAATTTCAATGTTTTTTCTTCTTTCTTTTCTCTTCCTTCTTACACTGCTGCAGAATTTGAGACGAGACGATGGGATCTGGGCCCGTGGGTGGTGGTGGTGGGTTGGTGGTTGGTGGTGCTGGATGTTGATACCGGCCGGGGGGCTGGCCGCCATGGTTCGCAAGAGCGATAAACGAACACATAGCCCCCCATCCCCCACCCCCACCGGGGACAACTCCACCTTCTCGCGTTGATATGCATCCCCGTAGTTATATACGCGTATGTAGGTTGGGTATGTCGATATGTCTAGAACCTCGTCGGATTCAAGGCTGTGTTTCCGAGGCGCGCGCAGTGCACAGTGTACCCACAGCCACTCGACTCTGCTATTTGTGTGAAGGTATATGTATCAGCATGGGCATCAGCCATCCATCCATCCATCTAACTACCGGTCGGTATTCCCCTTCGCATGCGTCCCACCCCTTCTCTCTCTCTCTCGTACCCGCTCTCTGCATTTGCAGCAGAGAAGAAAAAAAACCCCCACTTCTCGTACTTACACACACACACATGATACATGATACATGATACATGATACATGTATCATGTATCATGTCTGTCCCCCCTACATACAGCACATCATGACATCAGAGACCGAGTTCTGACGACATGGGGCTTGCAGGGCAGTATGTAGGTCCTCTCACCGCCGCCAGTCAACCTCCTTCCCTCCCTCCCTTCCCCCTTGCTGCCTGCCTGCCTGCGGTCTGTCTCCGTCTTCGGGTCATTTCTTCTCACACTTATCATACATACCGTACTCTACATAGCAGACCCCGCGCCCTCCGCCCTGGATCGCGAAGTCGGATGTGAACAAGAATAAGAAGAAGAAGAAGAAGGAAAGAAAAGCCAGACGCGCAACAAAAAACCCCAAGTCATCGTCTGCATCGTCTGACTTTTTTATCGTGTCCGGTGTCGGTGTCGGTGTCGGTGTCGGTCCATGTACATATGTGTGATGTATGATGTATGATGTATGTTCGGTTCGAGCTCGAGTAAGAAGGAAGGTCTATCATACACTCATCTCCCAGCCAACCAACCAATCAACCAGAGCGAGAACCACCGACCAGCGACCAAATATCTCTCTACATACTCTACCTACTCTACCTACTCCACCTACTCTACATACGTGCTTTAGATCTCGTTTCCGTTTCCTGGTAGGCATGGTAGGCATGGTAGGTATGGTAGGTATGGTAGGTATGGTAGGTATGGTAGTTATTCGTGAGGGAATTCTGCTGGAGCTGGAGCGCTCACACTCGGATCATCCCAGGTCAGGCCGTCGGGTCGGTGTCGGTGTCATGCCCCCCATGCCCCGCCCCGCCAGCTCTTGCTTGCTCTGGCTCTTGCTCCTGCTTCTGCTCTTTCGAATTGTGTAGGTATGATATGTAGGCGACGCGAGAGCGAGAGGAGAGGAGAGGGGGCGCGTACGCACACGGCCTGCCTGTCTACCTGCCTACCAGCCACGGGCACCACAAGTCCACAGCTGGGCCTGCAGATGGCTAGTAGGCCGGCATTTGTTTTGTTTTGTTTTGTTTTTTTCTTTCTTCCTTTTTTCTTTTCTCACTCACAGCTGCTTTTTTAGAGTAGATTCATACTTGGTACAATATACGAGAGAGGGAGGTACTCCGTGTAGGGTCGTTCCGTTTCTCGTGACGGGTCGGCGACTCGGCGGCGTCAGCGGCGGTAAATGTGTATGTAGACAGCGGAGTCGACCGACCGACCACGGGGCGGTGAAAGTAAATATTGGTGCGCCCTGGACTACCTACTCCTACATAAAGCTCGAGTATGGCTGCCGTCACCGTGAAACTCGATGGGGGGAACAGAGCGGTTTCACTTGGGTATCATTCGACCCTCCCGCCCTCCCCTCCCGCCCCGAAAGCACCACAGAAGAGCCTTATCGCATGGTGCTAGTTACCTAGTTGTAGCTAGCTAGACCGGCGCACGGCTGATCACTCGCGCGACGTCGACATCGACTGCTTCCGCGCGTGGGCTTCATCTACCTACTTTAATGGAGGCGCACGGCGCATAGGTATGTACGGACTTCTGGAGCAGTACGTACTTACGTACGCACCTGTTTGCGCGGCTACATACTCTACGGAGACGTACATTGAGTAAGTAATACCGGAAGAGAGGGGGGATGGTGGGAGTCTGCTGCCAAGGCCCAAGGGATCCAACCTCCAGGTTCTCCATCATACATGTCATCGGTAGGCACTGGGCATTGGGCATTGGGCATTGGGCATTGGGCATTGGGCATTGGGCATTATTGGGCAATGGGCAACTTCGATTCGCCATTGCCATTGCCATTGCCATTGCAATTGCCTTTTCACTTCTCTTCTCAAAAAAAAAGAAGGAACATTAGCATTATTAGCTACCTACTGGCTACACATGGACACCGCTTCACTGAACAGAAAAACGCATAGCACTACTAGCAGGTAGGAGGCAAGTCAAGTCAAGTGAGTAGGTGCGATCCTACGGTCAGTAGGTCAGTATCATAGGTACGGTCCACGGCCAATGAAGCCTCGAAGACTTGAAGCATCTGACAGCAATGATATTCAGATATCCAGATATCCATGATCTCCATGATCTCCCCTCTCAGCGCACCGCAGTTTGCGCTCGCCGCTCGCTCGATCGCTATCATATACACGGACACCACCATGTTTCTTTTCTTTCTTCCCTTGTTTGACACACCCACACACACACACCCACACACACACACCCACACACATCACACACCACACACAGACACCACACACGATTTCGTTTTCGGGGTTTGCACGCGGGGGAGGTCCATGAGGGTTGTCTAAGTGTGTGTGCAAGTCTGTATATCTTAACAAACGTCCGCTGATGGTGATGGTGATGGGTCCGTCTCGGGGAAGTGATGCTCGCTCCCAGCGAACCCCCCTCCCTATGCGTCCAGATTCCACAGTGCACACTGCAGCAGCAATGATCTCGAGCCCGCCTGCGACTCTGCGAGACGTTTTGGTATGTAAATGCCGCGAGACGTCAGTCACTCAGTCAGTCAGACAGACGGGGGCATGCGAAACACTATAGTATCGCCACCCGCAAGCCGTCTCCGGATCTCCGTCTCTGCCAGCCACGGCGGGAGCCTGGAGGGGGGCGTGAGGCTTGATTAACGATGGCACAAAGGGCCCACTATCAGTACTTTCATACCTAGGGTAGATACTTACTTACATAGGCATCGGTGACGAAAGCTGATATTGAGGCCTGGGTGGGATGTGCAGTGTGTGTGTTTTTTTTCCTCTTTGTCTGTTTCTTTTACTTGCACGTTCACTCACGTCTGGACAGTGGAGTCTGGAGTCTGGACACGCATGTGCGGTAATCTCGGCCCTGCATTGGGCTTACATAAAAAGTTGCTCACGAAGGAGGGATCCGGAGGGGGAGCGGTGGGTGGTGGTGGTGGTGGTGGTGCCGGTGTTGTTGGACCCTTGAACTTGAGGATTGCGGTGCGGGGCGGGGGGAAGTCGAGACGCTGCAGAAACAATATCTCATGATTGCAGTTCTCTTACCTCTTGAGACGACGGACGAACGTCTGCAGTCGGGAGGGGGGGGGGGGGGGGGGGGGGGGCGGTGCATAGTACCTACCATACCGTATTGCCTGTTTGCGGGATTCAGATATCTATTATGATACAGATTGCGTGTTGTATCGAACGCACCCCATCCGTTGAATCATCCGCACCATCATCATCATCAGCACATCAGCGTCATCGCCCATCGTCTGAGGGTTCTGGTCCGGGTCTGGGGCAGTGCGGGGAGGGGGAAAACAGATATTTGAGCGCGGGCGGCAGGACACATCCGTTTCGAGATCTGCGTCTGCAGAAGGGCGTGTATGCACGATGCGCCCTAGCATCAGCGTACCTAATCTATGCGCATATCTACTCTACTGTGCATACATACTCTACTGTGCATACATACATGGAGTATGCGGCGCATTCCTCCGTGAGTTTAGGTACCACCCTATGTGCTCGACCTCCGGTGAGCGGATAAACGTCTGAGCGACCGCAACACCGCCGACGTCGACGACGACAACACAACGACAACAACGACAACAACAACAACAACAACAACAACAACAACAACAACAACAACAACAACAACAACAACAACAACAATAACAACAACACAACGACGAAAACAACAATAACGACGACAGCTGTCAACAACGAACAAAAAACGACCCTGGTGGTGCCGCGCCGGGTGCACGTGACGGAGGCCTTCGTATCTAGCAGTCCAGGCAACCAACGGGTGGGTAAGGAACGACAGGTAGCAAACTCCCATCCCGGCGCACCTACCTATACCCGGCTGGCTCGCCAGCAGCGTATTTCGAGGCAGCAGGGAGGCGAGTGTGTTTGCATAATCTCTGAACCGCCGCCTGCATTTAGGGTCGGCAGTTTCTTGCATCTGGGTCGCAAGTACGTTACGACTCTCCATTCGCTCACATTCTAGACCCGTTTTCGCCCAAGAGGGGAGCTAGTTGGCAGTGTACTCGTACAGTAAGGTACATACGAAGTGGTGGTGGTGCTGACTCTATGGGTGGGAAGGCAGGTATTCGGGATGCTTCTACTGTCTTCCGACGCGGGATGCGCCGTTAACTACCTACCTAGGCACCAGACATACATTCGACATGGAGTCTGGTGGCTCCGGAAAACCATCTCTGGGAAATTTACGTTTCGCACCTGTTCTTCGTCTGGGGGGTCCGGGGGGAGCGGTTATCTGGGACATGCAGTTGCATGCTGGCTGGCTGGCTGGCGGGAAGGATTCGTTCAATTGGATCCATAGCCGTGATCTCGCTCGTCCCGGAAACCATGCCACCAGCCAGCACTAGCACCGGCCAGCTGTCCAATATACTTCTGACTGCCGCTGTCGTCTACCACCTACTGGGCGGTTCCGTCCTGCCTGGGGGGAGGGGGGTTCTTCCGTCCTCGCTCGCTCCGGACGGAGCCAGCAGAGACGGGCAGGGCAGGCATATTTTTCCGTCGTTCCGCGTTCGTTCGTTCCAGCCATTGTTCCCTGTGCCTTCCTTCCTTCCTTCCTTCCTATGAATATTTCTGCACGACCACGGTTGATCCCGCCCGCCGCTGCCCGCAAAAAGCCTATCTGGCAGATCTAGAGTGTTTTGAACACACTTACGTACACCACGCAGACAGACATAGTTACAAGGAAGAGGAGAAAAAAAACTCCGCGGGTCACTGTGCAGATGGGTAGATATCTCACTCTTCCACATGCCAATCCTCCTGAGCTAACCAAATCCCCAGTTCCAGGTTCATCGAGGGGGGGAGGTATGGCTTGATGGGGAAGTTCCCCCAAGCTGCTGCTTAAACCCTCAAAGTTCATCAATCCAATCCATGCCACCACCATGCCCCGTCGATTTTGGGGCGTCCGCTTATCTCCCCTTCCCCCCACCTCACCCGCACCCGCACCCGCGCTCCCTCCCTCCCACCCCCACATCTCAGCGGCGAATGATCTGGCTGGTGGGGTGCTGGCCGGTGGCAAACGCCCATCAATCCGCCGCCCCCAAGGTGATATATGCATTGTTTCGTTCGTCACAGTCTTTCCTGCACTCCAGCCTGGGCCCTGGGCGCTTGGAGAGCAGGGAAAAAACAGAGAGAGAGAGACAGATATTGCAGACCCGGCTGGCACAGTCCGGTTAGTAGTTGGCTGGCTACCAGTTACTACCTAGTAGTATGTAGTAGCTACTGGGGTTTACTACCTACACTCGTGAGCGGACACCAGGTTGTGAGCACTGAGTGCGTAGGGTAGGGTATGTAGTAGGTATTCTCGTACGTAGGGGGCGGGAGGATTACTACGGGTAACGGGCCTACGGCCTCCCGCTCAAAATCTTACTGTGTTTCCCCCACCTATCTACATACTGCGATGGGCATGGCAGGGCTCCATGGCTCAAGAGATAAGTCCGCCGGGTCATGGCCGCGTTACTATTTCCCTATTATGCTACATGGGTGCCGTAGCTAGGAACGAGAGTGACATGGAGAGACACCTATCGAGGGCATAGGTACATCCAACTAGTATTGTATATAGGCGCCGGCTTGTTGATCCATGGACCATTGCTGGCTGGTTAATATCGCAAACAGCGAGTCCGCACTCGTTCGTATACCTACCGGTACTGATTCATCTCGACCGCGCAGAGAGAGATGTAGCAGCGTACATAGACCATCCAATCCATCTTATCCATCCCTCGGGGCACAGATCACTACCTACTATGTATCATACCCTCATTCACCGGAAAAAAACAGTTTGAAGCAACAGTTGTCAAGCCTCAGAGCGCAGTTACATAACCTGTTAATCCCCTCATATATATCATTCCCTGTTATATAAGCGAGGCACCTTAGCCCCCCCGCCCCCGAAGGGCCAATGAAGCTACAGTAAACATGGGCCTTGATGCAGATAGTGGCTAGTTATATCGGAGTCCGGACAGTCATGATTCGTGAATGATGAAGGGAGGTTGCGGCAATATGTTCATAGACCATCACTCGGTTTTGGATTCCAAAAAGGTAGCATCGTGCGGGAAAAAAAGGGTAGGTGTCCCAAGGAAAGAGAGGTGCCTAGTAGAAAGGCCTATTGCTATGTACATAGCTCGAGCTGGAGTACTCTGTAAACCGCGAATATAGGGTTGGTCATAACTAAGCCCAGTGGGGAGGGAGTCGAGTCTATAATAGTAGCCAAAGAAAAGGCCTAAGCATCTCGCGCTCACGGTAGGTAAGACTTGGTGACTGGTCTTTTCGAGTTCAAAGCTTTGCTCATCGCCACTCGGGTATGTAGGTACGACATCGGATTCCCGCCGCGGTCAGCTTTGCATTATTGGTAGTACATACGGCCGGTTCGGATCAACAGCCTACAGCCTACGGGCGAGCTGATGTGTTGTGATCCAGCAGATCACTCCCATAAGCCACTGCCTCGCCCCCGGAGAATGCTCCATCTACATTGAGGATGGGACAAAGAGTGACTATGGGGCCGGGCTTATGTAGCCTCGGAAGCAGGTCCTGCGGCACGCCTCCCATACGGTAACTACTGAGTCAGTCCGCGTTGTTCTGTTTGTGACGGATCTCGTCTTGCGGTCCGGTCTTCGGTCTTCGGTCTTCGGTCTTCGGTCTTCGGTCTTTAGATCGAGGCTAAGGTTGCGCCACTTTGGGTTTTATTGTTTATCTACCCCCGGTGCGGGTTTACTATGTATTAGTGATCCGGTTGCGTACGGTACGGTATGCCACGATGTGGACGAGTACCTGCTATGTAGTTACGCCTTCCGCAGGTTTCCGGCCTCAACTCGGCTGCGTTTATCGGTATATCTACAGTGTAGGTTGTGGCACGGTGCTGACGAGTACGATATTACGGTTGCCGCGAGGTTCCGGTGATCAGCTACGCCTACGGTATAAGTAGATGACCCGATGCTGACGAGTACGGTATTACCTGCTCCTGCCGCGGGTTTCCGGTCCTCACTGCTCAGCTGCGGTTCATGGTATGTATGTGTGTATGTATGTATGATGTACGTTGCTTTGGAATACCTACCGGTATTACATACTGTTGTAGCATCAGGCTCAGCATCGAGCTTTTTAATTCTCTTATTGCGATGTGATATTCCGTGAAACACCAGATTGGATACGGTATTCATGCTTTGAACCAGCGCCGTCCCGCTCCGCCTCTGTCTCCGCTGCCGCCACTTTGCACTGTTGGATGGATGCCTCATAGGCAGCTCACCTCCATCCGCGACCGTCTCCGTCCCCCAGCTCCCTCAGCTCTATGTACCTGAGCAGCCACTCGAGTACTGCCTCCCCATCGCGTAGATCCCGATCGAGCAATCAGAGCCGCAGCACTGCATCGCTCATCGTCCTGCTAACGCCGCTGCCTCGGCTCCGACAAGCTCTGACTCCCCAGCCCTCACTCGGCTTGCCACAGCGATATACCGCCTTCGCCCACCACAGTTCGACCGCTTGTGTATGGCCCGTGTCCTGCGAGCCAAGCGGCAACTGGTGCCGAAGGACAGAAGCTGGAGTAAACGAAACCCCTTCGGTAGGTAACTTGACACCTCGTGACTGACCCATATGGCACCTGGACGGGGAGGGGGGAGAGGGGGGGGGGGGGAGGAAATCACTGTCCTACTCCCGCTCCTGCTCCGTCGCCAGTGAAACCCTCCGCCCGTTTGCAGCTGGTGTCATCAGTAGTTTAGTTAGTTAGAGTCGTTGGAGTACGTCCGTGAGGAAGCGTCGGCTCGACAGCACTCGTTTCTTTTCGTTTCGTTTGTGCTCACTGCTCACGAGTCACTGCCCACACCCGGCCAGCATCGGGAGCTGAGATCTCAGCTCCTGGATCTTCTCGGCATTTTCCAACGCCGCTTCTTGATCAGCTGAGACTGTAAAAAGAGTATGAAGCGTCACCATCCTCACCCGGGCATGCGGGGGTCACGGAGGAAGCTCGAATCGCTGTCAGCTGGCGTTGACGGCCCAGGCTACCTAAGGAGGCATCTGCAACGATGATAATTGTCCTGAATGCCCGCGTGGGGTAAAGTATTGCGCGTGACGGATCGTCGGGTAGTAATGTATGTGTCGGGTATGTTTCTAGTTGCTGGTTGATGTGAGGATCAAGGAAAGCTCACGGGGGGGGCGTCCGAGGCGTCCGACGTCAGCGCTCACCCCTTGGATGGAATATCTGCGCGACATTATCCGTCTAGAATGTGAATAACAATCAACCCGTGAAGTCGCAAGGGAGAATTCCCGTTTGAAAGAAGAAAAAATGTCATGAGTGGACGGCACACGAGTGATGACACGTGAGGATATCTATAGACTATAGTACATCTCCGAACGGCGAACACAGGGCTCTTCGATACTTGCTTGCTTGCTTGAATGGCACGACAACAGGTAGAACTCCTACATTGATTGCAAGCGCTGCTGCTTCGTGAGCTCGCCGCGGAAGAGCCATCCCGGAGCGTAAAGTTCCAACCTTCCAACTTTCCAACCCGGGGGCTCGGCCTCGGGCTCGGGTCTCTAGGTTGAATGGCAAGATGTAAACAGTTGTAGTGTGTGTGTGTGTGTGTGTGTGTGTGTGTGTGTGTGTGTGTGTTCTCCCTCCCTCCAAATCCGCCAGGTTGCAACACGGGCCGACAACTATCGAGGGGGGAAACACATCCCGAACGGGCTCGAATCGGCTCAGGTTAAGTCCATCGGAAGTCCTGATCTCCGGGTGGGAGGGAGGTATGATTGCGGTGCGGTGCTTCGAAGGTGAGGACAGGATGGGATGGGATGGGGTGAGGAAGAGAAGAGGAAGCGGCCTCCGCTGGGTGGGTCAAAGCCGAGGGAACGGAAATAAGCCTACCCGATGGAGACCTACCTACCGTAGGCATGTACTTGTTGGTTCCCCAGGTGGGATTTGGTTTACTCTACAGATCTCCCTGTTCTGAGTATGTATGTGCTCAATTCCGTTGTTTTGAAGGATTGAGCGCTGGCGCGATGTCGATCACCTCCTCACTCGATCTAGGTATGTGGAAGGAGGTGACGGCCGCCGTGGATGAGCTAGCTGTCGTAGCAAGTCGGGTTTTACATGACTCGTGTGATGTATTTTGGTATTCACTTACTATCACTCGTCGTTCAATGTTCGCGGCCAATTATGGAGTTACATGAAGGCAGCACAGCACGCCCAGTGCTACTGGACGAAGCTGAAGCATTAGACTGCACCATCATCATGGAGGACGAGAAACTCGCCCATGCACATGCGGCAGGCCCACAACCCCCGGGACTCACGATGTATACGGATGGATCGAGGACGAACTCCAAGGCTGCCGGCTACGCAGTCGCCTGGCGCCACGGCACGGGATGGAAGGGGCACAAGGTGCATATGGGCCGCCAGCAGGAGGCCTACGATGCCGAATGTGCCGCGATTGCCCGGACATTGAAGGTAGCCGCCGATAGGCGGCACACACTTAGCAGAGTCACTATCTACATGGACGCACAAGCAGCCATCAGAAGGATGGCCCATGACAACCCTGGCCCCGGCCAGAAGTACGCCATCGAGGCACGAAAGCATCTCGCCACAATCCGCCGAAGAGAGCCAGGAATCACCATCGAAATCAGGTGGTGTCCGGCACACAAAGGCGTCCCTGGGAACGAACAGGCCGACGAATGGGCCAAACTAGCAGCCGACGAGCCGACCGCGCGCGGAGTGGAAGTCACCCGCCACACGTACCGATATGGCGCGAGCCAGCCACCACCGGCATCGCTTGCCTACCTGCGACGAGGCATCACGGAAACCAAGTGGAAGGAAGCGAAGGAATGGGCCGACGCACGTATCACCCACAGAAAGTACAGGTTCAGCAGAAAGTCAGGCCAGAGACCAGACGAGCTCCCAGCCGCCGCCCCCAAGCGCCTGGCCTCCAGGCTCTACCAGCTCAAGACAGGACACTGCCTTACTGGCCAGTATCTCCAATGGACGACAAGCCAACCAAGCGCCCGATGCGGGTGGTGCCTATACAAGACTCAGACACGGGAGCACGTCTTTAAGAACTGCCCAGAATGGAAAAGCCAGCAGAAGATTCTGTGGGCACAGGTCCGGAAGTACACCAGGAGGGGCAAAGATCGATTCAAGATCCGAGACCTCTTCGCAGATGAGCGATGCAGCAAGGCGATTCTCGAATTCCTCTCCACCACCGATGTGGGCAGACGGATGCCGGCGGCCGCTGAGGAAGATACAGAGAGCGAGGTCTCCGAGTGGGAGCTCAGGGAGCGGGAAGAAAGGGAGGCGTAACTGAGACGAGAGGAGGAGGAGGAGGGTGCTGAGGCTGAGGAGCCGGGCTCCGGCCCGCTGTTCCTCCCCACACCTTCCTTCATGGCATCCTTTTCGGAAGAGGCAGGAAGCGGCGACGACTAAGGACCTGCGGTGAGGTAGGGACGAGTCGAGGAATTGGAATTTGGTTTTTCTTAGTTTCATCTCCTTGGTGCGCTCATACATTGCTAGGACAGGCCAAGGCGAGGGCAGGGAAAGCCACATCGGGCCACTCGATGAAAGTCGGGTCGGACAGTGGCGGGGAAACGGAGTGTGTACATATATTGCCATGATCTACTTAGGTCGCAAGCAATCACTGATTAAACAAAAAACAAAAAGCAGCACAGCGCGCCCGAGGCGGATGAGCACCTACCTACACTATGTAGGCTGTCTATGGAGCATTGGAGCTACCTATGTAAACCGGGAGTCCTGGCCGTGATAATTCATGATTGCCGAAGCCTCAATTGACACCGATTGACATCGATACCGTAATGTCCAGCGTCTCGAATTTTGGAGTATCTAGATTATAGCCATGTCCACAGCCATCCCCCCCATCCACGCCCACGCCCACGCCCACACCTGTCCCCATCCACGTCCCCATCCCAGTCCCCATCCCAGTCCCCGTCCCCATCCACATCACATCCACTCTCCACTGCCAATTCCTCCCGAGTCCCCCCGAGTCCCGAGTCCACAGAGTCCCCAGCCACAGTGTAGGTATCGACCGAACAAACATAAAATCTTCCCTCCCCTTCCCTTCCCACCCCCATCCCATCTACAAGACAAAAGAACACAAAAGACCACAAAAAGAACATAAAAAAACAACCCCCAGACCCAGACCCTCATCTCATCTCATTTCAATTCAGTCCCCCCCCCCCCAAAAAAAAAACCAGCCCAATTCCAACCCAACCCGCTTGCAAAGTAGAAAAAGCCAACCAGTTCAACCAACCAATCACGCTGCAAAAAAAAAACAAAAAAAAAAACAACCGAAACAGGGGGAGGAATCCAGCAAAATCCCAGGAGGAGGAGGAGGAGGAGGAGCAGGAGGAGGGGTTACAAAAAAACATTTCATGACAAAAAGCCTGACCCTCTCCTCCTTCCTCTCCTCTCCCTTCGTCACCCAGCCTCACGACAGCAGCAGCAGCAGTAGCACCACCCACTCGCAAGAAAATGTTAAAAGATTTACAAGAAAACGATTAAAGGAAAAAGCACCGAAATTGAAAGCTAAGGAAGAAAGAAAGAAAGAAAGAAAGAAGAAGAAGAAGAAGAAGAAGAAGCGTAAAACCCGTCTAAACCGAACCATTGAGGCCCTCCTGCCTAAAGTCGCCTCCAATTCCCGGCATGGCGAATCTAACGTGCTTCGGAACTTCGGGCTCCATCGATGCGGCTCCGTCGAGAAGCGCCGCCGTGATCTGCGCCATGTTCATCACCGCCGGCGAAGGCGACGGGTGATCCGTGTTCCTCATGAGCACGGCGGGGTTGATGGTGACTGCAGGGGGAGGTGGAGCAGCTGGTGGGATACCACCGCCGTTCAGGAGAGCAGTTCCTCCGATGAAACCGGACATAGGTGATGCGTTTCCCTGCGAGTGCTGCTGCAGGAACTGAGAGTAGATTCCACCGTTGCCAAGCATCGGCCCGAACGTGGGGGAATCAACACTCCGGAATTCCATGGAATCCCCCTGCATGGGCCTTCGGTGGGTAACAGAGTAGAGGTCATCGTCATTTCCTTGGGCGCCATCGGAACGGTATCCACCATCGTCGTCGTCACTAGAAGCGTCGAAGTCGTCCATCTCGACATCGCCGTCGGCAGAAATACGCTGAGGCTTGGAGTTCGAAGACTCGCCCCGAGACGGAAGCGGCGATGATCCGGACAGCGAACGTCTATAGTCCATCGACGACTCCTGGGAGGTGGGGGTTGGGGGCATTGAAGTCGCGGGGGTGTGTTGCTGAGTCGGCAGAGGTGCAGGCAATGCTCTCGATCTGAACATGGGACCCATAGGCGAGATGTCTTCTTCCGATTCAAAGTCCAAGCTAGGCGAACGGGAGCGGTCGTGAACCCACTCAACCTTTTCGGTAACCTCCTTCAGCAGCCCTTCGACATTCAGGTCGGGCCGCTTTCTCTTGAGATGGCTCTCTAAATTGGTGGTACTAAAGTCTATCGGCGATGTAGCCGAGCCGGAAATGCTACCCCGGTGTTGTGGTGCCGGAGTCTTAGGGGTGTTCACCGTCATGGCCGCCCTGCGACCACCCTTGCGTTGTGTGCTGGTCGTTGGTGTCGGTGGCTTGGTGTTGACCGGAGTTTGGGAGAACGAGGCGGACCTGGAGTGGTACGAGCTCTGAGGGGTGGGCATAGCGGGGGAAAACTGCTGTTGGGTTTGGCGCGTGTTTCTTGCGGGGCCGTCGATAGCCGTTCGGAGCATGGGAGATATGAGCGACGCCTGTTCCTCCTCGTCGACCTCCTTGCCACAGGCATCAGCAGCGGCATCGTGCGAAGCGTACTCCGTCTGGTGTGCGATACGGCAATGGTTGATGAACCCCTGCGCGGATGAAAAGTTGCTCCGGTGACAGGTACCGCATTCCAACCTGGAAAATATGACATGAGCTGGACTGTACGGAACGAGCATTCAGGAGCCACATACCTAACCAATGTACCATCCCTCTTCCGGTACAAGCACACCTGCACTCCGCTCTTTGTCTGCGCCTTCAAGGCGCTCTGCCTCTGTGGTCTTCCGCTGTCGGCCAGACTCTGGAACAGTTCAAGTCCGGGGGTGGGTGGAGGCGCCACGTACGTCGGCGCGGTGGGGCCATCGAATCTCTGGTGCGCGATCAACCACTGACGGTAGTGTCTGGTATACGGGCCGTCAACGACACCATCGGGTGCCGGCGCGTAATCGGGGATGTGGTGGGGGTTGTGAGAGGGGGGTTTGTAATTGAGCTGGGCGTGTAGTTGAGCCTCGGTGCTGTCGGCGTAGGGTATCAGGGAGCATCGCCTAAGCTGTTCCATGGCCACCTGAGTCTTTGCAATCTCCTTCTCGATGCTGCCAAGTTCGCGATGCTTGAGGAGGATCTCAATGTCGAACTGTTCCGAGATGGTAGTCCTAATGGATTGCAGGCGTTGCGTGGCGTCTTGAAGCTTGAGTCAGCACCCAGGCTTTCCCCGAACGCGTAGCAGTTGACACATCGCGCACAGCGAAGCAGGGGGAGAAGGAGGGGGGCACGGGGCAAAGGGCGCGCACCTGGAGAAGTCTTCGCCGCGGAAGACGGCGAAATGCAGCTCTCGGCCGCTAGTACGGCGGCCGGAGTCGTCTGGATCCCTTTGTCGCCGACACAACCGCCCATCTGAACATCGCCAGGGGTGATCGGAAGCTGGTGGGAGCGAGCCGGGCCCGCCACCGCCGCCGTCGCCTCCACCGAAGGAGCAAGAGCAGCGGTAGCCGATAGCCTGACCTTCTTGGAAGCGGGAGACGAAGCGGCGGTAAGCGGAGTCATCTCTTTTGCGGGAGCTGGCGGCATGCGCTGGTGGTCGAAGGCCATGGCAGCGGCTGAAGCGATGAGGCTGCTGCTGCTGTTGCTGTTGGCTGACGGCAGGGAGGAGGAATGCGGGCCGCTGGCGAAGAACGACGTTGCAGCCATGTGGGAGTCGTGGGTTCTTTTCCTTCCTCCTTCCTTTGGGGGGGTTCTGTGTTGTGTTGTGTGGTGAAGTGGCGGGCGGGCTTGCGGGCTGGCTGGCGGGCTGGCGGGTTGGGGCTGTTGGCAGGGCGGGTCTCGAGTGGACGTTGTTCCGAACGAAGGACTTCGGAGGTTGCGCGTCTGTCTTCCTTGGAGTTGTATGTGTGGCCCGGCCGGGATTTCACCTGGGGGCTTTCCTTCAGTCCCTGTCCTGTTCTACGGCACTTGGTGTAGCTAGATCCAGGTAGCTCCGACAAGGCGGCAAGTGGGGCACTTTTTTTCCACGACGGGTTCCCTGGGAACCTAACTAAGCAGTGAAATCGTTTGAAAAAGGAGTCTTGTTTCCAAGCAAGCAAGGCAAGCGAAGTTAAGAGTTCGTAAGGGGGTAGTATAGCAGAGAGCAAATGATGACGGGAGGTTACGTGAAGAAGTGCTTTTCTTTGCAGGAGGCTGGAGGAGAGCGGGCAGGAGCGCACACTGAGGGGTCAGGATTGCATGAAAAGAGAAGGGGAGAGTTGGAAGAAAAAAAAGCACAGGCCTCGTCTTTGAGAAAGAAAAAAAACCGGCGGGGTAGAGAGAGGGAGAAGGAAGTAAGAGAGTAAGGGAGGTAGATCCTCGGGCTGCAACTGCAACAGTCTGCAACTGATCTGATTCTGCTGGCTGGCTGTGTGTCTTTCTGTGGCCAGCCAATCCTACTTGCACATCAACATCAACATTCCAACTAATAGCCAGCGGCAGCCAGCGGCAACCATCTACATACAGACGGAGGAGGGGCAGCTTCCCCTCCTCCTCCTCCTGCTTCTCCTCTCCGCTTCTCCCCGCCCCCGCCTGCGTTTCCCCACTTCGAACGATTCCTTGGGCGTGTATGTAAAACGGTTGACAGTGCACAGTGCACGCACGCACGCAGGCAGGCAAACTCAATTCGCACGCAGAGTACACGCAGAGTACACGCAGAGTATACGCAGAGTACATACCAAGATGGAGCTGGTATGCTACCTCGGAATCCACAACTCAACTTCTCCAGCCTTCAAGTTCAAGTTCAAGGCATGTCGTACTCCTGACGTGTCAGTGTTAGCGTGAGTCTACCTAAGGATTCTATGCTAGGTATGCTATGCTATGCTACTCTCGTTCATGATTCCTGCCCCCCAACCCACCCCCTACCTTAGCTCACCGCAGCGCACCATCCCTCGTGTTTGGTCCGAACACCTTCTGTATGTAAGCAAAACCCTCGGTACTTTACCTGGTTTGTTTCCCGTGGCTGGTCGGTCGAGGAGGCGGGAGGACAGCTGTTCGTTCCTTCCCTCCTTCTGCCTGAAGTAGGTAGGTCGCATCACAGGTGGTGCGGTGGGTGCGGTGGTTCTAAGCTCGGCGAGGAGAACGCATGCGAATAGCGCACCTCTGTATCTAGGACGGGCCCGCACCAGCGGCGGCGGCGGTGCTGGCGGTGGCGGTGGCGGAGGCGGAGGCGCAGGCGGCGGATACATACCGACGGGTGCCTACTGTGTGTTTGGCGGCGGCGCTAGAGGACACGAGGACACATCGATTCTCGGATATGTAGCAGCACTTCGTTCCTTCCTCGGATGGAGCCTCGAAGTCTCGAAGAACCATCTACCAGTCTACCATAGTATACAAACTTAGACCGGCGATTCGGGACGATTTCGGGATCTGGCCCTGCCTCCCACTGCCTAGCAGGCTGTATGCCATGTGAAGGGTCCACCTCGTCTGTAGCTTCCAGAAAGCACGCACCAGCACGATTCCACCTAGCCCGTGCCGCTCCAACTGTTCCAGCTGATGGAAGTGATGGAAGTCGATGAAATTTGATGGAGCTCGGTCAGGCCAGGTCATCGCTCACTCGGCCGCCCGATTCACAGGCGCTCACTCGTGCTGTTGGGTTCGTTCACGGGGCGGAGAGTTTGCCCCCCCCACGTAAGATGTGGACAAGATGGACAAGATGTGGGCAAGAAAAGGGGGAGAATGGAAAAGCGTAGTATTACATAGGCGGTATACGAGAATGATTATATACATACAAAAACACAAAGCCTCCCACTCAAGACGTGCCCATCGACATGTCCATCGTCAAGTTCCTTGTCAGTATTATCGAGGAAGTCAGGACCAGTAAGAACAGTCGAAATGCAAAAGAACAAATGGCACTGAACGACCGTGACCGTGTCCGTGTCCGGGTTGGCGACGAAGCAAACAATGAGGGTACCTGAATGCTATCCCAGCGCATGCACCACCTGCCTGGCTACATACCTATTTCGCCAATCGTTCATCTTCCCTTCCCTTCGCCAGAGTACGGTATGTATGGTAAAGCAAGTAGATATAACAGATTTGTCTATTCCCACCGATGCACCTGAAAAACCCCCCATAGTCCGATAGGTATGACTATGGCAAAAAACAAAAAACAAAACACAAATGACTCCCCTCCCCTCTACTGATAGGTACCATCAGTTCATCATCAATCCACCACAAGAACACTTTTATGCAAACCCAGTCGCGATTGTAGGTAGTTCACAGCTGATCATCCATCATATCGATCTGCACCTGCTCGCCAGGCTTGAAAGCGGGCAAGCCGACATACGGACAACCGGAGCACCTAGTCTATCAGTCAGCACGGTCTCTCACCATCTCACCACGATCCACGATCCACGAGAGATGATCATACCTAAAAGCGTCGCCCAAATAGCAATTACCGCACGAGCTCGCCTTTCCCTCGACGGTAAAATCGATCTCGGCCAAATCATCAGCAGTGAGCTTAACGCCCTTCGCAGCCTTTTCCTTCGCGGCCGCCAGCGCCAGATCCGCAGTACTGCGCTTCTCCTGATCCTCCTGTTCTATCTGCTCCTTCAAGCCGCAAGTACAGTCTTTGCACGCTCTCCGGCGCTTTCCAGGCTTTGGCCGGCACTCCGCAGCTAGATGTAGATACACTAGTCAGCAACTAACCAACCAACCCGTCGACACCACGCCAGCGCAATGCCTCGGTACACGGTATAACTCACGGATCTGCACCGGCGTCGCCAAGTCCTCGTCCGCCATCAACTCGTCCTCGTCGATGAGCTCATCATCATCCAGATCGTCGGAGAAGTCCACGAAGCCCACACCATTCGACTTTACCTCCACCTGCACCGGCACAGGCACCTGCATAACCGGCTTCGCCACCTGCACCACCGCCGCCGCGCCCGTCGCCCGCTTCCTCAAGTTCAGATTCAGCGCGACACTCTTCATCCCGCCAAAATCCGGCTTGACGGCGACGACGCCCTCGTTCTCGTCCTCGAGCACGAACCCGGCCGTGAGGAACGCGATCCTGTCGGCTGCCGCCACCCAGGTCTCGTTGCTCCCGCCGTTGCTCCTGCCAAGGCTCTTCCACCGCCCGCCGGGCGCCATCGCTTTGAGCACCTTCTCGAGCAGCGGCTTCTCCAGGCGCTCTTGCGGCGCCACAGGATCGGACAACAGGAGCACGGTGGTGTAGATACCATCCGGCAGCGTGACTAGGTTCATGGCAAGGCGGTCGAGCATTTGCACGTCGACGGAACCGCGATCGGCGACGGTGGCGAGCGCGCTCTCGAGGACGGTCGGGTGCGAGGATACGGACGGCGGGCAGAGGATCAGCGTGGAGCTGGTTTTCGCTGGCGCGGCAGTAGTCGCGAAGGGATGGAAGTCGGCGGAGGTGTCGACGGACGGCGGTGGTGGTGGGACCATGTCGTCGAGTGGGTGGGTATAGGTATGCGTTTGTGTCGGTCTGTCTGTCGGTGGGTGAGTGGGTGGGTGGATCCGCGATCAGCTGCAGGGCAGGAGGAGGAGGTGTCGGTGTATTATATGTAGACAGCCAGGCGGTCGTAATTATCGCAGATTGAGGAAAGTCGTGCAAATCGGAGTTGGATGTGGTGGGATATGTGTAGGTATCGGAGGAGCAGATTGTGAATTGGGTTTTTTTTTCGTGTGAGCAAACAGGACAGGACAGGAAAAGAGCTCCTCGGAGTCACGAAAGGTCGGTCAGCACGAAAAAAGATTGCCCCACCTTGTCGAACTACTCTGCACGCTAGTACGGCCCGCCGCTTATCGGATTTCTCAGCATTTGGATTGGGTGATTACGTCGCTGTGGGAAGATTGACGGAATCAGATTAGATGTGGGTTACTCTAGCTGCAAAGGGGAGGAATTAGGGACATTCCCCGATATGGGTCTTTTTGCTTCGATTGCCTTCGATTTTACATCGATTGTTTTTTCGCTTCGGCGGTGAGACATGGGTGTTTGGACGTTGGAGCTCTTTAAACTGGGCCAAGTGTGTGGGGAAACCACGCTACGATACGGGCTGCATCAAGTCGAACTGCGGGGAGGTGAATTGAGTTACTCTGAGCATGTAGAGTACCGGTATGTAGGTTGAGTACCTAGAGTACCTAGAGCTACGTCCCATACCCGCTCCATCCTTTGACGGGCTGCAGAAGTGGCTGGGTGGGCGCGGGGGCAGGTCTCGTGCTCACGAGACAAAGCTCTGGGCACTTCGTTGAGGTGGGATTGTCGGCTGGGAAGTGCCCGAACCACGTCTCGGGTAAAGGGTTCCTCCAGATGGGCTCCGCACGATACTTACATCTGTGCCCGGGACCACGGCTTCCAGCAACTTCCGTTTCGGTCGTACCGGCGCCTGCTCCACTTTGCGTCGGGCGATTGCTTCCTCTCGGGGTTGTTGGGACACTCTCCACGGTCCCACAGACGAACCGCTGTGGAGCGGGGTAAAGGCGAGGATGGGTCCACAACCGGGTGGTGGTGTGCGGTGGTGCAAGTGGTGGCGTGTGGGAGTGGGAGGGTGGTGTGCTCCATCCCAATCGATCAGACGCGATCACCGGCAAAAGCTCGTTCGAGGGGGGTGGGCTGTGATCGTGATGCGAGTGGGTGGGTGGACGAGGCAATCGCCAGAGAACATCCAAAAGACCTTTGTGCGCCGGCATTCCCCACCCACTGCCACTGCTTTTTGCACGTTCGCGGCCAAGCAGCCCTCCACGATCCGTTTGATACCCATATCGCACAGCTTCGTCTTCGGCCTTGAAGGTCGCTCATCCTCGTTGGAGAGCTCTTTCGCTTGGCGATAGCGTCCTAGCAGCTATTTAGCTCTATGAACTACCCCCGCCTATACGTCATGCCGTCCGCCAGCCTCCTCCTCCTCCTGTGCTTCCCCTTCCTCCCCACATCCCCCCAATTCCCCCAAACGCAGAGCACGGGTACTTCACGTACCGCCGCGGGCCCCGTACTGTGGTACCCTCCATCATGACCCAACCAATTACGTTGTCCCTGCCGGTTTGCCCTGTCCGCACCCTTCCCCACCCCCTCCAAAGTAGTTCATCGCAGTCAATCTGTCATCCAGCGGCAGCACGAGGCCGCCTCCAACGGAGGGTTTCAGGAACTACCTCAGCCTGTGAACGGAGCTTTGTGTTGATGAACCCCGTCCGTCACGGTCGTCCGTCACCGTTGACCTTACCTCACTCCGCCCATCCCATCCAACCATCCATCCCACCAAGTCACTCGGTCAATCGACGCATCTCAGATCTAATAAATACCCTCCTCGTCCTCCACCACACCTCCACCTCTCTTCCCCACACACTCTCCCAATAAAAACATCTCTTCCTCTAATTGTCCTTCTACTTCACAACCAACCACCTCCACCTCCGCCACCGCCCCCACCACCACTACATCTACCAAATACATCACAACACCTTCTAACCATGACTCGCTCCCACAAGCACAACGATATCCCTAAAAACACCGATGAACCGGCCCCCGACAAGGCCATCCCCAAGTTCTTCGGAAAGCACGGTTTCACCGACCAAGCTCCCAACAAGGTCAAGAAGAATGGAGGCGGCAAGGGCAACTGGTAAGCAGCACATCTCCCCCTCCCTCTCTCTCCACCACCTTCCTCCCTCAATCGTCTAACACCGTCTTTCTAGGGGCCACGACGGCGGCGAGGTCGAGGATCTGGAGGAATACATCTCGTACAAGCCGCGTCGTCGCAGCAACTCGATCAGCCATGCCGAAGCCATGATGCCAACCAAGTTCGACCAGAACGACCCCGAGCCCGTCTTCGAGGAGGAGCTCGAGACCGTCGAGACAAACACCTCCACCACCTCCACCACCTCGGCTTCCTCCGCCAAGGCCTAGTCTTGCGGCTATGGAACCACACTTTCTTCGGCGTATATTCGGGGCTTCTGATCATTTGATTTCCTTTTTCATTTCCTTTTTCCTTTTCCTTTTCCTTGTTTTCCTTTGTCCTTTTTCCTTGGGGTCTCACGGTGCGGCACGGTTCTGTTCGGTCACAGTCATGCTTTCCTTCCTTTCCTTCTTTCTGTTTTACCAAGTTTCTTTCCTTTTTGTCCGGCGGAAATGGGAAGACGTGATGGTTTGCTCCACTTACTGCAAGGTGGGCATCATCGACATAGCGTCTTCCGCGTTGGCAAAGGTTTGATTGAAGGGTTGAGAGATTGAGGATGGTTCGTTTCTGTTTCTCAATCGGAGAGATGAATAGATCTGGTTTCTCTCATACGTCCTGTTTGCTACTACTTACCAAACCAATTCGCTCGTAACTATCCTGTGCTGTGCTGTGCTGTGGAGTGAGGTGAAGTGAATATCCCGCGAGAAAAGCCGTGTGCACTGTGCTGTGCGCTGGTTAATATACCACGGATACCTGCATCCTGATCACCTCGCTCGGCTGGGTATTGTGCCGTATGTATGTCTGTATGTCTGTATGTGAAGTCGCGGGGATGGGTCTGGATGCCCACACGATCTGCCATCACAACCGTAGATCCTCCCTGCTTGCTGTGAGGGATCACAGTCATCGGCGGGAGTACTCTATCTACCTAGTAGTAAACGAAGGAACGTAGGTAGAGTATATACCTGTATCCAATCACGAGTGCAACCGAGACTTTTGGAGGAACAATATACGGTATACGGTACGATAGTTTGCTCGCAGAGCAGAGGAAAGTAAAAACATACTTCATATCATTCAGATCAGATCATGCAATCGCAGCCAATGCAGCAAGGCAAGCAAGGAAAAGGAAAGGAAAAGGCAGGGCAGGGCAGGGCAGGGCAGGGAAAGAAAAGAGAAAAGAGAAAAGTCAAAAGAGACAACATAAAATGCACCAATTCAATACAATTTGGACTCCGAGTTCCATCCCATCCCGTCCCGATCGCATCCCATCATCATCAACAGGGCCCAGCCAGTCCATCAGGCAAACCAAGCCACAAGCACACAAACAGGCGACACTACGCCATAACCCTCAGCACGAAATTGACGACAACCGCGCCGAGAAGTGTGACCGCCAGGACGGTAGGTCCAAAGCGATCATCGAAGTTCCCCTGGCCACGTTTGCGGATTGCCTTCGCGCGCCAGTGGAAAGTGGCGAGGGCATAGAGCATCGTGCCCATAGCGACCAGCGTGAAGAGACCGGCAGAGATGCGGCCCACCTTGTCGCCGAAGTTGAGGAGGCCCACCGCCAGCCCGCCGAGGATCACAGTGAAGTTCAGCCATGAGAGGAACGTCCGCTCGTTTGCGAAGAAGACTTTGGGCTCGACACGCGTGGGCAGCGCGATTCGCTTGCCGGGCGCCGTCTGGAGGAGTGGTTGCGAGGACATTTTGCGGGACTGGATGGAGGTCAGTTGAGGAAGTGAGGAATGTATGCGTACGAGGGCTTACGGTGGTGAGGGACTGGACGAGAGGAGTAACAGGTAGAAGTGCAAGTCGACAGAGTGTTGGTTGGAGTGGTGAGTAAATTATGGGTGCGTATTTAGTGAGTGTTGTGTTGTGTATCTATCGTCACGATAACAACTACCAAGCGAATTTCTGGAGGAGGTTGGGCGCGAGTTTTGGCTGCTTGTTCGGGTCAGAAGAGCAATGCCGCTAACAAACCCCCAATTCCCTACCTACATGCCGTACTCGGGGAGGTGCATTTTGGCGGAAAAAGAGTCTCAAAGTGGCTAAAATGAAGTCATGGGGGAAGTTCTCGCAAGTGCTGTGGCAGAGCGAAGCTGGTGTCACTAATAGAGTGTTCTCTAGTGTAGGCGCTGTAAGGAGAACGGAGGCTCATCTCAAGCAGCAGAAAGAGCTCCCCGCATCGCAGCATCAACACCACAACAACGAAACATACGCTCCACGCACTACTACCAAACACGCAACCCCCACACTCACAATTTGACCAACATGTCCGACACGAAAGCTTTCGCAGCAGCTGCAGCCAACTCCGTGGGTCCATTTGTTCATCCCTCACAGCGTTTCAGGAGCTGACAGAATGACTCCAGCCCATTCCTCCCAACCGTCTCAAGCAGATCGCGACCGACGTGAGACGATCCCCACCTACTCCTCGGCTTCAATCCTCCTCCTAACATCCAACGCAGGCATGCACTCTCGCCCTCGAGAAGGCTGAGGCCTACGAACACACGCGCACCGAGGCATGGAACACGCAGATTATTGTACTTCCCCTTCCTCCCCTACCGCTCGGCACCACCACCACCACCACTACCGTAGCTAACACGCACTCCGCACAGAACCACATCCTCCGCGCGCTCATCTCCGAGTCCCAACCCGCCGCGACCTCCAGCTCAAGCTCGACCTCACCCCCGCCATCCCCCTGGAAGTTCGCCGTCAACTCGATGATAATCCAGCACCTGTCGCCGAAGGCCACGGCGGCTGCTACTACCGGCGAGGGCGCCGAGCTGATCAACGGAAGGTCCGCGGCCGCTGGAGGCCAGGGTCGTCGCGGTATGCACTCTGCCCAGGGCGCGTATTGGAACAACGAGACCGACGGCATGTGGAGCTTCAAGTTCGACAGCAAGGCGATGGATGTTGTCATCAGCGTTATCTGGGTCGCGGTTTAAAGGGGGCGCGTGAATTGAGGCGAGGGAGGGAACGGAGCGGGATGATACCAGGGAGGAGGCGCTGGAGCGTTTGTTGCTTGCTTTCTTGTTGGTGCTTTCTACTGCGGAATTGAGTTTACTGCTACGGCTACTGGGAGTCATGAACCGAATAACTTTTCGACATCTGCATACCGATTGCTTGTCTGCCCGTTTCGTTGATTTATGCTGGAAACTGTATGGAGCTCTTGGTAACAGAAACCATCTCCGGAATATGAAGCGACACCACGATGGATTGCAAACCGTCCCAGCTGAGAACTCGAATACCTAGCTGCGATTCGGATACTTGGAAATAGGCCATTTGAACGTAAATACTACCGTAATTCCACAGTTCCACCTTCTGTTTGGAAAGCGGAAGGTCTTCTAAGAGTTCCTTTTGAGCCGGGTAACGTCATGCACGGACCAGCATCACAAGCAGCCGCCAAAAATTAAGGACAGCTCGACTCTCACGGCCCCTTAAACTCTAGCTCGCAACGAGGACAAATCCGCACAACACCCATCAAGACACTACATCGTATACCCAACTCCGCGTCACGACTTACGAACGAACGAACCTCCACTTTCCCTTCGACCCAATGCAGCTCCGGTTATCGACGCTCGTTCTGGCGGCCTCGCTCGTCGTCAAACAGGCCAGCGCACTGTACTTTTACATCGACGGAACCTCGCCGAAATGTTTCTTTGAGGACCTGCCGAAGGACACGCTCGTCGTTGGTATGTTGCCGGCACGGCACGGCGTGGGGGAATGAATCAATCAATGCATCAACCGCTGACACCCGCGTCCCGCAATAGGCCAGTACAAAGCCGAAGAATGGAGCCAACAGACCAACACGTACAGCGACAACAACCAGCTAGCGCTGCTGATCACGGTGGACGAGACGTTCGACAACGACCACCGGGTGGTGAACCAGAAGGGCTCGAACAAGGGCCGCTTCACGTTCACGGCCTCCTCCGCGGGCGAACACCGCATCTGCTTCTGGGCTAGCCACCAGAGCAACTCTGGCTGGTTCTCGAGCCATCCCAACGGTGTCCGTCTACACCTCGACCTGGCTATCGGAGAGACTACCCAGCTCGAGAGCCGCGACAAGGAGAAGCTTGCGGATATCGAGCAGCGCGTCAAGGATCTGAGCGGACGTCTACAGGATATCAGGAGGGAACAGGTGTTTCAGAGGGTATGTGCTTCCTTCCTTTTCTTTTCGCTTCCGATGGCAGATTCAAGTAAGTCGGGATGAAGCTGACGAGACTCGACAGGAACGCGAGGCCGAATTCCGAGACCAGTCCGAGCTCACCAACTCCCGCGTGGTGCGGTGGACACTCGTGCAGCTCCTGGTGCTGGGCGCTACCTGCGCCTGGCAGCTGAGCCATCTCCGCGCTTTCTTCATCAAGCAGAAACTTACGTAATCGCGTGGATTCCTTTTTTCACGGGGCGTTCTTAATTCCACAATTCGGCGAGTTTTTTGTCTGTATTTCGTTTTCCTGTGGATGATGATGGATATAGGGTAGATGGATGGATGGATGGAGGGAGGGAGGGATGGTTGGATGGTGTGCTGGTGTCGTGGTTGCTCGATCGCGTGCATGCATGGTCAAAGCCTTCTTTCTTGCTTTATCGGTGGTTAATAAAAGACGATTGATGAGGGGAGACGATTGCTCTGTACACGGATGGTCTTGTGTTGTCACGGCGGCAGTAAAAAGTGGTAAGGAACGAAGTTCTCTGAAAGATAGATATGTGCGAATCATATTGTGCTGCCTTTCATAAAACTCCGGAAATTGGCCGCGAACACCGAACGACGAGTGATATTGAGTGAATACCAATGCACATTACACGAGTCCATGTATGAACCCGAATTGCCACAACAGCCGGCTCATTCACGGCGGCGGCGACCTCCTTGCACATGGATCCAGTGAGGAGGTGAATGACATCGCCGCAGCCCCCAATCCTGCAAAACAACGGAATCGAGCACATGGTACATACTCCGAGCAGGGAGATCTGTAGAGTAAACCAAATCCCCCCGCCAAGAACCAACAAGTATGTTCTTTCCTAGCTTTATTTCTTTGGTGCGCTCATAGGTATATCGTCGGGACAGGCCACGGCGGGGGTAGGGAAAGCCAGCCACATTGGGCCGCTCGACGAAAGTTGAGTTGGACAGTGGCGGGGAAACGGGGAGGGTGCACGGGTAGATGATACATATTGCCATGATCTAGATACTGGTGGCATGCAATCAATGAATGAACAAAAAAAAAGCTCCATATCTAGACAGCGTACGGTAGTGTGAGCAGTGGGCACTGAGCAGGTGGTACATGCATATATCGCCTAAAGGACCCTCGCAAGCTATCAACCATACCGGTACCTAGTTCAACCCATAGTTCCACCCACAGCTCCCCACGTCCGCCCGTCCAGTTCAGTTCACGAGCCGCACCCCGGCCCACCACCGCCCCCCACCCCACCCCGCCCTCACCCCCTCACGATGGACTTCCTTAAGTCGACGCTCTCCTCGGCACTCTCCAAGGGTCCACCGTTTCCATACACGTTCCACGACCGCGTCACCTTGCCGGGGGACACGCCCGTCGGCGGGGTATTCCAGCTGTTCAACGGCACGAAGCGCGAGGATGGGTCCGCCTGCAGTATATTTACGTTCGAGGTCACGGACGCTACCAGGACTCGCCTGCCATTGGCTAAGAACGCGCTCAGAAGATTGAGGACGCTTAGGCACCCCGGTGTGCTGAGGGTGCTGGATAGTGTTGAGGTGCGTTGTGCGGGACAGGATTGGGCGGGATAGAGCTGACGAGATGAGCGCAGACAGATGCGTACATCTACATCGCGACGGAGCGGGTTTCGCCGCTGGCGTGGGACGTGAAGCGCGGTGCGTTGCAGGCGGAGACGGTTAAGTGGGGGCTATGGGGGGTTGCTGTGAGTTGCTCTACATTCTCTGCATTCCCGCTGCTGGGGAAAGGTCGGCTGATGAGGTGCGGTGAAATGCGGTGCGGTGGTAGATTACGCTGAAGTTCCTTAACGACGAGGCGAAGATCATACATGGCAATGTGCGCCTGGCTTCGGTTTTCACGAGCGAGAGCGGCGAGTGGAAGCTCGGTGGCTTCGAGGTGCTGTCGGCTGTCGCCGATGATGAGCCGTTTATCTACGTGGGTTTTTTTTGCTCTGGGGCGGGCTAGGCGGTGGTGGGCGGCGTGCTGATGGGGGAGTAGAGGTATGGTAGCTTGCTGCCGGACGCGGGAAGGTTTGCGGCGCCGGAGATTGGGAAGGGCGGGTGGGAAGGGTTGAAGAAGTATGTCTACCGGAGAGAGCTTGGGAGATTGTGCTGATATAGGTGGATAGCTTTCCGGTGCACGTAACAGACTCCTGGGGATTCGCCGAGCTTACATACGAGGCGTTCAATGGCTCGCTCACGAGTGTGGACCAGCTCAGTCAGCCGAAAAAGATACCGCCCGCGATGTCGGCGGCGTACAAGCGGCTCATCACGGCGAATCCAAAGTCGCGATTGTCTGTGTCGCACTTCCTCGAGCAGGGCACACGGTCGGGCTCGTTCTTTGATATCCCGCTCATACACATTTCCGAGTTCGTCGAGAACATGGGCGTCAAGGATCAGGACGAGCGCGAGACATTCCTGGAAGAGCTCGAGAGGACCGGAGATCAGTTCCCCGAGGACTTTTTCAAAATGAAAGTGCTTCCCGAGTTGCTGAAAAGTGTCGAGTTTGGTGGTGGTGGACCAAAGGTGTTTGGTGCGGTGCTGCAGATCGGCGAGAAGTTGAGCACGGAGGAGTGGGAGGCTTCGATTACCCCCGTCGTCGTGAGACTGTTTTCCCTGCCCGATAGAGCTACGAGAGTCTTCTTGCTGGATAATCTCAGCCGCATGATTGATCACTTGTCGAACAAGGTGGTGAATGATAAGATTTTTCCAGATATGGTGGGTTGCTCTTTTTCGTCGTCAAGGACGAGTGATGTATGGAGGTTGACGGGACGAACAGTTGACGGGCTTTTCGGACTCGGCGCCAATAGTACGAGAACAAACCGTGAAAGCCGTTCTCACCATCATCGGAAAGCTGTCGGATCGCCATATCAACGGTGAACTGTTGAAGCATTTGGCAAAGACGCAGAACGACGAGCAGCCTGGAATCAGAACCAATACTACTATATGTCTCGGAAAGATCGCTAGGCACCTGGGGCCAAATGTCCGTATCTACTCTCTTCCTTTAGTTCTTAGAAATGTCGTGCTGACGGAGATGGCGTTCAGACTCGACAAAAAGTCCTGGTCGCTGCATTCACTCGTTCGCTCCGTGATCCATTTGTCCACGCCCGCAACGCCGCACTCTTGGCGCTTGGAGCCACGTCCGATGTCTTCGACGAGACCGACTGTGCCAGCAAAGTCATCCCCGCAATTGCGCCGAGCCTTGTAGATAAGGAGAAGTTGATCCGTGACCAGGCGGTCAAGACCGTGGCATTGTATCTGGCACGCATAGCGACCTTGACGAAGAATTACCCCGATACGGTTATCCCCGCCTCTGCTACTGCGATTGCATCCACCCCCGGGACTCCGGCAAAGGCGGTTGCAACAGGCGATGGCGAGAGCGTGGTGATGCCAGGTGGATGGACGAGTTGGGCTGTCGGAACTTTTGCGGCCGCTGCCGGACAGATGCAATCCCGAGTTACAGTTACGGCCGCAGCCATAGCGGCGGAAGAACGCCCCGCCTCCGCACCGCTACCGAATGCAACCACAACTTCTGCTTCTTCCACTTCCAGGCCACAAACAAAAGCCACCGTCAGCACGTCGTCTGTCCCGCAACCGGGCGGCTTCCTGGACGATGAAGATGATGATCTCGATGGATGGGGTGCGCTCGACGAAGACAAAGATACCACCAACGACTACGACAACGGCGAGACCTTCTTCGACGCGCTGGAAAAGAAGACGGGCCGGAAACTCGGCGGTGCCGCCAGCAATAAGGAAAACCGAATTGCGTCCCCGCCCGCTCCTTCTGCAGCCGCATCCACCGGCCGCATCAGCTCCTTCGGTCCAAAGCCGTTTTCGCTCAAGCATGAGGAGGAGGTCGATTTCGAGGCGCTTATTGGCGCGAAGAAGGGTGGGAAGACCCTGCCGAAGGGATTGACTAAGAAAACTACTCCGACTACGGTGGTGAGAAAAACGCCGGCGCCGGTCGCGAAGAAGACTATGCCGCCTAAAAAAGTACCGCCCCCACCGCCGAAGAAGACGGAAACGTGGGACGATGGTGAGGCGGATTGGGGCGATGATGCGTGGGCTTGATTTACTGTAGAATTTGTGTTTGTGTTTTTTGCGCTGTAGATGGCTGGGATGGCGGTGGAGTCGGCACGTATATCTGGTGGTTGCTCTTGAGCTTTTGCGCTTTTGTGTTGTAATAATAGGATTTATATTTGTCTATTTGTGGCCAATTCTGGTATTCATACATAGATGGAAGTGGGAGATCCGGATCCAGATACGGTACATAGCATGAGCACTTATCGTCTCGGACCTCGTTTATGCATGTCGTCATGGAGGTACCTGTGTCATGTGAAGAATGGACACGTTGCCAAGCGGTCGCCATGACCATGACCGTTCGTGTAGATTTCCATCCGAGATGACGGCGGAAGGCCTACGTAGAGTACAGCTCGAATTCACCCTCTACTTCAATCCAAGCATCCCCTCGCGATACATATGCGCATAACGTAGTGTAGAGTGATAAAAATCGGGTGTATTATCCGACGACTCGATCGTAAATTACGCCGGTCATAGCCGCCGACTCTGCTTCACCGCCGACTCTGCCCGTTCCCCGTCGTAGTCGTCGTAATTATCCCAAGAACGTAACAACCTGTCTTGAGTGAGCTTGATAACGATCGGGGGAGGTAGGAGGAGGAGAGTTGCATACCGCCATCACGAAGCAGCACAGACTGACGTAGGGCGATAGGCGCTCTCCTATCCTTGCGAACTTCCAGAACACTCCGAAGAAGCTACGGCGTGGTCAGCGGGGGGGAAGAGACGGTAGCAGAGGCGGGAGGAGGACGCACATGTTCTTGTCTTTCCGACTGTCGACCATGCCTGGCACTACCTGGCGGATGTAGGTGCATGTACAGATGAGGAGGAGGATGACGAGGAGGAGCGCGTTGAAGTTGAAGAGGGCGGTCTGTATGTGTGTGCTGTTAGCGATAGAACACCGGGCGAGGTCCCGTCGGGAATAGGAATACCATGATTGCGATGATGCTTCTGTATGTAGGACACGTGCGTCTGCTGTCTATCTTTTCTGTTCTTGTGCGTCGTCGTCGTCGCGGGCTGCGTTCTCGGTGGACCTGGCTGTCTGGCTGACTGATTGCTCTCGCTAGTTACCCTAGTGACCGTGAGCAAGTCGCGCTGGCCTGTTGCAGGTCCGGCAAAGATATCGCGCTAGCTAGGGTGGTCTGGGTTTAGAAGCTCGAGATGGTCCGTGCCCCACGCTACTAGGGCTTGGCGGGCCCCACGACGCGACCCACTATCTCAGCTCGCGTCCTCCCGCTTTACCTTCCACTCCCCACGATACGACAACCGATCAAGACAAGCGAATCAACCACAACCATCAGGTATGCTATATACTAACCACTAATCAATATCCAATGACTAATGCGATAAGCGATCTTGAAGGAAGAGTGAAACAGCAGGAAGTTTGAGCGTCACAAAGATAACTTGCGATTGCGATGCCTCCTTCTACTTCAAGCGGTGGTGTCGAGATGTCGCCAGACAAGCGCCAGTACAAGAGCACGAGGAAGAAGGTGGCCGAGATGGAGTTTATCCCGCACGATCTCGATGTCGACGCTACGATCGAACAGGTGGACAACTTCCATCCAGTCCACATCCTCGATATACGAGACTTTTCTGGGCCGGAAGGTACTCGCAAGCTGAAGGAGTACGCGGAAGCCTGGGTGAAGGTCGAAGGAAAGCCGCTCGTTCTACGGAACTACCACTTGCATGACACATACCCCCACCACATCTTCAGTCCAGAATGGTTGATTGCCAATCACAGTCGACAACGTAAGTTCAGGCTTGCTACATCGCAACGGTTTTCGTGTGTTCCGTTTCGCTGATTGTCTCGTGCTTCGCAGTCATCGTTTCTCGCAATCTCGTCAACGGAGTCGAAACCCAGATGTCGATGGGCCACTACCTCAAGAACATGTCGAAACTCACGAATACGGTTATCGATGCGGACGGCGCCCAGGTTCCTCAACGTCTGTACGCGAAAGATATCGATTGTCCTCCAATATGGAAAGATAAACTCAAGGAGTTGTTACCGCGATTCACGTTCTATCTCGAAAAGTCCGCAGACCTCATGGTGATGTTGCCTCCAGCCAAGCGTGCACAGAACATGTTGTGTTATTTCGGCCACGAAGGAACCTACACCCCAGCCCACAAAGAGATGTGTGGCACAGTCGGACACAACCTCATGGTTTATAGTTCGACAGGCGAGAATCCCGGATCATCAATCTGGTGGATGACAAAGACCGAGGACCGCAAGAAGGTTGCCGACTTCTGGCTAGAGTTAGGACACGATATCGAAACGGAAAAGCACTTTACCAGCTTGGCGGACTGGATGGATGCTCCTTTCCCCGTGTACATACACGAGCAAGTCGAGGGTGACTATATTCTGGTCCCCTCAATGGCACCACACCAAGTTTGGAACCGTGGAGTGTGCACTCTGAAGGCCGCATGGAACCGAGTGACGGTGGAGACCCTCGAGTATGCGCTTTCCGAGTCGCTGGCCAAGTCTCGCATGGTCTGCCGAGACGAGCAGTACAAGTGCAAGGCCATTGTTCACGAGACTTTGCGCGAGTACGCTCGTGTTCTCAATGGTGGGTCATCAGACATTGCCATAAGCCAGTCGCGGATGGAGAGTGACTTCGTCCGGCTCTTCCGACTGTTTGATCAGATGATGCTATCTGAGTGCTTCGCGGCCACCAATCCTCCGACCGTGGAACTGCTCGAGATGGAGGACGCCAGCGTGACTTGCTCATTCTGTCGTTCCGACATCTGGAACCGTTTCCTCACGTGTAGGAGTTGTGCCATCGTGGACGAGCAGGAGACAGATTGTTACGACGTCTGTCTAGACTGCTACGCACGGGGGCGCAGCTGCTACTGTGTGTCTGGCTTGAACTGGGTGGAGCAGTTTAGGTGGTCGGGGCTGGTGGCCGAGCACGAAGAATTCCGTCGAATTGTCGTCGAAATTCAGAATGCGGCGAATCCTCACGGCCTTCGCCCGCTCGCACTGCACCGAGCGTTAAAGCACTTGGGAAGGAAGACTCTGGCCTGGGTGTGCCAGGAGCAGCTGGAGGTTCGGCCATATGCCGATCCAGCGCAAAATGGTCTCGAAGACGAGGTATGATATGTATCGCCCGCATCTTCTTGTACTATTGACTAACTGGATTCTAGGAGGGTACCGACGGGGACCTTGCGCTCGAGAAGAAACGGGCTGGGGTGACTCTCAACTGCCACGCGTGCAAGGTTCAGCACGATTCGTGGAGGGTGGCTAAGTGCTCTCGATGCGCGAAGGCGTACTGTTACGGGAATCTCTGGCGGGGTTACGACATGGACCCGTTCGAAGACGTAAGTTGCCACTTATCATCTCTGCCGCGCCGTATGTAGCTAACCAACCATCAGGTGCTGGCAGTACCGCAGTGGATCTGCCCAGTTTGTCTGGGTATTTGCAACTGCGGGGCTTGCAGGAGGAAGGGGGATATGAAGCCATACCAGCAGGTTGGCACGTATCTCTCCAAGTCCACGAGGGCATTTTCTGACCCTCGTAGCTACGAGGCCCTCGTCTCCTTCGAGAAGGGGAACGTTGTCTGGAGAGAGGGCAATGCGAAGCGCAAGGGAGCTGCGGAGGCTGAGAAGACTCCGGTCGATCCCGCGCTGGGTAACTCCTTTCCGGCTGTTAATACACCAGCAAGGTCACTAGGCAGGTCACCGACTACCACCGAACACGACGAGAGACATACATCTAATACATTGGGCTCTATACAGACAACAGCAAGAAACGGCGGGGAAGTGGCAAGGAAGGCCGATCAAAATGATGATGCAGAGCGAGATGTTGAGTCAGACCGTGGTGGTGAGGCATACCGTGGTGATGGAGGCGAAAATATTTTTAGGCGGAGTTCAGGTTCGGGTTTGGAGTTGACGGCGTTAAAAAAATCTTTCAGTTCTGCATTTGGTTTTATGGATGAGTCTGCAAGTTGGCGGGGTGGTGGTATGGAAGATTCCAGTTCTACAGTTTTACAGTCACATCAACATCGTCACTGTCCCCCTCTTCCTTCTGGAGGATACGGGAACAACGACCATTTTGGCTCGGATCAGAATTTCAGCGGAAGTAACATTAGTAGTCAACCGCCGCATCAGGGCCCGGGGCAATTCACACATCCCGCTCAGCCCTCGACGTCTCGCACCCTCACCGCACTCGAATCAAACCCATTGGCCTTCATTGCGGCTGCCGGTCTCATGAACCCGCCCGGTGGCGGCGGTGACGACACCTCTCTCTCCATGTGGCGGGGTTCACCCATGCCCATGCCCATACCTACAACCGCAGCTCCCGATCAACCTCACGCCCAGCCGCCCCATCTCCCAGAAGGTCAATTACAGATAGCACCCTCATCACTCCCAGCGACCCCGGAAAAGCCACGCATACAGTTCCCCCGCCGTTCCCGCGTACCGACCCACGCACCGAACTCGGCCCGCACCGCAATAGTGGAGCGCGAAGCACAGATCGGCGGCTGGGTGCGCAAGACGCACGCTGTAAACAAGTGGACCAAGAACCTGCGGAGGAAAAAGGCCTGTCTGGTGGTCAATCTGAAGTTGCCAAGGGACCGCTTCAGAGAAATCATGGACGACATCTATGAGCGCGACATGGTCGTCTCCGATCTTGTATCAATTGGACCGGGTCAGTACGCTGCTTTGCTACCGCCGGCGGCATGGAGTGTCACTACGCCTGTCGCCGAGAGCATGGCTGAGCCGCTGAGACGGCAGCGTGGTAGACCGAGGAAATCGGAGGCTGTCAGCTCTGCGGAAGACGAGAACGACTTCAATGTTGTCGACGACGAGGCTGTCGCCGCGGAGAAGCAAAAGAGCACGCAGCGGAGAAGAGAGGCCTATCTCTGTCGCAAGAAGGAAGAGAATGAAGCCCGTGCTCAGTTCCTTGCCTCGCGGGAGCAAGAGGAGCTGGAAAAACTGGCCAGGAGGGAATCGATCACGGAGAGTACCCCGCAGGGCAGTGCAAGGTGGCCGAGGAACCGGGTTATGAACAAGGAGATCCTCGATGTATTGCGCCAGCAAGACGAATTACACATTGAGCCGGTAACGGGGGAGGAGAAGCGCGCTCGTGAAGCCAGGCAGGGAGAGCAGCGGATAGCGCGCGCGGCTAAAGCTGAGGAGGAACGTGCTCGGTGTGCTGCTGAAGCAGAAGCCGAACGTGCCCGCCGAGAGGCTGAAGTAGAGGTAGTCCGTGTTCAGCGGCAGGAAGAAGTAGCTGCACGGAGAGCGGCGGAACTGGAGCGTCAACGTGTTAGGGTTGAGGAGAAGGCACTCCGCAAAGCTGCGAGAAAAGCTGAACGCGCCAAACTTCGGGCTGAAGAAAAGGATCGACGCAGACAAGTGGCAGATCGCCATACGAAGCTGGCTACCATCGGCGCTATCAGCTACGACGACGTCGAGGAGTACGTTTCTTCATCGTCCAGCGAAGAGGAAGACGACAGCAGTGAAGAAAGCGGGCAAGAGATTTTGGATTACATGGAATACAATGACGAGCTGGAATCTGCACGGAGCTTGATTCCCCACAACTGGCCATGGGCAGTCATTATTGACCCACTTCCACACGCCGACGTGAGGGATGCGTACGAACGTTTCCCGGAACCTGTCAGCACCCCGCCCCTCACGGCTGGCCTAGCCAACCACAGCACTCCACCTGTCAAGCGTGGCCGCGGTCGTCCAAAAAAGCACCCTCTCCCGGGCACTCCCGGCTATACCCCCAAGCCCAGCCATGGTTCAAGTACATTGAGCAGCTCGAAGCCAGTCTCACAAAAAAGAAAAACGGATTGGTCGTCCAAACGCGAATCCACATTCAGGGCCACCGTGGGTCAAATTCCGCCGATGATACAAAGGGACCGCAGAAAAAGCGCCGTTGTCGCTGCCGCCGGCATCAAGCACTCCCTCGAGGATGAAGACGTCAAGGAAAGGAAGGTCAAACAGAAGAAGGTGATTCGTAAGAAAGTCGAGGTTAAGCCTGGTCTCTGGGGCTTAATTGAGATCACCGACAGCGAGGGCGAGGGCGAGCCCGACGAGAATGATGCCGATGCTGAGGAAGATGATATCGTGGAGGATCTTGATCGGCCAAAGCCGCAACGCCAGAGTGAGCCCGAGCCGGAGCCGGAGTCCGAGACGATCGATCAGTACACTATGGAGCTGGACCTCATTGGACTTACCCCCGAGGAGGCGAGTACCTACAGGGAGCGGTCTCGCAGACAGCCGTGGTTCTAAACTACGGGCCACTAATCGGTGGGCTCGACTACTACTTGGCCGGCCAGACTTGACATTGCAATAAGATCCGTGACTTGTTTGTTTTTTCCATCATTTTCGTTCGTTCGTTCGTTCTTTGATTTGTGTGTGCGGGTGTTACTTTTTTTTTTGAGAAGGGTTCCTCAAATGTCGGATGTTTCGTGTGTTGCTGCTTTTTTTTCCCTTTTTTCTTCTTTTCAATTTACCCACTTGTGCACAGCGGGGGACGTTTATTGATTCATTTCATTACGGGTATGATATATGTTACTTTTTCGGAGAGAATGCAAACTAGTATGTACGTGAACGGGCTATTCATGCTCACACTTTCTCACTCGCGTGAGGCCATCGGATACAAACTTTGGTGGGTGTGACTGTGTTGATCTCGTCGGGATGGGCCGTGAGCAAGCAATGATTTACATAGCAAAAAGCAAAACGGTGTTGATCTCGGGGCTGGTGTGTAGCGAGGTTCTCACCTCGGTCTGTCAGGGCAGGCAGGAAAGGCCGGAAAGGCAGGAAAGGCATCTTTGGTGCGTTTGCTGTAGTATTGAAAGGCTGCATGCGGGATAAAATAACGACCCCTCCCATCCCGTCTTGATCTCTGTCAGCTGGAATTACCCTGCGCAGGAACAGTTTCCATGCCCGCATGCGCTGATTGCTCGGGCGACTGTCGGTGTGGAGGGAGGCATCTCTCTGCAGCTTCGTCGGTTGGTGCGGGGGGTGTGGCCCCATCCGCTCCCGTATCGGCGGTGGAGGTGTCGGAGGTGTCGGGAGTGGTGGAGATGGAGGAGATGGAGGAGATGGCAGCGGCTGCCATGTTTAGCCGGAACTAGGCGTTTGCAGCTCGGAGTTCCCGGTTCTCATCCGTGAGCTCGTCGCATCCATTGGGGCCCTACGGCCCTTCGCCGAGTGTTGCATATCTCGCACCGCCGATGTGGGCTGTCGGCTCTTACTGATTGCTACCGGGAATACCGGGGATATATCGGAAGCTGTCGCACGGGCTGCGAAAGGCGAGGCCGGAACTTCACGATCAGCGGTCTATCCATCCATCCTATTGACCGCCACTGGCTGCCTTTCTTCTAGATTTCCAACAGCTATTCTTAAGAACACACAACGCCACGTCGCTGGATGGAACTCTGGTTATGCCGTCCTCTCAGCTGGGCCGAAAGTCTTGGCGCCTGATTACTTTTCGGTATTCTCTCATTCACCTGAGATCGGGAAAGCTATGGCGGATCAGGGTGCATGATGGACGGTGTTTGCAGATTGTCAATCGTCCGCCTAGTACCTACTACCTAGTAGAGGCCAGACCGGGCGTCGCAATGAACGGCATGGTCCGTCGTCGACCGAAGCCATAGTAGACTAGGTGTCGGCATGTGTCCCCCCAATCGTCGGACGGCCATCTTGCGGGCCTGCGAGTCTCCTCCGCTGGCTATTAATAACAGCGACCAGGTTCGCCGGATACGAAGACAACGCACCGCCGTTGCGGTTTTCGGAGCCGTATTATTCGTTCGTCACTGATTTTGCCCCGCCAGGACTCGGGGCGATCATTCCTTCGTTCTCGGCGCCGGAAAGTATCCGCTCGCGGCTCGCCCCATGTCACGAACCCGCTTCCAAAGAATCGAGGCATCGGTAGGGTGGCACCTGTAGTCCTTGGAAGGCGGACGCTGGAACTGGGCATCTACTGTAGTAGCGCCCTCTGTTTATTACTCCAAGAGGAAACGCGGTCTCTCGTCACGTGCTTATTGGTTCCGAGTTGGAGGTTGGAGGTTGGCGGTTGGCGGCACGACCCAAGTTTCCAACTGTTTCATTAACCGCATGCCACAGGCAACATTTTGTTTTTTTGTTTGCTTCTACATTCCACGGATAACCGGAGCTACATGCCAAAAAATTATCCCCAGACAAAATCACCCCAACTATTTAATGAGCGACTCTTAGTCTAGGTAGTCGAAGCAGCCGGATAACTATCAGGTCGTCGCGCCCAGGAAGAGGCAACGACAATTCTCCATTGGCAGACGAACCACCGGAACAGAGGCAGTCAGGTCGGACATAAGTATGATTTCCTGGTTGTCTGTCTGTTTGTTATGATCTTGTCCGAACTGGCAGATGCATCCCGTTCCTACGGCAACATGTTACATGTGCAGAAAGAAGTTTTTGTTTTTATAGTGGTGGGGGGGGGGGGGGGGGGGGGGGGGGTTGGTGGGGGGAGGGAATATCAATGCTCAATCCAGTATATTGGCCACCGCCCCCACCGCCGACTGTTACACATGCGAAACGAGCACTGTAGATCCCGAGCGACTGCAGATCTCTAGATAGCATGAGCACGACGTTCGTGACTCATGAGAAAAACGATCGACGGCGGAGGGGTTTCTCGAATCTCGGGCAACACCAACACGATTCCGGGATAGAGACGGGGGAGAAACACCGGGACTCGGAATGGGTACATCTTATCCTCTTTCGAAACGGAAGCCAAAAAGTTGGATAACCTGTCTTCGCTTTTTACGAAGTTGTTATTGTTGTTGGTGTGGGTGGGGCTGCGGGGTCGACCTCGCAAGTTCGCAAGTTCGCAAGCTGCAAGTTCGCAAGTTACAAGTTCGCAAGTTTGCAAATATCGAGTGCCGTGGCCGGAAATAACCCTTGAGACGAGGGGATGTTCAATCTAGGCGCCGTGGCCGGAAATAAACCCTCGATACCAGGGGGTGTTCAATCTAGCCGCAGCGTCTTCATGCTCTTTCGATAAACTCGGTGGGCCGAGTCAATGACTCAATGGATGAGGTGTGACCAGTCAATCCGTTTTTGTGTATTGTCTATGTTTGTAGAGTAGGTCGTGTGTGCACTCCCGAGGTCAGTCGGGACTCGGGACTCGGACGCATGGACTGTTTCGGGGGAAACTTCCTTTGGGTTTCCTGTCGATGGTAGGTATTCATGGTGCCGTATGTATGTGGAATTTTCTCTCGACGTTTGTCGGTAGAGTAGAGTACAGCTGCTAGTTCTTGATAACCAGTCGGCTCAACCAAGTCGGAGCTACTGTATCTATACCACCAGTAGTGTCGATCTTCGGTGGGTTAAGCTAATATGATAGCAGAGTAAATGGTCTCGTGCACGGTTCTAAGAAAACCGTCTCGTTCGCAGTGGGGGTGGAGGTGGACGTGGAGGTGGAGGTGTGGAATTCATGCCTGGACTCTGGAGTCTGGAGAGGCTGGAGATCTTACAAACCGGTCACCGGTTACCGGTGCCGAGATGAGGGCCAAACCCTCGTGTGAATAGGCACGGTTCTTGCGAGGTAATGTTTTCGGTAAGGGGAAAAACCAACCGACCAGTCACCAGTTTCGACTCTCTGTGAATCCTGGAGCTTTGCTCGCTGTGCATATGGGTGACCATCGGGGTTCGGAAGCCTGAAGGGCGAGCGGACCGTCTTATGGGGGGGCTACTGGCTTGCAGCAGCCTGCAGGCGAATACTTCAACTTACCGCAATCGTCCTTCCAATTTCTAGATATATTCCGTGTCCCGTCTCCGTCTCGGGTCGAGAAGGATTGCGGCCGTCAGCGGCTATTGCTATATCTAGCACAGTAGCACTATGGCGGATGCACCACTTGAGAGGCCCGTCTTGAATACAGCTGTTGGGATGTGACTCCGGTAAGTACTAAGAGGTGTCGTAACCGTCGTTTGCTGTGAATTACTCTCATAGCGGGGGAGGGGAGGAGAGGGGAAGGGACAGGAGTTGGTCATGAAGGAGTCAGAGGGCGTACCGGTTATTGATATAGGTGAGTAGTACTACAGCTCTGCATGAATGATGACCCCGCCTTGGACTCTGGACTTGCCTCGCACAGCAACTGCCAACTACATAGACGAGATGCCGGATTGTGGGGTCGTTATTGGCTGGGGGAGCCAGTGCGGGATTGGATTATTGGCGAGGCTGACCGCCTGTACCTTCAGGCTTCAGCAGCCAGTTAGGTATGGCCATTGGCCGGAGGCTTCGATTATTTTTGTCTGTCGGCCTGTCCGTCCATTCGCACAACCGTTCTCCGGCAGGCAGGCATCCTGATGAATGGAACCGACGACTGGGAAGCCTACAGCTGGCACTACTAGTAATGGCTGCTGGCGCAAGCAGCATCCTACGACTACTATCTGAATGTTTTACAGCTGCGGGGTAAGTGTCCTGGAGGAAAGGGTAGGGTTTAGCAAACCGACTTGTGGTATGTATGTCTTGACGACGACGAGAACGAGTCATTTCGCTACTATTGTATCATGGAAGGCTTCTCTTGAGACGGAATCCCATCCTCCAGACGTCCGTAGAGGTAGCTAACTTACTCCTTCCGCTCGCCCACCAAATACATCGCCAGACCGGTTTTTGAGACCCACCTTCTCAGCGAGTGTATCATCTGCCTTCGTGCCCGGAAAGTTGAGCTAGAGTGTAATCTTCTTACGCGGACTTTCCGCCGACGTGGCGGGGAAGAGCTGCTATTTCAATCTTCCCAGCATATTGCTCAGCGGAACACAGAAAGGGCCCGCATGAACGCCGATCAGTATCCAACTAGAGCAGTCTGCGGTTCGGCAGAGCTAGCTAGCTCGGTTGCTCTCTGAAGTCTGCAATCGGTGGCCAACCATGCGGCCAATCGGGATGCCGGAAGAATGTGTTTCATGTCGGTCGGATTACCAGCATCGCCTCTGCAGGAGAAAGAGGATGTAGATGAAGTGCGGACAGTGAAGCGGTGTGCTTCTACGCACAGATGTCCCGACACCGCGGAGGCAGGGTTGGCTCTGGCGACCTGAATTCGAACGGCGGCTCCGGAAACCGGAGTGGCTGCTGGGTTTGTTGGGTTGCCTATTTAGGTAGCGTCCAACAACTGTACCCCGAGTCATGATGTGCCGAACGCGTCGATTTCCGTGAGGAGCGAGGCAGTCGCACCACCACCACCACAATCACCACCACCAGGCGCCCACTACCAGCACCCACCAACATCGAAGAAGACGGCCGAGGAATCGGATCACGATCCCCAGCACTGTGCGATGAAGAGTACCGAACTCCATCGACGACCTTCGGGCGTTTATCCATGATCCGTCCGACCGACGAGCGACGCGAGACCAATACCGACGGCGGTCCGGGCGGGAATTGAAGAAAAAAAAGAGATCGATGGCCTTTGGCATGTTGGCTTCGAGCAGGGGAAAGACCAGTTGGAGGCGGGCGGTAGGAACGAGAGAGAGCGCGGGCAGGCAGAGTAAGGAGAAGATGGAGGAGAAGAGGGGAAGGAAGAAGATTCCACCCCTTTCTATCTCTTCTCCCAGGCTGTAGCCTTCCACCACCCCCTCCCCCCAACACCCCCGGCCGGCTTAGTCAACTTAGGGCAGACCCGTTCGTAGCCCATACGTGGGTGTCGTCGTCGCGCGTGTGGACCTGGCAACTCCCCTCCCCTCCCAAATTCCATCCTCGCTGCACCCACGTCTCCGCTGCACCCACGTCTCCGCCACATCCCCTCTTCTCCTATCTTCCTTCTCTTCGTTCTCCACCTCCCCCTCTCCTGCTCCCCCGCAACCACAGCCTTCCCTCTGTTGTTTCCCTAACACACAAATATCTTCACGGATATTTCCCACGAACTCTTCGTGCCCGTCCATTGCTTCCTTCCTTCCCACTCCTCCCTCCCCTACCCCCCTAGATGCCTATTTGGGCTGTCGGTGGAAATCCGGAGATCACACCCCCCACTGCGCCATCCTCGCATCTTAGGCTCCGACACGGTTCGGCTGCGTAGCAACATAGCTATCACGACAACCCGGGCTTGTCCTGCCGTCTCACCGGTCCGATAGCGACAGCGGCAGCCAAGAACAATCGAGACGTAACATGTCCCGCAGCGAGTGGAAGCTGAAATCGACGGCAAGCTCCGCCAAGGACCACAATTCACCATACGGTCGGAATAATGGCATTGACACTCCAGCGGCAAGTGACCTTTTCGTTTCTCCTCCCTTCCGCAGCGACTGCGGCTGCCGGAACCCTTGCAAGCCCAACAGCAAATCCCGCCCTCCCGGTTGACCTTGGCCGTCAAAATTTTAAGGGCACAAATTACGTTGTCTGTTTGAATAGCGAATTTGGGGGGGCTTCGGAGATGAACCCAGCCTGCACTTGTCGACAATGATGAAACATTTGGTAAAAGGTCTGACTGCCTATTATGCCGACTCGCCACGCTGTGTACGCTACACGAATCTCTTGCTGGAATTCTCTCTCTCGACCTTTAATCCCTCTATCTCTCAGACCTCTCTTGCCAGGTTAACTCCCGATGCGCTCCTGCTGGTCGAATAGGACCGACCGTCATACTCCCCTACCCTCCGAACTCTTCCTTCTGAGATTAATAGAATGCAAGACGGTGGGTTATGAGTTATGAAACATCGAGTTCCCACTTTATTGGAGCCACAATCTCTTTGGGAATCCGTTCGATATATCCGCCTCCGAGAACGAGTAGCAGCCTTGCCACTGTGGAAGTTGCCTTGCAGTTGCTGCTGAGAATATAACCCGATGGCCTGGTTGCGAAGTTCGGTGGCATTCGTGGTATACGAATGGTTGACCAATAAATTCTACGATTGCGGCCATAAGGCAGTGGCAGACAATGGCAATCGGCTCATAAGGGGAGTCGCAAGTTGATGGTCGGGTAGTAGTAATTGGATGCAGGTTATGGTTTCTGGCAAAGAGGACTTTGTGTGGCTGCAAGATCGGCTGGCTGGTTGGCTATTCGCAGAGTGAAGACTTTTGTTATGATCTGAAAATGACTTGTTGCTGCTGCTGTTTTGCCTTGTGAAATGATTCGCAGAACCGGCCCTCCGGTTTCCTGAACTGATGCTGATATTTTGGCTGCAATAGGAATACAGGAGGCTAAACCAGAACAACCACCAAGAATACAAATACCACCCTCAATTCAGCAAGGTGAACAGAATCTTGGGGATACTAGTTGGGGAAGACTCCAGCTTATCACGACAGTCGCAGCAGTCCAAGGGCCGACGGGAAAATGCATCCGCTACCAACGGCAATGGATCAGGCTATCAATCACCAAACGTGTCTCTTTCCCGCAATGGGGCTCGACGGACCGACAGAGCCCAAGACTCCAGTAGTGACTCTCGAGAACCCACAGTTTCCGAGCCGTCCAGTCTCGGCCATCCAGATAACAAAAGCTCCAGCGAGAGCTCTCGGTCCACAAACTCGCGTCGTACGTCCTTACCCACATCTACGAACAGGTGCGCGCAATGCAGTCAGGGGTATCTTATCGGTCACGCTCCGCGGGTGCTTCGGGAAAATGAGGGACTGTAAGTCTCGCTACGTCGCCTGATGTAGGGGGGAAACAATTGCTTACTCTAGCCGTAGGTCCAAACAATGGCCCTGCCGGGACTGCGCTACGTTGAACTCGAATGCGAACAGTGGCAGCACGAGGAATTCAGGAACTGGAACAGTACAGGAAAATCCAGAATCCGCAAACTCCGGATTACGCCGTACCTCTGGTAGACCCATAAGCTTCTCCCTAAAACGAGGGACCGCTGCTAGGCCTATAACCGTTCCTGATAGCCCTCGGGTCTCCTCTGGGAAGATGGGAGATACTTCACCGGTGGTGATTGATCTCACCGAAGAAGATGTGGAGTCCTCCAGCATGCCGCAGGCGTCAAAAACGGTGTCCCACCAGACAGCGATCACGGTTGCTCCAGTTGCACCAATGGCAATCAACCCGGGCCCATCAACGGAGAGGAGCCAACAGATTGTTGCGAGTGCTCCGGCCCAGCCTCCATCAACCCCCGCCGTCGCCGCTGCAACTCCACAACAGACCCCGAATCCGGTAGATGTGGTAGAGCAGCCTCTGAGCGATGCCTCCATGGAAATTGATTCTTCGAGACCCCCGTCTCCCGAAGAGCCAGCTGTACGAAGCGGTAATTCTTCACCTCCCTATAGCCCACCACCAGCGTTTCCGGAGGATCTGTCGATGCCACCTGTTGCAGTTACCAACGTTCAGGCACTCGACAGTGTATCTCATGTGATTTCGGTTTTGTCCGACCTGAACTGCATTTTCTGTAGCAAGAAATGGCACGAGACTACGGACCACACCTTGTGAGTTGGCAGCCACTACGATGAAGTGATCGTGCTAAATCTTGTAGTATTCCTCGCCAGACATCACCAGATCAGCCACCAAGTGAACCTCTGGCACCACCAACATTATTTGACGGTCAATCAACGCCATTGGGTGCAGGGTTGGCACGGTGGGGTCCTAAGCCGTCGCCTTCTCTGGCGATTCCGCCCAGGCCAAAGACTTGGGCTTCGCGTAGTGATACCACGCGGGCGACCAAAAGACCATCTGGTGAAGCTATAGAGCCACCGCCAATCAAGAGGGCTATGACAGCGGTAGATCTGGTGATGCAAAAATACAGCATGCAGCCAATTGCAAGAACCACATCAGCACCGGCCCCGATCCGATCACCACCTGCTGCTGCTACTACTAATGATACGTCAGCGGTGGACAAATCAGTCACCAGCCCGATTAGCCGGCGTTCTCTTTCCGGGCAAGAGAAGTTGCCAGGAAACACCAAACAGAAGCAGTTGTCGGTGGCGGCAAAACCCTCACCCCCAAGACTAGCCACCTCGGAGTGGCGGCCTGGGTGCAAGCTGCAGCCTGCGTCTTCTACCACTTCTCCCTTATCAGCTGTGAATAGTCAGTTTCCAGGACGGGTTGGTTCTACTCCAACATATATCGCCACGGGAAAAACCGCTCGAAAGTCTGCGCCAGCGAGCAAAGAGCCGCGGAGTGGGCCTGCGATGAAACGGGCTGGACGACTGGTGTATGCGCAGCCGAACCCGACGGACTCGGAAGATTCGGTTGATGAATTCACAGGTTTAAAGGACGAAAACGCCAGGTTAAAAGAGCAACTACGGCAACAAAAAGACTATACGAAGCGCCAGAGCGAATTGGCATCGCGCCAGAGGGCGAAAACTCGGGTGCTAGAGAGAGAGATCACCGAGCTCAAGAGAGATAAATGTGAGCGGGAGAACAAGTTCAACAGGCTACTCAAGTTATCTCCCACCGACGGGCACGTTCCGATGCGTACCATCATCGACACAATTGACCTTGCCCATCAGGCGGAGATCACGCTAGTTGCTCGTCGTCCTCCTTTGAAGAAGGAGATCTTCGCCGACGATGATTTCTTGGACAGCGCTTCTGACGAGGAGCCCTCGCCGAAGCCCGCACTACATTACAAGCCGAGGGAGATGAGCTGGAGAAAAACAAAGTACAGCGCACTGGACAAATCACGGCTGATGAAAGTCCATCTGCACCGTGAGCGTGAGCCTGTGCGACCACCGGTGCGTCGTGAGACCAACGCGGTAATGATCCATTATGACCCCGAAGAGCCTGCAACGGTCACCGACAGCTCGACACCGGTCACGTCGATCATCCGTTACCGGCACCCGGCGCCAAAAACCCTCGAAGAAATCTTTGGTCTTCCAGAGGAGCCAATCCCAGTGCTCAGGGATGGGACTTTGTGCTACAAATCTGGTGTCATTGTGAGTTTTCCTCCCCACGCTTTCCCTCTCTCGTGGGTCATGCCGCTGACGCCCAGTCAGAACCAACGTAGCCGCCTTCCAGACCGTAATGCGCCGTGCTTCAAAGTTTACGGCCCGAGGGATCTGCAGAGCTAAACTTGTCTCGCTCCAGACTTGTCGCACGGAACATCAGGGCTTGTTCCTTGGCCAATATCACTACCGCCGAAGAATTATCCGCAGCCAAAACCAAAGAATTGCGGATTTTCAAAGCACGACACGGCCAGTGCGAGATCAAGATCTACACATCAAGTCAACAACTTTCCCATTCCTTTTTCTCGGCGTTTGGCGACATCTTGCGGCTGGGATGCTATGATTTTTCTTTCTCTTTCTCCCGGTACATACTTTTACTGGCGCACATTCGGTGTAATGCATCATCAGCCCTTTTTCACCTCTTATTGCTGAGTGTTTCCTTCCTCTTTGATGATTTTTTTCTTTCACGTCAAGCGTGGGGGGGGGGCGTAGCGGTGGTTTTCTGCTTCGTACGATGGATTGCATATTTTTTTAGCACCTGCATACACGAAGTGGTGGTTGTGGCTTGTGGTTTGTTTGGTGTTGGGCTCTGTGGTTGATTTTGTAAAAATGACAGTGTTGCGGGTATTTACGGCTTGGGTGGGTGGAGTGGGGTACATAGTGGGATAGGATGGTTGATGGTTGATGGTTGATGTACATACCTATACCTAGAGGCCGGTTTAGAGGGCGAATGGTTGTTGATGTGCCGGAGTGGAGGGTGTGCTGGGGGTGCTGGGGGGAGCAATGAATCATGAATGCCGGTTGTCGTCGGCCGCGGCTCGCGAGGGATGTACATACGTTTCCTGTTCCTGTGTCGACTGACTGGAGAGTGTGATTGGGTGGGGTGAATGCGAATAGCTACTTGAATTGTTTGAAGCAAAGCTATTGGATCATGTTCTCAGCGTCGTTCTCTACTGTTCCAAGTTTCCACTGTTACAAGCTTCCGAGCGAAACCGAGTGAGACACAGTGCTCGGACACGATCCATCACGGTGGAAAGCCGAGTAACATATCATGATGCACTGCCCGCGCACGCGGAATCACTCGCGTTGTGTCTCCCTATCGCGGCTTGAGAAGTTGAGGTTACAGTATATGTAGTATAGTACCACTGGATGGCCCAAGAGCATACGGCCCGCTGGTACAGCAGCGTGGAGTCCTTCTGGTGGCGATCTGTATAGCTAGTAAACCCTGCTACCTCATCCGCATGCTGGCGGTTTAAGTACGTATACTGAGGATGACTGGGGATGGCATTACTATTGGTACTTCCTTCCGTCCAGCTCAGCGCGGCTCTGCGTTCCGGCAGGTGGTACTTGGTGCTTGGTGCTTAATTCTTGGTGCGGACTGGTCACTAAGGGCTCGGGCTGGTTGCTGAATGGGGGCTCGAGGTATCCACTATACATACGTGAATGGCTAGTGGTTTGGTTCCATTCCGTGCCAAACATATCCATCGAGGGTGAATGGCGCCTCCAAAGCTGTGCTTACTCGTTTGATTGAGTGTTGAGAGGGACTGAACATCATATGGCGACCTGGATGGTTGAGTGTTAAATGTGGCAGCTATAGTAGAGCTACTGAGACATCGAGGACGAGTGAGGACGAGTGTGTCTCGCCGACAGGTCTCGCCCAGCCGATGGAATCCGATGGAATGGTGTGGTCATATTGGACGAGCTATGCCTAGCAGAGTGACATAACGACCGTGTGATTGATAGAGGCTTGGAACAAACAGCATGTAGTTATCCGGAGCCCGGTCCGGGCATGCGCGACGCGTTGGATAAACCCGCTCAGCGCTCGCTCGCTCGACCTTAGGTATGAGGTAGGTATTTCAATGGCTCGAGTGTAGGGCAGCATTCCGTGGACCATGCAATTCCTCTAAGTGCGGTGTACGGTTTACACATCCCCACTCCACTCCACAGCAATCGATTCTTCCGATTCTTGATTCTTTTTTTGCTTGCTTGCATCCCCAACGCATCGCCCATGTGTATTGTGTGATTTTTACTTTTACTTCTATTTCTGCTCGCCCTCCTCCGGTGGGACCAGCACGCCCTCTTTCTCCAGCATCTCCGCCAGCTCGCCGCTCTGGTGCATCGCCACAAGGATGTCGCAGCCGCCCACGAACTCCTTGTTGATGTACAGCTGCGGGATCGTAGGCCAGTTCGCGAACTCCTTTATGCCTGCGCGCGGTTTCCTGCATCAGCCCCATCCCCATCCCCATCCCCATCCCCATCCCATCCCCATCCTCCTCCCTTCCTCTTCCCCACTAGGAGGGAGACTCACCCTGTCGCACCTCCTCATCCTCGAGCACATTGAACGCGCTGAACTTCTCGGGATCAACGCCCTGCAGTCCCAGGATCTGCACGGACGCGCGTGAGAACCCGCACTGCGGTGCTTCCGGAGTGCCCTTCATGAACAGCACCACCGGCGCCGTCGACAGCACGCCCTCGATCGTCCGCTTCGTGTCATCGCTCAGTCGGCGCAGCGCAACGTACACTGGCGGAGTGATCGGGGAGATGGTTGGCCGGAGGAGGGCGCGCGTTGTCTACACACGGGGGAGTTAACCGGAAGTTCGGGGGAGGGGAGGGGGAAAGGGCGGAACGAACCCGCGCGAGGAGAGTGGGGCGGAAGAGAGGTGTCATCTTTTTTTTTTGTTTCGTAGTGTAGGGTGTGGTGGTGCTTCAGTCGGGGCGGTGGTGGTGATGGTGGTGGTGGAGGGCGATGATAGCGGTGGTGGTGGCGATGACAGGTGTGGTTTTGGGTTCGGGTTTGGGTGCCAAAAGTTCTCGGCTCGGCTGGCTGGCCCATGACGAAAGTTTTGAGCCGCAATCCCCACGCCCCATGCCCCCAAGAACCTCTGCCCAATTGATCATCCACAATAACAAAGCAAAAAAAGTTAACGGTCGCGATAAACGAGAGCAAGCATCTCATCTATAGTATAGTATGACACCCAAACGTCTATAAACAGTGCTCTCATACATTTACCGGCCCACTTTACAGCTCGCAGAGTCGCAGCCCTGCAGTCTTCCAAACGCACCCGATCCCCACTCTTCTACAGTTCTGCTAGCATTTAGGCAAGCAGCAATCTCCAATCTGCAATTGACCAATCCGGTGACCGGAAATCGCCAGTTACGTACTCTACTCTAGCCTTCTCTCTTGAGCCCAAAGCCCATTTTTGAGCCTAGAGCCCAAAGCACCGGCTGCAAAAAGAAATTACTCCGCAATTCCGCAATCGAGATTTGAACGAAAGAAAGCTTCGTGGTCTGGTCTATTTTTGTTTTTCCCCCAGGCCCCCAACGGTCAACCCAGCCCTGGGCGACGAGCCGACGGGCCGGATGGGCTACCACCAGTTGGTAGGATAGGGACAGCCACAGTTCTTTACCCGCGTCCGCGCCCGGGCGACCTTTCGCTTCAGCCTTGGCCCTTGGATGGACACATACACCGGCGCAGCAGCAGCAGATTTGTTCACCGGCGAAACGTGTGTATGTATGTTTGTATGTACGGTACATTCTTTACCCAGCCCCCGTGACGCTCGCGTGATACCCCCCGTGACGTCCCCGTGACACCCTGAGCCCCCGAGCCCTCGTGACGCGCCGATCGCCGGGCGCCGGGCGGGAGTAGATGGTTTGAATTTGGAATGATCGCGCGAGGTGGGGTGGGGTCCGGCGGGAGGGAGGGAGGGCTCATCGTCGTCATCGACAGCGCCAGGGGGCGAGAGGGGACGGTGCCGTAGGTACATAGTAGAATCCTGAAACTCCCGGTACAGCGGAACGTTGGGTTTCGCAGTGCTTGAGGGGGAGGTCTATGTAAAATCTAAAACTGTCTGCTCCCTCGGGCTCGGAGCCGAGACCCTACATGTATGTACAATTGTACCATAGATTTGGCGAAAAGCGGGTGGGGCGGCACACTGCGCTGCACACTGCTGCAGACTGCACATGGCACTGACCCACAGTTAGGTGCCAGAGTGCGGGGAACCTTCAAAGTTCCAAGCGTGGGTTGGGTAACTTGGGTTGGGTAGGGGCTATTTATATCACCAACCCAACTGTACTCTAGAGCCTACCCTACGTACAGACGCAGCTGAAAAAGAAAAAAAACACAGTGCAAACCGCCGATATGGATGTGTATGCGGCATGTCTGTGGGACAGTTGGAACACGGCCGTCGAGACATCTCGAAACGCCCGGCTGGCCCCTGGGCCGCTGGGCTCAGTGAATCAGTGGGCTGGGCGAGACAGGAGCTACTATGATTATCTATCGATGTCGATGTCGATTGAACGCCCAGAATCTGAAACGCACACCCAACTACGATACTCGCTGTCAACTACAACATCGTGCAGCTGCATTTCTCGTCAAGATATGTCTTGTCTTGAGTCTACTATAGATTTGTAGCCGCAGAGTTGGTATGCATAACCATCATACACGGGAATAACGTGGATGAGAGACACCCCCTCGTTCTCCTCGCCGAAACGTCGCGTAGATGGCTGCAACCCAAGTACCGTAATGGAGGAGAGAGAGAAAAAAAGCAAATCCCTCAGGGTCGATGCACGGCGGCTCAGCAGTGTCCATATCATAGCTACGGTCAAAGAATAGTAGGTACCAACTAAAAGTACAAGGTGTTTTTCAAAGAAGAAGTAGAAGAAGTAGAAGAAGAAGGTCATAACCAGAGCATTTCAAGGACACAGAAAGTAAGGCAACAAAACCCCAACGGCAAAACCCAACCGTACCCTAGTAACTACTGCAGCACCAAATGTCCGTGACCGTGTGTCGGATACATAAGCCCAACAAATCGACCCATCTCGTCTCTCTCCTTCACTTGATCTGATCGGACGCACACAAACACCACATCCATACGGTCTAGGTAGCAATTTTCCTGATCCGCCCACCGCCGCCCGCCGTCCCTCGAAGAAGGGGAAAAAGAAAAAGAAAAAAAAATGAAATGAAAAAGAAAAGAAAAGAAGAAACAACGAAAAGACAAAACATTGCAGCAAAACGGAAAGAGATCGTTCAATTCATGCATCATTCTCGGCCCAATCCGGACGACAACGAAATCCAGGTCTCTTGACAGCAGAACATCCTAGGACACCCAACGACGTACGGACAAAAACAACAACAACGGCAACCAAGAAACAAACGCATGGCGGCGGTGCATGCCTGTTGTCCGCAAATCCGAAGCCAAATGGTTTACCATTCATACTCGCCATTAGCTTTGTGAAATACATATCTGTATAAATGCGTTAGCTGACTGCTTGCCTTCTCGACACGAAGAATCTCTCATACTCTTGTCCGTTGATGGTCAGGACGCCATCCTTCAAGACACACTTCCACTTGTTCTTGGTGCGCTGGACCTTGTCGTACATGCAGAGCATGATCTGGGGGACCTCATCATCATCCTCGTTGTCGATCTCGTCTTCCTCGGGATCGTCAAGATCGGAATTAATCGCATCCTCGTCGATTTCGTCCTCGGAATCACCATCCAGCTGCGGCACGCGGGGTCCAGACGAAGCGTTCGACGACAACACCAACATCGGGGTTTCCGAGGGGTAGGGATACGACGAGTTGTGATTCAGAGCCTCCTCGTAGGCATCCAACTTGCGAGCGCGACGCGCCTTGCCCTTGCCTTTCGCCTTCGACTTGGCAGAGCTGACCTTGAGGTTCTGCAGCGCCTGGGCGAGCTTCTCGGAAGCCTCGGCACGCTGACGCTCCGCCTTTCCGATCCTCGTCAACAACACCTTGTCGGCCTCCTCCCTGGTGAGCGATCCGAAACCTTCGATCGGGATCTCTTCGTCGTCACCGCCGTCGTGCTGAGGGATACCGTTGTGCTGCTGCTGGCCGTTGGCCGGTCTGTGTTGCGGAGGTGGTCCCGGATTCATCCCGGGCAAAACGAGTCCACTGGCTGGTCGCGCTTGCAACTGCGGTCCGAACTTCTGCGCAATATTATGCTGTGCGCGCATGGCGGCCAAATGAGGGTCGTGCGTGGGATTACCGGTCAGATTGGCTTGAGGTACTCCGTACATGACGCCCTGTGGCTCCATTCCCGGCTCCGACTTGATCTTCACACCGTTCTGGACTTGAGGATACTGCTGCGACATGCCGGGCTCCGACTTGATGTAGGGCTGCTGCGACTGCTGCTGCTGCTGCTGCTGCTGCTGTTGCTGGTGGTGCATCTGCTGTTGATGCATCTGCTGTTGCTGTGCCTGCTGCTGTTGCTGCTGTTGCTGCTGTTGCTGGGCAGCTCTCGCCTGCGCAGCGGTCGCATTGTTCGATGGAGCTTCGGGAGCCGGAGGGTCCCACGGGAAGTGCGCGATCTTGAGACCGGACAGTTTTCCTTGCCAAACCTAATTTCATCGCAATCCACATTGGCACCACCGACGGGGGCGCCATAGCGGAATAGAGGTTAGCGATGTTGCAACTTTTAAACAAACTTCCAAGATGGGTAAAGAATGCGCAGGGAAGAGAAAAGCAAATATTCCCAAAAGGGAAAAAGCCAAGTGAGCAAATTTGCACACTCTGGCTGTGCGATGCATAGGCTTCCAGGCCGAATAAAGCAACCCCGCTCCCCCAGCACCATATAAAAGCGGAACCGCTAAATGCGAGCAGGGGCGGTGGCTAGAGAACAAGGACAAAAAGGCGACAACCACTGCCCTGCCCCCCCCCCTCGCCGGCGCCCCACAGGATGAAGAACGCGACCAACAAATACACGATGCGACCGAATCATCAAACAAACAAAACATGAAGGAACTGCCTGTGGGAAAGGAGACGAGAGACGGGGGACAGTGTGGGAGCAAACCACTTACTTGCTTCAGATCCTCCAGCGTCGAGACATTGATTCCCGCCTCCTCAAAGTCGAGGCGACTGCTGTTGATGACCTCGTCGATGATGCTCTGGTAAACGGTACCCTTCGCACACCCCAACCGCGCCGGAGTCAGCTCAAAGAAGAGAGGGAAAAAAGAGACGACAGAAGCAACGCGACACGGCGAATAATACTGACAACTAGCTGGTTCGACATGGCTTGCTTCGACCGCGATGGTGTTGCGATAGAAGGGGAGGTGGGGGGCGAGCGAGGTGGTTGATGATGATGCTTCGCTTATGGGGGAGGTTGCGGTCGGCCGAGGCTCACGAACGAACAGCGACAGAACGATCCGGGAAGCTTTCTAGCCGTAAGACCGCAGAGACGATACGGAATTCTTGGAGCGGGATCGGTATTATGTCGCTTTGGCGGGATGATGCGGAGGTGGGGGGAGGGGGGAGGGGGGGTATCTCTTTTGCGGAGGAACAGGCTGTCAATCCTTCGCTCTTGGGGGTGTCTGTCTGAGGGAACGGAGTGCAACCGCCACTCAAAGCGCGACCTTGAGAGAGAAGCATTATTAGTCATCACCGGCTTGGCGCTCGTTGTCGAACTTTCGACCCACCAAATCCGAGAGACTGCGAGATGGCTTGTAATCACTCTACTCCATAGAATGGGATCAAAGAACTGGTATCTTCCAGCTCTCCGTCTTGTACCGGCTCAGCTGCTTGTTCTGCAACGTAGTACTGCGTCATTCGAGGCTCTTCCAGCCGTGAGGCTTGGGTCGCGTTCGGCATGAACGAAGGACAAAGAAGCAAGCTCGTCACGAAAAGCTCGCGAAGGAGCTAATAATCCTTCCATACCTTCTCTCTCTCATCCGAGCGCAATAAGAGACTTTTATTTTTAATTGTTCCAGGTATCCGTATTCCATTCATCAAGTCGTTCGGTAGGGCCGTAGCGTAGGCTGCCCTCAAGTAGTATGTACGATTACATGTACCTCTCCGTCAAGCTTATTCAGAAATTCCCCGTTCAGCTATCCCCCGTGAGCGCAGACCAACTCGACGAGCAAGCTAGACCATAACAGTAATAGCTAGCTGCCTCCTCTTGATGGCATCGTTCTCGAATTTCTGTCACAACCAATCAGCTACCCATCGCCCCTCCATTGGCACGCAGGGGCATAGATCTCACCCTCTCACTCTGCTGCATGCGTTCAATCCACTTCCTCTCGACTTCGCGGCACCTCCCGTCGGCCGCCTCCAGGAACGCCTCATCAGTAGCAACCCCATCCCCGAACTCTTCATAGGCTAGAGGGTCCTCGTGCGTGAGACCCTTCGTAGGGCTGATCGCTAGTGCCTCGCGCTGCAGCTGCAGGATCTCACCTGTAATGTCTGTGTAATCACGGCGCAAACGGTCGATATCGTTCTGCCTCGCGGCAACGAACGCACGGTTAGCGGCGAGCTCGCGCCTGAACGAGTCGGAGAGGATCGAGAGGCGTGAGAACTTCTCTGCGGAAGAGTTAGCGGAGTCGATGTAGGTCTGCGAGAGTGAGGTTGCTGCAGCAATCCTCGACAGGCCGATCATGTGGATGTTGGAAATCGATTCGACGAGACTCGCGGTGATGGAGCCGGTGGAATTGTCGAGCGACTCTGGAGGGGTAAAATGCGTCAGGCTAAGCGATCGAAGCATCGGAGGGCAAACCAGGGAAACTGATTGCACGCCATCTCATGGATTGGCAATGCAAGGCGTACCGATGAACTCCTCAGCAAGCGGATGGTCTGGCGCCTTCTTCTTCTTTTCCTTCTCCTTCCTTGCGACCTTGCTGCCGCCGCCGCTGCCGTTCTTGCCAGCAAACTCTAGCTTCACAGAGTACTTCTCGTGGGCGTCTCGCTTTCTGGTGCCTCCGGGATTGTGACTGGTACGGTGATCCTGCTTGGGCATCTTTCCGGCAGCAGCGGAGGGACCTTCACCGCCGTCGTCGGAACTGAGGTGGCGAGTATTAAAGGGCATAGCTTTGGATGATCAAGATTTTTAAAAAGAGGCGTAACAGTCAGCTCGAGGAGTGAGCAGATTGCGTGGTTGCGATTGCGTGTGATGTGGCGAGTCGCTGCTGAGTCTGAGATGAGTGAATGTAGGTTGCTCAGTCAGCGGCAAGTAGGAGGGAAGAGAGGGAAGGAGAGAGGGAAGGAGAGAGGGAAGGAGAGAGGGAAGGAGAGGGAAGGAGAGGGAAGGGAGGTGGATGAGGAAGGGAGGGAGTGGATCGGTGATCGTGCATCGTGCATCGTGAAGCAGAAGACCGAAGACCGAAGAAAGCGGTAGAGCGACCGCATCCGTGCAACTAGATTAAACGAATGGATGAATGCATGAATAGATGAACGAACGATTAGCTACCCGGTGATGAAGGAGTGAAGAGCGGAATAGCAGGACTGATATGGGGTAGATTATTTTAGGGACGTTGTTTACTATTGCTGCTGGCGTTATCACCAAGCCACCGAGCCACGCAGCAATCTTAAACTTTTCTGGTGGAGCAGCAGCAGCAGCAGCGGCCATCACATCACGTCGGTCGCGTCACACGCATAAGGAAGGGTCTCAGTCACGCTGCTGTGGCTGATGTCCCTGAGCATTAACGATCATATAGTAGTACTGACTTGGTACTCTAGGTATCCAGGCGATACAGCCTGCTCCGCCTTGACGAGAAAAGTACGCGACCGGCCGACCGAGCTACAGGGTGTGGGTAACGTGAGTGGAGCAGCAACTGTGGCAAGTAGCTGCCATTTGGGGCAAGGGTTAGAGTACAAGTGCGTGCTTTGCGGTCCGCGGATAGTTACAAGTCATTTATCTAGGCGAACATGTCGGGGTGTCTTGGTACATGGTCTACATACCATGGATGAATCTGGCGGAGCGCTGCCGACTGCGCGGTCGGTCGGCAGCGAGAGGAGATAGGTGAGTCGGTAGGAAGTAGATACCATTATTAGAGACAGAGATACAAGGGACAGAGAAAGAGCCTAGAGGGCCTTAACATTCAACCAGGGTGAACTGCGAACGGCGGACGAACCATCAAACAGACCAGAGAGGCCGCGCTCGAAACAACCGTCGGAATTCGAAGGTCGTATGGAAATAGGCATCGCATCGAAGAGTGCCCGACAACTCGCGAGCCACGATGTCGCATCGTGGCATCTGGCGGCGGCGGGCGGACGGACGCCGGACTTCCACTCTTCCACACGTGCGAGGCTACATAACTGCTTGCTTACTACTATGATACAAGATGCTCGGCCGGGCAAAGCACGTCCAGAGGTATGATGTATCATATCTACACTCGCATCGCCGGGCTACGTGCCTACACACGCCTCTCACTTACCTACTTCCTAGCACCTACTCTGCTCCACGCTACTCCAACTAACTATTCTGCAGTCTCTACCGGCCGACCGGCTGGCTAGTCTCACAGCCCCACCACAGCAAAACTCTGAAACGCGGCAACTTTGGCGCCAGATCGATATCGGTCCGGGCTACCGAGTTGGCCGGTGCGTGTGTGTTATCGATTAATTCCTAGCACTGCACTTGTAGGACCGGGATCAACGTAACGCCCCATCCCGTCGACTCTCGAGTGGCCGGTTGTCGGTTGGATGCTAATTGCAGCTTCAGAGTTGCACCACCACCACCACGGTCCCACGGTCCCACCTCAACGGGCTGATGATATCAGGAGGTCCTGTAGAGTGTACTTACCTAGCGTGCGGTAGGTACTGCAGCAACCAGGGCGAGGGGGGGAAGGAGATTACCTGATGCCAGATGAACCGTAGGGCTGCAGCGGTAGGTATCTAGCCACAGAACATGGGCTCGTGCTTTTTTTCTTTCGCATGGGGGAATCCGCTGTGGCAGATTGTTGTTCACCATCGGTGAGGCTGAAGGGAGGAGGAGTCTCGAGGAGCGCTTCGGGGCCAATCGTCCCGTCTTGGCGAGAGATGGCGAGAGATGGTGAGAGATGGCGTTGGAACTTGCACGCGGTCGCGACTGCGTCCACCGGTCTCCACTCTCGACTCCAGTAACAGTTGGAGGCCACGGCGCGCGCTGTGACTGGAGGACGGAACGGCAACTGGGCCACCGTTGGGACCGGCGGCTATATGGCGTTGGCATTGGCGACGTGCTTGCTTGCGGGGGCGGACGGGCCAGTAATGTCGGGATGTGTGGCCGGATGCCATGAGGGGAAGGCTGCCTGAAAGCATACATTCGATCGCCTTCATCCGCCCAGGATCCGGAAGCTCGGATCGACGACGATAGTGACGACGATGATTGCGAGCGGCGCTTGGACAGGATGTATGTAGAATGGAGTGGACGACTGCCTGTCTGCCTGCCTGCCTCCAACCACTGCGTGTATGCTTGCTCTGTGGCGTGAGTATGTAGGCAAGTCAGTACCGTACCTACCGCTCCTAGTGTTCGAGGAAATCTCGTCTCCGACCTGACGGTTCGGCTGGCACTGCCACGGGAGCAGGCCCCCCCTCGCCACGTGTGGCTTGCACGCCGACCGGGCCCCCGGCCTTCGCACAATAGCCGTGGCTGTGGCTGTGGCCTGGCGTGGATCGCCCGTTCCCGAGCGAAAGGCTGGCTGCCTATTGGCTGCGCGTGGGGTCTCCCGCCTTCTCCAAGGCCCCTGCCATGTACCCCTTCCCCCTTCCCCCCGATCCTTTTTCGCAGCCCTGTTGCTACGCGCCTGCCAACAATGTTTCAGGATTCACCCACCAACAGATCCTGCACCCAAATATAGCGCCGTATGCAGATGGCGGGCCCAGAGGTTCAAAAAGACGCCAATAGTTATCCGCATCTCCAGAAATAGATTTTTCGCGTATCCCCGCATGCGTGCTGCTGCTCCTTCGGCTCTCCTCCCCCTCGAGTTTCAAGTCCTTCGAGAAGGCCTTGATACAGAAGGTCTATTACTGGAATGCACAGTTGAGACGAGATGTTAAAAGGTCCGCCTCCGCATCATCCATATCCCAAGTTTCATCTTCAGCGAGCCCAGTCTTCAATACATTAGCATTCCATTAGCCATTCCATAGCATTGACATCTTCGCTTCTCCCACTACTCCCACCGTTTCATCCGCGTCTCGCTTCTCACACTATTCCATCATCTGCTTTCGCCACCACAGTCCGGCATCGCGTCGTGTATCGCGCACACATAGAGCTATCTCCCGACTCGCTTTTTACCCTACCTCAATATGTCGATAAGATTCGGACGCAGTGGCAAAGGCTACGACAGCTCCCAGGTCATGAAGACCGCCGATGACGACTGGAGACAAGTCGCCGATCTCGCCGAGCGTCGAAAAATCCAGAACCGTCTGGCCCAGCGCAACTACCGCCGCAAGCTCAAGGAGAGACTCGAGGAGCTCGAGAACCGGGCAGGCGGTTCCTCGGTGATCTCCGCTACTAGCACCAACACCACCGCCGCGAAGCCTGCCAAGCAACAGCAGCAGAGAGCCACTGCACCTAGCGGAACAACTTCGGGCCGTGTCACCAAGCGGACTCGCGCCAACAGCGCACGGACCATCCGCACCAAGCCCGACGAGTGGAGGTTGCAACTGCCCCGCACCCGATCTGCCGAGCCTCGATCAGCCACCACCGCATCCGATACCTCGCCCACCACCCCGACCGCCCCCGCCTTCCCCTTCTCCGCGTCGCGCTCGGCCTCGAGGAACTACTACGCAGGCGACTTCGGCCCCCTGTTCACCAATGTCGATGCCCGATCCGTCGAGGCCACTTCGGGCGGCTTCCAGGCCGGCTCCTGGGGCCAACACCACAACCAACACCAACACCACTACGCCCACAGCGACTACCTCAGCAGCTCCCCGGAGCTCGGCTGCACCTCGCCGCGCCAGATCATCGGCTACAGCTCGCTCGACCAGCCCACATCGTACGGCGCCGAGCTACCCCAGCTCGCCTCGGACTACTCGCCCAACCCTGCGGCGAACACGAACCCCTACCACGTCAACTCGGCGATGGTCCGGGACCAGTTCTACCTCTCGGTGAACTACAACAAATTGATCAACGCTACCCGACAGGTGGGAAAGCTGCTCAACATGGACGAGGATGATATTTTCAGGGAGGAATCAGTGTCGCCGTTCAACCGCCAGGAACCATGGGTTCTGCCTGAGAGTGCCGCGGACTTGCAGCCTACAGAGAGGCAGTTGTCGGTGCCCCACCATCCCTACATCGATGTCCTGCCCTTCCGGGAGATCAGGGACTTCATGCTAGAGTATGCGCAGGAGGGCGTCCGCACGGGTGACTATCAGGATGAGGAGAGGATCTGCTCGGATGTGCATGAGAACTGGGGGGTCTGGGGCGAAAGCCCTTTCGAGAGCCGCAGCTATGAGGCCGGCGAGGAGTTTATTAGGTGAGGAGTTTTACTTCTTGGGTCTTGCATTTTGTTTTTTTTTACCTTTTGGTGTTCCGGGTTGGGCTTCTGCTTCTGCTTCTGTTTTTTCTGTTTTTTATCCTTCTCTTTGATTTTTGATCTTTATGGCGCAATTACGCTCAATGCTCTGGACTGTTTCTGAGTCCTGTGAAGCGGGGCGGGGGTGTTCTGGTTTTGCCTTTATATTTCTTCTTACTTCTTTTTCTTCACGGTCGGGGGGCAAACTGTCTGTATCATGGTTTCTTTCTATGCCCCACGCACCGCACTTCATTTACTACCTTCTTAGAGCTGGCTACTACTGGCATTTATACCTTAGTTTTGTACTCTATCTTCTTTACATTTTTTCTTCTTCGATTCTTGGTTACATATATTGATACCATTCTGTTGGGAACTGGAGTTTTACATTATTTCTTCCATCTTCATCATCATCTTCATCTTCTCATTACTTTCTTGAACATACTTGCTTCTTATTCACTTCATGCCGTTTGGGGGCTGTATCATTTCAACTTCCTATCATACCCCTACTTGTTTTCTCCTCCTTTCTTTCGTTCGTTTCTTAAGAACGCGAGGAGGGAGGAGAATGGGGCCCCAAGAGAGAGATCATATATCATCATCCATCTCATCATCATCACTGCGGTCCCATCTGTCCATCCGTCTTGACTCCTCCCAGCCTTGCCATTTCCTTCTGTACCAGCCCTATGTACCAGCCTTTCCTCTCTCTCTGCGCCCCGTAGACTCCATCTAGCACACCTACTAACGTCCTTCGTAACCTAGATCCTGGTGGTTCCTAGTCCCCTCCGACCTCGTCCGGAGCACCAACTTCTGGCGGCGCATGCGCGGCCTCACCGCCCTCAGCCTGAAGGATATCGTCGCAGAGGCCCTGCTGGAACATGATACACCACGATGGGCTGCGTGGATGCGGTTTATTGACATTCATCGGCGGTGGGGGAGCGAGGGGGATGGGCAGGGGGAGGGGGGGGAGGGGATGGGGAAGGAGGGCGAGGGGAAAGGGAAGGGGAAAGAGGGGAAGGGGAAAGAGGACCAGCTGGGGCGGGGGAGGGGGAGGGTGGGAAGAGTGCTTGGGGAGGTGCTAGAGACTTTGGAGGAGGTGGAGGAGGTGGTGGTGGTGGAGGAGGACGCTTTGGAGAAGGAGAAGGAGATCGCTTTGGAGAAGGAGGAGGAAGAGGTCGAGAAGAAACACCAACAACAGCGGGAGCTGGCGAAACAAGGGGGACTGGACGCGCTGGAAGAGTTGGACAACATCGACAACCTCGACAACCTGGACAACCTGGAGGCGCTGGAAGAGCTGGAAGAACTGGACAACCTGGACAACCTGGACGAACTGGTCAACCTTGACGGACTGGACAAGCTGGATAGAATGGACGCGCTGGAAGAGCTGGAAGAGCTGGAAGAGCTGGACAACCCGAACAACCTGGACAAGCTGAGCAATCTGGACAACCTGGACAACCTGGACAAACTCGACAAGCTCGACAACCAGGACAACCTAGACGAATTGAACGAACTGAACGAACCAGAAATTGACCAAGCCACGCAGAGGCGAGGAAATACGAAGGAGTAGAAGAGTGTGGTGCCCTGGAATTGCTATGATTCTATAGAAGGTACATACGGTAGGCATGGGAGAGACAAGACGGCACAGGTCCAGTCATTACCGTGGGCAGGGAGATGGCTAGTGTGTAAAGACACAACATGAAACGATAGATATTCTCCACTGTGGGGTAAGTACGTTGTGTCTGTAACCGTGCATCGTGTCATTGACTGCCCACCAGCCAGCCAGCCCCGGCCTCCAGGCGCCGGACGGGCGAGCCCGGCGACCTACGTAGCTGGTTAACTGTCGGGTTTGCCCGATAGGCTGGCCGTGGCCAAGTACCCGTACCTACCAGAGTCTCCATATACCTTCCGTCACCGGGTGTACCGCTGCCAGCTGGTTGGCTGGTTATCTCGCACTCGCACGCGCACGCGCACCGGCAGATCGATGCGCATTGTGAGCTTTCCACCCTCCACCCACCCACCCTCCCTCCCATCTCTGTCTGTCGGTTTCTATTTGTCTGTCTGTTTGTTTGTCTGCTAGGCAGCACCGATCTCCTGGCGTCGAAGACCCAGGGGCCAAGGGCCAAGCCTGCGCCTGCGCACGGGAGCCTATTGGCCAGCAGCCAGCTGTCCGACACCGAAACGAGCACAAGAGCAGCAATGTCTCTCTTGACTCTCCCCGCGGTACGGTATGAAATAGTAGTAGATCGATGGGCGTGCGGCGTGCCACCCACCACCATGGCACCATCTAGCATCTAGCATTTGCCGCCAGCGGCAAGGCTTGAATTTTTCACCGCTGGCAGACTAGCTGGCTAGTAGACTGGCACAGCAGATCAGATCGACTCGGGTCGCATCTGAGACCTCCAAGTGCTGAATGGTGCGTAAATATACTCCTGTTATGCAATGTGGACCTGTGCTGCAGTGCTCGTCGGTCTTGGCCGCTGATAATACATATAGATATAGATAGATAGCGCCACCTGAACCAGCCTCCGGGCGGCATATGTGGCGCGATGGCGCTGTGGCTGGATGGCTGGATGGCTGAATGGCTGGATGACGGGATGGTGGGGTGGCTGAATGTAAGCTCGCCGTTCGCCGTTCGCACGGCACGCCGCGGGGAAACGTCGCCGGAGTGATGCACAATCGATGGCGTTTGACTCGACTCCGCAGTAACATGCGCAGCCAGCCCACACTCCCACCCCGGTGTCCACGGCATCCACGGCTGAAAACCGAGATCCTACGTCTGTGCGTGTGGCTTTGGGCTATAGGCGTGGAAATGTGGAGATGTGGAAATGCGGAGATGCGGAAATGCGGAGATGCGGGGTTTTAGGTGGAGGTGCGTGTGATATCTCATGATGCACGGCTCGGACAGACATAAGGGATCACTCGCGAGCCTCACTTTTTGGCGTGGAATCGGAGCGGCAAATACTCTTATTTTCGTCCGCAAGCTCTGGTAGATAGGGTCGTGGCGTACATTGTCGTATCCATCGAGTCTTTGTTTTCCACGCGCCGGAAGTTGGAACAGGGTGAGCCAGCGAGTTGGAACTTGGACGGGCTGCCACTGGCCAGCTGTTCCATGGACGAGCGAGGGAAGACGGTAGGTGGCCCGTGGGCTCATTCTGCTTGGCGGAAGGCAAATGGGCACGGACGAGAACTTTGCTACATACTCCTTTGGCCCTCGGTGCATATGCTGGCAGGCGGATACGATATACATATCATATATACGTCGGCAAAATTAACCTCCGAAATCACTCGGTGCGCCATCGCGGCCGAAGGCAATCGCTAACGAAAGCCTGCGTACCTACTCTACTCTACTCTACTCTACTCTAGGTATCGAATGACTCGAGGCTCGAGCTTGAAATGTAGAGTAAGTAGAGTAGGCGGACGGTCTTGAACTCTGCGGACAGGAGTCGTCGGTGGCAAACACGGGAGCCACACTGTCCGAAGCGGTTTCACCTCGGGCATGTGCGAGCAGTGTTTTAACCCCTACCGGTGACCGCATGTCCCTTGCGGTATGCATACAAAACGACTACCCACGGAATCGATGTGGATCCGCAGGAAATCTAGGTATCGGCAATTCCCTCCGTTCCCACAATCGACCTGCATGTACCAGGTATGCGTTACGCCACAATGCGGCGGTGTCTCCGTCTCCAGTTTTTACTCGCCGCACAGAGAAAGTGGTAGGTGCTGCAAATATAGCTTGCAATCGGCAGGAGTGTTGTGGGCACGATGACGTTGGTAACCGCAGCTAGGAAAATGCGCCGATTGGGAAACCCTTCGGAGCGATGACTCGTTCGCATGCAGCTATCCTTTTCATTCTATGGCTCGTCAAGATGCCGAATTCACAAACATCGTCACAATTGGACGAAAAAAAGCACGGTTCGGGAATGCATTGGTATTATCGGAGTGAATTGGCATTGCTACCAATCTTCAACCCACTTTGACCATCCAATCCCATCCCAATCATTCAATCAATCAATCCCCATGCCCATTCGCCTGAAATTCAATCTACTAAACCAGCCGTAAAATTACAAAAATCGAATGCCAACATCTCACCAAACCGCACATTTACCGGAGAAGGTCGTGGGCGGGGCGGGTTCCCCAGTAGGTGAGGAACACAGCCAGTCCGACGGTGTCAACCAATCCGACGGCGGCCTTGACGGCAACCATCTCAGCGGGCCTGCGCTCCTGGAAGATCTGGGTGACCAACTGCGCACACCCCGTTAGAATAAAATCAAGTGTTGAGCGGGGTGGAGAACAAACCAGAGGAACGGAGGTAGCAGCAAAGATCAGGCCTCCAACGTAGGCGGCACCCTTGTAGGAGAGGATACCGCAGTGGTTGAGGACGGCAGCGACGGCGTAGGTCTGGATACCAGAGCCGACGAGGGTAGAGCCGTAGAGAGCAGCGGCGGAGGCAGCCTCCTTGCTCTTGATGAACTCCTCCTTAGAGTCGGCGTGCTGAGCGCGGCGGTAGGTCTCTCCGAAGATGGGGGTGAGGACGGCGAGGTTCGCGGCTTGGTTGAACACTGTGCCGAGGGCAATGGCAGAGGGCTTGACGGGGGGGAGGTATTCGAGAGTGTAACTATTTCCGTCATGTTAGAATACATGCCAAGCAGCTGTGGAAAGCAGATGCAAGAGAGCCATACGACGACATGGTGTTTGTGTTTGTGGTGGGATGAGGAAAGTCTTTTGAGTAGAAGAAGTAGTCAATTGTGGGGTGTTGGTGAAGGCGATAGTTGTTTGTGTTGTTTATGTGTGTGGTGTTGAAGAGATAGAAAAGGAAGGGAAGGAGGATGATTGGGGTTTTATGGAACCGCGGAAACGTCAACGTTCGTCATTACCAAACCCGATTTTAGCCACAGCTCCCGACAAGGAAAGCAAGCCCGTGTCGCTAATGACGACCAAATCCAAGGCAAATGACAAGCAAGCTGTTCTTTTCTTTGATCAATTCCTCCCGCTGCAAAAGCCACTTTTGGAAGTTATGGTTTATGTCGTCATGCCTGGCAATCGACGTATGATGTCACTGTAGCGTCACACCGAGGCGTCTAGTGAGTTGCGCGATGCCTGCGCGCTAAGCCAATGCTACCCAGTGCCCACCATCTTGCACGTCTTCGCCTGAACTGGAATAACGATGGCTAGTATCGCGCAATAAATTCAGGAACATGGGGAATTCCAACAATCCGATCCAGATCTCTTCATCTCAAACCCCCGATGGACCGATGGCGATCAAAATTAAGACCTCGGTCGTACGAATTAGCGGGCGCGCGTATCTGCCTCCGGAGGTGAGTAAAAATTCAAGGTGATGGCGAGAAAAGATAACAAAAAATGGCCCACATTTCCGTACCTGGAATCACCATCTAAACAGCAATATTCAAGTCCATCGTGGATCGAAAAAACCGAAAACTTCTCATAGTCCCCTCAACAGGGAGTCGACTGCGCCGCTGCGAAGGTTCTTCGTATCACCTGTCGCCGCACACGAAACCTCATATATATCCAAACTCCACACCAAATAACCTCACGGACACCCTTCCGCACGTCCGGCAACTCCTACTAAGGGCCCCGGGCTACCCTCCGATACGTTCCCGGCGGTCCACCGACTAACCCGCTCTATACGCTCCCCAGGAAGTCCCCCGATCGAACAATGCGGACCTGGGCCGCTGGGGTGGAGGAGAGTAAGCTGTTCTGCGATGATCTTGATATCCTGCATCCGAAGCTGCCCTTGCAAAGTGTGGGTTTGTCGTGTTATTGGCTGTCGTCCTTCTGTTTCTAAAGCTGGGTGCGCCGCTCAGATCCGGCGGGGGCATGTTACGATCACGGTTCAAATGATTGCCCCTTCCCAAACCCATACTGCCAGGGGTTGTGGGGAGTCCATGCACCGACGCGGGAGGAGCCATGCTGCCACGACCTGGGTTAGACAGGCGGATGGATGTTCCTCTCGCCGATGTATGTGAATACCCCGCCTCCGAAGCTGCATAATTGCGGCTGCGGCGCATGGGTTGGTTAGAACCCGCTCTTGATGATGGTGCAATGTATCCGCTTCGCGATGGGGGAGCCATGACGGGTGAACGGGGTGGGGTTATGTCTAATTCCAAATCCGCCGGGTAGCCAGGTAGGGAGATGTTATTGTGACTGAGATTATTATGTGGCGCTTGAGCCCTTCCAGGCGGTTGGAATGGCCGGTTGACGTTTCGGGTAAATTGCGAAGGCCGTTGCGATGGGTGTGATCGTGGTGACGGCGCAATTGAAGGCCGTTGGTCGGTATAGTGTTGTTGCAGTCGTTCCTGCATGTACCGCTGATATGAAGATCCTCTTTCGTCGGAATCCTGCTCTTGCTGTGAACGATCTTGCCATAAACGCTCGCGGGGCCTTTGGTCATCGTGTACAAGCTCTTCCGTCGGAAGTCTCTGCGGGGCCTGTGGACTTCTAAAAACCTGGCCTCGATCTGATAGCCGCGGGATTGCCGCATTATTCTCGGGAGTCTGCGGTTTGTCCATTCTAAATTCTGCAAGCCGTCTACCATTGCCCTCAGGACTTCCGGCCTTTCTTTTCGCTGGAATAGCTGCGGAAGCAAAATCACCGATCGATCGTGGTATCTGGTTCATAACTGGATTCTGGGCTTGGGCTTCGCTGAGTTGACTGCGAAGGGCTTTATTATTTTCCTTTAAGTCTGCTATCTCGAGTAACTGCTCGGCGATTCTCCTGGCAAGTAATTGTAAGCATAGAACAAGCGTCGCTGAGTGGGTATCTCAGACTTTCGGTTCGTTAATAGCTCGTCTGCCGCTCGCAGCATTGATTTCTTATATTTGTTCAGCAGTGCTGCAAGATCTTCGGCCTGTCGTATGTAGTGGTTCGCTACTCGCAGGTGGCTTTCGTGTTGGAACTGTAACACTGTCAGGCACAGAAACACCAGCGGGAATGTAGAATGCTAGCCCTTAAAGCTTTGAACAGCTCCTCCGCGGGTGCAAAGAAGTGGAGCGAGTCGATGGGAGGCTTGTAGATCATCAGCAGTTGTCATAATAATGTCAACATGCGGGATGAATACCTCTGTCCCAACGCGCACATTACCGCTACCACAGTATGGGCAAACTTGCGGTGTTTGCAAGGCGTCTGCAGGAACTGGATATAAGAATCAGCATCTTCAACAGACGCTATCGAAGTGAACACAGTTCAAACCATCATGTGGAAACAAATGACCTGCGCACAAGATGTGCGAACAACTAGTGAACAAGAATGGGGGTGATTGACCGTCGGGCGGCGTGAGAGACCTCCCGACTTTGAAGCAGACGTGGCAGTGAAAGATTACGTCGTTTTGGCTCCCCTGTGGCTGAGCGGCCGGCGATCTAGAAGAATTCATGGTGCTTGCCGGTCGGTCGTCTTCAGATGATGGTGAAGTCGTGGTACGAAGGAGTCGTAGGGGACTGTGCTGGTTGCACCGATTCTAGTTGCACCGATTCTAGAGTCGCGCTGAACGTTGGAGGCAACGAAAGCAGAGAGAACTCCAGCCGCATTGGATCAATTGCAGATGCTATGTGAGTTCCGAGTGATACGTGACGTGGATTTAGTGCCAGAATATCATGTGATAATGCCAAGCACTACCTCGCTACTCTACAACCTTGGAATTAGGAACTCTCCCTCCATCACTCAACGAACCCTTCGCCATCTGCCAGAGCCCAGACATCGCCACGCTCCTCACGCCCGCTTTTGCCTTTGAGACTCAAGTATTTAGCCACCATACCGCTCCCATTTCTTGCCGGGTCTCACTCTCTGATCGGCTGCTCAGATCTATCCCCTCATCCATCGGCTAGCCACCTACCCACGCCACAATGTCTTCCCCGCGCGTGCCCGGAGGTGTCGTCTCCGTCTACAAGGTCCGCTTCTCCCCGCAAGTTTCTTGCCGTTGTCATTAACGACATACCAGAAATACACCGTCAACCCGGTCGGCATCTGGGAGAAGATCCGCCGCGCCTTTGCCGTCGACCCCAACCGCTCCTCCGGTGTTCCTCTCAACCCCACCTACCGTAACCCTGCCCCCGGATCGGTCTCTGCAACTGCCTACACCGACCCCGTCACCATGCCCGCCGCCGACATCGCTGAGAATCCTTACTGGAAGCGCGATGTTCGCCGCAACTACCCCCGCCCCGCTGTGTTCAGGCAGAACGACATTGCCGGTCTTTTGACCCTCGGATCGGCGGCGGCTCCAAGGATCGCGAAGGGTGAAGAGGGCGCGAAGCAGTTGGTTGCTATCAAGAGCGAGAACGGCGCCCTTTCAAGGGTGCTGGAGCAGGTCAACGCGAAGGAGATTCTCCAGGAGAACGGATTGCCACCATTGCCTGGGAAGCGGGTGATCTTTAAGTCGGATATCCCGCAGGGCTACCCTTCTGAGTACCCCTGCAGGAGTTTCGCTTGAGTTAGGCATTGAAGGTGGAGGTGGAGGTGGGGTCTTCGGTTTGTAGATACCGTGTCAATAGAGTTTCTGCGCAAATACTGCAAATACTCGGAAGGGGGATGTTGCTGAGAGAAGGGATGGCCCGCGGTCTTTGGTTCAAGGGCCGCAATATTGGTTCGATTGAACGGACGGTCTTGTGCTGTGTCACTTTGTTCACACTTCTTCCACGCAGATCACAAGCTACACAGTGAAAACCTCGCGATTGCCAGTCAGTTCATTGCTCCCAGTGCCCTGGCCACTGGCCTGTAACCTCAGGATGGTCTTGGCGCGGCTAACTAGCTGACTTTAAGTTTGAACCCCATAGAGAGTACTCGAAGACGGGTTTAAGTCGAATGCCCAGACACGATAGAAGAGGAGGTTAGGGATAATTGCTTTGTCTTTCATTGTTTCTTTTTTTGATGGATTTTCTTTTTTTTCTGGCAAATAAAGTTAGAGCTTCAACGCTGCAAAGCTGAAAACCAAAATCACATGACACTCGCGCTAGTCCTTTTACATGCTGCGCTAGTCCCTTCATAGTGAGCGCTAGTCTTTTAATTTTTGGCATTCGACTTCGACCCGTCTTCGAGTAACTGTGCGCCCTCTCTACTTTCCAATTTCGCACGTCCCCCCATCCACGTCCAAATACCACAATGACGTCTCTACGTCGACTACCACAGCTTTCGCAGCTTCAATCCCTCAAGGCCCAAGGGATTTCGACTCTCCGCTCACAATTCCATGCCGTTGGTCACTCGCGACATCTCACACCCCGTCTCCAATATACATCTCCAACAGTCCACCGTCGGCCAACGTCCCTCACGTTCTACCGCAAATCCTCTACCCTTCCTCAGACCGATGACGCACCTCCACAGAATAGCCTGCTATCGGCTACTTACAAACCCCCGACGACCGGCATCCTCTCGGTCCTTCCCGCATCATGGGTTCCATACGCCGAACTGACTCGCATTGACAAGCCGACGGGCACCATCTACCTCCTCCTCCCCGCACTCTGGTCGACACTCATGGCGGCCTCACTGACCGCCCCTGTCGCCCCTGTTTCCTCAGTTCTCTACACAGGTTTCCTCTTCACCGCTGGAGCGCTGGTCATGCGCGGGGCCGGGTGCACAATCAACGACCTGTGGGACCGCAACATCGACGACAAAGTGGCGCGCACACGCTTCCGACCACTGGCGCGTGGCGCTGTTACACCTACCAATGCGGTTCTCTTCACGGGCGCGCAACTTCTCACCGGCCTCGCGGTTCTCGTCCAGTTTCCCGTGGAAGTCATCGTCTCCGCCATCCCGAGTCTGACCGTCGTCACTTTGTACCCCGCCATGAAGCGCTACACGAATTACCCCCAGGTCGTGCTGGGACTCGCGTTTAGCTGGGGCGCGATGCTGGGGTTTCCCGCGCTTGGTCTGAGCCTGCTGGATCCTACCGTTGCCGCTACCACCGCTTGCCTGTATGCTAGCAACGTCGCCTGGACCGTCCTCTACGATACGGTATATGCACACCAGGATATCCAGGACGATAAGCGCATCGGTGTTAAAAGCACCGCGATCGCGAATGAAGGCCGCACAAAGAAGTTCCTGGCGGGCATGGGCGGGGTACAGATCTCGCTGCTGGCCGGTGCCGGGTTAATCTCGGGGATGGGGCCGGCGTTTTTCGTCGGCAGCTGTGGAGGCACCGCGTTGTTGACCGCGTGGATGATTAGGAGGGCGGATTTCAAGAAGGTGGAGGACTGCTGGTGGTGGTTTAAGTGGTGCTCGTGGGCGGTGGGGGGCGTGGCGATTGGCGGCGGGCTGACCGCCGAGTATGTGCTGAGGAAGATTGAGGTGGAGAAGGTGGAGAAAGATGCAGTGGTGGTGGCTTTCTGAATAGATTTGAGAGAAATAGGGTTTGTATATATGACTTTTCGCATGGCGTTTGATACGATACCCAATTGGACACGATTACCCCCTCACGAGTAGCTTGTCGTCGTTGGATGTTTCTGGAATATTACAACAGGGAATATGAAGCCTGCATTGTTTGTTTCGATTCATTCATTCCCGGGACCTGAATACGATGCTTCGCTGGTACATAGCTTTACCATCCGGGTAAGATGTCATTCCTCACCGATCTCGCTCACTCTGCGGCAGTGACTGTTCGACTACGCCTCGTCGTCATCGTGGGACGGACCTACCCCGGGAGCCCGTTTTTTTTGCTGTGAGCTCGAGATGGAAGGGGCGGGGGTTGTATGATACGTAGCTAAATGTATCAGAGTGTGCTGGCTGGATGGGGAACAGCATACATATAATTACCAATCCCCACCACGGCACCGTCCTCCATCCTCCAGGGCGATATCTACGCAGTGCAGTACCTCCTTCATTGGCGTGGGGGGGTAGTAGGGGTGGGGGGTTGCTGAATCGATCCTCGCCCACGCAATAGCGATGATCCAGCTCGCAGTCCGGCAGCGCCGAGTCACGCCTGGAGAGGAGACCGCAGTTACCACAGCAGTGCCCGTCCGCCGGCCATCCATCGTATTCCGTTCGTTCGTGTCCTTCCCAGCAACGATCCTGGATTTCTGGGCGGAATAGGTGTTGTAAACCGGCCGGCAACCTACGGGGAAGGGAGCTGCTTCGGCTGTTTGTTGGTCTGATGGTTCCAAGTTCCGCCCAATCATGGGATGTCATTCGGAACGAGGATCGGAATTGGGTTGGAACCGGATTGGAGCTGGGTTGGAATCGGGTTGGAACTTGGAACCGGGTTGGAGCTGGGTTGGAACCAGGTTGGAACCGGGTTGGAACCGGGTTGGAACTTTGAAGTGTATGCTGCTCCACCGTCGCCATGAGCTCAATGTGTACATACACGAAGGTTTATACCATCATGGCTTGACTAAGTATGTAGGTGGTGGGGGTTACCGGTAGTCAGGACAGCGGCCAGTCCGGTCTATGCTCCAACGAAGAAAACAAAAGTATCATACTGAGAAGGTTGTTAAGGTGGTCTCGAATGGGGGGAATTGGTCTGGGCCTTGGAGGAACTGCCCTGGCGAGTGCTATCTTGTTATCGGTGGTGAGGTGCTGGTACGCAGAGCACCAAGAAAGCTCAGGCTAGTGACGTTCGCCAGCGGCTAGCCCAAGTAACGGTATCATACATAGATGAAAGGACGCAACATGATCAACGATCGCTATGACAGAGGCCAGCAAGCAGATGCATCCGAAATAGCTACCTACCGTAGCGGAGTATCGCGGGACCATCTCGACGGTTGTGAATCGTGCATACCGTCTCACTCACTCGCTGCTCCGAGTCGTTCCCAGCACATCTCTTGCAAGACCCATTACAGCAGCCCACCCACCAGGAGTGGCATCGGGGACGTTCATACCACCCGACCGGAGAGCCTACTCGAAATCCAGCGTCGCCGCTCTCCTCCTCTGTCCTCTTCCTAGTTACCGCACTGCGCTGCCCCTCCGCTGGAATCACAGCGTGCCATCGCGTATCATCGCGTCTCGAAACACCGAGCGTGTGGCATACCGGCGCTGTTCGAGCAGGAGGGATGGGCGGGGGAGGGAGGACCACGGTGTCCTCAACGCGTACCTATAGTACATATACCATTCGAACGGATATTTGTGCCGAGCGGACCTCCAGCCCCGCGGCGGGCCGCAAACCTGCGCCGGACGAGCTGGTGGCCAACGTTCCGACTATCCGGCGGCGGCGGGACGCTAAAGAGAGACAGCCACAGAGAGCGGGTGGTTGCTCCGGGGCATGCTCCGGGGCAACAGCGGACTGTCGGACTGTCGGACTGTCGGACGGACAAGCGGACATACGGACGGCCGGACGAGCGGTCGCCGGCTCACCGCCGGATAAGTAGAGTACACATGTACGGCCCGGGAACCAGATGGATGGACGTGCGGTCTCGGCTGGACTCTGGACTATGGACGGAGGGCCATGTCCGGGCGGGGCGGCCAGGGCCTGGGAGGGAGATGCATCATGCCTATGCTACCTCCCCCCTCCCCCCCCCCCCCCCCTCTCCCCCCCCGGTGGAAGGGTACCCTATCATAGGTGTGTAGAGTATGTGCGGTACATACATAGGGCTAGTTCCTGCCTGCCTGCGAGAGAGAGAGAGCACGATACACGAGCCTCTCGCGGGATCGGTCTCAGAAGAAGAACCTGCCGGATGGGTCTTAGGTACATACATTGTATGCACTCGGCCTGCTACGTATGTACGTAACTCGCCCTGTCCTGCACCGTCCGGACGCCGAGACGTCTGCGGCCGTAGGTTTGAAGTATGTAAGCTAAGTCCCCCAAGCAAGAGTAGAGCACATAAAGAGGAAATGAAGCTCCGATACGGTGCCTTTTACATACTGGGCTAGTCCCGTCCCGTGTGCTACACCAGGTCCGAGGGACAGCCAGGCCAGAGCCAGGATCGCAGTACTGGGTGCAGTGGAAGTTGCGGTGCTCAATCAATCCCTCGACCGCTGCCACTGCGTGCGTGCGTACGGTAGTTATTCTCGAGTAGCCAGGCGACACCCAGACAGACAGCCCTCGAGTCTCGACAATCACCACAGCTCGTTCGAACTTCGCGCCGGCTAGCGGTTCGATTGTGGTTGAAACGTGAAAGCCGGCAGTCACGATCGCCGCTGCAGCAGTGCCCAAATAAGCACTCACGTATATACGGTATTCTATGCATTCCACGGCCTCCCCGGGGAGGGGGGGTTGCTGCACCGTTGATGGTATTACTCTGCAGGAAGTGATCTTCGACAGGACAGCAGACCAGATTCCCCCCCTCCTCCAACAGGACTAACTCCGGCACATGCTCTCTCAACGTCTCGCTCTCACCGTCTCTCTCACGAGCGCGATGTGTCAATCAGTCTGTCTGTCAGATGTCCCGACCATTTCTGAAGATCATGGCGTTCGCTCGCTCGCTCGCTCGCTCCAACGAACTAGCGGCCGGCCGAAAACGCTCGCTCGCCGGGATGCACATCAACGCTTTCCGCGGATCTCGTCCGCCCCAGCGTGAGCGAGAACGAGGGGGTGTTACATATGTAGGAGTGGTATTAGGGGTGGTATTAGGGGGTGGTATGTACGATAGTACATGCTGATCGCCGAGGTATTCTACCTATACAGTAAGAATATTTGCAAGAGAGGAGGGGAGCGACAAGATCTTCAGCGGGAAATCCAGTCGCGCAAGTTACGAACGGCGATATGGGAAGTTGGGAACCTGGATGGCCCACCCAACAAACTGCCACAGTCTGCTACCGGTACATAGCACTTACCCAGTCCGTCACTCGCCACTCCTCACTCGTCACGCCGCATCACCCGGCACCCATCCATGCTGTCGCTACATGAAGCACTAATTAGTCACCCCGTCGCCCGTCGCGCTCCCCGCCCCGCGTCCGGCAACAACCGCCGCTAGCTCTCAGCACCCGTCGTTGTCCAGGGTTCACGGACGGCCACTAGCAACTAACCAAGCCATAGAGCCACCCCTGCAATCCCACCACCACATCCGTCCGTTTTTTCTTACTGCCGCCCCGCCCACGCCGACGCCTCACAGAGAAAAACTCGTACGACTGTTGCATACCCAGAAACATCCGATCAGACCAACCCCCAAATCGTGCCAGCACATCGCGCGCGGGCACGATAAGGTGGGTTACAGCTTACAGATAGGGGGGGATTAGGTTGGGAGTGATTGGGTTGGGGGGGATTGGGTTGGGGGGGATTGGGTTGGGGAGGTCATAGGTGTAGATTCCGGTACGGTACACATCGAGTATCCAAGTGCCGGTAGAGCAGGAGGGAGGCGCGATACGAGGTTCGGTAGCTAGAGTAGAGTAACGTCTAGTATACGGTAGAGCATGGTAGAGGCGGTAGGTAGAGTGCCCCCTGCGAAGGCGAGTGATAGACATGACTCCCTCGGTTTGTACTTCCGCTTCGATGGGTACGATACCTGGAGTCTCGTGCACTACCACAAAAGGGAATACCAAAATCATCGCGCGATACAGCGAGTGAAATGTAAGTTCCTGGTGGTTTTCCCTTTCCAAAGGGAAAGAGAAAAAAACCTATTTTAGTGGAGATGTCGAATACTCTACTCCCCACCCGCCCCCATCCATAAGGTTCACAGGTAGAGCCGGTACGTGAGGCAAGCCAGCCAGCAAGCCAGCCAGCAAGCCAGCAAGCAAGGGAGGGAGGAGGAATGGTGTCGGTGTCGGTGGGATCGGGGATCGGCCGAGGGCGCGTCGAGTGTGTCGCGATCTGGTGCGGGTTAGGGGTGTATTCGACGCGCGACGACGTACCGATGTCCTCGTATCCATCCATCCATCAAGCGACGGGATTATAATTTATGCATGGGGAAACATGATAGGGCGGAATTTTTGGCATAGGTACAGGGAGCGTTTGGTTTGGGAGACGTGGGGATTCTTTCACCTGCGAGGTGAGAGATTCAGCCGAGGGTGAGAGATTCGGCGGTGGGTTCTGAGTTACATAACAAGAAATGCACCGATAAGGAGACGCAAAAGTAAAGTCTGAAAATCTCGACGTGCAAATCAGGATCTGAATTGGTGATCCTTCTCGCCTGACCGGCAAATCCTGCAAGGTGCCAGTGCCAGTGCCAGCCGGGACCAACTACAGGCTGGCCGGGAACAGGAAAACCAGCAGTCGGGGAGCACCTGCACTGTGCACACCGAGCTGTGAACCTTTGATCCAACAGAATTGAACCAACAAATGTTGTATACCTCGGCGCGGAAGTGGTGTGATACCTATGCAATAGCGACATAATCGTTGAGCTATGGATGGCCGGTCGAGACTCGAGATGGCAAAGATTCCTCCGGTTGATAATCTGAAAGACGGTGTGCCATTGAGAAGCGACATCTCCAACATGACTGGTCCTTACGAGGACGAACGGTGTCAGCATAAATCTTCCCTTCGTTATTGCACGCTGCCATCATTCGTATCCCCCCTCTAGGTACCATCATGCTCGCTTCGGAAAGTCCACGTGCAGTCGTGGAACCTCGGCCCGACGCAGCATGAAGCAATCGTTG